CTACGACTCACGACCAAGAGCGAGCTCTGCAGACCTCATCAGAGCTTTGGAGCCGAGGAGTATGTCCGCCTTTGGATGGCCATCAAATCCCATTATTGCCTTTTTGTTTTCTTCTTGACTGACGTTTGCAGTGACAGTGTCGCGAGAGAAAGTAGGGGCAAATGCTGGCTTTCTTCAAAACGCTATCCAAGTCTTGCGAGATCTCCACGAGCGGTCTGCCGAGTTCCGAGACTTTGCCCTGTCGTCTGAATGGCTTCGTTTGCTCTTGGCAGCTCTGTATCCCATCATAGTCAGCGCCGATGCAGTCACTCCTGACGTCGAATTGAACTCTCGAGACTCTGCTCTGACGTTCGAGGGGAGCGATGTCATCATCCGACCCATGGGCGGTAGCTCCGTCCCGGCGCCCATTGTCAGAACGACAAATATCGATCTTGTGCCGTCGCCACAGTCTACGCCGCCAAAGGGCACGCCTTTGAGACGAGCGTCATCTTTCGTCCTCCTGACTGCCCAGAAGACTGTTGCTGAGCCAAGGCTCTCAATCCCCTCGACGAAGCCTCCGCCACAACAACCTAAAGTGCTCGGCAATACCGTTGGTGATTCCATTGTAGAGGGCATTACAGACTTGGTTATGCGTGTGTTCCTGGACCAAATCTTCGCTCGCAAAGAATTCTCGGGCTTCGGACTGTTCATCAAAATGCCCCCTGGCTTCCAAGAGCACCAGGCATATTTTGAGTCCTACATTCTGAAGAAGACAATTTCCGAGGTCACGAACGTAATACAGACGAGACTTGACGGAATTTGTGAGCCGAGAATTTTGACGAACCTCGGCCGGCTTTGTACCCATCTGTGTGAAGCAATTTTCGAAGGCTGGTTCCTGAACGGGGCAGAAGCCTTGATCGACTTCAACGGCATGCTCCTGGAATTTCTGCAACGACCCGAAATTGCGGGATTGAAAAGCGTTCGTCTGTGCAGCCCGGCCATATCGACGATCCGCAGTTGCCTCTTGAGGACGGTTTTGCTTAAGCTATCGGACCTTGACAGTCGGCAAACCTCGGAATCGGAGGCCAAGGAGTTCATGAACAAGCTTGCTTATTGGCAAATGTCGATTCTTGGCTGCCTAGGAGCTGACGACGACTACCTGAAGCTGTTTTGGTATCAGCTCTACACAAAACTGATCGACGACAAAGCCTCGATTCGCACCGCCGCAGCCAACTTTCTGCGCATCATTCTCGTGCAAAAGCCCGAGGAATCCATCGCCCTGATTCGCTCATCGTCTGCCCCCGACCAGCGGCAGGTTGTTCGCGACTTCCAAAAGATTACAGAGATGGATGACGAGGCGTTTGTCCTTTGGGTGGACAAGCATAGACCGGCACTGGACGTGCTGTTTTTCGGTGGCATGTCCAAGACATGGGAGGATTTTGTCAGCGCAGAGAACCAGCGCACGCTAGAATCCGCCAAGTCGCGCCTCACAAAGCGGAAAGAGAAGCTCAAGACTTGGAACGTGGAAGTCATCGGAGCGGAAAAGATCTTGATCAGCCATGACATCGGTAACAGCGCATGGATGAAGAGCATCTACAGCGGCGAATACTACAAGTACCAGCGTCTCATGCAGGATCAGCAAGATGACCTGGCCTTCCTTATGGCGGGTTATAGAAAGATGGAGAGGGACCTGCAGCGGCCTGGAGCCGTGTTCAGCATACCCACGGCACCGAAGTGGAAGTTGGATCGAACAGAGGGGCGAAATCGCATGCGCTTGCGTCTTCTACCTGACTACCAGGTTGGCGAGGACAGATATCAACCCAAGGCCAAAGGCAGCCTGCCATCGTCCAGTGCCACCCCTTCTACCGCTGCCACCACCGCATCAGCTCCCAACAATGCCCTGAGCACGACACCAGCCTCAAGGGATGCGACAGGCTCGGCAAATCGGCCGCCCACGCGTTCGAGTACCTTTTTGGACGGTGCCAATGACAACGATGCTGCATCTATGACCATGGAGCCTGAGTCGACCACCGATAACCCCGACACTGGGCTCACAGCAGAGGATGACTTTGAGCTCGTCGACGACCCGAATGAGCCAAACGAGGGCGATGAGAACTTTGAAGATAAGAACCGCAAGGTTATGCGGCGTCTGGAGCACGGCGATCAAGTTCAGGCTGCGTACAACGTCTCGCGTGTGACAGGTCTCGAGGCATGCGAAGGCCTTCTGATAGTAGGGAAGGACGCCCTGTACATCATGGACAACGTGTTTCAGTGCGCCAATGGTGACATTGTGAACGTGTGGCAAGCGCCGCCAGAAGAGCGCGATCCGTTTACCCAAATCGTCACGGGGGCGAAGACGCTCGAGAAGCGGCAGAACGCGGGCGGCCGAGAGCAGGAGTCGAGACATTGGAGGTGGCAAGATGTAATCAGCATCTCGAAGCGTCGGTTCCTCTTCAGGGACGTGGCCATTGAGATCTTCTTCACGGACGGTCGAAGCTATCTCCTCACCACCATCAGCACTGCGTTCAGAGACAGCTTGTTTGCAAAGATGCTGAGCAAAGCCCCGCATACGAGTGCTGCCCATTCGCTCCCCAACCCAGAAGACGCGTGGAGGTTTGACATGCTCAAGGGGTTTGAGGACTCGCCGCAAGGCCTGGGATCTCGGCTCGGGACGCTGTTCAATGCATCGCCGTGGACTTCCATCATGAAGCGGTGGCAGCGTGGCGAGATTTCCAATTTCCACTACCTCATGGTGGTGAACACCATGGCTGGGCGGACATTCAACGACTTGACGCAGTATCCCGTCTTCCCGTGGATCCTCGCCGACTATACTAGCGAGGACCTCGATCTGGAGGACCCCAAGACGTTCCGAGACCTGTCCAAGCCCATGGGCGCTCAGACTGCGAACCGTATCCAGGGCTTCATCGACACCTATAGTGCGCTTGAAGAGATTGGACAGAAGCCGTTCCACTACGGCACCCATTATTCGTCTGCCATGATTGTATCCTCGTATCTCATCAGATTGCCGCCGTTTGTGCAGTCCTACCTGCTTGTCCAGGGAGACAGCTTTGATCATGCAGACCGACTGTTTCATTCGATTGGCGATGCCTGGAACTCGGCATCATGCAACAACAAGACGGATGTCCGAGAGCTGATTCCCGAGTTTTTCTGTCTGCCCGAGTTCCTGACAAACATCAATGGCTACGATTTCGGCCGTCGTCAAAGCAACGGTGCTCAGGTCAATAACGTTGAGCTGCCGCCGTGGGCCAAAGGCGATCCCAAAATCTTCATTGCGAAGCATCGCGAAGCGCTTGAGAGCCCGTACGTGAGCGAGAACCTGCACAAATGGATAGACTTGGTGTTTGGATTCAAGCAGCGAGGCGATGCGGCGATGGAGAATCTCAACGTCTTCCACAACCTGTCGTACGCTGGCTCGGTCGACCTCGACCAGATTACTGATGTCAACGAGAGAGCGATATCGGCTGGGGTCATTCACAACTTTGGCCAGACGCCTCATCAAGTGTTCCAGAAGCCTCACCCGCCGCGGGAGCAGCTTAAGTCGTCCGTGAAGAGGCTGGACACTGCCGTCTTCTCCCTGGCATGCCTGCCAAACCCGCTGCTGGAGAGCCACGAGAGGGTGTCGACGCTGATATACGCGCCCAAGCTGGACCGCCTGCTCTGCGCCTCGCCCTTCCGCCTCAACCTCCCACCGTACGACAAGTATCTCGAGTGGGGATATGCGGACAACAGCATCCGGTTCTTCTTCGCCGATAACCGCAGGCCGGCCGGTCTGTTTGAGAACCTGCATATCGGCCAGATTTCGTGCGCTGCCTTTGCCGACTCCAAGACGCTCATCACTGCCGGAGAAGACTGCGTGGTGTCTGTACATGCGCTGCACACGGCGCCCGGTAAGATTGTCGAGTTGATGCCCAAGTCGAGCTTGTTCGGCCACAAGACGCCAGTGACTGCGATTGCCGTGGGCAAGGCCTTTAGCACGTTTGTGACGGCTTCGTCGGACGGTCAGGCGTTCCTGTGGGATCTGAACCAGCTGTCTTTTATTCGCAAGCTGCCACTGGTGCGGCATGTGGAGTGTGCGCAAATCCACAATGTGTCAGGCGATATCATGCTCTGCTCGGGTCCTAACGTGATCCTGTACTCTCTCAATGGCAGTCTCATCCTGGAACAGAACGTGTGCTCGGACTCTGAAGACTACGTCCACTCCTGTGCCTTTTATGAAGGCGCGGGCAACGAGTGGCTGGAGAACTACCTCATCTTCACGGGTCACCGGGGAGGCATCGTCAACGTTTGGCGCAAGAGCGTGGTGGGAGGGAAGTGGACTCTGGAGCTGCTGCGACGGCTGGACCATATCGATTACACCAGCGACATTGGGGAGAATACTGCGGCGGGCATCACCTGTATTAGCCCGATGCCGACTTGTGTCTACACTGGAGATGACGATGGGCGAGTAGTAAGTTGCATCTTTCACACTCTGTTACGGCGCATGGCTAACGAGGGGACGCAGTACGAGTGGAACTTTGCAGGCAGGGACAGATAGAGCCTGAGTTTGCCGCGCGGACCGTCTGTGAGGAACATTCGTCGCGTTGCATCGCGGTCTGGATGAGAAGTGAGGGAGAAGATGGGGGTTGACGACGAATAGAGTGATATTGTGCAGGGAGTTGAGGGTGTTTAGCATTGATAGATTCCTCAAGGGCGCTCAAAAGGTTGGACATTGCATGCGTAGCAAGATGAAGACTGGTTAGGATCGGTATCATGTAGAAGAAAAATGTTGATGTTTGTGTGAATTGATTCGAGTTGTCGGAATGAGTCTGTAGACCTGGCTTCCCAAGACCCTTTTCTTCCCATCCTCTTGTGTTTTTTTTACATGATGGGTCACGCCGTGGTTTTGTGTGTATGTACAGGAACTCGCGGCTGCATTATAACATGCCTTTTGGCCGTCGACATGGTGCAGTTTTTCCTAGTTTGAGTTTGTGGAGGTTGACTTTGGTTTAGATCGGTAGGTTTTATTCGTCGTCGTAGCCCGTCAGCTGCTTTCGAGGACCAGCGGGGACTATACACAGTTGTCAGTCTTGCATAGCCATGCCTGAAGTCCCCACACAGTTGCACATCGTTTCTGCCGCCACTCGATTGACGATCCTCAAGACCGCAGGGGGGGAGGGAGGTTGTTTATCGTGAAACGTACCGGGATAGGTGACGGGAATGGGCGCAGGATCGATGTCGCCGAGCATGTGGCGGATTGGGGGCACGATGGGCATGAGCAGAGGCCCAGCGGCGCCGACGACGACGGACCAGAAGAAGGCGGGACGCTCGCGGGCGGCCCAGGAGCAGTACTTGAGGGGCGTTGACCAGAAGAGAGGGGCGGACATGATGAGTTTCTATGCGATTCGAGACTTGGTTAGCTGAGGTATTGGGTAATGGAGGAGAAGGGGGGGGGGGGGGGGGGGGCACAGTGTTGTTGTAGGTTGGATGAACGGCTGTACTCACTGTTGTAGTGGTGAGAGGGTGGAATTGAGGGTGTTGGCGGGATTGGCGAGGGCGGGAGTTTGCGCAAGAGCGAGAGAGGGATATCACGGAGATCTGGGTGACATGAGGTGAGGTTTCGGCTCAAAGTTGGTGATGCTTGGCTGCCGGCGCCTTTCGGTAGATCCCCGGCAATGTCTGCGCTGCCTTCAGGTACCTTAGTACTAGTAGCTTGTACCCCCGTACCTCGACCCCAACTTGAAACTGGAAGTGACGAACTGAAGGGCCCCCACAGCGGGAGCGGCGAGGCTACGTATCCTCCCAAAAGTGGTTGAGGGTTTGACCAGAGCTTCAGAGCAGCTTAGGAACCTTGCCTTGGTGAAGCTTCCACTCTTTTTTCTCTCTCTCTCTTGTTTCAACGAACCACCGAGGCTCAGCACAGTTACCGAACCCAGCCTGGAAACCTGATTGTTTATTTCACGAGGGTCTCGTCATGTGGTCGATTCTGAGCGTTGCCGCGGCGCTGTTTGCGGCGGCGGTTTCGGCCGTGAGCACGAGCGGGAATCGGCTGCTGGTGGTGCTGGACGACGTTGCCGAGAAGGAGGCGTATGGCCAGTTTCTGGGCGATTTGACAGGTGTGTAGATGCATATTTCGGGGCAATTGGGTTGAGGGAGTCGTGTCGGAGCTTGAGCTGATTCGACATCCTGCAGCGCGAGGATATCAGGTTTCGTATGAGACGCCGCGGAGCGAGGGACTGACGCTGTTCCACCTGGGCGAGAGGACGTACGACCACTTGTTGTTTCTGCCGTCCAAGGTCAAGGGTATGTCATATTCTATATCCATCCTCCATCTACCTACTCTACCTACATCTTTGTTATTCCATGATTCGGCAATGGCAATTTGTTTGCTGACTCTGCCATGCAGGACTTGGACCCAACCTGACCCCAAACCGCCTCGTCGACTTCGTCAACGCCAATGGAAACATCCTCGTTGCGCTGTCCTCCAAGGTTCCCGCGTCCACTTCGCTCGTCTCCCTCCTCTCCGAGCTCGACATCTCCCTGCCCGTCGAGCGCACCGGCACCGTCGTCGACCACTTCAACTACGACACCATCTCCGCCGCCGAGTCCCACGACGTCCTCGTCCTTGATGCGCCGTCCAACATTCGCCCCGGCCTCAAGTCCTACTTTGAACTTCCGGGTGGCGTCCTGGCCTTCCCTCACGCCGTGGGACACGTCCTTGGTTCTGGCCCGCTGCTGACCCCCATCGTTCGCGCTCCTGCTACTGCGTACAGCTATAACCCCAAGGAGCAGGCCGAGGTCCTCGACGCTGATGAGCTGTTCGCTGCGGGTCAGCAGCTGGCGCTGGTGTCGGTGATGCAGGCGCGCAATTCTGCGCGCGTGACTGTGCTCGGCTCGGCTGAGATGCTGCAGGACAAGTGGCTGGATGCCAAGGTGGCCAAGCTGGGTGGAAAGAGCACCAAGACGGAGAACAAGGAGTTTGCCCGACGGGTTGCCGGCTGGACATTCCAGGAGATTGGTGTCCTGCGCGTGAACAGCGTTGAGCACCACCTGCAGGGCTCTGAGGAGCTCAACCCTGGCATCTACCGTGTTAAGAACGACGTGGTGAGTAACCCATGGAGCATAGTTGAAGCGCGCCGTATCTGACTTGTCTACCACGCAGTCATACACTATCTCCCTGTCCGAGTACGTCTGGGACAAGTGGGTGCCCTTTGTCCTCCCCGAAGACGACCTTCTCCAGCTCGAGTTCTCCATGCTCTCGCCCTTCCACCGCCTGAACCTGGAGCTTACGGGCACCACCGATGACGCCGCCATCTACGGCGTGTCCTTTACGCTTCCCGACCAGCACGGAATCTTCAACTTCTTGGTTAACTACAAGCGCTCGCTCCTCACCAATGTCGAAGAGAAGAATACGGTTAGCGTCCGCCACTTTGCACACGACGAGTGGCCTCGCAGCTTCGTCATCTCGGGCGCCTGGCCGTGGATCTCGGGCATTGGCGCGACGGTGACGGGCTTCCTGGGATTCTGCGCGATATGGATGTACAGCAAGCCCGTGGGAAAGAAGAACTGAGGACAAGATGTGAGCGAAGGAATTGCGTGTCGATAAAAAGGCCAGTAAAGGGACGGTGGAGATGTCGCAAGGCCCCAAAAGAGGGTCGTTGTAGATTTTGTTTATGTACGATTTGCACCTTGCGGGCCATGAAATACCCATGGATGGCACATGAGGTCCGGGCTAGGAGGATCTTGAACGATTGTCTCGAGGAGGGACCGTGAAAATCCGATGAATGAATAGATTTCTCGCGTTGAAAGGACGAACTGGACTCGTGTGAAATGACGGTTGATGTGACGTAGTTTTGTCAAGCAGGGAAACATTATTATTCATCTACGTATCTAGACTTGCTCCATGCCAAGGATGACCACTAGCCAGCCTCACGATACCTTGTCCCAGCCAACAAAGCCATACAAACAATCTACTAGATAGGAAGCAAAAACAAAGAAAGTGAACAAACAGAGACATATATGGGGAGAAAAAAAAAAAGCAAATAAACGACGAGCCAAAAAAGAAAAAGCGAACAAAGCAAAAGCACCCTCAGATTAGCTCTCTTCTGTTCTCACCGGCAACTCGCAGCCTTTTGGGTAGCTGTTGAGGCTGGCTGCTGCTGTCTGCAAATTTGGCTTTTTGGTCCTTGAAATCATCACCAGGTGGCTTTCGCTTTTGTTCAACATGAGCAAAGACGAAAATGAAAATAAAACACAACAACAACATCACTCCTCCCAATCCTCCCCTCACCCAGAATCTCTTCTCCCGTACGAGAGAGACCACAGTCCCCTTCGACCCGAGTAGATATTCATTGTTGTTTTTCGTAAACTCAACCTCATTTGTAGACAAGGATGGAGAGGAACTAACCTCTGGTTGTGACGCTCAGCCTGCTCCGATTGAAAACTATATTTTTTCCTTTCACCGCTGGGTGGAAAGGGAGCATCATCAAGACTCTTGCTTCTGTCCCCTTTGGTTCGAGAGGAACCAAGAGGGATGGGAAGAGAGGAGCTTTCTGAGGTGCGAGGTGTCGGTCATTGCGGCTACTGTGAGCGAAAACAACCTCGAGGGCAAACTTGGGTAACTCTACCATATCTACCTACAAAGAGAAACAAGCAAAGACGAAAGACACGAGGAAAATACCTACGAGGTAGAACGAGGGGAAAGAGTAAAGGAGAGTGATGAGGGGACAAGGGGAAGAAAGATGGTTGTGTGCAAGGCTCGCTCAGATCTCTGTTCTTTGCATGTGTGGACATGTGCCAGCGGTTTGATCGCGATGATCAATCCAGAAGGCTGTTCCTTGATGAAAGGGGGTGCAAGAGATATCATCACCGTGAGCCAAGCAGAGGTGGCCAAGTTCTCTGCGGAAAGATTTAGGGGGGAGGAGAGGGAGGCCGTGGGGCATGTATGGGTGAAGTGGTGTGAAGGGGGGGAAAAAAGATAATAGACAAAAGGCTGGAGGATGAGTTGAAGGCGACGTAAAGAAGTCGACGAGAGGATGTGTAGAGAAATGTGAAGCGTGGCGAGGGAGGCGGTAGCCCTTGAGGGCCCCTAAGTATGCAACAGCAGCTGGGAAGTAGAGAGAAGAGAGGGCAAGAGAAAAGAGTTGGTGAGCAGAAATAGTAGATGGTCAAACAAAGTTGGGGAGAAGGCGAGGTGGTGATGGGGGGGGGTCGCTTGCTGTGCGCCATTTGGCTTTTTTGTTTGGATGGGATGGGAAAGAAAGAAAGAAAGAAGAAGTGGAAGACGGGGGAGAGAGAGGAGATGCTTTATATATCCCGTGAGGCAAACGGATGCCGGAGAGGGTGAATGATCCGGGGCGTGATTCACTGCGAGCGCTGGGCAAAGGGCTGCGGTGAATTGCGCGTGCGTTCACTTTGCTCTCACCTTTTCGTGGTGTGGAGGGGCAAAGATGATTGGGTGGTGGATGAGTCGAGTGGGTGGGCGAGTGCGGCAGCTGGCGGGCTGTTTGTGCAGTGAGTTTTGGCGACAGTATCACGATGAGAAAAAAAGTGAAGGCGGAAGTTTGGTTTGGAGGTTTGTAGTTTGGAGGAGGTTTTGGAGGTTTGGGCGCGGAATTCGGGAGGGGAGAGACGCGCTTATTATGGGCTGGTTAGTACCTTTGCTTTAGCGCTGGTGGAGGGTGGGATGCAGGTACCTACCGGAAAGGGCAGGGGTGTGTGTATCTAAGGTACTATAGGACAAGGACAAGAGGGGAGAGACTGTGGTATTTTGGGTGTGTTTATGTATGATGTTTGGTGATGGTGATGCAGAGTGATGTACTGTGGAAGAAGACAGGTCGTCACGGTCGATTTGATTGTTTTTTTTTTCTTTGCTGTATCGGAGCATCTTTGGGAGACGAAGATTCGGCATCATCATCGTGGCATGTCATCGACGTCGTGTCGTTAGTCAGCCGTACCTAGGTAGACACAGTACTGTACATCAAGTAGAATAGCGTCACGATCCCATTCCGCTTCTGGCCTGAGACGCTCAAACTACCTGGATAGTCTCGAATATAACATGCTGGACAATGAAGCCTCGTCTGTGCTGCTCACCGTCGTTATTCCCGGCATCATCTCGTGAACCCCGTGTCTCGTCCGCTGTCGGAGCTCACCACCAAGCATCATAGGTACCTACCTACCCGGTGAACTGACCCAACGACACACAGCCTCATCACCAGAATGACACCGCCAGACCATTCACCGTCACCCCCCGTCCAGATGCTCGCCAGAAAGAAGAAGCGCGCCTCCAAGGCCTGCTCCTGCTGCCGCACCCGCAAGATCCGCTGCGACGTCCTCAAGACGGGCGTCCCCTGCACCAAGTGCCGGCTCGACGGCTTCGACTGCGTCGTCCAGGCCCGCAAGAAGCGCCGCGGGAAGCTCGAGACCGAAAGACTGAGGCAGCAGCAGCAGCAGCAACAGCAACAGGCGTCGATACTATCATCATCATCGCCAGGCCATGGTTTGGGGCTCGGCGGTGCTGCTGCTGCTGCGAGGCCATCATCGCCGCGTTCGATCCCGCAGCATGCCATGCTTCACCAGGTGCCGCACTATCCCTTCCTGCGCAGCTTTGCCCCCGCGAGCCAGCCGTCCTCCCTGTTGGCTGTCTCGCGGGACAGCCTGGACGATCCGGGAGCGATGAAGCATTCCCGGCTGGATGACGATGACATGCACTATCTGCAGCGGAAAGGGGCGCTGAGTCTTCCTCCGAGGGCCGTCATGGACGTGTTTGTGTCCAACTATTTCCAGCTCTTCCATCCCTTCTTCCCCATCCTCGACAAGTCCGGCTTTCTGGCGGATTACTACCGGAGTGACCGCCATGTTGCGCCGCGTTCTAACGGGGTGAGCTTGTTGCTGCTGCAGGCCGTTCTCTTCACAGCCGCTGCGGTATGTTTTCGTGACTCGGTGTGACGGTCCAAGCAGCAAGTTTGCTTACTTGGCTTCACTACTAGATGGTGCCTATGAGCACAATCTGCGACGCTGGCTTCACTTCTCGAAAAGAGGCGAGGAGTTTGCTACACAAGAGGGCACGGGTATGTCTCTCCTCCCCCCTTGGTCAAGTTGGCCGGTACCCGACCGAATTCATATGCTCATTGTTGCAGCATCTCTACGAGTTTGACTTTGAGCCAGACAACATCATCAACATCCAGGCTCTCCTGCTCATGAGCCACTTCTACCCGTCCATGGTGGAGCAGAAGCACACCTGGTTCTGGATCCATCAAGCCATCAGTATCGCGCAGGGCCTCGGGCTGCATCGCAACGCCAGCCAAGAACCGCAGCGCAAGCTATGGGCGAGAATATGGTGGGCGTGCCTGGTCCGGGACCGGCTGACTGCGCTCGGCACAGGGCGTCCCATGCACATCAACAGCCTGGACTGCACAGTTCCGATGCTGACGCTTGATGATTTGAGAGAGGATGGTGACAGCGAGGACGACCAGACGGTCAAGGAAATCTTTATCGACTTTGTCAAGCTTTGCCAGTACATGGAGGGGGTACTCTCGCTGCCTCACAACATTGCCACGGAACCGGGATCTTTGCCCGAGCAGATCGATCTGTGTGAAGAAACGCTTCAGCATTGGCGTCTGAACCTGGTCCCGAGCGCGAGGCTGCATGGAGACTACGGGAGGGACTTTGACAAGCGAGGCATGTGTACGCTCTACAGGGCGCTGCTACATCTCATGTACAAGTGAGCTCACCTTGCCGCGGCCCTGCTTTAGCTTCAAGTATCTGACTGACATGCAAATAGTATCGTCGTCATTGCCCTCCACAAGTCTCATCAGATTCTCGACGAGAGCCGACCAAGCGGCGCACAACTCCCGCTGCCCAAAGTTCAGGCTGCTGCTGAAGACTCGACGCGGATCGCTGTCGAGCTCGTCAGTCTAGACTTGGTCAAATACTGCCCGACAATATGGTAGGCGCTTGTCCACCCTTTGCCGCGTCTAACACACTAATTGCTTCACAGCGTGACTGTTATCCTGCCGCCTCTCATCGTCCACCTTCTCATGATGCGGTCGGCTCCCGACGAATCCAGCAGACAACCTCATATCGATAGGTTCAACAAGTGCATGGTGCTGCTCGAACAGTTGGGCGAGATCTACTGGCACGCCAGCTTCTACTACGACTTCTTCAAGCTCGCCGCTGAGCACTCGCAAGGCCCTGCAACATATGCCAACGGACAGGAACAGGATCCCCTCGTCGCCTTCTTCAACGACCGCGTGCCGCCAAAGCAACTTTTTGGCAAGGCAGTAGACTTTGGCCACAGCGCCAGTCGGAGGCGGACGCCGGTCGGAGACGATGAAGACACTCCTGCGAAGCCCATGCAGATCCCAAGTCGAGACAGCGTCGCAACCGAACACGCTCCGATGGTCACAGCATCCGTTGCTCACGATGGATATTTGGCGCCCTCCACGCAGCCCTCAATACCTTACACGCTCGGTGAAGCCTTGGAGCTCGGGGCTGTCGCGATGCCAGACTCCAATCTCCAACTTTTCGAAGATTGGTTAGATGATTATGGCTACTTTCACACCATCTTTCCGTCTGCCTGAATGTACATCTCTATTCAAATCAGTCATCCAACGCAACCTATCTATACAACGCCACCGGCTGTCTCGTCTGGCTCAGATGTTTGGCTCATTGATAATTGCCAGACCCTGCTCACTCCTCCAGAAGCTGCCTGTAGGGTACGTGTACTTTTCTATCGCCTCGGGCTTATACTCTACGCTGTACCCGGCATCATGCGGGGTGACGAAATGCCCGTCCTTGGTCTGGCAGGGCGTCTTGAGCACCTCGCGGAACGAGCTGATGTGCTCCAGCAGGCTCTTTTCGCCAGACACGCACAGGTAGTTGATGAGGGCGAGATGCTGCGTGTATTCGTTCAGGCCGATGCCTCCGCTGTGGGGGACAATCGGCACGTTGAATCTGCGAGACATTCATATCAGCACCTCTGGACGATATCTATGCAGTGGAAGAAGGCGCGCTATGCGTGGGTTCAAGACTCACTTCTTGGCCATGAGCAACACGGCCATGACTTCGTTGACGCCGCCGAGCCTGCAGGCGTCGATCTGGCAGTAGTCGATCGAGCCCGCCTGGAGGAGCTGCTTGAACATGACGCGGTTCTGGCAGTGCTCGCCGGTGGCGACGCCGACGCCGTACGGCTTGAGGGCCTTTCGGATGGCCGCGTGGCCGAGGATGTCGTCTGGCGAGGTCGGCTCTTCGATGAAGCTGAAGAGGCTCGTTAGTACCGCATTCGATAACCCGCCAGTCCAAAAAGGCAATCCGATGGGAGCAAGTGACAAATAAACAAAACTTACAGCGGCTTGTACTTGACCAGATGAAGCATATAGTCAATCGCCTCCGGCACGCTCCACACCTGATTCGCATCGACCATGAGCAACCGATCATACCCGATCGTGTCCCGCGCAATCTGCAGCCGCCTCTTGTCGTCCTCGAGGCTGCCCCCGACCTTGAACTTGAACTTGTCCATGCCCTGCGCGAGATTCGACTCAATCAGCTCCACCATCTTTTCATCCGAAAAGCCCAGCCAGCCCGCTTGCGTAGTATACGCCGGCACAGCCCTATTCAGCCTGGCCTCCTCCAGCCTCGCCTTCTTCGTCTTGGCCTGCTCCCTGAGCAACTCCACCGCCTCCTCAGGCGTGATGGCATCGAGAATGTATCTGAAATCGATACACCTTACAAACTCCTCCGGCGTCATGTCCGACACAATCTCCCACACGGGCTTCCCCAGATGCCGTCCCCAAAGATCCCACACAGCGTTGACGCACGTGCTCAGGCCAAGATGAATCACGCCCTTTTCGGGCCCGACCCAGCGCAATTGGGAGTCGGACACGAGGTGGCGCCAGGTCTGGCCCATGTTGGCCGTGAGTTGCTCGAGCGTCTTGCCGACGAGGCGCTCGGCTACCATCTCGGCGGCGAGGACGCACAGGTTGTTGCCCCGGCCGATTGTGAAGGCGAAGCCGTGGCCGGATAGGTGGCGGGTGTTTGTGTGGAGGACGATGTAGGCTGCGCTGTAGTTGGGGCCGGGGTTCATTGCGTCGGAGCCCGAGAGGTCGAGGCTTGTTGGGAAGCGGAGGTCTGAGCATGATATGTATATACGTGTGAGTCATTGGAAGAAGGGCTTTTGAAGTTGAGAGATTGAGACGAGGTTGTTTAGGGGAGGGGAGGGGAGGTTGGTGGAAAGGTGAGTGAGAGTGACGGGTTGGAGGTTGGACGTACCGTGGGCTGTGAAGCCTGTGATGATGACCTCGGAGGCGGGAGGAGTCCGGGAGCTGTAGTTGTCTCCATTGGAGGGCGTTTCTATGTCTGTCCGTGAAGGAGCCATTGGTGTAGGTAGGCAAATGTTCTTTGACGCTGTGTATGTAGTCGTTATTGGGGAGATGTCGGCGAGTTGCTATAACAACCTCCACTAGACAGGAAAGTAGATGAGCCCAAATCACCTGGAAATCTCAAGACTATTTATACACAACAAAGACTAGAGAAATGATCTACTCTTAATAACTATGACTAGCTATTGATTTAATAAGGAAAAAGTCTGGCAACGAATGTGATAAGCTGTAGATATCTAGAGGGGGTTTGACTTCCCGTGAGCGTGGTATGTATGTAATTGTTGTGATGAACGGCCAATCATGGCGTCTTGGTCGGCACTTCGGCTGCTTGATATTCCCGGCGGCTGTATCTCCTACCCCAGGACTTCTTTTGAAAAGTCGGGGAATTACCAGGAGATATTCAGATCCGTGCTAGCTTCATTCGTGATGTCGGGTTTTGGGGAAATGGTCCATTGGTTGTCTGGGCCTAGAAGCCATTAATGGGCGGGTGTGCTTCGGACTTGGGCTTGATTCATCTGATATGATGGGAACCCTAACGGGAGGCTTCCAGTGATAAGGAGGTCATGCTACGCAGTCATGTATCACATATGGCTTACGTCGATAAGTCTTTAGATCCGCAAGAGAGAATGATTGTATCCCATAGTGCCCGCTGGCAGTGTTCTCATTAATCAGTTGTTGCCTGCTTGTTGAAGGAAAAGCTGCCTTGAAACATCCCATTGCTCAAGTACTTGTCCACCGCCCGCTCTATCCGCTCCTCCAGCCGCTCCTCTACCTCTTGCTCGCAGTCCTCCGCGTTCCTTTGAAGATTCTCCAAGGCTTCAGACATGGTGGTTTCAAACTCCGTAATCTTCTCCTCGAGTTCCTCAGTCACGTCGGCGTACCGAGACTGAACGTCGATGATCTCGTGGTCGATTCTGTCGTTGAGCTCTTCCAGCAACTCTAGCCTCGCTTCCGACATGGTCTGAGACGGTGCCTCACTGCCTTCTGAGGCAAGCGACTTCTCGATCTGTTCAACACGGCCATCGACCTGTTCAACGCGGCTCTCAATCCGCTTGACATGGCTTTCGATCTGATCAACGCGGCTCTGAATCTGTTTCACGCCGCCTTCGATCCGTGTGACACGACCATTCATCTCGACTAGAAGGTTGAATATGTCCTCTAGTTGAACGTTACCACCCTCAAGGAGCGCGGCAGTTGCTTGTGTTTTGGTAAAAGCACGGCCAGAGGTAGTAGCGCGCCGTCGTTCAACATCAGGACTCGTGCATTTGCGTTTGAGCTTATCTATCAAGGATCGAGTCAGCTCAACACGTTTGGATCGAACGGTTGGGTAAATGGGATGGCATATCCTTACTGTGTGGACGAGCAGTGGGTTTCTCATAAGTTGGCGGGCTCTCTGCAAGGCTTTGTGTCTCCTTGTCAAGTTGAACAATCTCGCCGCCGTCGCCCAAGTACAGGGTGTTGAGATCGGCGCGTCTCTTGTCTGTGGAGATGTCGTGATTGGCCGAGAGAACGCAGGCGATGGACGAGATGAGCTTCACGTCTTTTCTTGGTAATGCGGCCGTAGGTAGCTGAATGGCGAATTTTGTCGATTTCGCCAGGGCAAACATTGACTCCAGCAGTGCATCAGTTGCTGGTTCCGACTCTAATGGCTTCCCCTTTGGCACGACAAGATCAGGCGGCCTCCTCAGAGAAAATGTCAAGGTATACAACGGCTCGTCGCCTGTAACGGCGAGTACATTCTCAGGGTAGATGAACAGGTAGATGATTTGCGACCCAGCAACCAGATCATTGTGTTTCAGCTGCATGTGCTTGAGCTGGATGTTCGCCTGTAATTTGAAAAGGCCTGTGCGTCGTGATGTGTCCAATATGACTCTGAAAGTAAGGCCTTGCCCATCATACGATCGACTGGAGTCACTGCCGTGAAGATGATCTGTCCAGGCCACAGAAGCCACCTTGACCGAAGTTTTGGTGATTGGGGCTTGCTTGCTGGCAACCTTCTTGGACTTCGGAGCAGCACCCTCACCGGAAGTCGTCTCTTTGGTATCAGCAGAGACAGCGCGGTTGTCATCATCACCAGATGCATCGTCTCGGTCGACATGTTGGAGATCATCACGGAGCTCGATGCTGGAATGTGTTAGCCATCAGAAACCAGGGCGAGTAAAGACTGGGGAGTAGCCGTGTGTGTTGAATAGCTCAGCTGCAACCCCATAGGAACAGAGTCCCGGCGCTCAGACTGGACGGTACAGGTCCCGGAGAGAGTTGTGCAAACGGCGGGCAGGCTAGAGTGAGGGCGCTTTCTGCTGCAGGCAAGCATGGAGCATAGACGCCCGCCTCATCATCACCCACGTCCGACAAGAACACGTTTCCCCAACATAACTGACCTGCCTCCTACTACCACGAGTCGGACATGTCAAAGATGGCACGACTGGCAGGAGCACAAGTAGGCGACAAGTGAGTTAACCGGTTGAGGCAGAGGCGCCTTGCCATGCAGGGAACTGGCTGCGGGAGAGTACCGGCGAGTAAGGCGACGCGTGAATTCACGCAGGCGAAGGGCCGCGTGAACCACTAGGACAGATTCACTGACCCGGGTGGGGAGAGGGGTTGCGTCGAGCTAGTATCGCCAGACGGACTCTCGGTTTCCATGTTGAATGAAGGGGTTTGGTGATGCTGTTTGGCGTCGACCTGGGGAGAGCATTTGATGGTTGTCGATGCATTCACGTCAGGTCATGTTGGTTGAGTAGGTAGAAAAGAGGGTGAAGGAAAAGCGGAGGCTGGAGCCTGACGCTAGAAGCTTTAGTCACGCGCCGGCTGGCACCGGACTAATTTAGCTGCCGAGGGGGCCGAAGTTTATCCGGGGGACAATGCGGGGAAATCGGGCCACTGAAAGTCTACCTAAGCCCCGGATCAGCCCCTGGACAGTTGTTTAGGTCACTAAGTGACCTGCTGCTTGTACATAGGTACTTGTACACACAATCGGGCAGACATCCGCAGCGCTAGACTCTTCGCATCCTCGCTCTTACTCGTATTGTCAATAGGCCTGCATCTGTCTGGCTCTCTGGCCACTGTTTGGTGCCCTTGGACCGGTTGGGGAAGAATGCAGGGGCTGATGTCCAATCAGAATGAGGAGGACGGCTCTTCGGCTGTCTGTATCTGGACGTCTTGATGTATATAACTGGTGATGTTGTAGGTATAGAGTTGACGATGTGACTACAAGGCATTGTGTTTGTCTGATTTGGTGACAGCATGGTGAGAAAGGTAAACATTGATTCTTTCAGCTGAGAACCGAGGAAATGCTCATGACATTGTAGGCAGTTTACCTCTATGGCATTGCGCCCTGCACCGGGGGGTTGGCGTTCGGATATGTAAGTCATCAACTAAAGGAAAACAGATGTCTGAAAGTTAATCGAGTATCCAGGACACGGGGTCAATGAGTGAGTCTCTGACATGATGTTGGTCATCTTCTCGACTAACCTCAGCCGTGATCAAGGCGGCATCTTGGCCATGCCGCAGTTCTTGACCTATTTCAAGAACCCGAGCAACTTCCTCCAGGGTGGCATCACCGCTTCCATCCTTGCCGGAGCCTTTGCCGGATCCCTCTTGACTGGGGCTTTTCTGGCCGACAGACTTGGCCGCAGGAGGACCATCTTGCTGGGATCTGCCATCTTCACGATTGGATGTGCTATTTCTGCTGCCGCCAACAATGTTGAGGCTCTTGTTGCAGGGAGAGTCATCAACGGGCTTGGCAATGGCTGCTTGACGATGATGGTATTGCCCCCTGCCTTGCTTGTTCTCTGACACATGGGATAGGGACTGAATTTTGCAGGTGACAATGTATCAAAGTGAGATTGCGCCTCGAGAGTAGGTTCCAATTCTGTTACCATACAAGCGGACTCTGCTGATACCTGTGTAGAATTCGCGGCAGAATCATCAGCGTCTTTCAGTGCTTTGTCAACTTTGGCATTCTCATTGCGTTCTGGATCCAGTACGGGACAAGTCACATCAATAGCTCAGCTTCATGGAGGCTGCCAATGGGCTTGCAGATGATTGTAAGCCTGCCATTCTCAACAGCGTTCTCAACTGGAAATGGACTGACGGAGAAACAGGCTACAGTGGCTCTGCATGTTACCATGTGGTTCATGCCCGAATCGCCTAGATGGCTTGTGCAGAAAGACAGACAAGAAGAGGCATTGCAGGTGCTCGCCCAAGTCCATGCTGGGGGAGACGTCAACGACCCATATGTACAAGCCGAATTGGCAGAGATTGTGGCCAAGCTATCGTTTGAGAAGAGCCATCCGCCACCTAGTTATTTTGACTTGCTGCTCGGATCCCAACGACGCCGCATGTGGATCGGCATTGGTGTTGTACGTTCCCAACATGGAATCTCCCCTATTTCTTGCCAATTGAAGGCTAACAAAAACAGCAATTCTGGCAATCGATGACAGGCATCAATGTGTAGGTCACCTTTCCACAGGTCGTATTTCAAGATAGCTGACGTGAGATAGAATCATGTACTACGCCGTCTTCCTGTTCCAACAAGCTGGCCTCGGAGCGACTTCTTCGTCACTCCTGGCCAACGGCCTCCAGGGCGTGGTTCTCAACGTCTTCACCTACCCAAACATGTACTACATGGACAAATGGGGTCGACGACTGCCCATGGTTATTGGCGGCGTGGGAATGGGCATTTCGATGATGATTATCGGTGTGCTGATGAAGGCATATGGTACGCGACAAAGATACTCTCATCCTTTCCCTTCATATGTGCATACCAAAATAGTTCACTACTGACAAGGCCTCTAGGTGATCCCGTTTACGATTCGCTCACGCAAAAGACCAACTTTGACTTTACGAATGCCGCTGCCTCGCGAACCGTCATTGCATTTGTCTACATATATGTTGCCGTGTTTGCCATTACCTGGGCGTGTGTCGCATGGGTCTATCCGCCTGAGATCTTTAGCATGAGCATGCGTGGACGAGCTACATCAATGACGACAGCTACGAACTGGTTCATCGTAGGTTTTGCACAAAGAATATGCTGCTGGAATGCGACTCTAACTTGCAGCTAGAACTTTTGGTTTGCCTTGTATATCCCTACTGCAATGGCAAAGATCAGGTCCGTGTTTCTCCATCTCCTTCAACTGGTAATAGCTTATTGACATATTTTTATAACAACAGTTGGAAGCTATACATGATTTTCATGGCACTCTGCTACCTCATGTCCATTGTCGTATACCTCTTCTACCCCGAGTCGGCCGGCAAAACACTCGAAGAGATGGACTTTTTGTTCTCCAAGGGGCGGTCACCCTGGACGTTTCTCGACCGCGAGGCTACTAAGATTGGGGCGCTGTTCCAGAGGGACCTTGAGCACGGCGAGGCGCTCACTGTCTTTGACGAGGATGGAATGGCCTTGAAGGATAAGGTTCGGCAGGTGGAGGACGTGGTTGAGGCTGGTGCTCATGGGGAGCAGAAGTAGGGTTGTTGAGGATTGTTGTTTGCAATATCTTGTTGGAATCCATGTCCGAGCTTTTATTGTTTGCTTCTGTATATCTACCTAGCTACAGTGTCGCAATGATGGTTCAACCCCATTTCCAATGGTACTGTACTCGCTGTGTCAATGGCCCAAGTGTATTGCTTCATCCATCTTTGACTTGGCCTTGCTCAAAGCGCGAAGGAGGGTCTTGACGTGACTGAGGATTTCCTCGCAGTCGGCTTCTAGGTTGCCCATGCCCAATCTGTTTCTCATTTGTGCTTCAAGTGTTTCCATTCTACTCGCCTTGGGATTCCTTTGACATCTTCAAGGAGAGACCCACAAATGGAAGGCTTTGCTGGATTTTGTTGTGAAGCTGTCGTTATACTTATTGGCCTCTGAGAAGAACGCTGTACGATAGGTAACTAGGTAGTGGCCATGGATAAGATGCTTCTGCTTCTAGGCTTTTGCACTGTTGCATGGATAGAGGTTGCATACTATCTTCTGGAGGGGAGTTGCCGTCAAAACCTTGTCGGTCACTGCCGGCGAACAGCTCATATTATGGTGCACCAGTAGATATCAGAGGCCCTTCGATATTGTCTGCACCAGTTGAATCATCATGGCCTTCCTTTGGCTTTGCCACAGCTGTATAACGAAGGGAAGTTGGCTCTCCGAGATGGGCAGACTGTTCTGATGGCAGAGAAATGTAATATACAGCCATGGTCGCGACAGAGCACCCTTCGGGACTGAAGAATGGCACGAGGCTTGTATGAGCAGAATGAGAGGCCAGAAATTTGGGTAGGGCAGAGTTGCACAAGGAAGCCAATTCATGTTTGTAAGCTTTATATTGGACTTTGCAAACAATATACAGATATGAGCGTGTTATTGATCTGAACGCTTTGGTTGCTGGAAGACGAAGCGACAAGTCAATGATTGGGCCTGGAGCAATCAAGTTCTATTAATATTGAGTAGGCTTTGAGATAAGGGAAAATCTCCAGCAACTGCATCTTTCGCAAACAATGTCGGCCTTCATCTCAACTTTGAGCTTGTTAGTTTGTTGGGAAAAGGGGGCAAGCAAGCATCGTCCAAGATATCGCAGGTTTGCGGACAGGCAACTATTTTCTCATCTTTCTTGTCAAGCAACTCAGTGCTGGGTTCTTCTCAACGTGTTATTTCTTGACTTGTACCACATTGCCTTGTGGGCATATATAAGTCTGCAGCTTGCCAGTTATCCTTCAACGGCTGCATAGACTCGAGTTGTATGAGCAATACCGAATTTCCATTCCGGAATACTCTTAGACATTGTCAAAGTCACCGACAAACATGCCCACCCAACGCAAACGCACGGGCAAGGCCTATAAGATCGAAGAGGCAAGCGAGAGGTGGTTGAACACAATTCTCAGTGGCCCTGGTGAGTTTGCGATACTGCGTAAAAGGGGTCTCATCTTGTCCGTCAATGCGCTCTAACTATAGTGTCTAACAGGAATGGCATCAGAGCCCGAGGGTCTTCCACAACTTCCAACCACTCCTATGCCAGACGGCGATACCGTTCATGATGGGATCAGTCTTTCCGAGATTGGGCAGCTGCTTGCTCTAGATCGCCTGGTTGGCGTGCCATTTGTGTCGGGCGACATCAGAGAGACGATTGAAGCGGCGTTCAAATATAACCTCGAGGACTTTCGACAGCATTTCCCATATGCTTCATGGACTGAACAATTAGTTTCCTTGGCCACTCATTTAGCCTTCAGGACATGGCTTGACCAGGATGCCTCGGGTTTTCTTGTGGTCCGACATGAGAAGACAGTGGCAGAGAAGAAACAATATTCGCCTCTCAGCTATGCATATTTTGCCTTGAGCAATAAGGAGAGCCAAGGGGAGATTGCACGGCCAGTTACCTTCCACTGCGGGAGACATCTGGATAATTTCGGCACTCAAGACTCTTCCCGATTGATCATGCGAGATATCACTTTTCAGATGTTGAACTATCTAGGAGCAAAACAGATGAGCTGTGATGGACTTGACTTGGTCGAATTTCGCCATGGACTGGAGAAGAAAGACCCAGATACCATACTCGCTGCCTTTCGCCTGATTCAGACTCACATGGTTTATATTAAGGTGTACGTGTTCATAGATGGCCTTTATCGCTACCAGGGGGAACCCTACGAAGAGGACGCTAAGAAAACGATTATATTCTTGAGAGGCTTGGTCAACGAGATGGCTGCTCCTCTGATGCCGCGGATCAAGGTTCTCATCACCAACCCGACACGCGAACAACAGCAAAGCTGGGGTTTTGAAGCGGCCACAATCGAGCTCTGAATTTTGCAAGGAGAAAGACCTCGCGGTGGATGAATGGAGAGAGGACGGACTCGAAAGTTGAAAGATTGATACACAGATTGATACATTAGCCAGATTACATCTCTGAGGTATACCTATGTCTTTGTCTCTATTCGAAGTGAGCAGAACTGTGTCTGTTGAAAGGAGGCGGGAGGCCAAGTGCCACCGGTTTAGAATATGGACACGCACGACGATCGAGATCTTCTCTTAACTACGCGTTAGCTGTAGAATAGAGGGCGGACGACTGCTTGATGTAGACAGACCGATCTAGTGGCGCAGAAACATTCGCTGCACCCATGTGTACGAGTGAGCGCTTGAGAAGATTGACAATCAACACGAGGCTTAGAATACATGTACTAGAGGTTCAATCTGTTGGGAGCTGTACATAAGATAGACATGCTTACAGGTGCTGATCAGTACTTTGCAAGCTGTTGCTATTTACAGCCCCTTTCTTTGTGTGACAGTGTACGCGCAACCCCTTGATTGCTGGAAGTCAAAGGGACCGAGGAATTACAATTGGGCTCAAGATTGGTGATTTGGGGCAAACAAAGTCTATATTTGATTTCTCGGCGCGGTAAGAAATTGGAGAATGGCGAATGGCAGCAGGCTCCCGAATTGGTTGGTTGCCTGGGAGCAGTCCACAAATTCTGTTCTCAGGACCGATGGTAAGAGCATCTTCAAGTGGTCATGGTTGCTGCGCATTTGCAAGGAAGCGAATCATATCCTCCTTTTCCCTTTTGTTTGTGTTGATCAACTCTAGGGACGGGTACTCACATCCTTGAAGTTTCATGTTCAGCATATGTCATCGTTTTCTGCCCGCTTGTAATATTATATCACAGCGTCTGGTGTTCTATATAAGTGTCTCACATGCCGGCGGATTATCTGTGTCGTTCTTTTGACAAAGTGTATATGACCGTGGACTAAAGATTGATCAGAGCAACAGTCCTCAGAATCGCCATCGGTCAAAAGAGGTGACGAATATGCCGTTCCAACGCGTGCTTGAAGGCCTTATGGATCATGAAAGAAGGAAGAAATGGCTGGACGTGGTCCTATGTAATGATGGTGAGTTGATCAACATCATCTATGGTTGTCTATCCCTGCGCTCATATTATTTCTCTTCAAAGAGACTGTGATACAGCCCCAGAGCCTCGAACAACAGGCAGCCGAGCTTGGACCTGCGCGAGAGGATGCGCGAGATCCAGATCCTTTCTTTCTCGAACTCCGAAATCTCCGCGCCGGTTTAGGTATCAACTGGACATTGGATCCGAGAATCTTGGAGATGTTCAATGCGGCACTGGGAGGCGACCCGAACAAAGCGCTACCATACATATACTCGGTTCATGGCTCTCGGGTTGAACAATTATTTGCGCTGGCGAGGAACACCACCTTCATGAAATGGCGTGAGGAATCTGGGACCAAATTCCTCGTAGTCCGAAACCATGAGACAGTGACCGAAAGTTTTCCGTTTCTCAGCGGTGTGTGTTACGCCTTGAGCCATGAGCAGGACAGGGGAGTGAAGTCAATCGCCTTCTACTGTGGCCGATATCTGCATAAAGCATGGAACACAAAGTTTTACCAGGTGCTCATGCTAGATCTTACGCTACAGTTGCTCGAAGCCTTTGGACAAGATCTCCTTGGTCGGTTTGAAGTGAATCTAGCCAGCCTTCGAGACCAACTGCACAAGATGGACAGTGGCTTGATACGCAATGTCTTCCGCAAGGCCCTGAAATGCATTCGTCATGGCACACTGCGTGTGCTTATCGATGGCATCTATCACTATCCGACGGAGTATCCTTTCTACAGGAGATATCGCGAGGAGGAAGTGAAGGATGCGATGCGCCTCCTGAGTGAGTTGATTCAGGAAGCAAACGCCACAGAAGGGGGCGTGCAGCTCAAGGTTCTTGTGACCAACCCGACACAAGAGCAACAGCAGAGCTGGGGCATTGAAGCGACAACTATCACCCGCAAGTTGAGAAAAGGCAATGCTGTGCAGGGTACCTATTGCTGGAGCAAAGACTGATACAGCTTTCATGGTATAAGGACGGATGGGTGGGATCGTCATGAAATGTATGTGTCAGTCTCTGACTTGATAGCTAGATGATAAACAAAGAGCTTCATGGCCTAAGAGGGCGCTCACTCGTCGTCTTTTGCGAGCTGATAATCTGTGTAGACTAGACCTCGAGGGGATGCTGGGAGGCTATGGTACTACTTGTGTATGTCTGGTACTTCTTGTGTGCCAATCTTCTCCCCTTATGCAGTCCCAGAGGGGACCTCATGTTCGAGGAGTTGCACGTTGTGGATGAACCTCGTCACACTAGGTAGGTATTCAAGAGCAGAAGCAGTGGCACAGAGGCTGTAACACGCATGTGATGTCTTACGCATGCTTGCTTAGACGCATTCCTAAGTGCCACGGTCGTCAGCCTTGTTGTTGGCGGTCGTGACTCTGATGGTAACATATTCATCCATTAGAGACACCTGTAATGTATTTGCTCTTCATCTCATCTCCATCGGATGAAGGTAGGAAGGTACCTAGTAGGAAAATGATAGTATCAGGATGGTGAGATAATGTAAGGTATAGGTTAAGATCAGGCTGAAGACAGTCAACGTGGTTGCGAGCAGTTGCCAATGTCGCATTCACTTCCTCGCTCCTGCCTTGCAAACGTCGCCTCGTGACTCTCCACCAACTTTCTCCTCACATTGCCTTTGTTTACTCATCTTCATCTCTTCCATCTCTCACTTTTGCTATTCTTGCGTTTATTGTTGGTCCAGTATCTCCTGCTGCTGCTTGTCCGTCATCTTTACTCGACTCTGGTCGCATCTGCCATCGACCTGCGAAGCACCAGCATGGATCGCCTGCCAGCCGAGTTGATGATGAAGATTGTGGGCGACAGTCAAATCAGCCACTCGGACCTCAGGAGGCTTCGTCTCGTATCGAAACACGTCACGGCTACGGCCACGAGTCGCCTGTTCACCCGCATCTACATATCGAAGCTCCATTCCGACAGGGACGCGTTCTTCAACATCGCGGCGCAACCGCATCTCGCCGTGGCTGTCCGATCAGTGACGTGGCTGGAATTGGCTGAGGACGACACCGATCTCCCTTATGTTGCCAATCCTCCAGTCCGGTGGCTCAGGTTGCCTCAAGACCAACTCCCGTCTGCTGGCGTTGCTGACGACCTCGATTTCCTCCTTTGCCGCTTGCCACGCATGGCTCGTGCCTTGTTCTGGCTTCCGTTCGAGGACTTTTCATCATACTTCACGGGCACTGAGAAGAGAATGCAGGCTATTAGCTCCTTTATGCCCGACTTCTTTGCGGCACTTGACCGGATGCTCAACCTGAGAGAGTTCGCCTCGCGGCCGATGCATCCCAAGCGCGAACTCATCCAGCCGTCAGGGCTCTCGACACCACTATATCCCATGACATGCCAGATATTCCGCCAAAACCTGTGCAAGAAAACGATGCAGCGAATGATGGATTTTGCACCTTCATCATACCATATATCGCACACAGATCCAGACTCGGCACGGATAATCTTGAGCCCATTACTCGACTGTATCTGGTTGACGAGATCGAATGGTCATTCGTTCCGAGAATCAGCCCAGGTATCGTGGATGGGTTTCGAGGTTTGATATACCTCGAACTTTGCATTTCTACTTGCCAAGCTTTGCGTCATCTGAAGAGGCTTGGTCGATGTCTTGGGGCAGCGGCAGCTCTCGAAGAACTTCGACTATGTCTCGAGCGCGACGTCGAACAGCATGGCTCGGATGTCTTCGACCTTATCTTCCAGCCCAGACATGTATATCCAAAACTACGCGATATAAGGCTTGTTGCGGTACCATTTACAGCGCTTCAGATGCTCCGTCTCATCCGCATGACCGCTAGGTCACTAGAACGACTCAGTTTTGACAACTGCACCGTCCCCGGACGACTTATATATGCGCTTCAGCTGATACCTGATCTAAGGCTGGAGAGCTTCACCTCGGTTTCACCCACGGTCCTGCACGAGGCAGAAGACGAACTTGAAGAAGCCATCTGGCTGCTGAAGGAGGCACACGCCATGTCCGTCATCAGAAGACAATCAATGTTCGACGGCGCTTTCGAGCTCGGTCAGGCCATTGCCAAAAGAACAGTCTACCTCTATACGCACTTTTATGCCCCTTCTTTACTGAGAATATCCTGTTTTGACCGCCACGATCATGTCCTGCAGCCCGTGGTTGAGTACAAGACAGTCAAGAACTGCGATGATGCAACCTACAACAGCGATCAAGTGGACGACGATGAGATAGATACTGAGGAAGCCGCTGAAGCTGATGACGAGCTGGCCAAAGCACCTCCGGGCTTACTCGGGAACCACGACGCATCCCACAGCAATGACTCAAGCACCGATTCTGGGTGGCACATTGAGACCGCGGCCGAAGCATCTATTCACAAGATGCTTGCCACGGCGCCGCGCTGGGAATTAGGCATTGGGCGTGATGATACGGCTTGCTGCTGGAAAGTCACGGTAGCGCATTCATCTCACGATAGTTATCCGACCAGGGTCTGGCGATTCCTTCATCGCAATGGAGAGCAAGCCATGGGCGACGAGCCCCTCGAATTCTGGGACGACTGGGAGGGAAGTCAGTCTGGAGACTGCTATGAACCAACGCCGTTTGGGCCCGAACTGGATTCGTTCATGAGAAAACATGGCTTGCAGGGCGTACCAGAAATTCCTCAAGACTGGGAGGCAAGGGAAATGAGCGCCCGTCTGAAAGAGCCGTGTTGATTTGCGAAGAGCTTCTTCTGAATTGGGCTTCTGTACCTAAGCAGATCGAAATGACGGCGAAGGTAATGGTCATCGGCCCTTCATCCGTCTGCTACAGGCAGGACTCGGCGGGTATCCGGCAACGGATGTGGCCAGCCTTCAGAGATGTCAATGACAGCTTGCTGACTCCTCCGATCGAGGTGGCTGATGATACAGCCAATGGGCAGCTCCTGGGAGCATCGCCGGTGGGCAGAGATGTGCTGGGTCTCGCGATACTTAGCGGACGCACTAGGCAAGCCAAGAATGGGATCATGTATCGTTATCGTGTCAATGGCTGCGCTTTGTGTGCGGGATGGACGGCGCGAAGCTTATTGCAATCACCGACAAAGAGCCAGAGAGGGATCTATTTGTCCGATGCGGCGTGCTGTCATGGCCGCGTGGGCCGAGTATGATGCTGTCAGTACTTCGTAAGGCTAAATTGTTGCATAGGTCCAGCATGTATCTGTTCAACCTTGGTCTTGTTCATCATTGAAACCACGGGTTTGCCTCTCGCTCTAGTCGCCCTTCAACCTGCGAACCCTCTGACAATGCTACATTTCTCATGAGGCCTCACAAGGCGCATAAGAAGGAGAGAGGGACGAGTGCGTGGCATCCCCCTGCTGGCCCGTTATGGCTTCTCTGGGGCCTCCGCCACCCGGAATCGATCTCCACGAGAGCAGAGCGGGCGACCTGGTCGCCTCTTGGGCGTCGACGTGGAGTCTGGCCGTGGTGTCTGTGATGCTGCGCGTCGTGTGCCGGAGACTCGCAAAGGTTCGGTTCTGGCTGGATGATTGGTTCATCATCACGTCTTTGGTATGACGTCTGTTGCCCTGCTGAAAGAATGAACGCTAACATGACATATCGGCTGCAGTTCTTTTCCGGCGGCTTCATGTTTACAGTTACAATCTACAGTAAGTCTAGACGGATCTTTCACATGGCCTCGAAGTACGAGATCGGCTTCTAACAACTTGTATCCATAGTGGTGGATAATGGAATGTGCAGGCACATATGGGCTGGCCCGGCTGATGCCACCCGGGATTGGGCGCTGGGACTGTTTACGACGGAATTCACGTATACCTTGAGTCTGGTGTTTATCAAGTGGTCCATCCTCGCCTTCTACTGGCGCATTTTCAGCATCCAGTTTCTCGACAAGTTGTGCCTTTGGATCCTAGCCGGCATGGTTGCCTGCTGGGGGGTTGCCGCTGTATGATTCCCCCCCTCGTCTGATTGAGATGCTTGGACTTGTCCATGTGTCTTTAACTTAACAACATGAGACAGAACCATGAGCTAATTTGCCATTGACCAGATTCTCGTTTCGATTTTTCAGTGCGTCCCAATACCGGCTCTCTGGCAACAGTTCGACCCGGTCCATCCCACCGATCCAGACACATTCTCATGCGGCGTCGACATTCACAACCTCTTCATCGGAAAGGCAGTCCCTCACATTGTGACGGATGCGCTCATCTTAATTTTTCCACTGCCATATATTTGGCATCTGCACCTGCGTTTGTCGCAAAAGATTGCTACAGCTGGGATTTTTCTTGTGGGAATTTTGTGAGTTCTTGCCTGATCTATCATATGAAGAGTGATTTCCTCTTTTGTATTGACATGCAGTGATTTAGTGTCAGCATTGTGTCGATTGTTCGATTCGTGTTCGTGCTGGAGGTTGATCTGGACAGCCCAGATGTGACGTGGGACCAATGCACAGAGATGTTATGGACAGGGATTGAAATCTATATCGGAACTGTCTGCGGTATGTCTTGAGATCTCTACCTTCCTTATCTCGCCGTCGCTCTGGAGGTCTGACTGTTGACTACGTGGCAGCCTGTCTTCCGTCTCTCAAGCCGCTGCTTAATCTGATGCTCTACGGAAGCGTATACCCAAGATCGCATCGACCCACGGCCTCGGACGCGCAAATCATGTTTGAAATAGCAGAGGCAACGAAGCGGCGGTGTCGTCAGCCATCGAACGCGAATGTGTCGAGCACGTACATTTTTGCTTCAGCGAGGGGAGCCGCGGGGGATGCGCGAGTGTCTGAGGGACTGACTGACAGTGTGACGGGAAGTGTGACGGGGAGTGTGCCGGATGATTCGCCTACGATTGAGATGGATGACGTTGGGGAGCATGCAAAGGACTGTCAGTGAGGGGGATTCTGTATCAGGTAATGAGGACGCCATCATTCCTATATGATGGGTATGTATTACTCATGATCAGATGGTAGATTGCTACCATCAGAATTCTGGGATATCTTTTCGCGCTTGGAGAAGTGAATTCTTTGGTCAGTATCAAAATCGAGGTTATTTCGGCTATGACATCTTAAGGTTCTGATGGCTTACACAGATCTCGACCGAGCTATTGATTGTGGAGGGAGAAAAAGGAGCATTGGATGGCAATGGCCTGCTCTTTGCCTTTCCGCCACCCATGCTTGAAGAGTCCTGGGCAGATTGGTGAAAGATGATGGCGCATATTCTTCACTCTATAAAGACAACGTACATGGTATAGTCGCCTGCCAAATGAGGACTACAAAACGTGGCGAAGCATCATCAGATGATGTTGCCTAAACGGTGGTTCAGTCAGCGGGGTTAGGCAGTTCACAAACCTCATCTCCTTTGCTTAGGTACTTGCTCACAACTCACATCTTCCACAAATGCAAAAGAAAATAAAAAGGAAAGAAAAGGAAAGAAAAGATTATGAGTTCCCTGACCGAGCCTCACTCATGCGCCCTCTGCCAGTCCCGCTTCACATTCACCTACGGCAACTACTACGACTCCAACGGCTGGTACGAGCTGATTGACGAAAACTACTACGCGACGGGCGAGGCGTACATCTTCAACATTGCCTACCACGAGGCCGTTTCGCTGGCCGACCGGGGCTGCGAGCTGTGCGCGTGGCTGGTCACGTTGCGAAGGAGGGAGGAGGAGAAGGATGATGATGATGATGGTACGTTTGATGAGCGTTGTTGGCTGAGGGGGTATTTTGCGCATAATTCGCGGGAGCAGATTGTGCTTGACTGGGTGGGCGAGGTGGATGAATGGATTGATGGGGGCACGTTGGAGAGGAAGGTGATTGTCTGTGCGGAGGAGAGGTGAGGATATCTCTTTGACTTCATTTTCAATCACATTGGAGTGCTTTCTGAGGTCTGGATTGGAAGCTGACGATGATGATGGAACTTTGAAGTGAGTTGGCGGCGAAAGAGGTCGCTTATAGGCTGCCGAATCTGTGTCCGTCGTCTGATGAGACGGTGGAAACGATGAAGAAGTGGCTTCGGGAGTGTATCACTACGCATGTTGAGTGCCAGCAGCTTCAAAGCAGTGACAAGGGGTTACAGGCATCAGCGTCAGGACCGCGCCGGCTCTTGCATCTCTCTGGAAGCACGGATGCTCCTCAAGTGCGACTGGTGCAAAACTCAGGCTCTGGCGCTCTAATACTAGAGTATGCAGCATTGAGCTACTGCTGGGGCGGAGACCAGGCCGTCAAGCTAAAGGACAAGCTGGTAGACTCCTGGACAAGGGGCATCCCATACGAAGAGTTTCCGAAAACGATTCGAGACGCCATGTGGATGACCATGGCGCTGGGCTTGGAGTACCTCTGGGTGGACGCGTTATGCATCATCCAAGATTCCGACAAGGACAAGGCGGAGCAGATATCGCGCATGGCGGAGATTTACGAACAGGCCTACGTGACGATATCCGCGGCACGAGCGACGGCCGCCCCCGAGGGCTTTCTTCACAGCCGGTACATGCCCGGGGAGAGAGGCTTCCGCATGCCGTTTACCTGTGAAGACGGCCGGACGAGCGCCGTGGTGCTGTGGCAGGGCAGGGAGCCGGACGCGTGGGAACCGCTGGACAAGCGGAGCTGGTGTCTGCAGGAGTCGATCCTGTCGCCGCGGTTGCTCGAGTTTGGGACGCACAACGTTCGTCTGCGCTGTGCTCGAAGTCGGGCGGACGAGGCCCAGCTCCAGTGCGACGGCTGGGTCGGGCAGTCCAAGACGTTTGCCCAGCTGGGCATGGCGCAGCCGCTCGTGTCGAGCATCGACTGGCAGAGCCTCGGGGAGCCGTACAGGTTCGTGCAGGCGTGGCAGATGCTGGTATCGCATTACACGCGCCGCGGGCTGGGCTGGTACCAGGACAAGCTGCTGGCGATATCGGCGATTGCGCGCAAGATGAGCCGGGTGACGACGGGTAATAACAACAAGCGGTACATTGCGGGCCTGTGGGCGGAGCATCTTGGGGAGATGCTGCTGTGGCATCCGAATCATGGGCCGGATGCGAAGGAGAGGGCGAGGCGGCATGAGACGTACGTTGCGCCGTCGTGGTCGTGGGCGTCGTGTAGTGGCGAGATTGACTTTTGGTACGGCTCGGGGATGCATTTGCTGGAGTTTGTGGGGTGTGAGGTGAGGACGGCGATTCCGGGGGATGAGTTTAGCGCTGTTGTGGGGGCGAGGCTGGAGTTGAAGACGCTGGTGATGAGGACGAGGATGAGGAAAGGGGGAGGAGGAGGATGGGGAGAGGGGGAAGACGGGTGGTTCCTCTGGGATGAGGAGGCGGGAGAAGAGGTCAATGGGTCGTTGATGCTTGATGTTGAGGATGAGGAGAGTGGTGGCGAGTTTGTGTGCGAGAGGGATGAGGAGGTGGTGCTGGCGCTGGTGCAGACGCAGGACGCACTGGTGTTGAAGAAGAGGAAGAAGAAGGGCGAGGAGGCGGCCGGCGTGTATGTGAGGATTGGCATCTACCGGGAGGGGCCGAGGGGGACGGACCCGGACAGGTGGGCGATGGAGGGCGTTGTCATTGTGTAGAACGACGAGAGATGAAAGGTGAAGGTGAGGGTGAAGGTGAAGGTGATGGCGATGGGCGAGGCTGATGGTGTTGATGATTGGCCCTTGTATCTTAGTACTAGTAGTACTAGCCGGAATAGCGTCAGAGCACGTGAAATGGTGTGCGAGGCCCGATGCTCCGCAGCCCCACGCCGATGAACCGGAGCTGCGAGCAATTCACTCTGCCTGCCATTACAAAGCAGAACCAGGACCTCGTCGACCCCGGATTTCACTTGATAAAGGCAGATGACGCTTTCTTTCTCATTCACCTCAGATTCAAACCCTCCCCAGACCAAGCGTGATTTGTTCTTTTTTGGGCGGTTGTTCAAGCGAGGATTGCTGCTGATTTTTTTGCTGCTGGAAAGATGAGGTCCAGGCAGGCGCTCCGATTGGCCGCCCACCGGCCGCTTCTGTCGCCGTCGCGGCCGGCTTTGGCCCGTCTCACCTCGGCTTCAGCCTCATCACTCTCTCCAATCTCATCCTCCATCTCATCCTCAGTCTCATCCTCCTCCTCTTCCACCACCTCGTCGCCATTCTCAGCATCACGCTTCTCGTCGTCGTCGTCGTCGTCCGCTTCACCATCTCCAGCATCGGCCTCGTCAAATCCGGCCCTCGCCTTCCCCTGCCTCGACGCCATCGAATCCCGCTCCGCCCGCCTCAGCGCCTCCAACTCATCCTCATCTTTCACCTCATCCTCATCTCCAACCCCCTCCTCATCATCATCATCACCCTCCACCTCCTCCTCCTCAGCCGGCCCCGAGCCCTCCTACACCTCGGGCGCCACCCAGACCTTCCACTGCGACTCCCCCCTCCTCCTCGACTGGGGCGGCCTCCTCCCGTCCTTCACCATCGCCTACGAGACCTGGGGCCGCCTCAACGCCGACCGCTCCAACGCCATCCTGCTGCACACCGGCCTGTCCGCCTCGTCGCACGCGCGCTCCAACGCGGCCAACCCGGCGCCCGGCTGGTGGGAAAAGTTCATCGGCCCCGGCTGCCCCCTGGACACGGACCGGTACCATGTCATCTGTACAAACGTCATCGGCGGCTGCTACGGCTCGACGGGGCCCAGCAGCATCGACCCGGCCGACGGCGAGACGTACGCGACGCGCTTCCCCATCCTGACGCTGCACGACATGGTGCGCGCCCAGTTCCGGCTGCTCGACCGCCTCGGCATCGACCGCCTCTACGCCAGCGTCGGCTCCAGCATGGGCGGCATGCAGTCCCTCGCCGCCGCCACCCTCTTCCCCGAGCGCGTCGCCCGCGTCGCCTCCATCAGCGGCTGCGCCCGCAGCCACCCCTACAGCATCGCCATGCGCCACACCCAGCGCCAGGTCCTCATGATGGACCCCAACTGGAACCGCGGCTTCTACTACGGCCGCGTGCCCCCCCACGCCGGCATGAAGCTCGCCCGCGAGATCGCAACCGTCACCTACCGCTCCGGACCCGAGTGGGAGCAGCGCTTCGGCCGCCGCAGGGCCGATCCCTCCAAGCCGCCCGCCCTGTGCCCCGACTTCCTCATCGAGACGTACCTGGACCACGCCGGCGAGAAGTGGTGCCTCAACTATGACCCCAACAGCCTGCTCTACATCAGCAAGGCCATGGACCTCTTTGACCTCGGGCACGACAACCAAATGGCCACCCTGGCCCGCCGCATCGCCCGCGAAAACTCCTTCGCCCCTTACGACGCCTCCTCCTCCTCGCCCCAATGCAGCCTCACCCTCCCCAGCGAGCCCTACCAGGAACAGCCCGACTCCTCTTCTTCTTCTTCTTCCTCTTCCTCCTCCTCATTCTCCCAACAAGGCACCACCACCTCAGACAACAACGCAGAGGGCTCATCAGCCCCGCCACCAAACCCCTCCTCTTACCGTCCTCCAGAGGATCTGATAAAGGGCCTCTCCCCGCTGCGCGACATCCCGACGCTCGTCATGGGGGTGGCTAGTGACATCCTCTTCCCCGCGTGGCAGCAGCGCGAGATCGCAGAGGCCTTGCGGCTGGGCGGCAACCGGAGCGTGACGCATGTCGAGTTGAGCGAGGAGACGAGTCTTTTTGGGCACGACACGTTTCTGCTGGACTTGAAGAATGTGGGCGGGAACCTGCGGCTGTTCCTCGACTAGAGTAAAAAGGAAGGGGGGTCTCGGGATGACGGGACGAGTTGGTTCGAAAGACGTAGGTATGGAAGCTGGATGTGGAGACGACGTTGATGTAGACCATTGTATATACTCTTGCTTTTTGTGTTTAGAAGTCTGTTTTGATCACTTCTCCTTTGGAAAAGCCCGTCAGCATGTCCGACAAATCTTCATCTTCTTAAGCGCACAATCTCGAGGATACAGGAGGAAAAGAATTTCTTTTTTTAAAAAAAAATCATCTTCTTCTGGCTTCCTTCTTTCAGGCAGCCCCCGCGCATAAATACACAACTTTTTGTGCAACATCTCTCGACATACCGACTATACTAATACAAGTCCACCCAACAATACCAAAGGAAAAAGAAAAGAAACAAGAGCAAATCACTCCTTTCCCACAAGATAGATAGTCTTGCATAGTTGGCTGCAATGACTCAACTCAAAATACTAGTCCAGCTGGCGATTATTGTAACATGGAAACCCTTCTGCATGCGCAGAGGAAAACGAATGACGAGAATGTAACAAAAACGATTTGTTCAACGCTTGCAAAACGCATCAAAACAACCAAGATCCTGCTCCGTCATCCCATGTTGACACGGTCGTTAGATACACCCAAAAGAGCAGCAAAACAAAGAGAGAATAAGAAAAGAAATAGCGAGTGAATAGCAAGTGTTCTAGATAAACGTCGATCCTGAAGGGGAATACACGCTGTTTGGCGTCAAGGGGCCCTTGTCCCTCACGAGCGAGGGCGGAAGGTTGATCGGCGAGGGCGTCGGCCGTGGGGGAGCCTTCTTCGCCTCAACGCGTATGACGGGACTCGGTTTCATGGCTGGGCTGGGCGAATCGTCAATGGTAAACTCGTTGGCCAGGGGGGACGGCTGAGGCGCATCAAAGGACAACTCAAACGACTTGGCAAAATCCTCGCTCGACGCCGAAATGGCCTTCTCCAGCGAGGGAAACGTCGGGCTAGGAATCCGTGGCGCCACGGCCGACGTGGGTGTGGATAGAGACCAGTCCGGCGAGGTCGACCGCTGCCCCCGGGGGCTTCGCGGAAGCACCGGGGAGCCCCGTGTCTCTAATCGGTCAAGGCCAAAGGCTCCCCACTTGGAGAAGGATCGAGGACTCCGACTGTTGGCTCGTACCTCCGGAGACTCGCCGGCCGCAAGCGGAGGGCGAAGAGGTTGCCTTCCCCGAGGAAGGCCTTTCATGATGGGAAACTCTCCTTCCATGGGCGTCCGGGAAGCAAAGGGGCTCAGGGGCACGCGGTCTACCGGTGGTCGAGGTGCCTCGTGAGAGCGCATGTAGTTGTCATCGTCGACAGCAGGTCCAAAGGGGCTGCGTGGGCTCTGCGTCGGCGTCTCCATCCGCGACATGAGGCTAGAGAATGGAGCCGGGGACATGGGTTGCAGAGGCTGCGGAGGGCCACGGGCGCGTGAATCAGACGTCATGCGCGAGTTGAAGCCCTGAGGCGTGGAGGGTGTAAACGAGTTCAGGACTGGGCCGAGAGCGACGGGAGACTCGATATTCGCCTGAGACGGTCTTCGAATGATTTGTCGGGGACTTTCGATGCCAGCCGAAACGGCGGAGGGCGAAGGAAGCGGCTGATTCATCGACGGAGTCTCCCAGTCCTCATCCGGAATGGCCACCTTGAGGCGTTGAGGGCTGCCACCCTGTCCGCCTGGCTGTCGCGCCTGATACTGATAGGGCACATGATGCCGGACCTCGTACGGCTGTGAAGCTGTGGTTGGTGATGCCACTGGCGAGGCTATAGGAGATGCAACAGGGGATGCCATGGGCGAAGCATACGAAGCAGTCTCACTTGGCTCGGTCAAACCATCACTGGCACCATCATCGGCATCCTGTCCAGCCATAGACAGGTCCTGAGCGTTGACGACTTCTTCGTCTTCGTCCTCGGCGTTTTGAACCTCCCTGAACGGATGCGGCCCCTTCATCTGGATCGGGCTCTCAGTCAATTCCAAGCCGAGCGTTCCTACAGCCACGGTGCGCGGCTTGGTCACCTCGTCGCCAAAGTCGAAATCGGAAAAGTTGCCGGCAAGCCCTTCTACTGGATGTTGCTGCAGTCGATGCTTTTCAAGGTCCGCCGCCTCAATGGCCATGGTAAAGCTCCTCCTCCGAGGCGACAAGAACGTCAGCGTGTCTCGCTTCGCCTGCACATTCCTAATGACTGGGGAGGCTCGCTTGTCTTCGCTCTTGCGCGACATGGACGAAGACGGGCTGGGCAGCATCGTAGGGCCATGTCCGTTGGCAAATCCAGGGGGCATGAACTGGCTTGGCGGTCTATTTGTGTCTGCTTCGTCTTCCAGGTCCTCATCGTCCATCTCTGCCGCTGCTTCCAAGTCGGTCTCTTCGTCCGACTCGGCGCCAGTCTCTCCACCTGGGGAGGTCAGAGGAGGCCATTGCTCTTCGGTTTCAATCGACTGAGGAGGGGACGGATATCCGGCGTATCCCGATCCGCGAATGCCAACGTCGGGCCCGGGTTCTCCAAAATCGGCAAACTCATCCAAACTGCTCGAATCGTTTGGCGCTGGTTCCGGCTGCGGTTCGGGCAGAGGTTTCAAGTCAGGCTGGCTCAATGGGCTCTTATTGCCCGCTGTTTGCGTACTGCCGCTCCCAGAACGAGCTATTGACCCCGAGGTGCTTCCAGGCTTTTTGTTGAAGTGAACATCCAGAGGATTCACCCACTCGGACCCCTTCGAGCCAGGAGGGGGTGACGGCATTCCCGGCCGACGGCTGCCGTCCACGCCAAAGGGATCCGGCACGGCAAGGTTGGTCATGCTCGCGTTCATCTTCATCCAGGGCTTGAAGCTACTGCCGTCTATTCCATGGCGCAGACTGGTCTCGCTGGGTTTTCGAGGCACGGATAGGTCGACCATGGACGATGCGGCAGGGATTCCCTTGAATGTTGCGCGCCAGGTCGAGTTTCGCTTGCCCGAGGTAGAAGTGCCTGGTCGTGGCGGCTGTTGCGGCCGCGGAAACTTGAAGCTGTCATTCGGGTTGACCTGGCCATCGGTATTCCATCGTCGAGTTGTTGGCTGTGGCTGGGGCGAAAGCTGTTTCTTTTCGGACTGCTTGCTTCTGTTTTTGGAACCATTAGTCGGTTGCAAGAGGAGCCTTGCCGGCCGAAGAAGAGGGCAGGGGAGGAAGCAGGCGTCGTCTTACGGAGACTTTTTCTTGTCGCTGCCGAATCTGAGGCCAAAGAAGGACACCATCTTGCAGCGACGGGGTTCCGGACCTGACCAACTCCTCGAGCGGCTTCCGAAACAGCAAGATCACCTGCTCGTGTTGCAGTCTCTGTTATCTGCGTCTCCGCCGTGGCTACAGCAAGATGCCATGAACAGATGAAAGGCTCCCCTCTACGGCAGCTTGAGCTTGAGCTGGTGATTGCAGCTTCTGGTGGATGCCAGGAATAGTACCGAATCGACGAGTCAGGAGAAGATTGAATAGGACGGAATCGACGAGTCAGGAGAAGATTGAATAGGACGGAATCTGGTGTAAGACCAGGCTTCGTTTTGCGCTTGGTGTGCTGTGTACCAGTAGGTCGGTAGAAGATATATGCGATTCGAGTTGTATGTGTTCGTGTTGTATGAGGTATGAGACTACCTACCTAGGCAAGGTACCTTAGGTAGATAGATAAATAGGATATGGTTTATGGTAGAATATCGTCGTCGTCGGTTCCGGCGGAAAGGGTTGACTGGCGAATGGAAAGGATCGGACGTGTCGAGAGGCCTGACACTGGACAGTGAGGTAAGAATAAGGCAACAAAAAAAAACGAGGGTAGAGGAAGAGCAAGAGAGAGAGTGAGAGCGAGAGCGAGAGCAAGCGCGCGACCAGCCGCAGGAGCAACGAAGATGGAGGCGAAAGAAGAGCAACGGTCTCACAGCCGTCGCCGGTCGACAGAGAGATTGAAGTCAAACAGAAAAAGAGGGGAGAAGAGAGCGGAAAGGTGTGCCGTCGTCCAAGTATGTACAAGCACAGCCAGGTACGGTCGAACTGGGCGCGTCTGTTAAGGTCTGGGGCCTGCTCGGGGCAGTGTCATCCGTCCAGCCAGGAACAGGTGCTTAGCAGGCGCACGTACCAGCGGGGGTACCTGTACCTGTGCCTGTACCTGTACCTGGTGCCTGGGCGCGACTGGTCGAGAGAGGCCTGAAGTCGAGGAGAGATCCAAATTGATGCGTGCTGTGGTTCGCTCAGGCTCTCCACGACTCGAGCCCAGCACGGGGAAGCGAGGATACGAATTGACGTGCCGCCCGCCCCGGCCAGGGTCGGCAGTACTACTGTAAGTTAGTAGTACTGGTACTTGCATGCTACTACCGTCGACAGGTTCCGGGCTGTCATCTGGTGCCTGGCGGTCCTGTTCGCACGAAGCCCGGGCTGGTACCGAGTACCTACGCGCTCCATTGGGTGGTGGATCGTGGGCATCGCGCCTCGCAATTTGTTGGTGTTCGCCACGAAAATTTGAAGCGGCGACATGCTGGGCGCTATTGGCAGGCCAGGGGCTGCTCCGCGCGCTACAGATGAGCGCTATTCCGTTTGCAACGATGGCGACAACGCAGGGGAGCGTTGGAGGAAGTTGAAGGGTCGTTTTGCATCCCTCGGGCGTGGTGCCGTTGTCTGTGTGTGAGGCCAGGGAAACAGACGGACAGGCTGACAGACAGACAGACAGACAGACGGAGAAACAAACAAACAAACAAAGGCGCAGGAACCAACAGACACAGTATCAGATGGTAGGGCAGGGAGACATACAACAGGCAGCCTCTGAATCTGGAGACAGGATGCAAGACAGAACCTAACGACCACTCCCCGTCTGCATAAGACAAGGTAAGCTAACACATATTACAGTAACATGCAGGTCAAATTTCATCGAGGTGTCCGACAGGTAATCCCAGGGCACTGATGCTTACTATACGAGTACATGAACGACTGGAGGTCGGGTACATTGATAGGTACTGCGAAAACCTACAGGCCCCCCCTCCAGGGCTCCTCCAGGGCTCCTCTCACCGCTGGCCACTAAAATCAACTGCTGGCCGCCGCCCGGTAGCGCCCAGGGCCCCCCTTGCAGGCCCCCCCGGGGTCCCATCCCGTGGTTGGCCGGCGCCCGACCTGCCCCTGAAGCTAATGCACGTCTTTCTGGCGGCTTCGACCGTTGCTGCAGCACATGGATGGCCTGCAGGTAATGTAATACAAAGAACGACGGGAGTGCCAGAGGAGACATTGAACAGGGCATGGAACCCAAGAGATTTGAAAGTGGACGGCATTGAAGCTAGCAATATCATGACAGCCGTCAGCGTGGAATTGGAAGAAATACTAGAAGCGATCCCTCTCACCAGTTTACACCCAGTGACATCAATGACTGTGCGGCCAAATCCGAACACAGAGACAGGCCAAGCTTTTTTGTTCTCATGGCCCCGGTCTTTATGCTCCGTCGGGCCCAAATTGCACCCCATCGTCGTCGTGGTGCACCTCCATCAGCAAAGTCATTCCTTGGGTTACACTGCAATCACATGGCAATGCACCCCCAAACTCTCCTCCCCTCCCCTCTGCTCTGCTCTGCTCTGTTCTCTATCTTATGGAGTACTATTACAAGGTTTTCACATTAAATGTCTCGCTTGTTGCCAGCGATCAAAGTCTCGCTTCAACGCAACTGCGACACTTGTTGGGTCATCTGAGACCTCTGCCGAGGCGGTAGACCTCCAACGGCTTGGTATTAATACCAGGGCCAGGCCAGCGCTGTACGAATACCTAGTAGGTACAAATATGATATGTATGGACATCTCTCCTGCATGTACCTGTACGCGTCACCTCGGTTATTTGCTCCTCCTGGCGGTACTTTGCATGTATGTGGACTTGGCAGCGACCCATGCCAGATGAGCCCAAATCTCTGTGCGAGCAGGTCATCATTCAACGGACGAGACCATAGGTAGGGAGCATGAAAGATGGAAAAAAGAGTCTTCCAACGATGTTATAGACGGATTTGACGCTGGACAAACTGTCAACCGAAACTGGAGCCCAAAAATACAGCGACATCCTTTTCCTAAACGCCATCGAAAACGCCCGTATATCGCAGTAGAAATGCCCCCAAAAAGCACATGCTCAACATTCGCCTTCCTCCTCATCTTCACAGCATCAGATACCGAATCAGCATCCCTCTCTGGAGCTTCCAGTCAAGATCCTCTACACCGCTGCTCTTCCTCGTTGAGATGTCATCGAAATCGCCAACCAATCGAGGAAACGGGCACTGTATCGTCAGGCCGATGCGGTGCTTGTCCGACAGACCAGCAGCCACATGGGACAAATCGGTAAGAGCCGCTCGCCGTCCATGTCGGTATAGTGTCGTAAAGGCCCTCCCAGACCTTGACTACCAACGTGGCTCCTTCTTCAAGATTCAGGTCGGATAGTCTGCCCGGCCGGTATGCAGTCCTTCGCAATTCAAGTTGTGCAGGTTGTAGGTATGTGTACGTCGTCCTACAGCTGATCGAGCAGCTTCCGCCGCCTCCTCTCCAAGAGCTCCATCTGGACCTCCTCCATCGTTGGCAAAGCCCATCCATTGCCATCCCCGCTGTCCCCAGGTAACGGCTCCCAGCCATCGGGTACGCTCTGAGGCCCTGTCTTCAAAAGGTTCGCTGCTGCCTCCCTCTCCTTTTGCGCTTCGTATTCCAGCAGCGCGTCGTCCTCCTCGCCCGGAGCGTAGCCATAGTATGCCGCATCCACGATTTTTCTCAGGTCCTTGCTGGCCTCGAGCGGTTTGTCCTCGTGCTTCTTCGCCGCCGCCGCCTCAAACAGCTCCTTGACGCCAGGCAACTCCCTCGCCCGTCCAAAATACTTGTAGCCCTTTCCGCCTCCCGGTATTTCTCTCCCCTGTTCGTCGTACATCTTCCCACCTCCTCTCATGTAGTTTGGCCCGCCTAGATTCCGTATCTGTACCTCCCACATGTGTTTCTCGCGCATCAGCTTGTTGATTTCATCGTTGAGGTCGCGGATCTGGTAGTCGCTCAGCACGGGGTCCTGAATCCTCGAGACCTTGCGCGAGATCTCCTTGAGAACTTGGCCGCGCCATCTTTCGCACGCGGGGATCGAGTCGACTTCGGTGATGATCTTGGGGCGGCGGGTACGTCCGGCGTCGATGATGCCTAGGTCTGCTGCTTGGGCTTCGCGGAAGCGAAAGAGCATAGACTGGGCTTTTTCCGAGTTTCGAGCCTGTGGACATGTTAGCAATAGAGTAAGTCAAACGCAAAGTCTTCTATGACACCTCACCATTTTGACGGGTGGGACTCGAGAGTCAGCGCAAGGTGAAGCTGGTGATTGATTGCTTGACTGGTAGAAGCTCGACTTTGGGAACTTTGCCTTGGACTTGCAGCCTCGCGAGATGGAGGTGTGGCTGGTGTTTGCACTAGCCACAGTTGAGCCACATTCTTCAATGAGTTCCCCGACGCTCAGGCCTCTCGATCATGAGCGTCCTGGCAACAACACATTCAGGTTACAAAATTTCCGCGGCATTGCCGCTGTTGCTTTGTATACTGTTCTGCCCATTGTTAAGTGTTACAAGGAAGACACAGCCATGGGCCAATGAACGTCAGTCTCGCCCATTATTTGCTCCCGGGCAAGCAGAGTCGCCTGGCATTGTCCATCTGTAGTAGGGTAATGCAAGAGCAACACATACTGGCGAAATGACGAAAAGCTTCTCAACACCGCGGAGTCGCAATCAGACAGGGTTCCCTATCTTGTCAAGCTTCTAGCGGCTTGGACGGCCGTTGAATTTATGATTTTCCCAAAGGACTCAATAGGCTGCAATTCCGGAGTTGCATCAGCCGTTGCCCCATCATTTGAGCGTACATGTGTTGTTGCTCTAGATATACGGCTAGTTCAGATCTGAGTGTCGGGCACGGAGATGAGACAGCCATTGCCAGCTTTCAGAGCAATACTCACATATGTTGTCAGAGTTCAGACCGGATCGTGTATAAGGGTGACTATAAGAGGCTGCCGCTCTTCGCCTCCTCGACAATGATTCCATCCACCAAACCACCAAAATAGTAGAGCAACAGTAAGACAACAGACTTCGCCTCACACTTACATCTCCCCCTAAGCACTACGATCACCACCATACAGTCTCTCTAGCATCAGATTCCAAATATCATTCACCCATCTCAAGCATGTCGCATTCCATCATCTCCCCCGCCATCCTCTACTGGGGCACCCCCGTCGTCCTCGTTTCCTCCGAGAACGAAGACGGCTCCGACAACATCTGCCCCATCTCCTCCGCCTTCTGGCTCGGCCACCGCTGCATCCTCGGCTTCGCCGCCGAGAGCAAGACGCCGCAGAACATTCTCCGCACCGGCCAATGCGTCGTCAACCTCCCCGACGACACAATGGCTCGCCACGTCGATCTCCTCGCCGGCACAACAGGCACCGAAAACGTCTCAGCCTCGAAGAAGGACCGAGGTTACCGTCATGTCAAGGACAAGTGGACCTGCGCGGAACTGACGCCGCAAAAGTCGGACCTTGTTCGTCCGAGACGCATTCGGGAGTGTCCGGTGCAGATGGAGTGCGAGTTGGCCGAGGCTCACCAGACAATGAAGGACTTTCCTGATCTCAGGGGAGTTGTCTTGGCTATTGAGCTCAAGGTGCTTCGGACGCATGTTGTGGCTTCGATTCGCATGCCGGGACATGCCAACCGCATTGACCCTGATAAGTGGAGGCCCATGATTATGTCGTTTCAGGAGTTTTACGGTTTGAGCGGCGGGAAATTGGCGAAGAGCACTTTGGGCGAGATTGACGAGGAAAAATATCGTGGGCTTACGAGGAGTGGTGTTGTCAAGCTGCCCGGCGACGAGGATAAGGAGAAAGTTGAAGCGGCCTATGAGCAGGCGAACGACATCTTGGACAATCTTAGAGATTGATATTGTGTGATTTCATGCGACATCTGACCAACTTCATGGTAGATAGATTAAAAGCTTAGGGATATTCTTATGCCAATGTAGTATGTTTGCACATCTGCTTCGTTCAAGTTTCGTAGGCGCATATCCATCGACGTGTACTGGACACCCTGATGAAGAGATATCAGCAGGGCATTGGAGAAGGCAATGATACACTAAAGTAAAGACGCACGTAGCGTTGTGATGCCATATTGGAAGCGGTTCGTCAAGTTGGTAACCTATGTAGTCTATACGTACGGATTCTTCTTCTCTGTAGTAATAGCAAGCTACACAAAGAGAAAGTAGCTTTGTTTCCGGAGTTGTGGCCAAGGAAGATGCAAATTCAGCCTCACCTGAGAATCTCCTTATCGATGAACATGTTGTTACATACGGTAAGATGGACTTGGCCGTGACTTCTCATTGAGATAAAATGGATGAGGAGGAAGTTGCGACCAAGGCTGCTCCCTCCTACCCTCACGATGCATCAGGGCCAAGCGAGCGCACAACAAGCGCACAAATTTTGTTTTCTTCTTCTTGTCTTTCTTTTTCTGCACTATTGCCTCTCACTCCCGATAGTTGCGCGACGATACCATCTTCAACATGGAAGCTTTCAATGATACCGACAACGTTTGGCCGGACGACGTACAACCGCCATCGCCATCACCGTCGCCGTCGCCGTCGCTGTCATCAGCTCCTCCGTCCTCTGCGACTAGTACGGAGTCAATTCCTTGTGTGTAGCGCCGTGGAGACAGAGTCGCATTAACAGACACTGACGGATGAGCAGGGGAGGATCTGCAGGCCTTTGAAGACGAGGCACTTGCTTTAAACACCGCGGTACTGCGACAGACTTTGTATGGCCATCTTTATGCCCACCTGCCCAACGAGCAAATCGACTGGGACTTGGAGGGGGAAAATGTTTGCCGAGTTATCGGAGCCCGATGCTATGGCATTATATTGGCCCTTCGAGGGCTCTTGATAGTCCATCTGGGGAACCATTACCACCTGGTAAGCCAATATTTTACTGCTTTGCATATGTGTGGTATCTCCGCTAACACAGCATCAAGGACCGTAACGCAAGCCTGGCTCTGAGAGATTCTACCTCGTCGCCTGCATTTCAAGGGAATTCTGACATCGTTGCAGCAGCTCCCATGCTTTCGAACGAGTCACCAGACATTCAGAACCAGGCATCAGGCAACACGGGAGACATGGCCCTAGAAACCCCAGAGAGCTAGGTTATGGATCTGTCAGTCATTTGCCTTGAGATCCCGGATATCAAATAGCGATGACCTCGGCTCTCTTGTGTTCGCTCCTCTAGCTGTCACTTAAGCAGTTTTACCTGGCCCTGCTTGGGCTCGGCTTTCTTAGCGGAGTTAATAAAGGACTCGATCTCCTTCTCAAACCTCTCGTGTAGCTGTGCCTCGCTATATTTTATCCGTCCCTACATCTTCCATGAAGTGAAACATCATCGCTAGCATATCAGAGCCTCAGCAGATGATCGGATATATGAAAACTTGGAAACGGCATCAACCTTGGCACCGGCTTGTCTGATGATCTGACTGTTAAGGGTGACGAAACCAGCCATAAGCAAAGCTGTATACAAGGGTCTAGGTATCTGGGCTGGTCAACGTCAAGTAGAGTCAATTTCATTCGTGTGGGAGTGGAATGTCTTTGGAAATGGTTGCTTCCATTGTTGGCTTATGTGGTGGCCAATCCCTAGAAGCCTCGAAGAATCTGGAGAGCGTTCGCGATGTCCTTGGGCTCTTGCCAAATGTGTGCTCTGTGTCGGAACCAAGGATCATGAACGTCTCAGTGAAGATGCCGTTTCTATCCCCTCCAAGAAGGGCCACTTGTTGTCTACGCCCCGATCGTACGTTTCATCCCAGAGGCCTTACACAGAAACAGTGGCTTAGTTCCGTGGCCTCAATCGCCCGGAACGAGAGCCAAGAATATACCTGTTACGAGGAACTATGGTCTTGTATTACTCATGATATACAGCTCACAGCAACTGGAGAACTCCACGTCTGCCAGCCAGGCAGCGAGTCTTGTAAAATACATACATGTACATACCTGCAAGTACGGTGGTATCATGCAACCAAGTTCTAACCTAGGTACCTAGTCCATGTTCGATACACACCCTACCGAAGCTGCAGTCAATGTTTATTAATCATTGATGCAGGTACCGAGAGATCACCAAATGAGATCTCATCGGCGTGTGGGGGTTGGATGTAGGCTGAGATGAATAAGCATGAGGTAGAATGGACGACATGCACATGAATATAGCCTAGTTGTTTGTTCTCTACGGTGGCAAGCACCTTATTGTCATATACTTCGTTGAACCATTGAGCTATCAGTGATATGTGTCAACTTGCCCGTCCCTGCTCTAGTGCTTCTCATCAACAGTGGTAGTCCGGGTAATGTGCCTCACTAGGGCCTCATCCCCATCTTCGTGAACAGCATGGCCCGTCTCGATAATATTGAGGCTGTCCTTCATCACAAGCTCGTAAAAAGCAGTCGCCACCAGCATGGCCGGAATGCTCGCCAAGATTCCAATGGGCGCGTAGTTCTTATAAGTAAAGGCCTCGCTCCCGAAGAAGATGGCGGCCACGACTCTGGGGCCCAGGTCTCGCGCCGTGTTCATGCTCAGCGTGTTGGCTCCAAAGCCCCATGCCATGGCGCCGTAGGCCAGGCCGATGACAAGGGGGGCGATGGCAGGCGAGACAAAGGGGTTGGCCGGGTCGAGACACGCCCAGATGATGAGGCTGACGAAGCAGTCGCAGAAGAACTCGGTGAGAAAGACGTATCCCATCGTCTGGTTTGGATTGGGGAACGAGCACAGGATGCTTGCGGGGGCGCCGTTGGCGACGAGAGGCTCACCGGCGGCGAGCAGGGCTTCCTTCATCTCGACAATCTGCTGGTGGTAGATGCCCATGAGCACCAGGGCGGCGATGAAGCCCCCGAGCAGCTGGCTGAAGATGTAATGCGGCACCTTCTTGAGAGGGAAGCCCTGCCACACGCACAGCGCAATTGTCACGGCCGGACTGAAGTGGCCACCCGACGTTGGCGCACAGGTGATAATGGCAAAGGCGATGCCGAGGGCAAACGCGAAGCCAATGGAGAAGAGGCTGCCAAAGGCCGTGGAGCCGATCGGGTTGGTGGCATTGAAGGTGAAGGAGGCGATGGCGCCGATGCCGGGCAGCACGTACATGAAGACGCCGGTGGCCTCTGCGATGCACTCGCGCAGCCAGCGAGGCCGGGCGTGCTCAAAGTCGAGGCGGCGCTGAGACACGCGTCGTGGTGGGACGACGTTGCGGGTGGCATGTTTCTGGACGACTTCGGTTGTTCCCAGTTCCACTGCATGCGAGTCAGTTTTGGGCTGCCTTTTTTTTTTTTCTTTTTTTTTTTTTCTTTTTTCAGGGGATTGATGGGAGGAGAGGAGGGAGGAGTGCTTACAGTCGTGGGTATGGAGACGGTTCAGATCTGGAGACGACATGGTTGGTCTTGTGCAACAGTGACCTGGCGGCCACCTGTGTCTGTCCTAGGGAGGTATTCAGGATCGAGTCAGAGGAGTGGGCGTATCGAGGACGAGTGGACAAGGAAGACGAGGAAAAACAGAAAAGGATCGTCGTGGTAGGCAGAAGCGGGAGACTATATAGTTGCAGTTGCAGTTGCAGTGCCAAGTGCCGAGTGCAGGCATCAGAACCATGCAGAGAGACAGTCGAGTCTGCAAGCAGTCATATCGCATGGTAAGGCATGGACGGTCAGACCAAACCAGACCCTGTCGGACTCTTCGAGAACGCCGCACATGAGACAAACCCTGCTCGCTCACCCCCCCTCCTCGTCCAGAAGACGCATTGAGGTACATACATACATGGCCATGGACATGATACATGATCTGAGTCCATCATGGCTTTCGACAGTGGGAGCGAGTACTGGAATACTAGCTGAGTCGACCGCATCTTCTGCTCCCTCCCCTCCCCCCCCCTGTATCCGCGGGTGGCTGACCTGTACATACATGAAACTATCTTGTCTTGAACCACTCAGAAGGCATCTTTTCGCAAGCAAGCCCACTCTGCTGTCCAGTCCGATCTGGTCTTGTTTACCCCAGACCCCGGAGTGCCCACCTCTGATGGTCGGCTTCCGCCCCCGCCTCCCAACCTTCTCCCCCGCAGTCTAAGGATATTCTGGCCATCGCTCCGGGATGCGTGGACGCCCTATCAGGTGGGTTAGCTCCTACATACTAGGCCATGGCAGGCGGCAATGTACGGAGTGTTACGACCCAGGTTACAAGGAAGTCATGCGGTGGAAGGGAGAAGCGCGAAGGCGAGGTCTGTTTTTGGGTACGGAAATAGACATGACAGTTGGGGAGAAGGACACCTAAAGTCCGCATCGTTGTTAGTATTTACACGGACAGTTGAGTTTGCCCGGATGGTAGTGCCCAACAATTCATGCAGAGAACATGGGGGTTTATCGAGCTATTACGACGGCACTTGCACACGGAAGGATTCTTTTTTCTTCTTCTTTTTTTTTTTTAACGCTTTCAGCCCTTGTTTGTAGCTATTCTAGTTTGGCGTTGTGTGCAAAAAAGCGTGAACTGAAAGCCCAGTTGTGGTCGAGTCTGTTTGCCTTGATACATGTACCTAGTAGGTAGGTAGGAGGTAGAGACTCCGCAGTAATCATCAGTCAACTGCCAGAAGCGGTTCAGCGGTGTAATTAACATAAAGGCCGTGACACAATTATTATTTCGATTTGCATGTAGAGAGTTGAAGATTTGTTGTTTCAACAAGAGAACCAAAGGCGTGAATAGCAAACCCTCCCCAACCTTGACCGGTCCCAATAATACAATTACACCCTCATCAAGTCTTGAACAAGCTTTCCTGGCCACTGATCGTCCTTGAAATTTACCCCGTACGAGTATTGCGACCAAAACCTGGGGTTGTGTGGGGAAACGCCTCCGCCGAACTTGATCCCAGCTTCATCTCAGTTCCACCCCCACACGATCCCAACCAAGCCCCCGACCTGAGTCTCCCAAGCTCGATACGATGCCTCACAACCCAAGCGATTCATCTTAGGGGAAAGCTTGACCGCTCCAGTTTACAAGCACCGCCATCGGTCCACCCCCGCGTCAGAGGAAACAAACCATGCGGACGCCTCCCTGCATACCTACCTTAGGTAGGCAAGGCAAGGGTTTCCTCAACACGCTCCTTGCTGATTGGCGTAAAAGCGCCCAAATCTGCACTCACCAAGCATCTACTGTACCCAATCCATGACTCATGGGGAAGTTGTTCGACAGCACTAAAAAGATGGTGAGCCGAGGCACGACTCCCACTCCCCCCCTCTCGAGTGAGGAGAAGCAATAGCCAAGCATTTCTTAGCCGGGGGTTTGTCTTCCGGGATTCTTGGTACTAAAGCCACTGGCGCTGTTTCCCTTCCCTCTTTCATTGTTTTTGCCGATTCTCATTCGTTGGTTGATGCAGACTTGATACGCCCTCCGTTCGATCTGGGAGCTCAGCGTGGCGTTTTCTCTCTCTCTCGAGACCATTCGCCCTTGTTTATGGTCTAGCTGGTTGAACACATTCGTGGCGATGCCATTGACGTCTTTCGGCCGAGTAAAATAACGGATTGTCAAGCAGCGAGTTACCCAAGACAGAGCCCTCTCCGACCATAGCATCAGCCACCGTTTATTTACATGCACTCGAACCATTCGGACGTCGACGACCAGGTCTCGTGTGACCTATCTAGCTCCTAACTGACGCTGGGCCGCCCTTTCGGAAAAAGACGCTTCAACTTGCGTAACGCACATTCACCTATGCTCCGACGTTCTCCTAGAACGACCTGGGCTAGCTGGATCGTATCGTGCAATACTACCTAGAATACGACTAGTTGATCGGATTCTAAACGGACAAGGACGTCTTGGCTCTCGATGTCTTACGATTGGCTTCATCATCCTTCTCACACTTTCGAGGCGATGTGGCGGAGGACGCCTGCGAATGACCCCGCGGACCTGGCTGGATACCGAGGCTCCTTGGTCTTGTTCGATGAGGGGTTGAGCATCCCAGATCGGGCTGTTGGAGTAACACACACACACACAAAACGCGCCTCTGCGGACATGGTAAGAGGTGAAGAGGCTAATGTCGTCGACCGCGGCTCAAATGTTGCCCTGCGCGGACAAGCAAGGCATGGCAAAGTCACGCCATTTCATCTTATGAACCGGCATCTCACGATCAATCGCCGGAATGCTACGCTGGTGCATAACTTGCCAATCTAAAGTTTATCTACAAGTCCCGAGGCTTCTTTTAGCTTGAGAGTTTCTACCTGCCAATGAATGTGGCACGGTCTTGTTGCATTAGATGGTTGCTCTGTCTACAGCTTCGGCGCTGAATATCACTGGAAAGGGTAAAGCATCACACTGTTTTGACTTAGAAAGAAGGCGATATGTGCGGTTAAAGAAGTATCCGAGACGACGTCAACCTTACAACCATCCTACTGTCCAGATGGACAAACACGTGGTGTGTAAAGATGAGATTATCGGGATTCTGAGAGTGATGCAGCTCGTTGTCGCGTATTGTCTGGTCGGTCGAGCCTACTACTGTCAAAGTGAAACATAAGAACATGAATTCTCAAAGTAGAAGGTCTTCAATTTCATTGTAGCCACTCTCTACATGTTTCTGCAACCTTTGTAAACAGACAAGATGACCCATAGAGCAGTATACATGTACACATCAGGCCAGATCCTCACTCATCCACCACTATATCCTGAGCAAACTTCTCCTTTAGCCACTGCAGCACTTCGAGATTTCCCCTGAACCGCCGTAATGGAGCCAGATCCCCCTCCACCTTCAGTCCCGCCAATGTCCTCACTCGAGACAGAGCCACGTAGATTTGGCCCTCCTCAAACGCCCTGGTCAAGTTCACAACCGCGCTGTCCAGTGTCAGCCCTTGGGACTTGTGGATAGTGATCGCCCAAGCAGCCGTCAGAGGGATCTGAATCCGTCCGAGCAGGGAATACGGCCGCTCATTCCCATAGAGAATTGAGTGGCAGATGGGGTAGATGGTCTGGATTGCGCCGTTGTGAAACTCGACAATCGGCCACCCTTTGGCCTCACGACACGCGGCCATGAATTCATCAAATTTCTGCTTGTCGATATCCCACCGTGGCCAATATACTGGAAACTTGTCATCGTTGATCGACGTGTTGTCCAGACTATCCTTGAACGGCTCAAAGCCTATGATGACTCCCTGGGCGCCGTTGACCAAGCCTGCAGATATGCTGATGTTGTGCAGCAGCAAGACTTGCATGCCCAGTTTGAGTTCAAGCTTGGCCTCGAAATTATGATCTTTCAGCGCTTTCAGAGACCCGTCGAGCTCTCTATGTCCTTTATGGACCAAGTGCGGATGGTCCTTCTGGTTCCAGAGAAACACGTCTACGCACTTGTAGGTCTGCGTTGGTGTCTCCAGACGTCGAAATTCGGCATCATTGAGCTTCCGTGCTTCGTCTCGTGTGGGGAAGAGCCGCACCGCGTGGGAATCCAGGACTTTGTCGCAGCTTGCCAGGAGATGAAGCTCAGCATCCTTCAGGTGCAAGCCCAGTCGACACTTTTGAAGCAACCTGATGAACTCTGGGTCCTTTTGCCGGAACACCGTCTTGAGGTACACATGCTGAAAGTTACATTCTTCCCATGCGCTGGTCTTGAAGGCCCATTTGTCCTCGTCCCGATATGAAGCACCGCAAGCAGCCGCCGGGCACACGTGCTTTCTTTCTCGTCTGACTGGTATGAGGTCGCTGCCGCATTCGAAGCAGTGAGAGAACGGCTTGACAGGAGGCAGCTGGCAGAAGTCACCCGTAACAATCATTTGGGTACCCCCAAATGGCAGGGTAGATCTCTTGTCGAAAGGCGAGTGCGCTGCTTGCATGAGTCGGCTCAGTCGTTCAAAATGCATGCCCTCCATCATGCTTATCTCATCGATGATGACGGTCCCGGCATTGCTCAACTTTTCCCGCCATATTGCCCTTTCGCTGAAGTCCGTAAGCTCGTAGAGCGTCGCCTTGTGAGAGTTGGGAGTCCAACCGGCAAAGGACCAGGTGGTGACGCCCCCATTGGACATGGCGACCTTGCCCGTTGGCGCCAAGACGTAAACGATCCTCTCCTTTCTCATGAGCCGGTCTCGGATGGCTCTCAGCACGGTCGATTTCCCGCAACCCGCCGACCCAGTGAAGAAGATGTTGTGGCCCTCTACAGCAAGCGAGACCAAGGCTTCTTGTTCCGCTGACAGGCTGGGGCCCGATGCCTCATTTCGTTCGTTCTGATGCATGTGGGCTTTCTCTTGTTCGAATTTGTTCGGGGGGCACCACTGGGGCTCTGGAAAGGGCACTGACAGAGGAAGTAATGGCTTTGCGACTCCTCCATGTTGAAGAATGGTTGCATTGGCTACCGCCTCGGCGGCCTCCCCCTTCTTCTTCTTCTTCTTCTTCTTCTTCTTCGAATTTGCATATCCCCTCGAGTATCCGGGCGAACCGATTGCGTGAACAGCCAGAATGGAGAGATTCGGGCGCAATATCATTCGAGCAAGGCCACCGGGTGCCATAAGAGACGAGGCTGGCCGTCGCCATGAAGCAGCGAGCAGCAGCATAGCGGCGACGACGAGAAGAAGATGCAACCAAGGCCGCGAAAGCGCGTTTTAGTAATGTTGATGGAAGAAGTATCGTGATGGAAAGGAGATGATGAATACTGTAGAAACAAAAACAGAACAGAGCAGAACACAAGATGTAATAGTTATCTTCTAAGCTGTCAAGAAAGTTGTGCGCAAGTTCCCGAGTGCCTGATGGCCATGGCAGCTGGCAGCACCTGGCTGAAGGCCCGGGGAGGTACGAATCTTGGTTTAAAGGTACGGGTAAGTAGAATGAAAAGTGAAGAGAAGGGCATTTTCGTCTTGCTGAGAATAGTTGAAAGGCCAAAGCTCATCCGCTTTACGAGTATGCAGGTGTGCAGAACAGCCCCCGTAGGAGCATCTGCCCGGGGGATAACTATATGATATGATGTCCAAGGTGAGCGGCTTCCTTTATCAAGTGCCCCAGTTGGCCATCCGGCTTCCCGAATTCGTAGACGTGGAATAAATGTTACGTATAGATTGTCTGATAACAAGAGGAGCTTTTCTTGATACTCAGGGCAGATAATGATAGTGGCAGAGCCCTGTGTGTGTAGCTGAGAGAACAGCTTGTATGGATATTAGAAGATACCTATTATTGGTGATCTTCGTTCACACTCCCATTCATGCCCTATATAGCTTGTCCCATACGCCAGGCTTCCCTCTTCGCCTCAATGCAACTAATGGGTACAATTTCCAAAGTCATGCCACATATACCAGATAGGTCTTCTTGTCTACAGACGACATGTGCCTATCTAAGGGTCTATATACACCCATGCCGACATTCGAGGTATTAATAGGGTATGTTCTTTGCTTCTGCTGTCTGGCGGCAAGGGTATCACAGCCCAGAAAGAGCAAGAGAGAGACAGAGGAATAACAAGCAAGAGAAAGCAAAGGCCAACCCAACATCCATCGTACCACCCGCTCATCCCAGCGACTCCTCCCATTGAAGCATCTTAATATTTTTGGTGTTCCAAAACCGTCTAACGCGAGAAACCAATGCCAACAAGAAATGCCCAACTCCATATTCGCCATGGAAAGCAGCGCTCCGATAATTCGAGAAAGGCGGATGTACATTAATACATGTATCGTCGAAGAAAGAAAGATAAGAGGACGAAAACAAAGAAGGAAAGCCCGCGGACTATGACTCGTCGTGGTTATCGAGAACAGGATCCCAGAGCATAGGCCCCTTGCAAATGTTTTCTTCGGCGTAGGCTCGGTAGCGGTCGAGGACGTCGGTCTGTTCGATTCTTTCGTCGCCGGCTTGCGCACCGAAGCTGAAGTGTGACACGACGCCGCCGCCGTCAGCAACAGCATCTGTAGGGCATCAGTCAGTAAATATATTCTGATGGAGGAGTAGTCACAAAATGTCAAGGGGAAACCTTACGTCTGCCAGTCTGCTCGGGCATGGTGACGGCAAAGTGGTGCTCGTCGTCGGCGGCAATGGGCTTGGCGAGGTTGATGTCCTTGCCCATCATGGCGATAAACTGGATGCCCATGCGCTTAAGCTGGAAATCCCAGGTGCCGAAGCGATACTGGCGCAGGTTGTCGTTCTCAATGTTCTCAAACAGGCTGTAGTGCTCCTGGGCGGCAACCTGCCACTTCTTCCAGCCGGGTCCGAACGGGTCGTACTCAGTCTCCACGATGGGCGTGCGGTCGAGAATGTGGTCCGTGTGGCCCTTGACAGGCAGCCATCGGTGCTTCTGGTGGTCCGGGGGGTTCCACTCGCTCACTTCGAAATCGTCGCTGCCTTGCCACGAGGGCAGCATGGAAGGGCGCCAGTCCAGCTTCTCACCGGGCTTGGGCGCGGGATACGCCTTGTTCAGCTCGGGGAGGTAGGCCTTGACGGCGCCGAGGTTCCAGTGTATCCAGCTGATCAGGGGCTGGTTGATGACGTTTGAGGAGACGACGTAGAATTCGGGGTGCTCGGCTCGGGTCGTGACCATGGAGGGGATGGCAGAGTCTTCGATGTAGACCTGGCAGCAAAATGTTAACTCAAGGACCCTATAGCATCTAGATTCGGCATCTCGTCTCTTCGGGGGGGGTTCGTACAATATCGTCGTCCATCTTGACATACATGACATCGTCCTGGATGCGGTCATACGACGAGGCAAAGCCGCCCTCGGACATGTCGATATCCCACTTCTCGTAGGCGGGCTCGCTGGCAAGCAGTTTCTTGAGGAACTTGAGATCGTCTGCGTCGTCGGTGCGCTGGAGGAAGATGACGCCGTCGAGGATGCCGCCGTTCTTGGCCAGGTTGCGCTGTTGGGTTGCCATTGAGTTAGCACAGGCACCGAGATTGGCACTTGAAGTCTTGGTTGCGCCGCAGCAAGTGTCGTCGTACCTTGAGATAGCAGTCGAGGATGGACACGGTTGATCGGCGGCCGTAGAAGATCAGGCCCATGATCTTGGTCGCGTCAGAGGGCCGCTTCCACCGGACGCCGCCAATCTCCCGGGGCACGCAGTAGGTGCTGTTTCCATGCCGGCGCGAGCCCCGGGGGCACATGTCATCGTGGTCGAAGTCGTGGGGGCCGCCCCTGTGGTGGCCGAAGCCGTCGCCGGGCAGCAGGTGGAAGTTCCAGACGTAGACCAGCAGCGACACAAAGACGAGCGAGGCGCCGAGCAGCGCGTGCACGATGTGCTTGTTGCTGAGGCTCAGCATTGTGCAGGTGTTTGCGGCGTGCCACTCTCTCTCTCTCTTGGTCGGGATCGGGATCGGGATCGGGGTCGCGGTCCCAGCGGAAGGGAAGAGAGAGGGCGAGGGCGAGGGGAGAGGGAGAGGGGAGAGGGGAGAGGGGAGAGGAGGGGAGGAAGAAGCCCTGGGCCGAGCGGGACGGACGATGGGCGGTGGCACAGGCTGCGCTTCCGGTGCCTTTCTCTTTGTCTCCCTGTGCTGTATCACGAGGTTGTAAAGGATTGAAGTTGTCGCGGGCGAGGCGAGATGCGCGCGACGGCGCTAGTGGAACAATCGAAATCGGTAGGGAGGCGATTTGCTGGTCTTGTTTAGCAGTCTGGTGCTAGTCAATATTTGATAGTGCCTAGCTAGGTGGTCAATGCCGGGATTATCCACGGTTTTAGCGTCGCAAAAAGACAAATTTCGTACTCGACCCGCCAGCGGCGAAAGGGGGCTGAGGTGAGTGAATACGATCAAATATTCATTGAAAGACTGAGGGAAACAAAGAGAGAGAGTGTCTCGGATGATGCTTGTTTGACCTGAGGTAAATAGGTAGAGAACGTGTGATGCTACTCTGATGCAACTACCTTGGGCGTGTGCTACTTGACTGTCTAACAGCATCACGATGCCTTCAGAAGGCCCAGCCTCACTGTGTGTTGGTCTCGCAAATGATTCGCCCAGGACTCCATTCTAGGTCGCCGCTACGAGTGAATAGAATGGGATTAAATTCAGGATTCTTGGTGAGCGATAGCCGCAGCACTGACTCCGGGGTGTCGGTAACTGGCGGTACACGTGGTCTTTGTGTCAGCGTGCTAGTACCTCGTTGTACAAACGGTCAATCAGACACACCCGAGTCGAATCAAGGAGCGATGCTTCTTTTCAAGCATCAATGAAGACGACATTACCCTGGAGATGCTTTCGCCATGAAACGACCTTCAACAAGATGATATCAAGAGTCAAGCACCGATGTGGCTCTGTTCTCATCCATGTTGGAGATTGCCGAGGCTTGTCATTGTGAATCATTTCCACCTTTGGTCTTCACTTCCACATGGAGTGCTACCAACAAGCCGAACTGAACTGAGACGGCACATGGAACCCATGATGCTGGCATGGCGAGTATGAGGATACTGTTGCACAAAAGGCACTTCAGACATGCCCCTTTTACGATCAAAGGAGACCTCGTATCGCCTCAAGGCTATGCCATGCAGCAAAGTCAGCAGGTCGCACAGACATCTTTCAGCTCAGGCTTCCATTTGCCACCACACACCTATATAGAATCTGATCTCATCTCTTAGAGGCAAGCACTGCGCATCATCTTCAAAGAGCAATCAATAGAGTGGCATGCAAGCCATTGAAAAACTAGCCATATGCTCTGCAATGCAAACATTTGCTAAAGTCCAAAGACTCTGGGCCAACTGGCAAAGACCAAATGCAAAAAACCCAAACCGCCTACATATCTTCCATACGGCCCAATAATGGTGGCGATTCGTCACGTCTCGAGATGTCTCTCTCATGATTCACCACCCCTTCTCCCCCGGAATATGACATGAACACAAGCTCCCAAGCTGCTTGTCTCTAAAGGGCTTCCGAGCTTGACATGAGGATAGGTACCCTTGAGCCCAGATCGTTACTTGAGTGATGCTACTCCCGGTTGTCTCGGGATACAGTGGGCATTAAGGCAACTCATGCTTCTCATCACGGCAACTCATCAACCCTGGATAAGGTACTCAACACTCGAGCTACCTACTCTACTATCTACCTAGGTACACGAACTCTTCTTCACCTTGCACGTCGCCGTCGCAACAACACTCGGATCAGACTCTGACCTCGCCCTCAGCGTCACAACCCCCGTTCTGTCCTTTGCATGGGCCTCCGCACCAACCGCCACATACGCCTTGGCCGTCTCTCCAAACCTCACGGGAATCACGGCGTTTGGCAGCGCCGCCCTCCACCCAGCGCCCTTGACCTCGGTCTCCAAGCGGAAAATCTCCCACTGGACGTGCTCTGCCTGGACTTGTGCACGGCCCTCGCTGGACCCGGCGTACGTGCCGTTGTTTGTGAGTTCGAATTCGCAAAAGACGCCCCCGGTGGTTGGTGTGGCCTTTCCACCAAAGGCAAAGGGGACTCCGGACGTCAGCTGGATGCCGTATTCACTCGCGCTCTTGTCGGTCAGAGATCGCGCGCCGACGGTGTAAGAGAGGACCCCGACTTCGTCACGGTGGACGTCGAGGATGTAAAAGTGCAGGCCGTTTGCCTCGTCCACATACTCGTACTTGCTGCCCGAGCCGGTGCCGGCGTGGAACAGCGCATCAGCAAGTTGTCGGTAGTCGCCCAGGGTGATCATGGCGGCAGATCCATTTGGCCGAATAAAGTCGACGAGCCCAATGTCCTGGGGATTGGCGTCGATGGTCCACTGGAAGGGCTGGCTGTTGCTGGTCTTGGACTTGCTGATCATGACGCCGGAATCGGGCTGGAACGAATCGGCGCCCATCCGGTCAATCACCTCGATGTCGTACATGTTGTAACGGCCTCCGTCGCAGAAGACGTCGGTGGAGATGTTGCATGCCGGTGATCGGTCCTGGTCCATGTCAACTCGCAGGCCGATGAGGTCCGACACGACGGATCGCGCCGTGATTGTCGCCACGACCGGGCCCGATTCTGCCAGAGCGTCTCTCGATATACGGACTATGCTGTCGTTGGAGATGAGCCCCAGCACGAGCTTGTCTCGGACCGTGTGCAGAGAGCCCAGAGAACCTCCCTGAAGCGCCGGTATCTGATACCGCGTATGCGGACCGCCAGGCCCATTGAACGACCCGCGGGACATCATTGAGAACGGGCCGGTATAGGATCGTCGCAGCGGGATGCCGTACGGGTTGTTGTAGTTGTCGCCAATGTTTAGCAAGTGGCTGAGTTCGTGGGCATACGTCCCCATACCGGAACTCTCGCACTGAGTCGACGATCCGCCGCCGGCGTTTGGCCAGATGGTGGATGCCGATGCCCACGACGTCCAAGGCACATATCTCGTCGCTGCATAGTTCGGCAGCGACGTGCCATTGGCACTCTGGGGAGGACCAAACTCTGCGGGAACGTCCTCGGGAGACGAGAACCTCATCTCGCCAAACTCTTGCCAAGTAGACGACTCGTCCTGTCCCGCGGAGAGGATAAAGACCAGCTCAAACGAGTTGCTGGTATCGTTGCCCACTTCAGCGCGCCATGCTGCGAAGGCGTCTGTTCGGATGTCCTGGTCGCAGGCGTCGTCGGGACATGCTCCAGGGTTGAAGCCACTGTCTACGCCGTATTCGTACGACAGACGAGGCATGCGATAGGGACCAAAGGCTGTCAAGTCGACGCCGTATCGGCCATGTGAATCGCCCATCCAGTACTCGTGCAGCGTGTGGCCACGGTTGAGATCGCCAGGCTTGTTGAGCAGGTCGCGATAGTAGGCCGGCACGTCGTCTCTACCGATGCCGGACACGAGTGGCAAGGGATTGCCAAACACGGTCGAGTTGGGCTCTCGCGTGACGACAAAGGTCTCGTCTGAGTAGTCTACGGCTATCAGGGCAATGTTGAAGTTGCGGCTGGCGCCTTTCTTGGAAGGGTCGTTCCATTGAGTACCGGGCGGTGCTTTGTAGTCGTCCCAGGTCATGTCGTCCGGATTCACCCATTCTTGAGGGTCAATCGGTTTGAAGGGCTCGCCCCATGGCGTCTTGATTGCTGCCTCGACGGGGGAGCTGAGGAGTCCGATCATGACGGCTGATGCAAATGCAGACACGCCCATCGCTAGGCGACTGCGTCTGCATATAGAGACAGCCATTCTCCCACCAGGCTGGCGTACTTTTGAGGTGAATGGCGCCAAGAACCTCTGAAGTCTTGACATGTCCATGCAGGAGGCTTCATCTCGTTCTTATACAGGTTGCTATACCCTCATTGTTACCCAATCACCATCTTGTCCAACATCGACATCGTCCAACCCCGCCTCAGCATGTTTGTCCGTTCGAGCCATCGTCTATCTTAAGGTACCGATCGCTTTACCTTCTTATGCTTGTCGTTTTGTGTGTTTATCCGGCCTGTCTGATTCCGTTCACACCTGCTCTATCGGGACAACGGCCGGCTGCATGGGCATGGTGCTCCAATCAGCTTGCGACTTGGCAGCTTTGATAGAACGAGCGAAGGGTACTTTTCGCAGTCGATGGTGACATGCTGTCTGGCTGGGCCATAGATATGCTGTACCTGGATAAGCATAACACACAGTGGCGTAGCATTTGGTATCCGGGACAAAAGTCCTCGGTGCCATTTCCATCTTGCCCGTCAAAGATGGAGCGTGCCCGCTCTGCTCCGGATATACAATCTTGGCAAGCATGGGGTTAATTCCCAGCTTTATTGGATTCATGAGGTGAGACACTATGGCGATGCATAGCCTAGGCAGTGAGAGAACCATTCTACAAATCCCGAGTAATACAAGAAGGATCCGGCAGGATATCGTGGCTAGAGGTGGATAATGTCGAACATGGGGCCGTTAAAGGGCCATACTGGTAGCTCTAATACGAGTACCTAGGCATTGATCCTAAGGCCTTGGCACCGATACCACCGGAAACTGTTGGATCGTAATGATGTTGAACGCGTTGAAGAATTGCTGGCCCCAGTTCTGTGGCTGACGGCTGCCTTCGACTAGACTCAAACGAGTGCCATCGACAGGGATCCTATGTGGTTCCCGTTGGTGGGATCGACGGCCTGATCGCCAGATTGTTTTCATCTCGACCCTTCTCGACCGGTTTTCAACTCCTCATCCCATTCATCTATATCGATGTTTGGATGTCCAGGACGCAGACAAGTCCCCCACGCTCAGTTTGCACGCTTCTTGATCCTCACACCCCCATCTCGGAGCCCCTGATACGGTGAGAGTCTCGTGTCTTTGAGCCCGCCCGACACGTGGGGTGTCTCGGGGTGGTCAAGATGCGAGGCGCCGCCTATTATCCACTGGCCTTAATGTAAGTTTATCCCGACTCCATACATGTACATCTATATCATAGGCATGGCGCTACGGTGATGGATGTACATGCATCTGCTGACTCCTTATCCAAGATGCCTGTCATTATCAACGTATTGGCTTTCCGCGCGTTATTATACCAGTGCTTCGTTTGGTATGGAAACAATGTCCTCGTCAGTGCCGAGAAGCGGCATCTTGTGTCATCGCTGTAGACTGACATGGTAGCAGAACGTCCTGTCCACTTAACCATCATCACACTTCTGTTGACTACGACTTCGCTGCTGGCTTCCGAGTACTACTGGACTCGGCCAAGCGGCCACCAGGGTCTCACAATCATTACAAACCACAAAACAGCCGATACAGCATCGCCTTTTATCAGGCACGTCAAAATCGGGCTCGAAAACATCCGATATATACACCCATCCTTCCCCTTTCTTCTGTCTTGCATAGCGCTTCGAACGTTGTCCTACTGGGCCATCACTCGGACCACACAATGTTCGTGGCCCGCCATAGAGGTAGGACTCTTTGCATGTAAGGTATAAGCTATTTCCCGTCATAGCTGACCATGCCACGTAGGCATTTCTGCCATTGCTTTCCTTTATCTGGGAGGCTATCTGGCCTCGGCTCTATAAGAACCAGTCGTTATGGCCGATGCCAACGAGATCGCAAATCATCTTTGCCTTTCTTGCCGCGATGTGGCCATTGTCCATCATTTCGTCAGAATTAAGCGTGAGCTTTCCTACTGGAACCGTGTGTCCAGTTGGATGGCGATGGGAGCGCTTCGTTCCGCTCATCCAGCTCGTCAACTGCCTTCTTGACGCTGTCATCATCAGCCATACGGCTCATCTGGCTCGTACAGCTGCAGACGACGGACTGGACATCTTCAAATTCATGGGCAAACTCTGCCTTGCCGCAGCTGGGACCATTCTGCTGCTATCGATCCCCTCCTGGCTTTCAGACTCGGAATTCATCCTAGCGTTCCGTTTCCGAGCTCTCGATTATCGAGACTTTGCCCTCGATGGAATCTTGGCGATGGCTGCCGTGCTCTCCGGATTAACGTTGCTATCGTCTCTGAGTTCATCCTGTCTCGCCCTTCTTCTAATCAATGCCGCGTTTGCGGGATCCCAAATCCCTGTACTAAAGGTGCTGCCGCTGCTAAATTTTTGGACACACAGAGATTACGTGAGACCTACATTTTTGGCGGTTGTCTTGGCTTTGCTTTTGTGGTGTCTCGCTGTTCGGAGACACTACAGTTCAGACACCAGGAAATCACGAAGCCTCGTCATTTGGCTCATGATATGCAACTGCGGACTCGCACTCCTAGCTTTGGTAGCGGTCTACCATCCGCTGATCTACGAATACTCAAACCCAACCGTGTTTTCCACAGCCGTCGAGTCCCTCATATCAGAAGCATCGGCATCGTCCGTGGCCTGGGAATCCCAAGCCTCCGTCAGCAAGTCTCTAGCCGATGCCGTCAAGGAGTACACAAAACGATATTCAATTCCGCCTCCGCCAAACTTTGACAAGTGGTATGAATTCGCAAAGGAGCACAACTCCGTCGTCATTGACGACTTTGATCAGATCAACAATGACTTGCTCCCCTTCTGGGGGCTGAGCCCTGCGAGTCTCCGCGAGAGGACGGATTCCTTATTCGCGTATGGCAGCACGGAGATGGGCGGCATGCGCATTCGGAACGGTTCCCTGGAGCAATCGCCGTACATACCGGGATCCCATCGCTGGATGGCAGATTCTCTACAGAGGATGATTGAGCCGTTTGCCCAGTGGTTGCCAGACATGGATCTCGCCATCAATCTGGCTGATGAGTGCCGCATGGTGGTGCCATATGAGCGCATGGAGAGGTTCAAGCGGAAAGGGCAGCAGGAGAAGGAAAAGGTGAATAAGAGCTATAAAAGACAGGGGGCTTGGCCCAACAGCTCCTTTTCGCAATCTCCGTGGCCGCAAGACTTCACTGAACCTATTCCACGAGGGACGAACGGCGGAAGAGACGGAATCGACCCAAACTTTACCAACAACATCCGGACGCCCATCTTTTACGACTTTGTCGCCCCTTCATGCCCGCAGGACTCACCCGTGCACAACCGCCGATGGTGGGATTGGAGCAAGACCTGCGTCGACTGTCTGAAGCCGCATTCTGTAGTGACAACCAGCGGTCTGCTACTCGCAAACGTGTCCCTCGCTCACGACCTTTGCCATCAACCAGACGTCGCCTATCTCTCTGGCTTCCTGAGCTCTCCGTCTGCCATGGTAGGCACACGTGAACTCCTCCCCATCTTCAGCCAGGCACGCGTTGGCGGCTTCTCCGACATATTGATCCCTTCGCCGTGGAATTTTGATGAGAAGAGCGCCTTTAAAGAGGATAGCGGCGTGGAGTGGCAAGATAAAGTGGACGGCTTGTTCTGGCGCGGGTCGCGATCGGATGGCTTCTCGGCCCATGGACGGTGGCCGGGATTTTTGCGGCCGCGGTTCGTGAATGAAGCGTATAGGAGGGCTGTTATGTTCCGAGATGTTGAGGTTCCGACAGTCAACGTCTCCTTCACCGGAGAAGTATCCAAGTGTGATGGAAGAGACTGTGCCGCTGAAGCAGAAACCTATAGCAAATGGGGTCTCGCCGCGCTGGATAAAGACACACCACCCCCCAAAGCGAACGAACTGCCTCCCAGTGTTCCGTTCGAAGAGCACTGGCGATACAGACATTTGTTAGACATGGACGGCGCGGGATTCAGCGGCCGCTTTCTGCCGTTCTTGGAAAGCCGTAGCCTGCCTTATCGCGCAGCCCTGTTCCGGACCTGGTATGACGAGAGACTTCAAGCCTGGCACCATTATGTGCCTGTGGATATCAGGCTCGGATCGGGACTCTGGTCTAGTTTGGAGACTCTTATGGGAAGTGATGGATACAGGAATGGCAGGGGACCGGCTATGGCAAGGAAGGTTGCGGAGCAGGGGAGAGACTGGGCGCATAAGGCGTTGAGGAAGGAGGATATGCAGATTTACATGTTTCGTTTATTGTTAGAGTGGGGGAGGATCACGCATGATGAGAGGGAGAATCTTGGATTTACAATGTAGATGGGGACAGAGGGTACTCAGCTATGGCATAGCAGGGAAACATAGAATTGAGGTGAATTGATAGACATCTTCAACATGAGAGCGTAGATTAATAGTTGTCTGGACCTCTGGACGGAGCGCATGGCGTTTCATCTGTCAGATAGGCCAAAGCGAACTGTATCACATGAGAGATGAATACCTATTGTAAGTAAACTTGCATTACTATCTAACATTGCCATTTGCATCATCATAAATCACGCAGCCCAAGCCCAGAGCCGTTCGACTAGGTTCTTCGGCCTCCCTTCATACTCGGTAGACTCATCCAACTGCCGTCCGGTGTCAAGATCAATCTCTCTGGAGCTGCGAAACTTTGTCTTTTTGATAACCTTCCACCCAAAGAACAGCGTAAAGAAGATGCTTTTGAAAGGTCAGATTAGCCAACGAACTGCTACCAGAGTCAACGGAGAGGAGGGTAAACGTACGGTATGCCAACATAGGCAACCACAAACTTTTGCGTATCCCAGTGCCCATGAATAAACACACTGAATCCGTTGAAAATAATCACAATGATGAAGAACCCCAGACTGGCCCACGAAAGATAGGGCTGAAAGACCCCGCCAAAAGCCAGTTCTCCCTTACGGTCAATCCCCTGAGCGCGGAGTGCGCGGTCGAAACCAATGTACGCGATGCAAATGCTGCACCACGTAAACAGCGCCGCAGTCGTCACGAGATTGGCAAACCACGAAAACACCCTGGCGCTATCGGAGCTGACGGCCATGTAGGTAAGTGGCGCGAGAGACCCCGTGGCCAAAACGCAGTAGATGGGAACGCCCCTTTTGGTGCACTTGAGCAGAAACCTGGGCGCCTGGCCACCTTCGGCGAGGGCAAGTAGATATCGACTGCCGCTGTAGAGAAGGGCGTTTCCTGCTGAAGCGGCAGACATGAGGACGACGGCGTTGATGATGGATGGAAGGACCTTGATGCCAGCACGCGTGATGCCAATGACCCATGGCGAACTGGCCACTCCGGCACCGCCATTCAGGAGACGGTCATCTGTGTAAGGTACGATGACGCCAATTGCGAGGGTTCCAAGGACGTAGAAGAAGATTATGCGCCAAAAGAGGCGGTTCACGGCCTTTGGAATGTTATGGCGAGGGTTCTCTGTTTCCCCTGCCGCGACGGCAATCATTTCGATGCCGGCAAACGCGAAGCCTGCGTTGACGATGGCGTTGAAGAGGCCGAGGAAGCGGCCGGTGTCACCGCTGACGATGTATTCGACCATGGCGCCGGGGTTGTTCCAGTATCTTTATCGAATAGGGATCAGTTCGTTTCAACTGCCTCCCTAAGAAGCACTGCTGTTGATGTGAAGACTTACCGGAATCCGAGTCGGTCATGAGTAGGGCCGCCTCCCAGGTCTATGACGAGGGACAGGATGAGAAGGCCAACCAGAGCCACTATCTTGACGCAGGAGAAGACGAACTCGACTTCGCCAAAAATGCCCACGTCGATCAGGTTGAAGATGAAGATGAGGACAAGAATGATGGAGATCCATACGGCGGGCTGCACTTCAAATTAGCTGTCACGGTCATGCTCACGTCTTGGTGACTTGTTTCGTGCTCGAGTAGATACAGAACTCGGTTTGACGGAATGGGATATTAGGACTTACAGAAATGGTGTCATTCCAGAACTGAATTACTGCAGCTGCAGCTGATATCTCTGCGCAGACTGTAATGGCACAGTTATACCACTGGTTCCAGCCAACTGCAAAGCCCAGTGCATCGTCGACGAAGCGCGAGCAGAATCTCGGCGTAGCACCAGGAAGAGGCAACCAAGTTGTCATTTCTCCCAGGCATCGCATCTATCAACCAAAGTCAGTATGGCAGAGAAGGGGCCTCAGTAAGAACCGCGAATCACAAGCTCCATAGCCAATGACACTTACCATGGAGAATATAAAGATACTAGTGATCGAGTATCCCAATAACAGAGACAGGGGTCCCGCCTGGGCGAGACCGCCACCAATACCCACAAACAGACCGGTACCGATTGTACCCCCTAGGGCATACATCTGCATCATTCTCCCCTTAAGTTTCCTCTTCACAGTCTCTCTTTCCACTGGGATCATCAGTCCCTCATGGTGAGAGGTGATGTTGATGGACGCATGTTCAGACAAGTCGGATGTAGTCGCAATCTTTTTCTCGTCCATTGTATGAGCAAAGGCTTGATACCGAGTCTCTCAATAAAAGAGGGTAGATTCCTGATAATCTGCATTCACCATGCAGCATTTCCAGGGGACTTGCAACGTCTTTTGAATGCCTGTTGCGGTTATCACAAGAGTTGCTATCATGAACGAGGACGAGCTGCATTTCCCGATATAGCCGATGACTGGCTTCAATAAGCCGACAGCAAGTAGAGCCCGTCCACGCTAAAGCCAGCGCTATGGAATCAATTTACCGACAGTAGACAATTCCCTATAACCGACAGAAGGTATCTAAGACCTGTCTAGGTATGGCAAAAAGAAAAGGAGAAGCTCTTATATGATAAGGGACGCCGCCATGGCGATGCCCTAGTTTTGTGGCTTGATAGCGTTGACCAGCTGTACGGCAACCGAGTTGTCATAGATTGAATTCTCTCGTATCGAGCCATGACTCCTATACTGCTGGACGAGGTGCCTGTAAGTCGAAACCCCGGGCCAGATCCTTATCTCACCCAGAATACCCTTATGTGTCTGTATCCACTGACCTGATATGGGCCGGTTGCATCCAGGTCTGGAACAGGTTGATTCGCTTCGAAGATGGCCATGGTCAAGAGCGATACGGTGAACCTATAGACAAACACCTCGACAGTACGACATGTCCTGAGATGATTCCAAAGCATCGAAAGGGCTGACCAGCATGTCCTGCACAAGCTGACTCGGGTGCTTTCTAGTTGGTATCGCATTACACCGTGGGCAAGATGTATATGCCAGGATCCTGCAAACCGAGTCAGCATTGGACCTCTCGGCCGTCCTATCAGAGGAGGTTGCGCAAGTCAAAAGGGTAAGCAACAGCTAGGTACCCGCCATAGACTATCTTGCTGTTAACGAGGTTGCAGGTATTGTCACCGCTTAGACCAGAGGAAGCGGGCACGATACGTTGCATCGGCCTCAACTATCGCGAACATGCTGTAAGGCACTCCGATGAGACAGCACAAGGTGGTAAACATGAGTGAACATGGTCATCTAATTGAAGCACCACAACAGGCCGAAATGAAACTACCCATCCCCAAGACTCCAACCCTCTTCCTCAAAGCCCCCTCGACGATCAATCACCCCTCCAGCACCATCACCACCCCCCACTGCCCCGACTCACACGACTGTCACCTCGATTACGAAGTCGAGCTCGCCGTCGTCATCGGCAAGGCCTGCAAAGACGTCCCCGAGCAGGACGCCATGAGATACGTCCTCGGCTACATGACCGCCAACGATGTCACGGCACGGACGCACCAGAACGAGGTCTCGCAGTGGGATCGCGGCAAGGGCTTTGATGGATTCGCACCAATCGGGCCGGCGCTCGTGTCGGCCAGGGGGATTCCTGATCCGGCGGTGTTGCGGTTGCGGACGGTGCTGAATGGAAAGGTTATGCAGGAGGGCGCGGCGAGTGATATGATCTTTACTGTGCCTAAGATTGTGTCGTTTCTTTCTCAGGTAAGAGTTACACTCCCGTTCGACGCTGTTCAGTTGGGTTGAAATCTACTATACTGACATGAGATAGGGGTGTACGCTGCAGAAGGGCACCATCATCCTGACTGGGACACCCTGCGGCATCGGCGTCAGCCGAAACCCACCTGTTCGGCTCGTCGAGGGGGATGAGCTGTTTGTCACAATTAGTCACGGCCTTGGAACGCTGACCAACCCCATTGCGTTCAAGGAACCCAACGACAATGGACATCTCACAGATGCAAGGGCTTGAGGCTGGAACGGCAAGTTCACGGCTTCATCGTTTTGATAGCCGGGTTCGTGAGAAGATGGAGTAGCATACTTGGAGTTACACGAAACTACTGCCCTAAAGGCCCAATATAGCTATCCTCTGCAATATCTGATATCATCTGCTCCCACGTACTAAAGTCCGCCGCACCAGGAAACGAAAACTGTCCATCCTCCCAGACAGTCGGCCAGTATATCGAGCTCATATCGGAAGACACGGCCGGAGACTCCAAGTCTGGAGGACGCAGTCGCCCACGACCATCTACAGCATTCCCTCTAGAGCCGGGCGCTTCGGCCGGAGTACCAGATGGATAGATGCCCGGCAAAGTACTTCTCGAGTCCCTCGCCTTTGCAATACACAGCTCAATGACCTTGAGCTCCGCCATTCCATACTCGTTCAGCCAGGGGTCTCGATGCAGGTTCTCGCAGTATGCTTCCAGGTCTTCCAATATGGCACCGGCTTGTGCCGAATGAGGATTCTTTACAGCAATGATTCCCAGAATCATTGCGCTGTTAAAAAGATTGTGAGCTCCGAAAGCCCAACGAAGATTGTCGGCGGTCGAACTATTCATTGTACGAAGCCGTATCTTCAAATCCGCCAGCGCGGAAGACATGCATGCCTCGTGGCTTGACCGAAATCGATCCGTGATGGACTCTCTGAGCAAAAAGGGCCGATGTAAGATGATTCTTGCAAAGTGAAATGATGCGTGGAGATAGAGTCGATGGTACGGGATATACGGCAGGGCCTCGTCTCCTGCAATATCTGGGTTGTCCAAGCGGAAATACGGAGGCAGCTGCTCACTCCACATGACCAAGTCGGCATCGAGCTGAAGAACAGCTTCATAGCTAGCCCTTTCCAGTCCGAAGCACTTCTCCTGAATCTTGCCAATGACCTTTGCAAGTCGATACAACAGAAATGATAAGACGCTTGGTGTTGGCATGTTTAGCGGCTGGGGAGCAACACAGGCAGCTTCTTCCTCGCCCATGTCATCCAGCCAGACGTTTTCAGCCTCGTGCGTAAGGCAAAACTCGTCGTTTATGGCATATGGCCGACCCAGTGCGAGGGATATCATGCGGTCAATGGCGTATATATGGCTCCAGAGCCGTCTCCGCTGCTCAGTGGCTTTCCGCGACATTCGCCATCTTTCGCCATCGACCTGGGAAGCGTGAGCACTGGTCAAGTCAGGCAAGAGTTGAATATCTCCAGTAGCTTACGTGCATTCCCTGGGCTTGCCCCATTCGTGATGCAAAGCCAATCGTCAGCCACGACTCCGATACCCGTCGAGTGTGAAGCAGATACCGTGTGACGAGCAGCCCAGCCCGCACAATATCTGTGCTCTCTCCGTAAAAGGATGGAGCAATGACAATTGCTCTTCTGGCAGCCCACTGCACGACAATCAGATGTTAGTTTTTTTTTCCAACTTGTCTATTCACTCGTACACCGGAGAATTGGTGAATACATACGTAAAACCGGAGAGATGCCTCTTCCCGCTCTCGCTGCACATCAAGCGTCAACCGCGGCGGCGTATCGAGCAAGACTCCAAACGCCAATATTATGAACAAGAGCCCCAGCCAACGAAGATCAACACTGGCCAAGTCATCGAATCCGAACCGTCTACCCCAAAACTCATCATAGCTGCTCCGGAAAGTAGCCTCATGAACCGCATCCAAAGACCAGTTCACCTCCGCCAGGAAGATATTCACCAGACGATCAACTGTCGACTTCTGACGGGGCAAAAGTCCAAGAAGATCCCAAACCTGGGCAAAAGAGCTCGATTCGTCTCGAAAAGACTGCAGCGTATCCCGGCCTCGAGATATCCCCGACGGCAGATCCTGGCCCTCCTCACTCAATATCCGCGCCGCCACTTGATGTCCAAAGTAAGAGGACCCGTAGAAAGCTCTTGACCCCCTGTTCGCGAACAACGATCCTAATCTCGGGCTCATGGGCGGCTGGATGACCCTCCTAGGTCTTGGTGAAGAAGCACGAGGCTGATTGACAGCCACGGACTGCGGCGTCTCAGAAGCCTTGGCCACTGCATTGGTCGCCGCGGAATCGCCGCACAGGTGAGCAACTCCACGCTGTAAGCAGCGGTTGCACGGCTGGTTCCGATCGCACTTTTGCTTTCTTAAGTGACACTGCGTGCACGAGGTGGGCTTCCGGCCTCGTCGGCTGCCTCTGCTGGCCGGCTTTCTCCGTTGGGCTACCACAGCGTCCGCCATCTCTAGATCTGGTTCCTCCTCCACCATTCACAGGGGGGAAATCGGGTCCGGAGAATGATGGGGGATAAGCAAAAGGGCAGTTGTCGGCAATTAGGATGCTCGATTGGGGTGGTTAGATTTGAGGAAGAGGGAGCGGTCGTAGCTTCAAGGGAATTTGCCGATATGTATATAGTCGATGGCCAGGTCGACCTGTCCTAAAATCTGGGGAATTCGGGGAACTCTCTAATGACACCGGGACAAGTCGTCGCCAAAATGTTCAGCTGAGGTGTCAACGAGTCAGGGCCCTGGGGAAATTCGACGCCATTCCGCACCTCCGAAAGGCTGTTGGACAAGCAGAGGAGGATGCGGAGAAAGAGGCTGGCCCCATACAAGTAGAGCGCCCTCCGCTTCTAGTGAACTCGCGGAAATATGTTGGAATCCTCAAACCGTCAATATGATCGCTTGCCGCTGTCATACAACGTATTACGAGAGTTATCATTGAGAGAGGTCGAAGACATTGGCGAGGAAGAAGGCCTGGGCAGACTCGAGGAGCTTGCCTGCTATCTTTTGAGAGCAGACGAGCTAATTCATACGTGGAATAATACTTTGCGACCCCATCCCCGTAATGGGTCCCTTAGGCTGACAAACTATCAGTCGGCATCTATTTCTTCTGATGATTCCATGGATAGATCCATTCGCCAAAGTTGAACCCATGTAACCGCCATCAATCTGTTGTACATGCATCATCTATCATTGCAGCACGAGCTCCATACTAGCCTCAATTGCTCGGTTTCAATACTCCTCCTTTCACTTCCCACTGCCGCTGCAAGTGACAAACATCAAGCATCCGCCCTCCGAGGTCCACGGCCCATGCTCCATGCCCGGGTTGCGGTATGCATACATGCCCTTGTAAAACGTCTGGCCCAACGTCTTATCCGTGAGATCGCCCTCGACAATGTAGACCTCCTCAATGAATGTGTGCACAAAGGGACTTGAGTCGGGGTTTGCTGCGCCGGGTTGCCAGCGTTGGAGGAGCGTCTTGCGGCCTGTTGACTTGTCTTCGTTGAGGACCAACTCTTCGATGCCGGGTGTGGTTTGCTGCCAGGCGGAGCGTGTTGTCGGATCGTGGAACTCGAATTGCTCCATTCTGGGGTAGATGAAATAGGACCTCGCTTTCTCTGATTCGATTTTGGTGCGGAGATGCAAAGCATAGAATACTCGGTTGTGTTCAGAGTTGGTGTGATACACGGCCATATGACGGTTCGACCAACCAGATCGCATGTATTGGCGAAGCATCAACAGCCACCTTTTATCACCAGTTGATGAAGAGGAGAGGCGGAGTGGAACCGGCGCCGTCGGGAAATGGGAATAAGCCGACGACGGTGAGAGATGCGGGCGCTATAGACGGTATCTGTATGGGGGATGACGTAGCACTAGAGTACGAAATGAGACGGTTATGGGTAGTGTGTAGATGAAGAAAAAGCCGAAAAGCCGAAAGATATCAGGCGTTCTTGAGATTGATGGCGTTCAGCTGTCGCTTGTCAAGATTGACGTGGGTGAGGCGTTGATACTCGTAGTTGAGTTGCCACTTGCAGACTCCAGTCAATAAGGCGAAAGACCGTCCTCCTTCATCAAGCTTCTACCTGGGCTCCCCTTCGTCAACTTTCTTGACGGCTTCAACCCATGCCAGTCCAATCCCAGTCTGTTCAACATGGCATCCGCAGTTGGCACCATAATGAAGAAGCCCGTCAAGATTGCCCTCGTGCAGCTCCTGTCCGGCTCTGACAAGGCCGCGAATCTAAGGCATGCCGCCTCTCAAGTAGCAAAGGCCGCCGCAGGAGGATCCAAGATTGTCGTTCTCCCAGAATGCTTCAACTCGCCCTACGGAACCGCTTACTTTCCCAAATACGCCGAGCCTATCCTTCCCTTACCTCCAGTCAAGGAAGAAGCTCCCTCATACTTTGCTCTATCGGCAATGGCATCAGAGAACAACATCTATCTCATCGGGGGCTCTATTCCAGAGCTCAACCCTTCCACGAAGAAGATTTACAACACGTGTCTCATCTTCGGACCGGATGGTGCTCTGTTGTCGATACATCGCAAGTTGCACCTATTTGACGTCAACATCCCAGGCAAGGTCTCCATGAGAGAATCCGACGTTCTCAGCCCCGGAAACAAGGTCACAATAGTCGATCTCCCCGAATATGGAAAGGTTGCCATTGGCATTTGCTACGATATCCGGTTTCCCGAGATTGCAGCCATTGCAGCCCGCAAGGGAGCTTTCGCCTTGATCTACCCCGGTGCTTTCAACCTCGTCACAGGTGCTCTGCACTGGAAGCTGTTGGCACAGGCGCGAGCTGTTGATAACCAGATTTACGTGGGAATGTGCAGTCCTGCACGGAACCTGGACTCGACGTATCATGCCTGGGGTCACAGCATGATACTCGATCCGATGGCTGCCATGCTGGCGGAGGCTCAGGAGGGAGAGGCTATCATTGAAAGCGAACTGAATGAGGATAGGATTTTGGAAACTCGTAGGAACATACCGTTGGAGACGCAGAGGAGGTTTGACGTTTATCCTGATGTGAGTGAGGGGCAAGTGGCTTATGAGGATCCGGATCTCCTGGGTCAGGTATGCAACTGATAGAACTCGACATATACTCTAGAGATATTATCAAGGATCAACTACCTACCTAATGCATGAAGTGATATGGATTCTGGAGAAGTATTGTCGTAGCTTGCCCTAATCAGCTCTCATACTGATGTGGAGGACGATGCCATTGATCCGGCTGCTACGATTCTCACCCATTCCGTCCACATTATCCTGTTTGTGTCCCGCATGTAGCACGAGGAAATCGAGTACTCTGTGCTTGTCGTGACAATACAAACGCTCCTGACAAGCTGCGATGACTGTACCTCGTCATTGAATAGTAAGCTACTTGCCATTACACGCTTCAGCCAATATGTTTGATATAAAGTGCGAGTGACCTTGCTCTTGTAAAATTACACACGCTCCAACTTCTTGCCAAGATCCTCACGAATGTAAACTTCGTGAAACTCCCTCAGATAAGGAGACTGCATCAACATCTTGAACACCTCCTTCAGAGACCCATCCTCATCCTTGTCCAGATGCACAACTCGCCACACATTCAATGGCTCCTCCTCGGTGCCCGTGACAGAATGCTCAACATGGAACAACGCCTGGTGCTGGCCCGCGATGATCTTTTCGCCATCCGGCCCTTCAACCTCGGGTACACCAATAAAGAAAGCCCTTTGCTTCTCATAATCCAAAAAGACCTGCTCAATCACAGTGTTGTAGACATTGGGATCCCGCCACGAGCGCTGGTCCGTCACACGCACAAAGGTCTCTTTGGAACCGTCCTTTTGGACGTTGAAGACCTTGAGGCTTCCGGGGCGGATGAGATGCCGCAAGTATTTGGCGGGATTGTGAGCTTTCTTGACTTCCATGTCCCACATCTGGGTTTTGGAGTAATGCAGGTCTGGATCGACGTCGTAGTGGCCGCTGTGGATGACCTTGTTGACGTTGCAAGGCTCGAAGACGAAGGCGGTGTTATTGGGGTCCTTGAAAGCGGCTTCAAGGATTTCTTCGTGGTTTTGAAAGGCAGCCATTGTTGTTCTGATGGACGAATAAGTCTTTAAGTTGTGGCTGAAGAAGTCGTGTCTGGATGCTTGTTCGCTTGAGCGTTGGTTGAGATGAACTGATCGATCGAATGCATCTCATCGTGAAGCGGGGGATAGAACTATCTTATAGAAGGCCTTTAGGTCCGCTTACGTAGCTCTCTATGCAATCCATTACATCGTCATCGCCACTGTTTGAGTCTGTCTGCACGCCAAAGAATAAGCATATGGTTAGTTTCGGTCTCGCGGGCGGCCTATTTCGCGAGCCGCCTCGCCTCTGAATCTATAAGGGCGAGGTAGTTGCCGATTATTCAGCCACGTAACTGTTCCAACTGTCAATTGATAATTGCTTAGGAATCTGGATCTGAAAATATATTGTAGATATTTGGTTGATGCATCTGGTGTTTGATGCGTGAAGGCGGTGGACCTCGGTGTATACGGATGTCCGAGCATGTTTTTTCAACTCACTGGTGAGATTTGAGGCTATTCGAGAATATGTGCATTGTTTGGGTGGCAATGAGCGAGTCAGATCGTTATTGTGCTACATAGTTGAGACTCCTACCATACTTCGGTCTTCCTACTGATGGCCGAATTCCGTAACATACAAAGAGATCAAATGTAATGAATGAATGAAAGGCAGCTAGTCGACCAAGAAACATCAACCCTCAATGATTCGTCTGATAGATCCAGTAACTGCATTTGCCGCAATATCCACACTCTGCATCACATGCAGTCAAATCGACCTCTCCGCTGTCACTGTCACCCTCGCTGTCACTGTCTTTGTGAGGCTCTTCAGCTTCATGACCAAGCCACTTGAGCCACTTCTCCTTCACCTCATCCGAGAATGCAACGCCAGCATCAGGAAGACGTTTGCGAACCTCAAGAGGTCCTCCATCCACCCTCACAATCTCCAACAAGGTGTCCTCGTTCTCCAAGGCTATAGCTTGAATCCGGTGCAAAAGAGCACTCAGACGGCCAAGATCTTCTTGATGTGACTTCTCCCACTCTTTGACCTCATCATGTACATCGGCGACTTCGACATTGTCAAACTTGCCTCGTGTGTGGTGGGCGAGGATGAACTTGGTAATCCGAGCCAACCACAGCCGCGGCAACTCTTCGCCAAGGGTGTCTTTGCCGATGGCCTTGATTGAGCGGGTCTTGAGGTCGAAAATGGCCTCTTGGGGCGTGATTTTACCACCCTCTACCACTTCAAGGTCTTCCGAATCAGCCGATGAATCAGACGCTGGGCCAATGGAGAGACCCTCAAGCAGATTGGTGAGATCCTCGTTTTTGGCAGCAGGGGTCTCTCCACCTGACGAGGTTTTCTCGTCTTCGTCTTCGATATACCCATCAGCACTGTGCCTCACTAGCAAGTCAAGTCCTCCGAACCGGAGTTTGAGAATCCTGTGATGAGACTTTGATGGCCGGACATCAGGAGTCCAAGTGGTGTAAGCCTCCGGGAAAGCGTGTCCAAAGCCTCTGACTCCCAATATCTGCTCCTTTGGCGAGTTCTCCCTTCGAATGAGATGAACCGTCTTGCCCACCACTTCCACGAGCATGCGGAACGAACGCTCTGTTCCTTGAACAAACCGCAGTAGATTGCCAATGGTGCTGTTGCATCCGACAATGTCAATGTCCAGTGACTGCGGATGCATTTTCATTACGGAGACAATAGCCGGCTCGAGGGGATGCTTTGGGAAGAAGGCTGAGTTGTTGTCGCGGTAGTACACGCCATTGTCTTCCTCAAGCTGTCGAGGCTTTTCCAAGGGCTTCCAGAGACGAGGGCGTCCTAGAATTCATTTGGTCTTAGCCATGTCATGTTTTACAGGGATCGGAGCGGCAAGCTCACCAGGAACAATGATCTTTGGGGCTTTCTGATCGGCCCAGTTGTATGAGGCGATCAGCTCGGTCTCAGTGATTCCATGATTGTCGCCTTCTTCACCAGTGTTCTTGAGTTCCTTGAGGTTGATGGCCTCGACAAGATGACCGAGAGGAGGGGGCGTGGACTCTTTCGTCTGCACTAGGGGATTGATAGGCCGCATGTCGGGCATGTAGCGACCCCCTCGGCCGCGCCACGACCGATAGTAGGACATTGTACGGAGTTGACGGTCTCGATGCCCTATACACCGGAAATGGAAGTATCAAGTAAGGCTGGGGAATATAGCGGCAACAGTAGGAAGTAGAGATGAATAGAGATTCTCTTTCTCCCCTAGACGGTGACAGTGATGAAGATATGGGTGATCTTCTAGGAGGTTGAATAGCCAAGATGGGATGCCGGATGGTCGCTCCCCTATATATGCCGTTGGGAGTCTAGAATCAGCATTCATGTGTCACGCCACATGGGAGTGACTGAAGCACATCAATCTAATGATGGAAGCATCGTTGGACTCTGGTTCACTGGACAACGTCATAATTCACTCTCATATCGCGAAGCCTAAAGGCTGCCTGTCGGCAATAGGTACGCAGACGTGAGGAGGCGCAATCGGCCTCCCAATATGGCCAACGGCAATGCGAGAGGCCAATTTCGAGGGCGCAGGCGTCAATTTATATCGCCGGACGCTGACAGGACGCTGCAGCCTGCGCGCGTATGCGTGACGCCTGCGACGTGGTCGAATAAACGGCGAGGCTGTGACTCGGTGGGCTCTTATGTGGGAGGCCGATTATCTCCTGGTCCAACGAGATGCGAGGCTCCCCCTCCATCTGTGTAACATGAGCCGCCGCAAGGCTCTCTGCCCGATTTCTGTTGGTTCAGGCATACAATTTTATCTGCCTTGTCTGATTGAGTGAATGCTGTTGTTCACTGATAGAGGGTCGGTGCGAAGACGAATTATATGTACAATCGACTCGGCTTTCGTCTTTTACAATTTTCGACAGACATTGCAACTGTTCTTCTTCATCATCACCTTCAGCCTCTATTGATACTTGCAAAATGGCCACCACAGCCGCTTCCGGTCGGGCAGCAAAGCTCGAAAAGCTTTTTCACTCCTTCATCAACGGCGAGCGCACCCTCCAAAGCTCGCAAGAAGCCAAGCAATTCTTCGAAGCAGTCGATGTTGTGTGCCAGCGAACCTCTGCCGCCGCCTGCGTTGAACGCATGCTTGCGCGAAAAGAAGGATTGAGTGCTGTGAGAGCAGCCGTTCGATCCAACTTGTCCCATGCTTTTGTCACGGCTTCAACTGTTGGATTTCTCAAGCAAGTCCTGCATCCTCAAGTCAAGACCATCAATGATGGACTGTTCCTTGAGAAACTGCTGGTTGAGATCCTCTCCCCTCCAACTTTTTGGAATGCGTTTCTGGAGTTGTACAAGTCGAATCAGCTCAATGGCGAGAGCTTGATCGCCTTTGCGTCTCTTTCCTACGAGATCGCGGCTTCTTCTACGCCCGAGATCCAGGCTCTCTCCCAGGACGTGGAGGCTTTGATGAAAAGCCTCCCCTTGACAAAGTCGCCATCTGAAGAGGTTCGCACCCTCGGCTACCGCATTGAAAAAGTCTTGCAGCTTCGCAAGGGCTCTGCAACTGCGTCTATTCGTGTGAATTACAGCCCCGGCGGCAGACATGACAATGACTTTGAGGACTTCCGTCAGATAGCCATCTTTCCGACTGCGGACGAAGTGTCTTCAAAGGAACAGCCGTTTCTGCAACGACTCGACGACGTCTTTGAGGCGCCAAGGGAGTCGCGAGCGAGGTCTTACACGGACTGGCTGTTTCGTCTCCTCCGTGAGGATATGCTTGCGGACCTCAGAGAGGACTTGCAGATTGCATGGGGACAGAAAAAGGCCAGATACAAGCCGCTCTGCTTGGGTTGCCTGAGTCTGATCCTCGAGCCGCAGTCGTTGCCCAACAACAATCGTTCCAGGCCCTTCACATTGATGCTTCAGTGTCGCGACGGGATCGCCTTTCCGAAGAAATTCAAGTCTCCTCATGAAAAAAAGAAGTACCTGGACGATAACAGAAACTTTGTCAAGCACGGTTCTATCGGCGCGCTTTGTATCGACAAGAACATTATTTCTTTCGGCTCAATCGTCCGAGAGTTGGATTGGCTGATCCGAGATCCTCCTGTTGTTGGCCTCCAAGTCACCGACAACGTCGGATTGAAGCTGGCGGTAAAGGCACTGTTGGGACAGGACCGTGGTCGCCTCAAGTTCTACGTCGTTGACACCGCCACATTCTCCTATGAGCCGATCCTACAGCGCCTGAAGGAGGTTGCTGAGATTCCGGTCGAGGACTCCATTCTCGATCCAGCAGGACCGCCAGCAGCCTACTACCCTCCACCCAGGCTGCAAGCTTTCATCCAAGTTTTGAAGTCTGCCCAGCGGAGGAATGAAGCGGTCGATTTGGGTGACACCCTGGGCAGCAGCCTCCGTATCCAGATCCGTGACGCGCAACTTCACTCGCTCGTCAAGGGCCTCGAGAACCCCGTTGGCCAGATTCAAGGTCCGCCAGGAACAGGAAAATCCTTCATTGGGGCGATTATTGCGCGAGTCCTCATGGAGCTGACGGACTACCGCATACTGGTCCTCAGTTACACTAACCACGCGTTGGACGAGTTTCTTCACGACCTCATGAAGATTGGCATCAATGGTAGCAACATGGTCCGCATCGGCTCAAAGGCTACCACCCATACGGAACACTTGAAACTCGACGCTCTCGCAAAATTCTCCCTTATAAGCTATGAAGTCAGGGGCCTGTTGGATATTGCCAAGCTAGCACAGCAAGAAGCTCGCGACAAACTAGAAGACCTCATGGGAAACCTTCAAACTCAAGTCCGTCATCAAGATGTCTTGGACATGCTAGAGTTTTCCGACTTTGGAACGAGTCTCTGGAGCGCGTTCCAGATCCCCGACGACATGGCCATCGTGGGAAAGAATAACAAGCCCCTAGAGCCCGTTGATGTTTATGATGCTTGGCTCCATGGAAAGCACTGGTCAAGTATGGGCATGCTTGGCCAAGTGATGGGTGAAGAACACAAGGTAGTTTGGGACATTCCGCCACCCACCAGAACCGCTCTCCATATGCAATGGACCAGCCATGTCAGGCAGGAGCAGATAGACGAGTTTGCTCAGCTGGCTGAGACCTGCGACAGCCTCTACCGACAGATTGACAGTCTCTACAAGGAAAGCAAGAGGAAAATTGTCAAGGAGAAGCGAATCATTGGCTGCACTACCACGGGAGCAGCCATGTACCAGTCCATCATCAGAGCGGCCAGTCCAGACATTGTTCTGGTCGAGGAAGCGGGCGAAATCCTCGAGGCTCACATCATCACGTCTCTCGGCCCTTCCGTGAAGCAGCTTATCCTTATCGGTGACCACAAGCAACTTCGTCCCAAGGTTAACAACTACAACCTGACTGTCGAGAAGGGGGAGGGGTTTGACCTCAACGTGTCACTCTTCGAACGCCTCATCAGGCAAGGTCATGACTTCGCCGCTCTGGAGGAGCAACACCGCAGCCATCCAGACATCTCGCAGTTTGCGCGCCTCCTGGCGTATCCGGAATTGAAGGACGTACCAAAGACGAGCAGCTATCCACCGATACGTGGGCTTCAGAAGAGAGTCGTCTTCGTACATCATGAGCATCCGGAGGAGCAGCTGGACAGTGTCCGCGACCGGCGTGATCCATCCTCCAAAGCCAGCAAGAAGAACATATTCGAAGCCGAAATGGTCCTGAAAACAGTAAAGTATCTGAGTCTACAGGGCTACAAGTCGGAGAACATGGTCGTCCTGACTCCGTACATGGGCCAGCTGGCATTGCTACGAGACATGATGAAGGAAAGCGTGTATCTGAACGAACTAGACACTCACGAGCTTGTTCGTGCCGGGCTGATGACGCAGGCAGCTTCCAAGGCAGCAAAGTCAAAGCTGCGCCTGTCTACGGTGGACAATTATCAAGGAGAAGAGAGCGATATCGTGATTGTATCAATGGCCCGAAGCAACAAGAACGGCGACATTGGCTTCTTGGTTGCTCGCGAGAGACTAGTTGTTCTCATGTCACGAGCAAGACAAGGAATCATTCTGTTTGGTAACATGAAGACATTCATGGCAAACAAAAAGGGCCAAGAGCTCTGGAAAAACTACTTTGATGCCATGAAAGACAAGGGATTCCTGTTTGATGGCTTGCCGGTCTACTGCGAGCAACATCCGGACCGTCAGTCTCTTCTGCAGAAACCGCAAGATTTCGACCAGCACTGCCCTGACGGCGGCTGTGCAGAAACATGGTATGTCACAAATCCTGCCCCCTCTTATACAGCCTCTCTTTTTACTAATGGCATCAGTGGTGCTACCCTTGGATGCGGCAAACATACCTGTGAACGCAGATGCCATCGAGAGAAGAATCACTCACAAGTCGCCTGCACGAAGATGATGCAGAAGATTTGCGAACGCGGCCATAAGATGAAGTATCCGTGTGGAAAAGTCAACCTGGGCTGCAAGACCTGTGCAAAGGAAGATGAAGATACTCGGCGGAGGATACAGCGGGATATAGACATGGAGAAGAAGAGACAGGAGCGACAAGACAAATATGCTCGCGATTTGCAGGAGATGGAGGATGAGATTGATCATCACCGAAGAGTCATGAAGTACCAGCAAGAAGAGGAAGATCACGCAAAGGAGCTCGCTGAGAAGAAGGCGCAACTACAGAGACTCAGGGACACAAAGGCCAGAATGGAAGCATCAAAAGCCGCAGCGGAAGAACAAAAGAAGAAGGCCTCCGAGGAACAGGGACAGAAGAGCAAAGAGACGCCTGACTTCCTGACTCTCGACCCTGCAGCACAGGAGTGGGAGACGATGAAGCGTGAGGATGGAGCCAAAAGCGCCGCATTGGATGATCTCATGGGGCTCATCGGCCTGGAGTCGGTGAAGAGGGAGTTTCTCTCGATCAAATCGACTGTCGATACGCAGATCCGTCAAGGCGTGGCTCTCACAGATACGCGACTCAGCTGCTCACTGCTCGGAAACCCTGGGACAGGCAAGACAACCGTGGCGAGAATCTACGGAAGATTTCTTACCGAAACGGGAGTCATCCCCGGCGATGCCTTTGAAGAGACTACAGGATCGAAGCTCGCTAACAAAGGCGTCAAGGGCTGTGAAGACCTGCTAGAGAAGATCAAGGAGAATGGAGGCGGCGTCTTGTTCATTGACGAAGCATACCAGCTGTCCTCTGGCAACAGTCCTGGCGGCGTGGCAGTCTTGGACTATCTCCTTGCTGAGGTGGAAAATCTTCGAGGCAAGATTGTCTTTGTTCTTGCGGGCTATTCAAAGCAGATGGAGTCCTTCTTTGCACACAATCCTGGCTTCCCGAGTCGCTTCCCCATCGAGATGCGCTTCAACGATTACGAAGACGAGGAGCTGCTGCGGATCCTCAAGCGCCAGGTCAACCGCAAGTACAGAAACAAGATGGAAGTGGAAGACGGACCAGACGGCCTCTATTTCCGGATTGCTGCTCGGCGAGTCGGACAAGGACGGGGCAAAGAAGGATTCGGCAACGCCCGCGCAATGGAGAATTACCTGGCGAGGATCGAGAAGAGGCAGGCAAACAGATTCCAATTGGAGCGTCGAGCGAAAAAGACCCCCAATGACTTCTTGTTCACAAAGGAAGACATTATCGGCCCTGAACCATCGCTGTCGTTGCAGAATTGCGAGGCGTGGAAGAAGCTGAATGGCATGATTGGACTGAAAGAGGTCAAGGAGCAAGTCAAGATACTGCTCGACTCGTTGACCACCAACTACCAGCGTGAGCTCGCTGAGGAGCCCTTGATGCAGTTCACTCTCAACCGAGTCTTCCTCGGGAATCCCGGAACAGGCAAGACGACCGTGGCCAAGCTCTACGGAGAGATTCTGGCAACTCTTGGCCTCCTGTCTAATGGAGAGCTAGTGGTCAAGACTCCCGCAGACTTCATCGGCGCTCACCTGGGTCACTCGGAATCTCAGACAAAGGGCATTCTCGCAGCTACTGTTGGCAAGGTGCTCGTGATTGACGAGGCGTACGGCTTATACGGAGGCAAAAGCTCAATCAACGACCCTTACAAGACGGCTGTTATCGACACAATCGTTGCCGAAGTCCAAAACGTGCCTGGAGATGATCGCTGTGTGATTCTCATCGGCTATCAGGAACAGATGGAGGAGATGTTCCAGAATGTCAATCCGGGCTTGAGTCGACGGTTCTCGGTAGATACGCCATTTGTCTTTGAAGATTTTGATGACGACGGTCTTCGACAGGTCCTCGACTTGAAGCTGAAGACGTCTGGCTTCACAACTACCGGAGAAGGCAAGAGAGCTGCGCTCGATGTGCTCATCAGAGAACGCAACAGAGCCAACTTTGGCAATGGAGGTGCCATCGAGAACCTGCTGAGCAAAGCAAAATCTTCCTACCAGAAGCGGCTTTCGGCTGGAAAGTGCAAGAAGAGGAGCCAGCTCGAAGCAGAAGACTTTGACGAGGACTTTGACAGGACAACGAGAAAGGATACAAACGTGCGGCAGCTCTTCCAGGATGAAGTTGGTCGTGAGGACATCATCAAGAAGCTTGAGCACATCCAGTCGCGGGTGAGGCAACTAAAGGCCGTCGACATGGACGTCAAGGAGGAGATTCCGTTCAACTTTTTGTTCAGAGGTCCGCCAGGTACGGGAAAGACGACGACGGCGAGAAAGATGGGCAAGGTATACTACGACATGGGCTTCCTTTCCAAGGCTGCCGTGGAAGAATGCTCAGCCACGGATCTGATCGGGGAGTATGTCGGTCATACGGGGCCAAAGGTCCAAAAAGTGCTCGAGAAAGCCCTCGGAAGGGTGCTGCTCATCGACGAGGCGTATCGATTCGCCGAGGGCAAGTTCGCGAAAGAAGCGATTGATGAGATTGTCGACTGCGTTACCAAGCCCAAGTATCAAGGAAAGCTCATCATCATCCTGGCGGGATACGAGCACGACATCAATCGGCTCTTGTCCGTGAACCCCGGACTGACGAGCCGCTTCCCCGAGACCATCGACTTCAAGCCACTCAAGCCAGATGCCTGCTTCCGGCTCTTGGCCGATCTTTTGCGCAAGAGGAAAACGGAGCTCGCGAGTAAGAGTAAAGGCAAGGACATGGACATTAGCTGTTTGGAGACTCCGTCTGCATTGTTCCTCAGCAGGTGTACAGCCATATTTACGTCGCTGACCCAAGTCGAAGGATGGGCCAGCGCGCGAGACGTCAAACAGCTCGCCAGGAACGTCTTTCACACGGTGGACTTGACGGCGGCTGTGCTCAAAGTGGAAGACAAAAAGGTCATTCAGGAGCTCAACAAGATGCTACGCGACCGGCAGTCCAAGATGGTCAAATCGGGCGGCCCTATTGACATGGATGACATGGCCGATTCTTCGTCTACGCCTCCCAATTCGGGTCTTCCCAGTATGAGTGGTTCGAATACGCAGACGCAGCAAGGCCCAAGCGGCAACGATCCTATGGACATTGACGACCCCTCGGAAGAGGCCACTCCGGCACCTGAATCGCCAGACGATGAATCCAAGCAAGTGACTCGAGATGCGGGCGTAAGCGACGAAGTCTGGGAGCAATTAGAACAAGACAAGGCGGCAGCAGCACGTCAAGAGGCCGAGTACCGCAACCTCCAAGAAGCTCGAAAAAACGCCGAAGCCGCTCGCAAAAAGATTCTAAAAGAGCTGATCAAGGAAGAAGAGATCAAGGAGGAAGAGCGTCGCAAGTTGGAGGAGGAGAGGAAGAAGGCGGAGGAAGAACGAGAGAGGATTCTGCGGCAGCTGGTTGAGCAGGAGGAGCGTCGCAAGGAGGAGGTCAAGAAGCTGGCGAAGATCCGCGCGCTTGGGATTTGCCCTATGGGCTTCAATTGGATCAAACAGGGTGATGGATACCGGTGTTCTGCTGGAGGGCATTACTTGTCCAACGCTGAGATTGATAGGTTGTGAATCTAGCTGAGGTGGCTCTCATATGATGTCTTTATGCTGAATAGTCGCGCGCGGTTCAGAACTGATTGATTGATGACACTTTCACTCACTGAGACCAAATACTCTATTTCAAGATAACTGCGTGGATGCGGATGCCTTGAATTGATACAGCAAGCCAAGTGGTGAAATCGGAGACAGAAGAGCTTGCCCAGATATCACCAATTGAGTCCGGATACTTCAACTTTCCGATTCGGTAGACGCAGGATTCGTGATCCAACCGCCCGTGCACAAAATAGCATCAACAAGTATTTGCATGTCAACCGGTCAATCAGTATGCATATTATATGTCTAGTACATAGTGTGTCTGCGGGGCTTATCAGTGCTCATAATCCTGGTTCCGTCAGTCCCGTCTGATGTCGTAAACGGCGTTGCATTTCTCACACGGACACTGCTTGGTGAGGTCGTATTTGCTGCGTATTGCTTGCAACTCCCCGCTCCTCGCGGACACCCTGGCTGCCAACGGTGACATAAGAGTTATAGATATATATATGGGGGAGAGCACGCTTCTAGTTCCCTTTTGACTTCTTCCTCTTCTTCCTCTTCTTCTTCTTCTTCTCTCCTTCAGCTGAAAGAGCCAATTGCACAGCCCAAAGACCAGAAGCATGGCTCAGGATATAGAACCGTTCTCCATAGCTGTCGCAGACACGGAGCTGGAGCTGCTCAAGAAGAAGCTCTCCAACGTCACATTTCCATCCGAGTCCGAATTCGCCAATGACTGGAGCTATGGCACTCCATTGAGTGAATTGAAGCGACTGACTGAGTACTGGAGGGATGGCTTCGATTGGCGTGCACATGAAGCGAAGCTGAACCAGATCCCGCAGTTCACCACCAAGATTGCCGCGGAAGGATTTGACGAGCTCAGCATTCACTTTATACACCAGAGGAGCAGCAGGCCTGGAAGCATTCCGTTGCTGTTTGTTCACGGATGTACGTCAGCTGTCTGAATTAGGAGTGAAGGTCTAGGGAGAAACTGACTCTATTTGCTGCAGGGCCTGGGAGCTTTCTAGAGGCAACAAAGATTGTCAAGTTGCTCGCTGAGCCAAAGGACGAGAATGCGCCCTCGTTCCATGTCATAGCGCCTTCACTGCCCAACTTTGGCTTCTCTGATAGAGTGACGCAAAAGGGCTTCAGTCTTGCCCAATATGCAGAGACAATGCACAAACTCATGCTGAAGCTGGGTTACGACAAGTACGGTGCGTAATCTTACCTCCCCCGACCACATCAACATCAGCTTGATACTCATCTTTCCGTCGACCTGCAGTCACGCAAGGCGGCGACTGGGGCTTCCTCATCACCCGCTACATCACCAGCACCTATCCCCAGCACTGTCTCGCAGCACACACCAACTGCGTCATGGTCAAGCCTCCTCTCCTCTCAGGCCTCTGGGTCGCTATTCGCTACTACCTCGGTCTGCTCTCCGAGGAGGAGAAACACGGCTTCGCTCGGACGGCATGGTACATGAAGGACAACTCGGGCTACATGGTCATGCAAGCTACAAAGCCCAACACGCTGAGCTTCGCACTGGCCGATTCGCCTGTCGCGGTGCTGGCGTGGATATATGACAAGCTGCACGACTGGACGGATGCGTACCCGTGGACCGACGACGAGATTCTCGAGTGGATTTCCATATATCAGTTTTCCAAGGCGGGCGCAGCCTCGAGTGTCATGATCTACTACGAGATATTCAAGATGCAAACTGACACAGCCTTCAAGATGATGGAGTATATCCCTCATGTGCCCCTGGGGTTGTCGTACTTTCCGAAGGAGTTGTCGATTTCGCCAAAGGCCTGGGGCAGATCGCTCGGGCCCGTGGTCTTTGAGGGCTCGCATAGCAAAGGAGGGCATTTTGCCGCGTATGAGTGTCCTGAGGAGCTTGTGGGAGACTTGAGAGAGATGTTTGGCAGAGCAGGCGGTGCGTCCAAAGTCGCCGAGACTTTCAAGGCTACGTGAACGGCCTTGGGCGTTGACAGACAAGGCGGATTGAACGATAGGTCATTGATATTTGACTCTAGTGCTCACATTATGCCTGTTGAGGATAATTGAAAGATGTGTCTAATTTGCGCCGGAGTATGCTTTATGTACATGATAAGCCTTGGGGAGCAGTAATACAGACTGCTCGCTTGCTTGCCTCAGATTGCCAGATATGTTGGACAACCCGACTTCTACCCGTTCTATATATGAATTTCTCATCGTGGGCCAGGCTTCTCTGATTGAGTTCTGGCCTTTTCTCTGTGCTTTGCTTCATGCTTCAACACCACAAAGTATGTGCCCAACAACTCAGCCGCATATCGCTCTCGGTACTGAAAGTGTGTCGGCCCAACTTTCCGTACCGTGTCCTGAGCGACCTGGATAATGGCCGGATGCTGATCCTTGGGCAAGTCCAAGAGAGACGAGATCTCAATTTTGATCTCTTCAGGTTCACCAGCGCAGCCGAGAACTCTCCGCAAATCTTTGCTCTTGACAAGGCGCTCGCAGAACGGCTCCAGCAGCTCATACTCCTGTATAAAAGTCAAGACAGCCTGTAGTGATGTCGGGTCCGACACAAAGGCATTCAAAGGCGTCTTCTTATGCTCCTTGATCTTCTTGGGCGCCCTGGCAGCAAAGTCCAAGGCCGTCGAAAGCTCATCAACCTTCATAACCGACATCCCATACGGCACCAGGTCTCGCCGCGTATAGCCAGCTCTCGTCCGCCACCAGTGGTTGCAAAATATCGCAGACATGATGACTGGGATCAAGATGACGTATCCCCACCATCTCGTCGCCGTAATCATCGATCCGACGCCTCCAACAAGCGTGGCCGTGCCGTTGATGGAAGTGTAAACCTGCAGGTTCCTGCTGCGCCGTCTGATCAGGGCCATGGCTCGCGTTCCAGGAATGGCTTTGGAGGCGGCATTGATGTGTCCTTGGGCCTTGCAGAAGATGTAGTAAGCCCAGCAAGTGTTGAAGGCGCCGAAGAGGGCAATGGGGGAATTGCCGACATATCCAGAGAGCAGATTGCTGGCCAGGAAGATGGCGTCGTTCTGTCCCCCAAGGGCAAGATAGGTACCGATGGCAATAAGGACAGCGCCTGCGCCCATGAACAAGTTGAGGCCCCAGCGGTTGATGCCTTCTGTGCCAATCTCGCGATAGACGACGGACAGGAGCACGTCCAGGTCTGTGGTTGGCTGCGCCTTTGCCGCCCTTTGCTCCCGCGCTTGTCTGAGCTCCCGGTATTGTTGGCGGAGGAATGTGACGTTTCGCCAGGCCCGTCTTGCGTCCAGCATCGCAAAGACGGACATGATGCCGGCGAATGTCGCCCCGACCGCCATGAAGACAATCGCATATACCGGCACTGGATACTTGTTCCACACGTTGGCAGCAAAGTCGCCCGCGTTGGCCAGTTCCAAAAGGCCAACGGCGCGATAGAGATCGTTTTTCAGTCTCGTTCCTTTGGACACATATTCGCCTCCCTTTCCCGCCGGGGCGAGGGTGACGCGGTCTGGCGGTATCGATTCGGGGACATCGCAAGAGCGAGGAATCGGGAGCAGGCCGAGGGAACAGGATGCGTTGGAGAGTGTCGTGCCGGTGGAGGAGAGCGTGCAGGCGCGAGGCAAGACGACTGTCTTTGGTGCCGTCACTGAGGTGTCGCTTTTCTCGTTTACTGCTGGAATGTAGTCTCCCTGATCGGAGGTTTGGTGCGGTTGCTGTTTGTCCCGTTGTTCCTTTTGTTCCTTTTGTTGTTCGTCCACGTCGTCTTGAGGCAGCTGTTGTCGATGATTATCCGTCTGATGAGGGCAATCCTGAGAAACGGTGACGGGGGCATCGTCCTTCGAAGAAGCATCTCCAATCTCAATCCTCGAAGCCGCAACATGTGCAGTCTGCTCTGTGGCAGGCTGATCTACGGGACCTGGTGGATCGTGCCGTAGCTCCTCAATTGAGGCTGTGTCAATCCCGTCTGAAGCCATCGGATGCGGTGAGCCAAGAGAAATCGTGGCAGTGTTGAGAGCCTAAAGACCAACCGAGGCGAGCAATGGCAATGAACAAGTACAATACCATATACTTCAAAGATGAAAGAGTAAAGAGTATGTTGGAGCCAGAATAGAAAGTCAATGGCCGAGAGCTGCAAGGTCCAGCCTGGAAAAGATCATCGTCCCATCATCCAGATGGCCTCTCCTTGGTCGACTTGGACCCTCTCTCTTGGCTTCTTTCAAGGCTTTTGGTTAATACTGAAGACAAGCATCAAGTCAAAGAAAAGGGGGCCAGAAATAGGAGCAACAGCTCACAGAGAGAGTGTGAACAAAAAAACCAGGGAACAAACCTGGCCTCTCATGACAAGTTGCTACGCGTACCCAATTCTTCTCTGCCGTCCAGCCGTCATCCAATTCCACAATTTTCCATCCAGTACTGCTTGGAGATTCCACCAAAGACTGCCGCCATTCTCCCGACTATCCAGTCGAGACCGGGGATGCCGCTGCTTTGGCCCCATTCAGCCAGCCACGGCGTCCGGCGCCCCCATTCCACGACGTCGGCCGTTCGGCATGTGGCTCTTGCTGCTTCTCTAGCGTGTTCGGGTGTTTTTGTGAGTTCCTGATGACGGGGGGGGGGGATTTGACAGGGCTGTTCATGTGCCTGCAGTGACAGCATGCCTGTCCTGTCACGTCACTAACAAGTTGGAATATCACTCGAGCGAGTAAGGAGAGCAACTTGGTCTCAACTGCATCTCCTAAACTCTCATTGAGCAGCAATTGACAGTTAGACTTGAGAAAGCTGTGTTGTCTAAGAATCATAGAGAATCTCTAGCATTGAGGAGATCAGCTGCCCTGAACGCGCGTCCAACCACTGTCGGAACCCGAGGCCATCGCCGGGCGCAAGCTGATGAGCCATCAAGATTCTAGAGCTGCGTCTTAATGCACACCTTAAAGCCACAAGGTGAACGCCAACAAGATAGACTTGCGCTGCTTTTTCCATAGATCCCCAGCTACCCTATTATCTTAGTGTCGGGGAAACAAACATTCAGACATCCATCCCTTCGGTTTCGCCGCAAGCGGGTGCAAATGGATTCCCATAAATTTCTTGAAGCTCAGCAGAAATACGAACTCGTAATAAATGGGTGATGAAGGGTCAGCAACTTGCTCTCGCGCGTGTCAGCCCAATAAACAGCCTCTGCTTCAACATTACCCATCAGCTTCTTGGCGTCATCACACAAAGGAACTGCTGTCTAGTACATGGACTATCCTTGTTGACCTTTGTCTCCAAGGCCACTTCCTACCCTCTGCTGTGACCGTTACCTCCTTGCACTAGTCTGGTTATTTGTTCCTATTCCTCTCTACGAAATAAAGTGAATGAACAAGGTTTCTATTCTATCTTCTAACGTTGGGGTGCTGCATGGCCACTCCCTGAACTAAGAGGGAGGACTAATCCCATAGAGGCCTTTCTGAATCATCTCATCCCTCTGCCGAATTTGCATTCCTACTCTCAGGAAGAATCATTGTTTTCCTCTGCTCATGATTCCCTGCATTCGCGAAGTCCCCTCTTCTGTTTCCCATTCTCATCAAAATTGCTCTCGTCCAGCCAAAGCTCAAATCCCCTCCGCACAGCATCCCATTCATCGTCAGTGATGCTCAGCCAAGCAGTATCCCTGCGTCTGCCCTTTACAATCATGTGTTTCCTATCAAGATCCAGAGACCACAGCATCAGCATGACCATTGCTGCATCACGAACAGACTCTGGCTCCATGATCTAGGTTAAGTCAATCTCACCTGAAGACTCCTTCAAACGTAAAGCCCAAGCGCTTGGCCGCTGCCACACTCGGCCCATTGAGGGAATTCGCCTTCCACTCCACGCGCCAATATCCCAAGTCGTCAAAGGGATGCTTCATGAACAGGTAAAATGCCTCTGTCGCTGCTCTCGTATGCTTCAAAGCGTCGCCAAGAATCACCCATCCAATCTCAATCCTGCGATGGCTTGGCACAATGGACAGATACGACAAGATGCCGGCCGGCTCCGAAGCGGCGTCGGAAGCAGGGCCAGAAAGAACCGCATAGTAGATGGGATCCTCCGAAGCGGCCCAGGCCCTGATCGTGGTCTCACATGCCTCCTCGCTTGGGAACCCTTCAATCGGCATGTAGTTCCATCTCCAGGCGTTTTGCTCTCCTCCGAGATGCTTGTATATCGATCGCCAGTGCTCTGGTCGCAGGGGAACTACAGCACTGTAGCGGCCGTGAAGAGGCGTCCGTGGCGGCAGAAGGGCCGGCTCAGCCGACACGACGGGCGGCCCGACCAATTGGTCCATTTTCTTTTCGAAGAAGTGAGCGCCAGAGAACAAGACTTTTGTTTAGATGTTGGGAAGAGACTGGAAGAGTTCGTTCTCTGTTCATTATACTTCAGCTGCGTTCGGGAGCACGATGACTCATGAGATGCCATCCAAAGGGCGCCGCTGCTCGACATCTATGTAGCTTGCAGGAAGAACGCTCGTACTATAAGCCTTAGCGCCATCATCTCATTACTACGTTGAGCCAGGTCACTTCGTCTATTAGCTACCTATGTCCATGCTTCAAATACAAGCTCCTCTGCTAAGCTGCAGAGTCGTGCTGCCTCGACTCCAAGCTCTCGATGAAAACGCAGCCTAAGTTCTTCAGACAAAACACATAGCAAACCTCTTTATGTTATTGTAAACTCGCGTCGGAGTCCAGAACTCGGCCCCGAGACATGCTAACCCACGTTTGCTTCGGTGGGCCAATCCACTTGCGAGATGGAGTCTCAGGGGCGAGTCTTCCTTCATAGCTTACAGAAAGGCCCGTTCCTGGGGAAAACATCATGTGCAAGGAAACAATCCTTTGACCTGCCGTAAACACATACCGTGATGTGAAGCCTCATGACTGACTCAAGCACCTGCAGCCCATCATTTCCGCCCGGACAAGTGATTGGACAAAGATGCCGGCATCCATCAAGAGCCACCACATTGTGTGCCGTGGATTGAAGCGGAACACAATTGATGTCTCTTGGGCTATTGCTTAAAGTCTGAAGGCAAGACCCTGCCGATCCAAATGTTTATTTCGAGCTCTAGGGCTTGTGAAGAAGTCTCCCCAACTCATCACATCGGTATCTATCGAGCCCATGAAGCCTCAATGAACCGGTGTCAACCAGGCAACGCCCGCTGATCACGTACATACCTTTGCTGCCTTGGCATATGATCTGTTTCATAAAGTTATCCACTCCTCAATGCCTCTGTTGAGTAATGAAAAGACCTGTCAGTACTTGGCGGTCTCACAGTACATAATCTGTAGTAGCTCCCAGCCTCTCTACCGCTGAGAAACGAAGCGTCATCGGATCTCAATTTACTCGCATAGTAAGACCATAGCTTTGCCAGATATGCTCCTTTGACTTAAACATTTGCCTTATATAGACTGATTACAGACGACGTGATTAGTCCCTTGCGACATGTCTCAGCCTTAACGCCAAACTTCTTTCGAGGATCAGATCTCGATCATGCTATCTATGAACTATGTACGAGCGGTTGGGGAGAAACATCAGTCAGCAGAGCCTGAATACCTGGATTCTCGGATATGGAATTGAAGCTACTCTTGAGGAATTCTGTCAGGCTCAAGCTTAGACAGACTGTGAGATGCATCATCTTACAAAGTTGCTTGGCAGTAAACCGTGCAATGGACACCAGGTATAAAGTCAGTGATATCCTCCCCGAATTCAAAGTTTCATCACCAAGCTCCTCAATCAACTCTACTTGAACAATACTACAAACAACCAAACCTCATTCAACAACTCGCCAAGATGCGTTTCGCTATGATCTTCACCGTCCTCAGGTAAGCATCCTCTTCCACTAACTTCTGATGGCTCAAAGCTGACATTTCCTAGCCTCTCCCTCGGTTCGTCGTGACAAAACATCTCCTTTTGCCCTTTTGCACTGATACTAAACATGAATAGGGAGCATGGCCGCCGAGGCTGCTGATGCCTCCGAGGCCTCTGACGCCCACAACTGGGATGACTTCCTCGACCACCTCCACGACATCCGCAACATCCAGGATCTCCAGGATCTTCTCAGCCTCGGCATTGGCCGCTGGGGAAACAACCCTTGTGAGCGCGTTGGCGGTACTTGCGATCCTCTTGGTGCAACCTTCTGCCGCGGCACCTTCGATGTCGCCATCAGCGGCCTGCCTTGCCGCGCTGCTATTGGAACTCCTGTCACTGGCTGCTGCTGGCACGCACCTCGCATCTAAGCTTGCGTCTCTCGAGACTCATAGCCAGGCGCAATGATGCTGCCACTTGGACAATATAGTTGTTGTATGGTATTGGATCAATGAGGGGGTTAGCCATACCGACTTTGATAGGAGATGAACGAACTTTGAATGGGAGATGAAACTTTTATAAACTATCATGACGCGCTTATCAAACTCTGTGAACGTGAGAGTACTCTATATTATATTATGAAGTACCTTGAACACCATTGATCTTGATCATTTTACTCCATATCATCTTCTTTAGTCCAGCCTAACAATGCGCTCCGTCAGCTACAAGCTTCGTTGATGTTCATGTGTCACAGTAAAATTTTATATTTACAATGAGCTGATGATGAACGGGAGTATCTGATCGATTTCTGTTCAATCTCCGTTGATCTAATGGGGGGAACTGTGTGAACTGCTCCCCCATGCTTTATATATCACTCCATCGATAAGTAGCCGATGTCGTATATGACTACCTACTCAGGCCGCCATTTCGGACATCCGTGGAAGAATCAAAGACGGCTTGCGGTGCAACTAAACGCCCTGATGGCAAGTGGAATCACTCATGGGTGCCCTCGAAGAAGGGTTCTGCATCCGAGCCTTGAACAACCTCAGGTCCTTCCGGAAAACCGTGACGCGACCGGCATTATGAGCATACTGATTGAGAACTTGGAAAGACTTAGCATCGGCTTCAGCTGCCGCCAAAGATTTGGAGACTGACCTTCAAAGTAGAGAGCAATGGAGCCTTCACAAGCCTCTTGGATGACATCCGATGCCTCGGGCGAAACGCGCAGCTTTGTGAACCCCAGATCGAACAGAACCTCGTTGCAAAGACGCCAAAACAATTTCCTGCGAATAACTAGAATCTTCTTGATCCTCTTGATCCACCAACGACGGTCTCGGAAACAAGTCAGAACGTGCCAAACATAGGCATTAGACCATGTATAGACTTACCGCCAGCTGTCAAGAACCGACGCTTGAAATGGCGAGGAGTTGCAGGCTGCCTAGACTTGCCATCTCTTTTGCCATGTACAAACAGCCACTCCGCTCTTCGTTCCGCCATGTTTCGTGCAACTCGCCTTGAAATCACCATCTTGTACTGAGGTATTCTAAAGGGCGTGTTAGAATTGCTCAATCATGATAAACAGAGGCGACGGCGTATAAGCGACGCTACAACACCAAGACACTCACTAGTTGAAGGGCGGACAAACGAGAAGATAGAAATTAAGATAAAGACTGAAAGATTGAAAAGTACCTATGAGAAATACAAGAAGTGCATTCTCTTGTTTCTACTTGTAGAGAAATGCAGCTTCTCACCTTCTTCCACGCTCTTGGAGGCTTGTTGACTTTCCTTTCACTTTATTCTCACTTTTGATTCACTTCCAGGTTCCATTCACTCCACTCCACCGCCTATGTGAGCCAAATTAGTAGCAGCCGCCGCATCGAAAAAAACAAGCCACTGTCGTCTAGGGGTGAGGACATCAGTTTGTGGATCTTCAAACGAGAACACTGGAAACCGAGGTTCGAGTCCTCGCAGCGGCATTCGATATCTTTTCTTAGTTGTTTTGTCATCTTCGTTCTCTTTTTTTGCCCTACGCATTTTTTCATCTCTGTTTCTTAAGCGTTTCTTATAGTAACATCATGTATGCCTTGGAGTCGATAGTGCGCTGCTTCAATCACCCAGCAGCTTAGCGATCGAAACGAAGCTGCTGTGCTTTTACATGCCATAGCAAACTGCCGCCGCAATGAACACATACTCAGGTAGCTTGGTATACCTAAATTAAATACTGTAGGTACGGTAAGGTTGGTAGGCCATTGTAACATACATGTAGGTAGTAAGAAACGATGTAGATATATCGGCTGTGAGTCTCCTACATGAAGGCTGCTGTTCTGGGCTCTTCTGTCCTGAAGAAAAGCATAATATCTTGCACCTGAACTGACTACATTGGTGCAATAGCATCACCGGGATAATCTCCTCATGGCGCCTGATCAAAGTCATAACTATTCCCAAAGCCACGGTTCAGATATGTTTTGATAGCTTCCTCCGAGCTGACCCAATCCACTGGGATGTCCAGCCCCAGCTGCCCCTGTCGGTCAAGCTCCTCCAAGACCGGCTTCAAGTCCTCGCCAAGCTGCAGCCTCATGGGATTGCGATACCAAGGCGCAAAGTGAATCATGGCGAGCATGATCCGGACCTGGTCCGAAGGATTCGGCATCCCGGCGTGCCAGAGCCTCAGGTCGCGCAGCACGACGGATCCCTTCTTGACGGTGGGTTGAATAGGAGGGCGGACGGCTTTGCGGTCGCGGAGGTGTTTCTCCTTGATGCGGCCGCTGGCTCGTTCGCCGTGAGCGCCTTCTTGGTAAGAGATGTCGGTGTTGTGTGTTCCCAGCCAAAGCTCGGTCGAGCCGTTCTCGGGCGTCATCGTAACCAAAGGTACGTTGACGACGAGAGCAAAGGGATGCGTCGGGTGGGCGAAATCGGCATCGGAGTGTACTGGCTGTCGCTGGGGAGAGGCGCCGGGGAGGGGAGGCATGGCCGAGTTGGCCGAGCAGAATGTCCATTTGGGCCGTGGGCCGAGAACCGCGGACGTGACTTGGGTAGCAATGGTGTCTACATGGTTGCGAGACATTGTTAGTCTGTAATATCGTGGGGGGTTATGATCCCATGTCGAGAAAAGAGCTCGTCTTACTCGTGAAGATTGATGGGAAGAAGAACTCGGCCACGGGGGGCGGGTCTTGCTGCAGATTGCCCTGGTTGTAGTTGAACGGCCCTTTTTCGCCCATGCGCTGGAGCACGCGGGCGTCTTGCACCATTTTGGCGTTGAGGAGGTCAGCGTCTGTATGTGGCACGACATCCTCAATCACCACGAGACCATCCTGGTGGATGTGTCGCACGGCCTTTTCGAGGTTGCGCTCGTCGAGCCTGCCGTGCTTCACCTCATTGACGCTAGGACGGACGACTGCCGGCCAGTGAAGGCCAGGAGATGGGGATGGTGGAGGCTTTGTTGCGGAAGCAATGGTTGCTAGGCCGCGACTTGTAAGACGAGGAGCGTGGAGGCGGACTGCCAACATCGTGGGCTTGTGTTGTATTACTGCTGTATAGTTTGTAATATGACAGTATCTCTGGGACAATCAGAGTCAATGAGAATATGAACAAAGATGAGACAACTCATTGCTTTGAAGCAGACATTTATCGGCTTTCTATGATACGTTCCATGAAAGGAGGATATAAGGTGCCACCAATAGGTACAAAGAGATGCTATACGCAAACCCGAGCTCGGGATATCTTGCCCAGTACGAGCTAATACGAAGCGGGGGAGCCCGGACTCGGCCCCGCTTCCCCAGAGAAAGGTGGTGATCTCGGCTCGGGATGGTCTGCTGCTGTCCATGACTGCTTGAGGCTGGAGATGAGGCGCTCGACTGGCCAGCCGACGGGGCGCTTGCACGAGGCCAGACGGCGGATGACCTCCTGTCTGGCTTGTTCGGACCGTATAAACTTGCCACCTGGGAGAAACTCGCGTCGTAAGGATGGGGACGGGTATAAAGGGGGTAAAGGGGGGGTTGGGTTGGTAGAAAGTTGGTGGAGGGTCACTTACAGTAGGCAATAGGGCCGAAACTGTTGACCACGACGGACGGTATGTTTGTTGTAAAGGCGATACCACAAATCTCGAGGGCGTAAGCATCCAGGAGGTCGTCTTTGTCTGCAGCATGGCCGGTGATGGCGGTGTTAGCATTCACTGCTGGAAGCATTGACAGCTGGCCTGGTTGTGCAGAGACGGCGAGTATTGAGAGTGAGACGAGCAGATACTGCCTCGCCGATGCTGTTGAGAACTTTGTATTAGCTATCACTGACCATGATGTGACAGTTGCTGGTGGCTTTACCAGGAGGGGTGGTGAGCACTTACCGTGGAAGTCTTGAAGGAACCAGAAGCTTGGTAGTTCGCCTACCGTCGACAAAGTCACTGACCTGCCTCTAGAAAATGGTTGAACATGTGTTGGGAGTTCCCCAAGCCAAGTGTGTACCATGTCGACAAGCTTCTGCCAGTCAACCGCGGAGATTTGACTTCGGAATGCCTTGTTGATGATTTGACCAAGTATGAGCGAAACAGAGTGGAGTTGCTTGTCATGGCCATCATCAGCCAAGCTCGGAGCAGCAGACTCAGTCACATCCATCTTCAACGGGCAGCCTTCAAACAGACTGAACGTAATGTCCTCACGCAAATAGTTCCAAAACCTGGCAGCGAGGAGGCTATCCGGGGGACTCCCTGTGATGGAGGCTTCACATGATGCCAGTGAATATGCGCCCCTGAGATGCCTGTTGGGGTCAACGTCCTCTTGTCTCACGTTAGCCTATCTATGGATCATCCATGCTATATCTGCATCAAATAGATTCATGAAAGGGGGAAAAGGGACTCACCATCGAGGATCTCGTACGACCGCAACAAACACGCCGCAGCTAGTGCGACGCCATTCGTCAACAGCTCGCTCTTCTCATCCAATTGGATCAGGCGGCGGACGCAGTGGCCGTGGTAGAAGGCGGCTGATTCCCTGGCGATCTGGGGCCCTCTTGTTTGACACTGGTGTTCGGCCGATAGGGCGATGACGGCGCTGAAGAGAAGCGGCTCGTCGAGGGCCAGCAGGGGCACCTTGGTCTCGAATTGGCGCAGGGCGTCGCCGAGGTCATACCACTTTGCGAGCGAGTTAATGTAGTTGTGGAAGTACCAGGCAACATCTGGCAGCTCCAAAGCAGCTCTGGGATCCTCCGGGGACGGAAATCTGGTTCTCCCAGCTGTTTCTTGAGCAAGTGAGTGAAGGCTCAGTAAGTCAAGGAAGGGGACAGAGAGATGAAAGATTGCAGCGAGGTACCCTCATACCACGATACAAAGGGACCATTGGTAGCTTGAAACATACCATTGACAATATTTGCTGGCTCTGATGGATGGTGGTATAGCAGCCATCTGGACGACTTCTGCGGACGCGCGCAGTATCTCCGAGACCTTGTGCATTGGCCACAGATGGGTCTAGCCTCATCACCTGTCAAGAGGAGGAGCACATGTCAGTTTTAAGGAATTGTATGACAAAGATGAGTAACACAATGAATATTCAGGAACTAGCAATGAATTGGGTAGCTGTGAGAGCTCGGCGAGACAGCATTGGACCGTGTGCTACTCACATTTCACTTTGCGCTGTCTGCACGTATCGCTGTGCAGAGGCCAGTGGTGGATACGATGAGCTTCTTGCATCTATGTATATGAGTCGAAGGAAGACATGGAGTCGTTGCGTACCAGGCTATGATATCACAAGGTCAGTGAGGGTGACAATGGCAGGGTTGAGGCAGGGGAGCCGGTGTTAGTGACGGCCATGTCCACGCACACGGCTACATCCGAGTGACGCATACTTGGATCGGGGTACGAGTTATATATATGTACATTCAGACGCCAGGCAACTAGGTAGGGAGACAATGGCACCGCGATGTGACATATTTGATGGCCATGTGCTTACCTGCTACGTTTAATGTTCGTGGCATTGACTGTCGACGATATCAGGCGAATCAATGTGATAAATCTGATGCTCTGGTTGCCCCCGTCTCTCCAGAGATGTGTCAGATACTAGGAAGATGCGTCAATCAGATGTCAGATAGAAGAGTCCAAGAGCAGAGTCCGGAGTCACTTCAACGGCGGCCCGCCTAATACGTCTAGCCGGTGGAATAGTCTTCTGCGGGGAAGCGGGAAGCCGGAGATAAAGATTGGGAAATCGGCCTCTTTGAGCCTCGCAGGATGCAAAAACATGGATCTCACGTTCATCGAGCTGGTTGAGCTCTTTGCGTTCCCTAGCCCACCCACTTAAAGTTAGAGTCCGGGGGCTTTCACATACGATCGTTCGACCATTAAGCCACATCGACCTCGTATATCTGCTCAAGAAGATATGACTGAAAGCTCGATTGCTTGACGATACATCGATACAATGTAGAGGAGGGCAACACATTGCGAGTGTTGAAGCTCCAGATCCTACAGAAAACATCGAACGCAAGTGCATATGTTCCAGTCGCAGATTCACATCTCTTGTCATCTGTTGTCATACCACCAAGTTCAAGAGGTGACCATCATTGCTACCCCACGGGAGGTGTCTGCTACCCTAAATACAAAGAAAACCAATGTCGCGATGCCGCCTCTGGCATGTAGTGAAACATTGGACGAGCAACGGAAAGTGCACCGCATGACGCACACATGCTTGTTGACGATGCGACATCATACTGCGTTACAAGCGCAGAAGAGCGTATGTACACATGCAACGCCCGTCACTTATAACCGGCTGCTTATTAGTAGAAGTTATAGTTAACAAGGAGCGAACGAATGTTTATGCGCTTGTGATGCCGCGGTGAAAAAAAGATGCGCAGGTTTGCTGTTCAGGCGTCCCTGTTTCCATAGAGGCGCATAGTATACCTATCTAAGCAGGGATATCCTCTTCGGCCTTGCTTCCTTTTTCTTTTCAACCTGCCCTTTTCAGCAGCATTACACATCGCTGAAGAAATAGTATTGACTGATGGCTTGGAAGGTGGGAGAAGAACGGCTCGCGTATCAGTGCTGCAGATGGGATTGAGGGGATTTACTTTTGGTTACATCGTCTGGGCAGAGTGCATGCCTCTTCATGCACTAAGAGCCGCTGCGAATGGAACCTCTGCAACTGGAAGCACTCGTCTATCTCTTGGTGACGTATTGCAGTCTGCGTATTAGCTGGCCATATGTGAAGTGAGCCGGTCAATCTCCCTTCTACATAGTACTGCTGCTCTATCTCCCTGGGGTCACAATCAAGACCTCTTGGCAACTTGGCCATCATCTACCGCTGCTACAATAGTACTGCGACTGATGGGCCCTTGGGGCTCGGACTGTTGCAAGCCGAAATCAACTTGCATCTGGCATCGAATGCAACGACGGACAGATGTTTGCTCCCTTTCTTCGCTTGCAATCTAATCTTATTCATTCTCCAACCTCACCAATGTGATTTGGAGTTGCTGCGTACTTCACACACACTTTGCCTCTCCCCCCGCGTGCTTTTTAGACATAAGGTTATCTACATTAATACGCTTCAAAACAAGCATCAACACCAAGGTTAACCCCCTCGCGGGAAGACATGGGGTGCATGAGTACTAAGGACAGCCATGTCAGTAGCGGGAATTCCCTCAAGGTACATTCATGGTGTGGTTTGGTTCGCAGAGTGAGCCGAAGCAAGTTTGAACCGCACGGTTGCATTGACGAGGGTTGCAACACAGCTGTAATAGGGCAGCGCCCACCAATCAACCCCCCCGTCGTCCTGTTATAGTACTGGCGTGCATCGCAAAAGATCCTTATGGGGCACATTCCCGGTTGGTGCTTGTGGGCGAGAGGAGCTTGATGCCGGACTGCAGCGTCAAGCACCTCAGTTGACGCCCTTGAGCGGACATAAGGTAGATTGCGTGATAGTATGGCTGTACACGGATGTAATAGCTCACCTACCGTAACTCAGGAATGCAATCTCCTTAATTACAAGTCCCACATGTGGTAACTTGACTGGAGAAATGGGAGAGCATTCCTGTCGATGGCTGTAGATGAGCAATGATGGCAACAAGAGACAAGAGCTACATGCTGGGATATGCGATGGCGACCTTTTCGGCTTCGCCCTTCCGGCTCGGCATCCCGATTCATTCTGGACCAGCAATAAATTTCCGAGCAAAAGGCGTGTGCCTGGGAAAGCCAGCTATCGGAGGCCATGTGAATCAGGAAGGCCGTACATTGACGATCTTCCGGCCATCGTCTCCATCAGGAAGCTCATCTTATCTGCCACCCCCTTCTTGCTCGCCTGGCTAACCCCCAAGGTTATTGTATAACATTGTTACTCATCTTCACTCGGAGACTTTCACGCCGCTATTCAATGTCTGAGGGGGGCTTATCTTAGTCTCTTCACATGCTGTACCGTGTTGCTTTGCTCCGTTGGAGATGGTAGAGTGACCCGCGTGGGTATCCAACGAGGCATCATTTATCAGGAGTACGAGTATTTGTCTATAACCCTCGCCTGACACCAAGGCCGGCAACTACTGGAAGATTCGGTCTCTTTTCCAAACTGGAGGTCTGTACATGTTGTTAGAAGCACTGCAGGTTCGATTGGGTCAACTATGCGAGTGAATGGGTGGCAACATGAAGATGGAGGCCACCCACCATAACAAAGGCGGGCTTCGGCATCACTGCCTAATGGTCTCTCTCGGACGTACATCAGATATCCGACCCTACCATGTCTGTAGTCGGCCGCTCTATCCGCGAATGCCTCGATAGACCAGGATTTAGTGTTGTGTATAGATGGTGGAGAGCGTAGCGATGTGGTTGGTTCGTACGGCCTCCCGCCTTTTGGTGATCTACGACTAAAACAAGGCACAAAGGCCTGCGTAGAGTTTTTAGGCCTACCGATCTACTGCCCATCGTGGGGTGAAGAAAGAGTTGCCGCAACTTGCTGCATGCTATCATTGGCATGCAAAGGGCTGCTATGTACGCCATGAAGACAAGAAATGGCACATTGCTCCTTGAAAGCTGCCATGATCCAGTATTTTCCCCCGTGGGACTAGACTGACAACTCCTGGGAGCGCTCTGTGGATCATGGGAGCTCTTCAAGGAGCGCATCATATAGCATTGGAGAATGCCATGCTTATTGGTCGGTTCTGATAGACCGATGTTGCATTCAAACGCCCGATGCAACCTCGGGAGCGTGACTCGAACGCGGCGATATCATGAGCCCCTCGAGCCTCTCCATCCTTGAAGACACAACTGGACCGGCCAAAACAAGAGTCCTGCATCATAGTAGTTGCTGGATTCAAGACTGATATGTCAACGTGACTATCCTGGGGTGGTATCAACCCCATCGGCCTAGCAATGTAGAAGAAGCTAACTCGTCCCCGGTAGTCTTTTTGCCTCCATCATACAATACCAATAAACCGAATACAGCAAATCATGCAAAAGATAGCGGCCAGAACTGGGCACAGCTGCCTGCGGAGAGCCTGCTTTCAGCTCAATCCGATCCCTCGCACATGCGTACTTTTGTGCAATGCGGTCTCGCAATCCTGCTTGGCGCCAATCGATAGCCATGTTGTCCCGGTGGACTTCCCAAACCACCATAGTCTGGTGGCTATTGGTGTCTCGGAGGAGCAACTATCCAGTGTTACAACACAGCTTGAACTCGTACAGAGCTTCCAGACCAGGAAGGTGATGGAGATAAGGCAATATCTCAGAGTCTGGATCGATGAAGAGGTGGTTATTGGGAAAAGGGGAGTCGAAGCATCAAAGATATCAGACTGATGGAAGGGGAAAAGCATAAATAGAGGCAAAGGGCTTCTTCTTGACACAATGTTCCTGTTCTCCTCATCCTTGGATTAGCAAGCTTCCGGACAAGAAGACCCAAGCCTCACAACACACTTCATACACTCAAGACAAAAACCCAATCCCGATCCTTCAAAATGCGGTTGTCCGTCCTCCTGTCCGTCCTCCCCCTGGTGCTGGCCGCCCCCGCCATCGAGAAGCGAGCAGAGCCTGCTCCTCTCCTTGTTCCCACTACCAAGCACGGCCTCGTCGCCGACAAGTACATTGTCAAGTTCAAGGACGGCAGCTCCCTCCAGGCGGTCGACGAGGCCATTAGCGGCCTCGTCTCCAACGCCGACCACGTCTACCAGCATGTCTTCCGTGGGTTTGCTGCCACTCTGGACAAGGAGACTCTCGAGGCTCTTCGCAACCACCCTGAAGTGAGTTAATGATGCCCGTCTTGACAAGGAAGAGACGAAGAGAGAAGGGCACGTACTTACAAACACATCTCTTGCATAGGTCGACTACATTGAGCAGGATGCCGTTGTGAAGATCAACGCCTATGTCTCGCAGACTGGCGCCCCCTGGGGCCTTGGCCGCATCTCCCACAAGGCCCGCGGAAGCACCACCTATGTCTACGACGACAGCGCCGGTGCCGGCACCTGTTCATACGTGATCGATACTGGCGTGGATGCTACACACCCTGTAAGTCCGAGTCCCCAAGCCCGACGGAAGGTGTAAAAGGCCGGGAACCATCAGCAGCAGCAGCAAGCTAACAGGAGACGCTCCCGTCCCCCCTTATATAGGACTTCGAGGGCCGCGCCACCCTGCTCCGTAGCTTTGTTAGCGGCCAGAACACTGATGGCAACGGCCACGGCACGCACGTCTCGGGAACCATTGGCAGCCGCACCTATGGCGTCGCCAAGAAGACGCAGATCTACGGCGTCAAGGTGCTCGACAACAGCGGCTCCGGCAGCTTTTCCACCGTCATTGCCGGCATGGACTACGTCGCCAGCGACTCCCAGACGCGCAACTGCCCCAACGGCTCCGTCGCCAACATGTCGCTGGGAGGCGGCTACACGGCCTCGGTCAACCAGGCTGCCGCCCGCCTCATCCAGGCCGGCGTCTTCCTGGCCGTGGCCGCTGGCAACGACGGCGTCGACGCCCGCAACACGTCGCCTGCCTCCGAGCCCACCGTCTGCACGGTTGGTGCCTCGACCTCTTCTGATGCCCGGGCCTCCTTCTCCAACTACGGCTCCGTCGTCGACATCTTTGCCCCTGGCCAGGACATCCTGTCTACTTGGCCCAACCGCCAGACCAACACCATCTCTGGCACCTCCATGGCCACTCCTCACATCGTCGGCCTCGGTGCCTACCTTGCAGGGCTCGAGGGCTTCAGCGACCCCCAGGCTCTGTGCGCTCGTATCCAGTCTCTTGCTAACCGCAACCTGCTCTCGGGCATTCCATCTGGAACCATTAACGCCATTGCTTTCAACGGCAACCCTTCCGGTTAAGCGATTTAACTAGGGAAGAAAAGAGTGAAAGAAGAGAGCACGCAAATGGTGACTTATGCATACCTGACTGCTGATGGTGATTCAGGATTGCACATTGTTTGAGATGTATATAGAGCTTAGCTCATTAGCTTGACTTGAATGATGTTGCCATGCTTTCTACCTAATGGTTTCTTCGTTTTTCTTTGGTGATTTCTAGGTTCTGCATCAATTTGGCTGTCTGAGTGAGTCTCTTAAGAGGATTGCAGCAGCCAAGCTGTGCTGTCTTATTCATTTGGCAGCTTGGTGGTTGATTCAACCATATGGCACGAAGAAGGTACTGAGCAGTCCGTGAGATACTTGGCTTCTTAAACATACGAATAGCAATGCTTCATATCAATACCTATAATTCCTCGTACGCAAAGTGAGACGTCCATCCCGCATATCCCGACTCAGGCAATCCAGAACCATATCCTCTCCAGAAAGTTGCGCGGCACCGGCTTGACCCAAGTAGACTCCAGCCTGTCAATCTCAGCCTTCCCTGACCAGAGGTCCATCTCTGCTAGGCCCACAAACTTGGTCTTCTTCACAAGCTTATAGCCAAAGAACAAGCTCAAGAATATGGGAATGTCAATGTATGGCGGGATAAACGACTTTGCGCTGAACCGCCCCGGGAAGAAGCAGTCAAACCCGTTGAAGAAGGCAACAACAAGACAGAAGACGATAGAAAAGTAGCCCAAGAAGGGCTGAAACGGAGACTTGAAGGGCAGCGTGTCGCGGTCGATGCCGTTGTATCTGAGGGCGTAAAAGAAGCGGAGGTACATGAAGGAGACGCTGGCCCAGACAATGAGCGTACTGACGGCACTGAGGTTGCTGATCCAGAAAAAGACCTCGGCGGACTCATTGTTGACGTTGAGGTAGACGAGACAGCTCAAGGCGGTGGTCAAGGCCACACACGCATACGGCACGCCAAACTTCTCATACTTGAGAAACGCAGGTGCTTTGCCGTCCAGGGCAGCGGAGTAGAGCACTCGCGTAGAGGCGTAGAAGAAGGAGTTTCCAGCAGACCAGGCAGAAGACAGGACAACCGCGTTGATGATGTGCGGGAGGACTTTGATGCCCGCGTTCTTGATGGCAATGACAAAGGGGCTGGCGCCGGCACCCGGGGCAGAGCTGTCAATGGCGTTGAGCAGCAAGGGATCCTTTGACGAAACGCAGAGCCCGACGAGGAAGATGGCAAGGACGTAGAAGATGAGGATACGCCAAAACACCCTTCGGACCGACTTCTTAATGTTGCGTCGGGGGTCCTCGGTTTCGCCCGACGCGACCACCACGATCTCGCTGCCACCGTAGGCAAATGTTGCCGAGATGAAGACCTTGAAGAAGGCGAGGAAGCGTCCCAGCGCGCCGTCTTCCAGATACTCGTTCATGGGCCCTGGGTGATGCCAGTAGCGGAATCCTATCGCATCGCCGGAAGGAGATCCGCCAACCGTGATGATGAACATGAGGAGGATCAGGCCGACAATGGTGGTCAACTTGATGGCGCCGAACACAAACTCTGCTTCTCCGTAGATGCGCACCGGGAGACAATTGATAAGGACCATGGCCGCAAAGAAGACGGTAATGAGTGCCGCTTTGGGCACATCGTTGGGCCAGAAATCGATAATGACGGCGCAAGCCGAGACCTCGATCGGCACCCCGATGGCGAACTGATACCAGTAATTCCATCCCAGCGTGAATCCCAGGGCAGGATCAACAAACCTCGTCGCGAAGACGGGCACGGCTCCTGGAACAGGCAACCATGCCGCCATTTCGCCAAGGCTGTTGATCACGCAGTAAAGGTTGAAGCCCGTGATGAGGTAGCATATGAAGGCCGACAGCGGGCCCGCCAGAGAGAGGACCTGTCCACTACCGACGAAGAGCCCTGTGCCTATGGCGCCGGACAGGGCCAGGAACTGCACATGCCGGGCTTTCAGACGACGATCAAGCGTGCCGAGATGCTGCTGCTCGTGTTCCGCCTTTTGGTCAGCGTTGTCAAAGGTGGTGACTGGGGCAGCGGTGACGGAGATGGCGTCTTGGGCCTCGACGTCGCCGCCGTATGGCGAGGCCTCGTCCTTTTTCGCCATGGTCTTTATTCTTAGGTAGAGTGTCTGAGAGTAGTGTGTGACATGGTACCACAATGAGAGAGAGGGACTATGACTACCTATGGGATCATCAGGGCTGGGGATACGGGATATATACACCTCGTTAACTTCACTATCATCCCGCACTTATAGATACAACCAGGGAGGTAGGCGCAGATACGGTGCATGGGACCCGAACCCGTAACCGGAACACGACCTTATCAGCCCTCCAACTCACACCCTCTCGCCTATCACTATCCTAGATAGTTCATCGGCCAACTCATGTAACCTAGCTACCTACCTACCTGGTAAGAATGCGGGCTATCATGTCTCACGGCGCGGTACATGTCGGTATCTCGCTGCTTCCCCGCAGGTTGACGTCGGAATCCATGCAAGTACTCCCTGAAATCGAGACGACAGAGAGAACAACCAACGCGCTTAAACGCTTCATGTTCATCTAAGAGGCACATTCGAAGAACTAGCTTAACACACTAGACCTGGCTTTTCGACCCCCTCCGCAGAAAGCCGTTTTCTCCTCAATCCTCCCGGGCTTGGCTTTTGTCAGTCCGTACTTGCTGCGCTAACAGAGTCTTGGACGCAGCGTTTGCGCATCAGTCTTGCAGGCGGTTCACGGGACTAGGACAACAGGGGATGTGACAGGCCGGATAGTAATTATGGGTTATCCGGGGTAAGCAGGGAATTTACGAGGCCGCTTTACGTGGGGGAACAGCCACTTGCGGGGGGAAGAGGAGTAGTAGGCGACTCGGTCGATGAGCTCGAGGTGTCTGGTTGACTTGGACTGCAGAGCGTAGGTAATTGAGATCGGGCAACATTATCGGTGTTCGGCTCGGTATGGCCGAGTTGCGACTGCTTGGTCATTCGGCGAAGCTGATGTCGTGGTATCCTGAAGCATCGATATCGGAAACCATGATGGTCAGTCTATCTGACGTGTGCGGTGACAAGCGAGTCCGGATTTTGTGACATGACGTTCAACTTCAGTCAATGCCTTAGGGCTCGATAAGATTAAGATTGGGTTCTGGCAGCGGTCTAGAACACCGCCACAAATTCTGTCCATTGAGGAGCGTGATGTCTAGGCGCATCACTAACACGGAGCTGTATGACCGGCAGCTCAACGGACTTCTCTTCGTTCAACGGCAGTCTATTTGCGGTACACGAATGGATCTTTCTTCCTGGTCTTGAAGTGCCGCAGTGGCGTGCGAATGTATAGATGTCTCGCTACCTAGAAAAGCTGGCTTTTCTGACAGGGTCCCTTCCACCTCTCCTACCAACGACAAACTGAACAAGTATCTGGCGGTTTCCCAACGCCGAATAGGCCAGTCGCCAATACTCCCTCCAGCCCTGATTGGGCCCCTCGAAGTATCGCCATGTCTGTGTGTTGAGATTATTCGATGGACGTCACTCCCCCAACCTACAGGAAGAGCAAAATGGGAGCAGTGTTCTGCAATGAGCTATATAATAGATCGCTCGATCTCATACAAATTGTATGCTCAGTCAATACAACGAGCGGTTCCAAGATCCCTTCTCCAACGACCCTCGAAACATTGCAACCCGGTGCAGCCTGAACTTGTTCGTATAGCCTAGAAAGCGACGCCATCTTCATCTTTTACGCGATTAGCCTCATGGCTATTTGTGCCGAAGTGGGAGTTGTATGGTAGCAGTGAGGAGATTGTGGCTACGACACAGGCGGGTTCTCTTGAGCGGCTTACATCTCCGCATTAGGCCTGCGTACGATCCAGATCATGGGAAACTTTACAATGGCTTACTCGTTTTATCTCAACACTGAGCTTCCAATTCACTCTATGCATTGATTAACACGTTTGGTCATGTGGTTCTTCAGCTGTAAATCTTCAGCTTCCCAAGAATTGCAACCTCGCTGATTGCTAATAGTGTTGCATGCGTTGCATCCTGGTGCGGCAGTGCAAAGGAGAGTCAAAGTAGCCGGCAGATTAATTTAAGCTTATATCACTCAGGGGTAAACAGCCGTAAAGGACCTTTTGATCTAACATGCCGATGTGTATGTAGATCACGCAATGCCCACCATATCTTGGCAGTCAGATTTGTCCGTGGCTCCGTCTCCTCGTGATACTGCAAAGCACATATGGCGTACAGCTGTGATCAAGAGTCCGTCTGGGAGGTCTCTTGTATATGTACTGCTTGGTTTACATTTGTATACAGATGCGCATCCTATGGCTGTTATTGATCTCGACCTCTTCCATCAATTGTCCCAATAGTTCTGCAAAGAGGGCTTGGACAACTGAAGAGACACCCAAATTGGATTCAGCGAAGGAAACCCAACAGCAGATTGTTCTGTATCGTATTGCTCTTACATACATTTCAGCCTAATACTCTTGTCCCAGCAAGTGGCCATTCGAAACGCCCAACCAAGGGGACAATTGGCTGCTCCGATGAAGATATTAGCCCCTGCTATATCGCATTAGGCTGTCGGGGTGGTCTGGATGAAACGTCTTGGCCAAATCGTGATCGATTGATACTCGCATCTATAAGATGGCACAGATCGACTCTTGATTCACAGACATCCGTCAGCCCTCAAGCCGTTTGCAAGTCCACAAACACAAGCACAAGCATAGCGTCGCAATGAAGTTCCTTCAAGTCCTCCCTGCCCTCATACCGGCCGCCCTGGCCCAAACCAGCTGTGACCAGTGGGCAACCTTCACTGGCAACGGCTACACAGTCAGCAACAACCTTTGGGGAGCATCAGCCGGCTCTGGATTTGGCTGCGTGACGGCGGTATCGCTCAGCGGCGGGGCCTCCTGGCACGCAGACTGGCAGTGGTCCGGCGGCCAGAACAACGTCAAGTCGTACCAGAACTCTCAGATTGCCATTCCCCAGAAGAGGACCGTCAACAGCATCAGCAGCATGCCCACCACTGCCAGCTGGAGCTACAGCGGGAGCAACATCCGCGCTAATGTTGCGTATGACTTGTTCACCGCAGCCAACCCGAATCATGTCACGTACTCGGGAGACTACGAACTCATGATCTGGTAAGCCATAAGAAGTGACCCTCCTTGATAGTTTCGACTAACAACATGTCTTGAGGCTTGGCAAATACGGCGATATTGGGCCGATTGGGTCCTCACAGGGAACAGTCAACGTCGGTGGCCAGAGCTGGACGCTCTACTATGGCTACAACGGAGCCATGCAAGTCTATTCCTTTGTGGCCCAGACCAACACTACCAACTACAGCGGAGATGTCAAGAACTTCTTCAATTATCTCCGAGACAATAAAGGATACAACGCTGCAGGCCAATATGTTCTTAGTAAGTCACCCTCACTGTGACTGGGCTGAGTTTGTTGCAACGTTTGCTAACAAAACCTTCGTATAGGCTACCAATTTGGTACCGAGCCCTTCACGGGCAGTGGAACTCTGAACGTCGCATCCTGGACCGCATCTATCAACTAAAACCTGGAAACGTGAGATGTGGTGGGCATACGTTATTGAGCGAGGGAAAAAAAGCATTGGATCCATTGAAGATGTTAGTCATATACAGACTTAGAAGATTTACATGAATGTCAAACGATGAGCGACTGTGGAACGTTATGAATAATAGACTGGAACCGGGCCCTTTGATTGACGACTCCATATTTTGTAGATGTAGCAACTCGGCAAGAGCATTATGTGCAATACATTTGTTACCATACAAAGGCAGCTGCCAGACGACTTGTATTGCGTACAATTCTCACGGCAAGCTTTCCAGGTGTTATGCATTATGCGCAAATGCTTGATGCTTACCGCAGGATTAATCTCGGAAGAAGCGCTGCAAGCTATATGGGTGTAGTAGATATGTAGATGTACCAACCAATGAAGAACATTTATGGTCTAGAACGTAGTGATGAAGGTTTTGAGTAATTTGTATCAAGTAAGACGATATTATTGATATAATACCAAGCATATATTCATGATAAATTACTTGGAACCACCCTTGCGTCCGGCCTCACGAGCCTTCTCACTGCCGGGCTCGAAGGAGCCACTGGAGGCCTGTCCACCCTTGGATGCGATTTCCTGCACCTTTTCCTTGGGCCTGCACGTCGATTAGACATGATTCAAATCGAGATCTTGGAATATCTTACATGCTGGCGAAGCCACCGGTGTGGCTGGACTGTCCGCCCTTCTGCGCAATGCTTTGAACCTCCTCCTTGGGGCTGTGTAGAAAGGTTTGTTAGCAACATTACTACAACTCTCAGGACTCGGTGGTCGTACCGGTTGGCGAAGTTTCCGGGGTTATCGTTGCCAGACATTGTGTGATTATTTGGTGTGCAAATGTGTGCTATGTGTGTTGTTGCTGTTGGTGATGATGCTGAAGCTGTTGAAAGCAGGCTGGTTCTGTGGGAGAGACTTGGGATATTTATATCCAAAGTTCGGTCGTGTTCCTTCTGGAAGCTCTTCTCTACTCCATACAATCATCCAAAGTTGTCGTCATTGAGCGTTGATCAGTAGTAGCCTCTGAGGTCATCACCATGATCCTTCCGGCCAACAGTCGGCACTCATCAACAGCAACAATCAGCCGCCACAAACATAGGTACAGTAAGGAGTTAGATATCATGTAGTCGTCGAGTACTCGACATCATGACGTACAAGCTTTGCCAGTGTCGGTAGGTGCAAGTATGATGATCGTATCCGCCGTTGTTCGATCGAACAGAGTGCGGTCAGATTCACGGTTTCTCTCACCTTGAACATTGGATGCAATTGGATTGATCCACAATCCTGGAGAATGGCTTCAAGCTCACTGCTCCAGTCGCAAGCTTCAGAGCCTATTACTAAGGGTAGAGCTACCTATGTCAAGAGTTTTCAAGGTACCTAAGCTACATGTGATAGTCGGCAAGCCATTTTGAACGCAGACCGTGAACGGTGATGTAAATCCGGGATAGACGCCCAAGCGTGCCGTGTCAATGACGCTAGATACACCTCGATTTACGTAGAGTGAATGCCAGCCAATGGAGTCATGCACATAACCCGCTTAGACTCTGCTCGGGGCGATACCCGATCGCAGAGGCAGAGCCGCTTAAACGCGATCGCGGTAACCTGTAATCAGAGCCAGCGCTCGATGAATTGCATCATGGAAGCCATTGATGTGGAATGTTGAGCGTATAACAACACGAATTGAAGACGACATTGACTTGCTTCAAGTGAGTGGAGAATTGCCGGGCAGACAAGATAGGTAGGCTCTTGGTGCGCTGTCACATCAATCCATTCCTTTTCCTCTGTTCAATCTCTATGTTGACATTCTGATAGGGATCATTGGATGCCAATGCAAAGAACATGAGAGTGTGGTCTGCATTCAAGTATCCTGGTCGTAAGCTGTGGCCATGGGCGCTGCGGTCAAGGTCAATCGCGATGACTAATCAGTCTCGGTGACTCTGGGGCGGTAGAGGCAGTGTCGTGAACCAAAGCTTGAGCCGAGGGCAAAAACAACGGCGCATCAAACAATCAACGAAAGCATCGTCAACAGTGTCTCTTCCCAGTCAATTACTTCGCAAAACCTTCTCGATAGAACCCTTCAGACGATGAACAGGCCACGCAACCGTCAGCCGCGCCCCCCAGGACAGACTCAGCGCCCGGGAGGCAGATCGTCACACCTTGGTCGACGAGCTCCTGGGACGCCGCAACAGGCCGCGGGCACCGTCCCAACGTCAAGACAGGTCGTGGTCGGCGCTGCTGTCTTCATCGTCCTCAAGGAAGACCAGCCGACAGGCCGAGAAACGCAGGGCATTGTTCAGGACGTCCTCACCTCGGGGGACCATCCCCGCGGCATCAAAGTCAGGTTGCGCGGCGGCCAAGTCGGCAGAGTGCAAAGACTCGATGACGGCTCTTCTCAGCCATCAAACGGGGCGGCGTTGGCTTCCGGTGCCTCTTTCAACGCAAACTCAAAGTTCAACAGCCGGTACACGGACATCAGGAATGATGCAGACTTCGACAACTATCTACAAGGGCCGCCGCCGAGGAGTCTAGCAGACTTCATGCCGTCTCTGGAGCCGCCTGCTACGACTGACGACCTTGACGATGCTGGAGGGGCTCCCTTGGACGAAGGCACGGCTGTCTGTCCGATTTGTGAGACATTTACCGGGGACGAAGCTGCCGTTACCCATCATTTGGAACGAGAACACTTCAGTTGATCTACCAATTACCATCTCTTCTCATTCTTCCCACTCCCTAAAGACAGTGAAGATGCAGTCCAGCGACATCTTACGGCTGTCGCTCGTCATGTTAGAAAATACGCCGTGCAGTCTGCTTGAAGCGATTGCGACAGCACTCCCCTCACATACGACCATGTTCATTGCAAAATAGCCCCTACCCGGGGTTCTATCATCTCTATTTACCTATAGAAGAGTTCGCATTTCCAGGACGCCCGGCAAACACGCCATCAAAGAAGACTAAACCAAACATAATACCGCGCAACTACCGTCCAGTCGTAATTACGGCTTCAATGTCTCGTTCCACGACTGCCAATATTGGTTCGCCCACACAGGCATGCACTTGACCTTATCTGGAGGATCAAGCCGCCAATCTATTCCATCGCCCGCAGGATCTTGCCTTGCCACCGTCTCAGACGTGAACCCCTTGGCTTCCTTGATCTTTTTCGCCTTCTCCACAGAGTACTCGAGGTTCACAGACGGGACGACGGCAATCTTGCGGTAGCCCCTGAACCAGAGGTCTTTGCAGAACAACTGCGGCTCGCCTTGTCTGCATTCACCGGCGCTTTCTTTCGCTGCCCTGAATTGCACAGTCTTTTCCAGAATTGGCTGGGCTGTGAATGCTGTCGCACCGTTCCAACATGAAAAGACTTGAAAGGGACGCTGCGAGTAGAAACGATTTCGAGTCTCGTCAGCGTTCCAAAAGAGATTCCATGCCGAATCCCAACTCCCATCCGGGGGGATCTCGAAGAAAGAATCGCCATTGATTGTGCGGGCGATCCATACATCGTAAAAGGTAGGGTGTTCACCGACATATGTCCAATCCATGGCGCATGTCATGTCCGCACCAAGGGCCCTCTTCTGATGGACGAGCTCGAGTATGTCCTCGGCGCATGCGGCTACATCGTTGAGGAATATGACGGTTGTATCGCTTGTCGCCAGGTCATGCAGGTCCAAGAGTGGCGCCAATGCCTTATTTCGAAGCTGCGCAAGACGCGCCACACGGTCTCCTTTGCTCGGATCAATCGGAGATGACTCGACATAGTACCTGGCCCCTATGCTCTCGAGTGCTGGCCGGAGAGCAGCAAGTACGTCGGCGGTACCGTCTGGAGAGTTTCCCTCCACTATGGATAGCACGCATTGTGAGGGCCCGAGAAAACGAATCGCCTCGACAATGCTGCCTATCAGCCGAGGTAACAGTGGCAAGTTCTGCCGCAGGTTGAGGGCAAAGAAGTATTGAATGGCTGGGCCTGAGGTGTCTTTGCTCTTGAGCTCGCCATATCGTGTGGTGTTGATGGCAGGGCATGCCAGGTTTGGTAGGGTTGAAAGCTCTGGTGTTAGAATCGCCTCGAGATATCGAGTGATGTTAGCGGCCGGTAAGATGGCACCTAGGAGAATGCAAAGAGTCAGCAAGGGCTTGTTGTATCTTGCACAAATAAACAGCGAAGTCCAAAAACGGAGTACCAACCATCAAGCACAGGCTTCACCTCTGCGGTCTTTGACCTCTCAACATCAGCTTCATGGCGAAACGAAGGCTGCGCAAATCGATCCCTCCCCACAAACAGAGTTGTCGCGACGATGAAAGCCACAATCAACGGAGCTGCCAGCATCAACAATCTCCTGCGCATTTTGAGGCCCGTAAAGCACACAGCATGATGAGGCTCAAAAGCGCATGCGTTGGCCACATTTTGAAGCGCAGAAGAGGATGCGGGCTGGCATATTAAGGAGTGCTTTATATATAGATCCTTCTGTCGAGTTTCTGTAGCCGCTGATGGTAGGTTGTGTTGGTTCAATCTTCATCTCTTCATTGGTCCATTTGGGCGGAATTGGCGGCCAGACGGGTCGCTGTGGGGCGCAACGAATCCGATGGTGCCACCAGTGACGAACAATTAACCGCCAGCATCAACACCTGGAACCAACAGCTTTCTGAAGCCTTGTCAGGGTCGCGATAGCTGAGAAAGATGCGTTGTTATTTTGGGTGCCCGACAAGATGATATAAGTACGAGTGTGCGAGGGGGTCATTGCGATGATGGGGTGATGATCTTTTACAACGTTGTTTGCTTCCACTTTTTCTTTATTCGCAGATCCGGGCAGGACCTTGGTGCTACACGACATCTTGATGGATTTACGTGCATGAGATTACGAGGGCGATGGCTGCATTCATGTACACGAGAATACTCGCCGTGTTCCTCTTCTTACTCCAAGTCGACATTAGTAGAGCGCGGCATCTTAGTGTTCCACTGCCCACTCTCGCAGCACAGCTATCTCTTCGCAATGGAACGGAATTCGACAAACGCGCTGATATACAGACAGAAATGTCTACCTGCGGGTATCAAAACGGCGACCCCAACAAGTTCCGCACCGCCAATCCTGGATTCGACTGCCGAGTTGACACCATGAATGGCCTCTGGGGTTTCTGCCCAGTCACCGTCATAGCAGCTACCGACTGCGGCCTGGCCGGAAGCTGTGTCGACCACGGATCGTGCTCGAGGGGATGCGGCAAAACCGCCAACTCCAAGCTGACTACATTTACCTGGTACGTCTCATCTTCCCCTTTGCTAAAGAGACGGGATTCTCCTTGGGGTGCAGCCAACTTGTTAACGACTTGACTTCGCAGTGGACCAAAGCAATTCTGCTCCACCGCCCTCTTGACGTTTGGAGTCGACCAAACATACTCTTATATTGGCTGTGGCGGGAGTCCCAAGACAGATCACTATCTCATCACACCCATTGCGAGTTCTACGCCAACAACCTCAACCGCGAAGACTACGTCAACCACGGATCAGTCATATTCGCCAACAACAGCGACTGAGTCTCCATCGTCGTCGTCCAAGTCAACAGATGCATCTTCCGGCACAACACCCTCAGCAAACGCATCGCCTACAAAGGACAGCGATGGTGGCAGCCGCAGCGCCAACAACGGTGGCTCTTCTCCAAACAATACAGGAGCAATCGTTGGTGGAGTGATTGGTGGCATTGCTCTGCTGTGTATCTCCGGCCTTGTTGCCATTCTACTTTTGAGGAGAAACCGACCGCATGGCCGCCGGACGGCAACAAAGGGGGCGCAAAGGGATACCCATCAGTCGTGGTTCGATCCGAGTCCCAAGACCAAGCATCGCTTCACAGGCGGCTGGGGACCTAGAGAATTGGATGGCTCGCAACATGAAAGATATCCTGACCATCCGATAGAATTGCCCAGCTAATACTTATTCCAAGGCGAAGTGTACGTTGGAGCTATTTCCCGTTCTGAGTCAGGGACCTGGCAATTAAGATGGGACTAATTGTATATACCATGGTATGGAGGAGGCATGAGGGATGGACGTAATAGCAACGGATGACATGATTATAGATCGTTTGTAGAGAATTTAACAACAAGATACCTCTCTGGATACTACCTCACAAGAACAAGTAGATTGTCCCTCGGGGGATTCTTTCATCGCAGTACTGACGATGCCTCTACGCGCCAAGGGTTTCCAGGTACCTACCATTTGGCCTGCGAGTCTCAGCTTGGTGCTAGATGCAGTCAAGAGTGCTCAGGTATCCGCAGTCCTGCATGATCTCAATCTCAAAATGTCGCCTTGTTCCGCAAAAGCCGAACCGTGGACCGGGGTGTCTGTATTTTTAGCTGGCAGAATCAACCAACCAGGGTCAAAAGGTGAAACCGATTGCGGCCACTTCTGCAGCACCTCATAATGGCCATGAAATTGAGACCATCTCAGTCATGCATGCTGGGAAAAGCCACTTCCCAAGGTAAAGGTATCCAACAGAGCGGAGCATCGCAACTGGGAGTCCCAAGGCATTGAAGCTGTCTTGACAGGATATCGCTGCCTATGTACCATCAGATTCTTCGATACCTTAGGGTAGGCAATTAATAGGACCTGAGTTTCCCAGAGACGAGGACTCTCCGCGAGTGGCTGATGCTCTAACGGCTTTGGGTTGCGTAAAACTGGGGGAGCTCAATAACGCGGACAGCCGTGCACGAGCGAGTTCTGTAGAGGCAGCGAACTTCATCACGCATTGGCCTAGCCACCGCAATCTTTAGGCGCAAATGCAACAGACAGCTGCAAAGCAGACCGTAGTAGCATTAAGGCCATGCCATTAATTTGCATCTTTTGCTTCTTACAACTGCTCAATTGCTTGCCTCTCGAATTCAGAGCTCAGCCTCGACCCCGATTCACCGCCCGCCAGATGACATTCACGTGCGGCCTAGCGTGGCCGGAGCGGATCTTCGTCGCCTTCCGGGCACGGTGATTGGGCAGCTTCTGTCCCGCTCCTCCACGTAATCACTCCTGCCACCTTGCGCTCTGTACTGTGGAACACCCAATTCACCTCGTGCCTGCCGTTTCTAGTGGGCTGTTGCTGCGCAGGCTTCTACTAGGCTACTTGTACTGAGGTACCAACCAAGGTAGCAGCAGGCTAATGCTCTCATTCGCTGGCCAAACACCGAAAGAACACAGAGGTGACCTGCCACCTGGACCTCCAACTTCTCCTTAACCCTCACCAACCAAACAGACCTTCTCCTCCTTCGCCAATCATCCACCATCGCATACCTAGGCAGGGCAGCTCATCGCGATCGCTCGCCTGCTGCCGCTCTTCTTTTCTTGTTCCTCCTTCCGTTCCTTTCTCTCGCCTGCGTCTCCCCGCTCGTGCCGCCTGGCGCATGGAAGCTGTCGACGGCCTCCCACTGCCCCCCGCGAGCCTCAACCAAGCTCTTCCTCTCAGCATCGACTCCGTAAGCCGCGGCTATCTCGACAAGCGGCTGCCCTAGGAGTACCGAGTCGACGACGGCCCATACTATCTGATTGTTGGCTTCTCTGGCGCAATGGCGCCGCTACCCATCAAGTTCCAGGAGCTGGTGCAGCTCAGCAGCCTCGGCGTGGACACGCAGTCTATCGGCTTCAACTCTTGCGTAAGTGGTTGCCTAGATCCCATGTGGCCCAGCTGGCGCTCTCAAGCTGCGTGCGATTGCCTCGACACAATTGCATAAACATGGCTAACTCCCGGGTGTGTGCTTGCTTCACCACAAACAGACACTAGAGTCGGACTCGTTCGTTTGCATCCGCGAAAAGAAAAACGAAGCTGCTCAGCCGGAGGTTGTCATTGTCGAGCTCAAAAATGGCAACCACGTAACGCGCAGGCCCATCAAGGCCGATAGTGCCATCATGCACTGGAACAAGCAAATCATTGCCCTCAAGGCCCAGTCGCGGACCCTGCAGATCTTCGACCTCGAGCAGAAGAAGAAGCTCAAGTCGTGCACAATGAACGAGGATGTCCAGTTCTGGAAGTGGATCAGCGAGTCTACTCTGGGCCTCATCACAACCAGCAGTGTGTACCACTGGGACGTCTACGATGCCTCGCAGGATGCGCCCGTCAAGGTCTTTGAGCGCAACGCTAACCTCAATGTGCGTCAATTTCTCTCAGCGTCTGTCATTGTGTCCCCCCTCGGCCTTCCGACTAACCTCCAGTGACAGGGCTGCCAAATCATCAATTACCGAGTCAACAGCGATGGAAAGTGGATGGTTGTGGTGGGCATCTCCTCGGTGCAGGGCCGAGTGGTTGGCGCCATGCAGCTCTACTCCAAGGACCGAGGCATCAGCCAGGCTATCGAAGGCCACGCTGCCGGCTTTGGCACCCTTAGGCTCGACGGCGCGCCCCAGGACACCAAGATCTTCAGTTTCGCTGTGCGGTCGGCGACCGGCGCCAAGCTGCACATTGTCGAGGTCGACCATCCGGATTCCAACCCGGTTTTCCAGAAGAAGGCCGTCGACATCTTCTTCCCGCCCGAAGCTACAAACGACTTTCCGGTCGCCCTGCAGGTGTCGCAAAAGTACGGTGTCATCTTCATGGTCACCAAGTACGGCTTCATTCACCTGTACGATCTGGAGACGGGCTCGTCCATCTTCATCAACCGAATCTCCAGCGAGACCATCTTCACAAGCTGTGCTGATGATGCATCTTCGGGCCTCGTCGGTATTAATCGCAAGGGCCAGGTGCTCTTCGTCACCATCGATGATGCCACCATCATCCCCTACTTGCTGGAAAATCCCGCTAACACAGAGATCGCCATCAAGCTCGCTTCAAGAGCTGGCCTGCCAGGTGCTGATAACCTCTATGCTAAGCAGTTCGATCAACTCTTTAACAGCGGGAACTACCTCGAGGCTGCCAAGATCGCCGCCGGCTCGCCCCGCGGCTTCCTGCGCACCCCCGAGACGATCGAGAAGTTTAAGCGCCTCCCCACTCAGCCTGGCCAGATGGCTGTTACGCTGCAATACTTTGGAATGCTGCTCGACAAGGGATCTCTGAACATGCATGAAACGCTTGAGCTGGCCCAGCCTGTGCTGCAGCAAAACCGAAAGCACCTCCTCGAGAAGTGGTTCAAGGAGGGCAAGCTGGACTGCTCCGAGCAGCTCGGTGACATGATTCGCCCGTATGATGTCAATCTGGCCCTGAGCGTCTATCTCCAGGCCGGCGTCCACCACAAGGTCGTTGCTGGATTTGCCGAGACTGGCCAGTTTGACAAGATTCTGCCGTACGCTGCTCAATCCGGATACCAGCCCGATTACCTCCAGCTTCTCCAGCACATCATCCGGACGAACCCCGACAAGGGAACTGAGTTCGCTACTGCTCTCGCCAACCATGAAGGCGGCCCCCTGATTGACCTGGAACGGGTCTGCGATATCTTCCAGTCTCAGGGCATGGTCCAGCAGGCCACCGCTTTCTTGCTCGACGCCCTCAAGGAGAACAAGCCCGAGCACGCCCGTCTTCAGACTCGCCTTCTGGAGATGAACCTGATGCACGCTCCTCAAGTGGCAGAGGCCATCCTTGGCAACGACATGTTTACGCACTTTGACAAGGGCCGAATCGCCCAGCTGTGCGAACAGGCCGGCTTGGCCCAGAAGGCGCTCGAGCTGTATGAAGATCCCGAGGCCATCAAGCGCGTCATTGTCAACATTCCCGGCACCCCCAACTTCAACCCGGAGTGGCTCTCCAACTTCTTTGGCAAGCTTTCTGTCGAGCAGTCTCTGGACTGCCTCGATGCCATGATGAAGCACAACATCCGCCAGAACCTCCAGTCTGTTGTCAACATCGCCACCAAGTATTCGGAGCTGCTCGGAGCCGTGCGTCTCATTGACCTCTTTGAGAAGTACAAGACTGCAGAGGGTCTCTTCTACTACCTTGGCAGCATTGTCAACCTCTCCGAGGATCCCGACGTCCACTTCAAGTATATTGAGGCTGCGACCAAGATGGGCCAGTTCAACGAGGTGGAGCGTATCTGCCGTGACAGCACGCACTACAACCCCGAGAAGGTGAAGAACTTCTTGAAAGAGGCCAAGCTGCCCGAGCAGCTGCCTCTCATTATCGTGTGCGACCGCTTCAACTTCGTCCATGACTTGATCCTGTTCCTCTATCAGAACCAGCAGTTCCAGGCCATCGAAGCGTATGTCCAGCGCGTCAACCCCTCCCGAACCCCGGCCGTGATCGGAGGCCTGCTCGATGTCGACTGTGACGAGAAGATCATCAGGGACCTTCTCTCAACCGTTGATGCCCACCAGATCAACATTGATCAGCTCGTGTCCGAGGTCGAGTCTCGCAACCGCCTGAAGCTTCTGCTGCCATTCCTCGAGGCCACCCTCCAGGCCGGAAACCAACAGCAGGCCGTCTACAACGCCCTGGCCAAGATCTACATCGACTCCAACAACAACCCCGAGAAGTTCCTTAAGGAGAATGACCAGTATGACACCCTCGTTGTCGGTAAATACTGTGAGAAGCGCGACCCCAACTTGGCGTACATTGCCTACTCCAAGGGCCAGAACGATCTGGAGCTGGTCAACATTACCAACGAGAACTCCATGTACAGAGCCCAGGCTCGATACCTGCTGGAGCGCGAGGATCCCGAGCTCTGGCGCTTCGTCCTGAGCGAGAACAACATCCACAGGCGATCAGTTGTCGACCAGGTTACCGCGACTGCCGTTCCCGAGTCTACCGATCCGGCTAAGGTGTCTGTTGCCGTTTCCTGCTTCTTGGAGAACGACCTGCCCCTGGAGCTTATCGAGCTCTTGGAGAAGATTGTTCTCGAGCCCTCTCCCTTCAGCGACAACCAGAACCTGCAAAACTTGCTCATGTTCACCGCCGCCAAGGCTGACAAGGCCCGTGTGATGGACTACATCCACAAGCTGGACAACTACAATGCCGATGAAATTGCCACTGCCTGTATCGATGTCGGTCTCTTTGAGGAAGCCTTTGAGATATACAAGAAGGCTGACAACAAGACTGCCGCCGTCAACGTCCTCATCGAGCATGTCGTCAGCATTGACCGCGCTCAAGCCTATGCCGAAGATGTCGATCTGCCCGAGGTTTGGAGCAAGGTTGCCAAGGCTCAGCTGGATGGCCTCCGCGTCTCCGATGCTATCGAGTCCTACATCAAGGCTGATGATCCTTCCAACTATGCCGAGGTGATTGAGATTGCCACGCATGCTGGCAAGAACGAGGAACTCGTCAGGTATCTCCGCATGGCACGCAAGACCCTCCGCGAGCCCGTCATTGACACAGCTCTTGCCTTCTGCTACGCAAGGCTCGAGCAGCTGTCTGAGCTGGAGGACTTCTTGCGTGCTACCAACGTCGCCAACATTGAGGAGTCTGGTGACAAGGCTTACGAGGAGGGCCTGTACGAGGCGTCAAAGATCTTCTACACTAGCATCTCCAACTGGGCCAAGCTGGCAACTACCCTGGTCCACCTCGGCGACTACCAGGCCGCTGTCGAGTGCGCGCGCAAGGCGAACAACATCAAGGTCTGGAAGCAGGTCCACGAGGCTTGCGTCAGCAAGAAGGAGTTCCGACTTGCCCAGATCTGCGGTCTTAACCTGATCGTCGATGCTGAGCAGCTCCAGGAGCTGGTCAAGGACTATGAGAAGAATGGGTACTTTGACGAGCTCATTAGCCTTCTCGAGCAGGGCCTGGGTCTCGAGCGCGCTCACATGGGTATGTTCACCGAGCTGGGTATCGCCCTCTCCAAGTACCACCCCGAGCGCCTCATGGAGCACCTCAAGATCTTCTGGTCCAGAGTCAACATGCCCAAGATGATCCGAGCGTGCGAGGAGGCCAACCTGTGGCCTGAATTGGTCTTCTGTTACTACCACTACGACGAGTTTGACAATGCCGCGCTCACCGTTATCGAGCGACCCGAGAACTCCTGGGATCACCAGCAGTTCAAGGAGATTGTGGTCAAGGTTGCCAACTTGGAGATCTACTACCGTGCGATTCGATTCTACGTTGAGCAGCACCCGTCCCTGCTCACCGATCTCCTGGCCGCTCTCACCCCTCGTGTCGATGTTAACCGCGTTGTCAAGATGTTCCAGAAGAACGACAGTCTGCCGCTCATCAAGCCGTTCCTCCTGAACGTGCAGAGTCAGAACAAGCGCATTGTTAACGAGGCCGTCAATGACCTGCTGATCGAGGAGGAGGACTACAAGACGCTGCGCGACTCGGTGCAGAACTACGACAACTACGATGCCATGGAGCTTGCGGCTCGTCTGGAGAAGCATGACCTGATCTTCTTCCGCCAGATCGCCGCCAGCATCTACCGCAAGAACAAGCGCTGGGAGAAGTCCATTGCCCTGTCCAAGCAGGACAAGCTCTACAAGGATGCCATTGAGACCGCTGCCATCTCCGCTAAGACCGACATTGTCGAGGAGCTCATCAGATACGTATGTTTAAACCCTAAGACTGCCCGCTTTGCTTGAATAAGATGCTAACAGGTAGACCTAGTTTGTCGACATTGGTCATCGCGAATGCTATACCGGCATGCTGTACGCATGCTACGATCTCATCCGACCTGACCTTGTTCTGGAGCTCTCTTGGCGCAACGGCCTCAACGACTTCACCATGCCATACATGATCAACCTGTTGGCGCAGCAGACCAAGGAAATTTCGCTGCTCAAGGCCGACAACGAGGCGCGCAAGGCTAAGGAGAAGGATCATGAGAAGGTCGAGGACAACACACCCATCCTGGGCGGTGCTCGACTCATGATTACTGCCGGCCCCGGTGGAGGCGTTTCTCCTGCCCCTTATGGCCAAGCTAATGGTTTTGCGCCGCAGCCTACTGGCTACAACTATTAGATGCAAGTGCCAGTGTGGCAATGGATCGAAACGCAGCCGAAGTACCCCTTACACGTAATGTGTAATGCTTTTTATTTTGCGCCTCGCATAGTTAGCTCTTACGAAGAAGCCCAGACGCGTTCCGAGCGAAGTATGGAGAGTTGAAAGGGGCAACATGGACGGGCTGCTTTGTGAGCCTTTTTTATACTTTTTCATTAAGAATAATGATTGTAGAGATAAAAAAGGGCTTTTCGTCCCGGGGGAGGAGGCAATGGGCTGGGAGGTCTGTTAGTCGCGGACCCCTTTTATTTTACTTTAGCTTTATTTCCTTGCAGTTAGATCGGAGGAGGAAAAGAATATTCTCTTTTTTTGTGACTCAATGGGGAGCGAGGCGGAAAGGAAATTTGCGAGGCTGCAAAATGTGTATGATACGCAATTCAATTTTTTTTTGTTATTTGCTATGACCTTTTGTCTACTGTTTATGACTGGCTACTCTCTGTGATGGTGTCTCGAGGTGGTTAGAGAGATGTCTACTCGTGTGATTACCTGGGTATTTTACTGAAGCAACTGATGTTACCCAGAGGCATGGAGATGTCATATATCGTTGACGTGATACCAGACTTCGCGTTTCACAAGCACGGCAGATACCTAAATATTCAATGGCTTGATAACAGTGTATCATTCTATAATATCTTATCCAAAGACTTCTTTCTAGTCATAAACAAACGCCGTACCCAATACCAGACCTTCTTTAGTACCACGTATACAGTAGTGTTGTTGTACACACTCAGGCCTTCTTACCAATGGGCTTGGGATGCGAGACCTTGAGCCATTCGCCATTGAAAGCATTAATAAGCCAATTGTTCAACTCTGTCAGGCGATTCGTCAGTCTTCGTCGTCTTTCTAGCGGAGTCTGAACATGAAGAGCAAAGGGTTCAAAGGAGGGGGTGTGAATGGAGAAGGAAAACTTACTGTCATATACGATGCGGTTCGCCCCGTGAAAGTAAATCCCATGATCGCTGTCCGGGAAAACATGCACGTCGTAATTCTCGACGCCCGCCAGATCAAGCTTATCCAGCAGGGTCAATGAGTTTTGAAAGTGCACATTGTCATCGGCCACGCCGTGCATGAGCAAGAAGCGCTTGTTCTCCCCGAGCGCAGTGGCATTCGCTATGCTGGACAGGGCGTACCCTTTGTCGTTTTCCTGCGGCGTGCGCATGTACCGCTCCGTGTAGATGCTGTCGTAGAAGCGCCAGTCCGTGACGGGCGCGACGGCCATGCCGTACGAAAACGTCCGGCCGGCGTCCTGCTCGAGCGTCTTGAGCGTGGTGAAGCCGCCGTAGGACCAGCCCCAGATGGCGAGGCGCGACGCGTCGACGTAGTCGAGCGAGGCGAAGTGCCGGGCGGCGGCGATGTGGTCCTGCGCCTCGAGGAGGCCGAGCTGCGAGCGGACGGGGACGCGGTGCTTGCGGCCGAGGAAGCCCGTGCCGCGGGGGTCGACGGTGACGACAATGTAGCCCAGGTTGGAGGCGACGTAGGACTGGAAGTCGACGGTGAAGGCCTTTGTGACTTGCTGCGAGCCGGGGCCGGAATACTGTTGGAAGAGAATGGGGTACTTCTTCTTGGGGTCCCAGTGCGGCGGACGGCGTTCGAGGTAGTTGACCTTGACTCCAGTGTCGAGATCAATTGTGCCGTACTTCAAGACGGGGAGCTCGTGTTTCTTGGCACGATCGGCGAGCTCAGCGTTATCCTCGACGACGACATCATATGCAATGGTGGTGGAGGGCGTAGAGATGACTTTCTGGTACGGAGTCTTGGGTCCGCGGTAGGTCAGCAGGGCGAAACCTGCACCTGATGAGAAGGAGGCGCGGTAATAGGCCTCGGCGGACGTGTTTGTGAGAGGCTTCAGCTCAGACCCGTCGAGCTTCACAGAGTATACATGACGCTGGATAGAAGATTCTTTGGTGGCTACAAAGTAGACCAGGTTGTTGGCGAGATCCACAGCCGATGGAGCATCGTCTACTTCCCACGAGCCGGAGGTGAGCATGATGGGCTCGGAGTTGTTGAGGGGCGTAAAGTAGCCAATGTGTTCATAGCCATTGTGAATGACCGTGTCCACATACCCATCCTCTGGCCGCCCATTCTCAGGGTCGGCCGGTACGTAGGTCATGGAGTGGGAGATTTCAAACCAGCCGCCGTCAATCTTGTTGACATCAATCGTGTTGATTGTGCTTCCCTGGCGCTTGTTGACATCGATGAGAATCACCTTGAGAATGTCGCTGACGCGATTGGTCTGCTTGACAATGACCTTGTCACCGGCCCAGACGAGGTTGTTGATGATGCGATCATCGTCGGGGAACTCGTCGCCGGTGCTGACTGAAAACACATCGCCCTTGGAGACGTCGTAGAAATGCAGGTCTACCACCGGGTTGTGCGCGCCGGCCTTGGGGTACTTGATCTCCTGAACCTCGGGGTACGACTCCTCGCCGCTGGGAGGAGTGTGGCCGCTGGGGCGTGAGATGAAGAACTGCACGGGGTATTCGGGCACGCCAGTTTCGTTGGTTCGGAGGAACGCCAGATACTTGCCGTCGTCGGACCACCATGTTGCACTGTTTCCACTAAACACCTCTTCTTCATACACCCAGTCAGGGATGCCGTAAAAGTATTCCGGCCCGCCGTCCTTGGTAATCTGGACAATGCCGCCATCGCCGGTGAGTCGGCGGATGTAGAGGTTGTTGTCTCGGGTGAAGGACACTGAGTCACTCCGAGGGCTCCAACCGGCGAGCTGGACTCGGGCTTGTGCTTCTGAGGGGACGAGGGGCTCGGCCGTCTGCGTCTCCACGTCGAAGATGAAGTAGATGGCTGTGAAGGAATGTCTCCAAACCTTCTCCTGGGCGACGCCTATCAGCACCTTGTTCTGGTCGGGGCTGGGCTGGAGCCACTGGGGCTGGTAGGTTTTGCCATCGAACTCGAAGTCGGCATGCTTCATGAGGGTCCGAGACTTTGCCAGCTGAGCGGTCTCGTCCGCAGCAGCGGCGGCGGCAGCAGTTGCGTTTCCCACAGCTGACCGAACATCCTCGACGATGAGATAATCCTTGCCCGAGGCTCCTCGCTCCAGCAGGAGGCCGTCCTCGCCATGAGGGCCTGCAATCCAGCTGATGGACTTTTGCTTGGGCGACCAGAAGCGATCATAGAGCTGCTCCAAGGTGACCGGTTTGCCTGAGCCTCGAAAGTCGGCGTCTGGATCATGCTCCACATCGCTCGCGTGCTTGTACGATCCGGTAGAGACGAAGACGGCGAGAGACGCGAGCCAGGCCGCAGCAAAGATGACGGCGCCTATACAGAGAAAGCGCCGCAGTTTCCGATCCATTGGCCGGCGCTGGAGCGCAGCTCCGGTCGAGCCCAGGAAAGCCTCGGTCTCAGCATCGCCAGAAGCCTCGTCCTTGAGAGGATCCTCGGCATACACGTCAGAGTAGCCAAGCCTGGCGCGAGCCTTGGGTGGAACCTCGCCCTTTTCCATCTCCTCTTGTATTCGGTCGAAGACGATGCTGGTCGTCGAGACGGATGACAGCGAGTCTGTTGATGGAGACCGCTCGAGTCGGTCAGAGGCTCGCGGCGCCATGGCTGCAGACGAGAGTGACTTCTCGCAGGGAGGCTGGCGATCGAAGGGGGACTTGCGTGTATCAGGCGGATTGGACAAGGGCGTGCACCATCGTATAAGGTAAGGTACAGTACGATCCGATCGTCTTGCGTGAGCCTGTCGAGCAGCAAAGGCGGTGAAGACGGGAGCGTGAGACTGGCACTGCTACGACGGGAGCAGAGCAGCAAGCAGCGAGAAGCAGACGGTCAGGCGCCGGCCACGATGTCGCTATTGAGAGGATGTTGGCTGTATTGTCACCGTACAGAGGTCTGGTACCTTAGTTGGCGTGGATCGCTGGAGCTCAACTGCCGAGGCGTTGATTGGAGCAGCTGCCAGCCGGGCGATAATCGGTTAGCAGCCAGCCCGCCTAACGGGCATCACCGCCTGCCGGATTCTGCCAGCTCATAGTACATACCTTACTACTGGCACAGCCATCTGCAGAGATGACTTATCCAAGCTGCACAACCTCGACACAACAAATCTCACTGCATTGCCAAATCAGCGCACAACAAGGCGTCCATCCTCTACTGCACTGCAGCTGCAGCTGCGTCTGCGTCATGCGCCACAGTCCCGGCTCGAGCTGCCATTTGTCTATCCTCAGCTTCTTAGCGGCTCCGCACGAGATCGTCACCAAAGTGGAGTTGCCGCATCCCCCATCCATCTTGATCAGACGCCTTGGGGGGCAAGGGGGGGGGATGGGGGGATGGGGGGGGGAGGCTCTCAGCTGCTCTGCTCTCAGCGTTGGTCTTCTTGAAACTGATTGAATACATACGCGATAACGACGTGAAGCAGGATAGGTAGTCACAAGTTCGGTACCAGGACCTTGGCAGATAGACACACAGAGGCGACTGACGGCAATGGAATCTCGTCAAACCAGAGCTGAACCCACCAAAATAGAAACATCCACGTCTGTTGCCTCGTTCCTAATCCGCCACCTCCATTCCATCTTCATCTGCCGCAGCCTTGTCAACCCTCCCCCAGTCTTACAGTCACACAAGCTCACCCAGGTGAACATGTCTGGCGAAGATTCAGCTCAACTAGGGCCCGTCCCTCATCCACCCCCGGCGAGTCACGATGCGCGTGTAGCCTCCTCCATCACTGGGCCAGTGCCTGTAGTTGCGGTGGTACCGTCACGCTCTCGTCAATCTTGACCACTCGGCACGCTGTCCCATACGCCGCCGTCTGTGCAAAGCCACCCATATCGCCGGCGTCGAACCTCAGGCAGATGATGGCGTTGCCCCCCCTCTTCTTGCACTCGTCCACCACTCTGCTGATGGAGTCGTTGCGACATGAGTACAGCATCGACGTGAACCAACGGAGCTCTCCGCCAGCCATGCTCTTGAGGGCCATACCGAAGCTGGCGCCAATGTTGCGCGACCGCACAGTGATGCCATAGACCGTTCCGAGGACCTGCTCGATGCGGTAACCGGGGAGATCCATCATGGCTGAAGGTTCGTTCCATTATTAGCAATGTGTTCTGACGGAATAGGTACCCATTGTTGGCTTACTGGTGGTGACTACGCCTTCAGTCTCTGTGAAGCAGTGCAAGTCAGTGAGATGGCTGGGGATCTCCGCCGTCTCTTGAGGCTTGTGCTCTCTATCCTTTCCAAAGACCATGATGGAGATTGTGCGTTTGTGAAGTCTATAGGTGTATCATAAGATGTGTTGAACTCTGTTCTCTGCTAATCTATCTGCTAGATGCGTCTAGCTCTAGGTATTTATACTCCAACCTCTCGTTCTAGAAACTCTATACTAGGCCGACTACATACCTTAACCTTTTCATCAACATCTACTTACAGTACAGTACAGTTATGGCATCTTTCATCACTTCCCGTTCCCCCAAATCCCCTCACTGATGATGGCATGGCTGGGGAAAAGGCCTCTTACACGGCTCCGCGCGAGAGCCGGAGCGCGCCATCCAGCCTATTCGGTCCAATGCCAGTGGTAGCGCCACGGCCTAGACCGGCCATGCTGCAGGGGTGCCAGCCAAGCGCCGTATTGCTCGCTTTTGGTGTGTTGAACAGCCAGCCGAGCCTGCAGAAGCTATAGGAGAGAGCCATTTTCCTGATTTCACGCATAATTGCAGACATGGACAGAGGGAAATTTCATGCGAGATGTCGTAGAGATCGACTCTTTGGCGCTGGGTATGACCTGATTTTGCTGACTGGTATGAGTACCTCAAGTACCTATGAGGTAGTACGCCTTGCTGCAAAGGAGCTTGTCCAGGTCATGATGATATCAAACCAGGTGTCATGTTGCATGTGACAGCCTAATGGGCAGAGCATTTTGTCCGACTTCGATCTGTACCTGGCAGACAATGGGGCACCACTGCCGGGAATTTAATTGCATGATCGGATACATTGACTTCCAAGGTTCCTATTCAGGGATACACCGAAGATGGTGGTTTTTGCATCTGTCTGGTATAGTAGCGGCAGTACTAATCTAGTCTACCTTCCATTGTAAGGTTACCTTAGTTCGTGTGGTTGAACACTGGCAGGTTCCCAAATCAGCGCCTGAGGTAAGGTACCTTATGTACCAATCTGGATCAGCGCAACTTGCATTCCTCGCTCTTTCTTCAACTCGGACCAAACTCACAACCTGCAACAAACGTCGGTCGAACCCCAGACACGATTCAGCCAGCTGGAGCCTCGCTCGAGACAATCAACGTCGCATTGCAGAAAGGCGCCTCTGCTTTGTTGTCGTGCCTTCATCTCTCGTCTTTCCTCTAAGCACATCGAAATTGCGGCGCAGCAGCCTTGCATGCGTCTCATCCCTGCGACTTGATACGTGGTCTGCCTCTAAACGCCACAAGCTTCAGCCCTCGGAGCAGCCCGACAAGCCGCCCACAACAAGAGACTGCTCAGAGAGGCTATGGTTGGTCCAAAGTGTTTGAGCGAATGGACACTTGATGATGAGACCAGAGCATCTCAAAGGATAGTCACCTGCCCAGTCTTGCAGCGCATCGTAGGCAAGGTGAGTAAGGAAGCCGTCCGAAGTTGCACGAAGGTCTTTGTAGAATTGCTGCGAAGACTGTCAGAAATGAGAAAAACGATGCTGAAAAGAGATGGGATGCCCGAGGTCCTGAGAGGCCTCGAAGCAAAAGTTCGAATTGGGCCGAGCCAGTTGCAAAGTCCTAGCCCAAGCACCTTTTGTATAATATTGAGTGATGGTTTCTCTTCGCAGGTCATGCTCCGGCGGAACATACCTACTTGTCCGCACTTCTGCTAATGGCGGAACTGCCTCTATAGTCTAGCCCCCAAGTCTCGTCGTCTCGTCGTCTCGTCTCTCATCTACCGACTGCTATTCTGGCTACACCGACGACTCGTCGCAACGCGGCCATGACGCTATTTCGGGGGAAAACGTCCTAATCATCTCCGGTGACGATGGCAGATGGATGGCTCAGGCATCGATAGAACGCTGCCAAGTGTGGCATCCGTCTTCCGGCCGAATTCTAGAGCCTGTCTGTCTCCCAACTCAGCTAGGGGATCCCGCTAGTTACGGAACAAAAGACCTCGCACGGCAGCAACCCTTGCCCAGCTGAGTAGGGTATCTTTGATACACCTCCATCATGGGGTATTTCCTGAAATGGAGTTGCTTTGTCGCTCCCCGGCTCGTTCGCTCGGCATCTCGCCAAGGATCTCCTCCTCCTCCTCAGCTCAAACCACGGATCCCACGGGTCCCGCCCCCCCCGGCCCGGAGCTCCCCACTTCTACCGCTTCGATCGGTCGTCTTTGACGGAGTTCCAGTTGCGGAACTGACAGCAACCCCAACCGAACTATGACATATCATGGGGAACGGGCCATGGAAGAGATGGGCTGGAGCACACCTCGTCTGGAGCCGATTCGGTTGCTTTCCGACCACTGATCCCTCCTAGCGGCCGACATCGAGTCATGGTTAAATTTGATTCAGTCCATACAACCACGCGGCATTTACAAAGGTCGGATAGGCCGATGCCAGTTCCTTCAGATCATGCACAAGACATCCTGTTTTTGATCGTCTGAAGCCCTCACTCCTGTTCGAATGTGCGGCACCGGACCACACTTCAGTCCTCTGGCATGCGGGAGAACGCTTCTTCTCACGGTACCAAGACCTTGGAGGTTGCTCGCGTCTCTTTTTTTGGATCACATCGCCAAACGCCACCCGACCGTGGTATCTGCCGTTCGGTGCGCACTGCGACTTCAATGTGTCAGCTCAGAGATCTGTCGCTCGGTAGCTTGTATGGCGCATTCCGGTCCCCCTTCTCTTTGAGTGGCGACCGAGGTTGCTCCAGCTCACACAGCCTTGCGATCCAGCCAACAGACATCGGCCAGATGCAAATCGCGCTCTCTAGCAGTGGACAGACAAAGACGGATTGCGCAGCACCTTGCAGATGGCACACCTTCAGCTCAGACAGAGATGCGCAGCAGATACTCAGTACGTACCCATACCTGCACCGACTGCTTGTAGGTATCTAGGTAGGCATTCTGGATGCCAACGCACATACACTGGTTGACAAGCACTGAGCATCACGGCGTGCGAATCACTTACTCAGAGGGCTCGATTTGCTGTCGTCTTTCTCACCCACCGCTCTTTCTCCGGCTGTGCACCGTCATCTATCTGACAGACAGGTGGCTCAGCTATATAGCAATATATCAGTGACAGCGACTCCATCGTTAAAACGTGGCATGTCACTGAGAGAATTGAGCAAAACGGTACGCCTCTAAACCGGCAGACCAAAAAATTTTCCCCTTGCAGATGGGCACCACGGAACACCGGTCCACACCCCCTGCAAGACACCCCTATGGGGGGAAAAGGCAACGGCTAGTAGCCCACGCTTTCCGCCAAGGCAACCCATCATCGCCAAAGCTGCTTGAGAGGGGGCCGGTCTGGATGGATCCTTTACCATAGGTTACACGCCCAGGGGGTCTCTTTCAAGGAGGAGATGGAAGCGATTAGGAAGCGTGGGTGCGGTTGCGCTCTCGATGATCTCGACGCCTAGCGCTCAGGTCGCGGCTACTGTTCACTGGCTGGAGGGGTGGATGCGCCCTCTATGTCGAGTTGGGCAGGAAACTGGACCACTCACAGGCAAACAAACATGCAGCTGCAGCACCCGCGCAGAGCCTCAACTTCCGTTGGAAAGCAGCTACGGGCAGCGCGAGGTGGTCTCTGTTGTCATAGAGATGGATGTGTCTCCTCAACTGGACAGCTCAAGAATCGTCGATGGCCATGGCTGCAATGATGGACCTGCATTTGCCCTGGCACTCACACGTCCAACACACATCGCAGAGCCTCCTGCGGATATGCGCTTGGCGAGTGTGTTCCTGGTGGGCGGGTGTACATGGACAAGGACCACCCCGAAGAGGAGCGCTGCAACAGGGTTCAGAAGAGGTGCAAGAAGGGCGCTTCATACCGAAAGTGAGTGTGCGCGGGTGCTGCTGCCCAGTTTGCCTAACAAAACGAGGCGAGGCTCTGGTGGCATGGGTTGTATGGACGAGCTCCACGCCTTTTTCGACGCAGCCTAAAGAACTTCTGCACACAAGTTAAAAGCTGTGTCCAGCATCTACTTAAAATCTCTTCTTGTTCCCTTTCATCTCCGGATCAACAGGTCTCAATTAAGCCTATATGAACCATGAATCCTCAGAAAGCTCTTCGTCAACCCAGCGCGGCCTCGCACTCGCAGCATCTTACATCTTTCACTGGTGGAAGCGATATGCTTGGGCTGACCACAAAGGACACCTCATACGAGTAAGTACTGACTAGTTGGTGGCGACTTATTGTCGGCCTGTGCTCTGATATTGCCAGGGCTAACTCATGCTCAAATGTAGGGGGTTCAGAGCCGCGGCCGATGGAACTTTCGGGTCCAAGAGGCTCACCGGGAGCAGAAGCTCAACTCAGGCCTTGAGGCCGAACTTTGCTCCCTCCTACAAATATTCCCCTCATCTGATCAACAGCCTGCGCAACCAACAGCTTGCATTGGACTCCTCTTTTCACAGCTCGAGTGGTTCTTCTCCTGATTGGGCTCGAGAGCCATCCGGTGCAGCCAATGACGGTGTGCCTGGTTTCAGCCCCCTTCTTCAAGAGTACAGTCTCGGCCACAGCCATCAGCCACAACATGAGTTCCAGGCCCAAATGATTGCCCCTTACGCAGCTCCTCAAGCTCAGGAACACATGAGCCACGATATCGAGCTTGAATCTCAGTATTCCGACAATTACTCCCCGTTGCACCAAGGCCTAGGATTACTCAGCACCTCGACATCGCCGCAGTTACAACTGCCTGAAAGCCCACCGCGCGGCTCAACCACTGGGCACTACTTGTCTTCAAGCCTGCCACAGGCTTATGGATACTATCATGCCGATCCAGAAGGTCATTCCGGACATGGCTCGCAAGATGGCACCCCCACGGTTATCATCTCCAGGGATGGAGACGTGGACACTACGCTGGCGGATAGTTTTCTGCTGAACAGTGTAAACCACGCCCAGGGCGGCTCATTCATCACAGACCCGTTCCTGTTCCCATACCATGACATCGTTCAGCCAGGACCTGGTGGTATGGCAGCCACTGGTAGTGCTACGTTCACCCTTCCAGTGGATCTGCAATCCTCGTCAAGTGTTGAGGCAGCAAGAGGATGTTATACCTCGTCAGAAACGGCCTCCACCACTGCCACGTTTCCCCCTTCCACGAGTAGAGGTAGAAGCAAATGTAAAGACAAGGCAGAGGTCAAGGGGAAGGGCGAGAGTCTTCAGGTTACGCGGACTCGACGCCGCCGCCGAGTCTCAGAGTCGTATTTTACCCCCTTTGGAAGTCCTGCATCCCAGTCACTGGATAGGTCTCCAACCCAAGGATCTTTCGGGAGACACAACTCTCACGGGCGTGGCATGAAAGGCGAAAACACCGAGGTGGAAAAGGGAGTGAAGCCACGCGGCAAACGCGTTGGACCTCTTCGCGAGGGTAACCGTGAGCTCGCGACGAAACGAAGGAACGACCGGACCGTGTGTATTGGCTGCAAGATGGCCAAAGTTATGGTAAGCCTCCGAAAGGGACTGAAGCCTTATGATCTTGTTCCAGAACTCGGGGCTCCCTCATGAGCCTCCTCACTGCCCATGATTCCATGTTACATAGACCACCACTGACACGTTGCTCGCTAGTGTGCTGGTCGAGAAAATGGAGGAGTCTGTGAGCGGTGCGCCAGCAGCCACAGTAGTGCTCCCAAGCCGTTTGTGTGCGCTCCAGCCAGCTTCTTTGAGCTTGTTCAGCAAGGTAGCACGGCTTTGCTCGGTAAGGGGCAACAACGACATAACCATGTACTCTGATGTGTTGCCAGCTTTACTGACGACATGCCTCAATGATAGCTCTCCACGTCATCTATCCTGTCAACCACTCTACCGGCCTTCGTGAGCCAATGAGCCTTCCTGCGGAGATTCACATTCGAGATATGCTCCGCTTCATTGAAGGCCTGCAACGAACCCACGAAAGGATCCGTGCCTACGCTGGGCGTACCATGCTCTATGAGCTCGATCTGCGTGCTTGCTGGACATACGTTAACTCAACATGCTCTCCCCATTCTCATCCTTTCCAACAATTCATTGACGGCCTCAAGGTGCAAAAGCAAGACGGTTGGAAGGCATGCATCAGAGACGGCCACGGTCGGCCCATGAACGGCAACCTGTGCGACGCGCTCCTCGCGCTGGACGACATGGCTCCCTGGGTCAGGTACACTTTGGTGTCCAAGGACCCCAGCACTCACTTTGTTGCCCCGAATGGTGGCAAAGAGACGTTTCTCACGCCAGGCGAGCCATACCATCGGCAGGTGATTATTGTGGCAGCTCAGTTGTCCCGGATTATCGGACGCAAGCTGGAGCTTCAGTTTTACGACCATCTCAAGAAAGTCCTCGGCAACCCGAACATCTGCCGCGAGCTAGTCCTCGATGTCGGCCGCACGCTTCTGTCCCTGCGTCGGCGTCTGGGACAATGGGAGGAGACGTGTGCAGCCGCGTCCGTCTGCGTCACACCAGAGCCTGGGCTACGCGCGCTTGAAGACGTCACGGGCAGCAGTGCACCTGTCAACCGTGTGAGCCGTATCAAAAACCTGTGCCAGGTGCTGTATGTGTACTTTTGCTACATGAGACGACGGCTGCCCCCCGACGAACAGGAAGGCATGCGAACCATGCGGGTGTGGTACCCTGACCGCACGCAAGCAGTCGAGGAGAGCTTTCCGCAGTATGAGAGCATCGAAGGGTTCGAGGATTGGCTGCAGTTCAAGGAGCGGCCAATGGCTGACGCGAACATGGGGCTTGATTAAGGCAAGTCTTGATACCGCTCGACCGGATTCGATGTGTTTTTCCGTTTTTGTTTCTGATTTCACGAAGCTGTTTCTTTCCCATTTCCTTGTCATCTTTGTGTTCTCTTATGCTGTCCGTTTTCACCCCCTTTTTTTTTCCTAATGTTTTTTTCCTTCCCTTTTTGATCATGTATGACGTTTCTCTTATGATGGAATTGGACTGGCGGGGGAGCTGAATGATACGAAGACGAGTCAAGCTCTGTTATTATGAGATCGAGAACTGAACTGTTAGGTCGATGGGTTTCTGGAAAGACTACGGATATGGACGATGACGGCACGCACGATACGATATATATATATTTTTGGTTTACTCAGCGAGTGTTTCTTTTTCACCTTGGAACGAACTTGTCGTCTGCAGTCTGCTGTGTTGGTATGTTTATGATTGTCTACTTGGGTTACTGGAAGCGCAGATTGGAAACAATTACAGTCACAGGAAATCGCAATATACACTTGTTTATTTTACCAGGCATGCAGCGTCCCCATCCTGCCCTCGGCCCTCCGCCCAAACTTCTTGACCCTGCTCGCATCCCACATGTCCAGCTGTACGGCGCTCCTCTTGGACGGCGCGGGATGGCCGGCCATGATGTTTCCGCACTGCGGCCGCTTGAGCTGGCTCCCAAAGGTATCCGCCGTCCACAGCAGCACGCCGTTTGTCCAGCCAAAGCCCTCGACGACCTGGTACTCGCCCCCTCCGCCGGCGGCATTCGTGGAGTTGTCATTGTACTTTTCGAACATGATGCCAACGTCCTGGTCCGTCAGCCCCTGCAGCTTGGGCGTCTCGGAGGTCGATCCGCCCGTGGCGCGCCACGTGCAAAACGTGAAGTCGAGATAGCGCTGCCCGAGCCTCAGCGACAAGTTGCGCACGTCCTGATAGGCGGGGTCGGCCTCGGAGAAGGTAGCGGGGACGCTGTTGAGGCTCTCCATGAGGATGTGCATGTGCGGCGGCCAGACGTTTGGCTGATCCCACTGCTGGCCCGTGTTGACGTTGCTGGCCGGGATGCCGCCCGGTCGGGTATCCAGATAGCTCTTGACGCGGTCAAAGATGCGCGTGACGGCGAAGGGGTTGTTCCTGAGGTACTCAGGCGCGGCGCCGGTCCAGAAGGGGTAGAACTGGCCGACGTGGAAGAGGACCTGTTTGCCCGGCGGAGCGGTCTGCCTGTCCAAGGCCACGGCGTCCTTGTCGAGCGGGACGTAGATGTTTTGCGAGGACGAGGTGAGGTTGTAGTCAAAGTAGCTGAAGAGCGTCTCGTTCCAGAAGACGGCCTGGATGGAAGCGCTCCTGTTGGCAGCGAGACTGCTCCATTCGCGGGCGGCCGTGGTGTTGCCCGTCTGGTTGTAGAACTGGGCGATGGCAAGCTCGTTGCCGTAGAGGATCGAGTTGAGATCGACGGGAACAATGTCCTTGTTGTTGAGGCTGCGGAGCGGGAAATAGACGTCCCTCATGGCATCGGACGGATCCGCGAGCCAGCGCGCCGTGTAATCGTTTCCGCTCTCCGCGCCCGACGCGAGATTCGCGTACAGCTCCTCGATCTGCGACTCATTCAGGGGCTTTGTCGCTGGGTAGATGATGCCCGAGGCGGCGTAGTAGGAGCGGTTGTTTGCGGTCTGGAAGTCCTCCCTGAAGGATTCCGGACGGGGCTGCGTGTTTTGCACGGCGTACTGGTTGAGGACGTAGGTCTTGTTGTTGACGCGGACGTCGACGGTCCTGTTCCTCGTCCAGAATTCGTGTTCCTTGACGAGGAGGGGCAGAGCGCGGCGGAGGATGGCGGTGTCGTTTGTGTGGTCGATGTAGACTTTCACCATTCTCGACAGCAGAGGCGGCTGCGAGCGGTTGAGATAGTACAGTCGAGCGCCGTTGGGGACGAAGCCGAACCTCTCGATGAAGTCGAGAAAGTTGTCAATCGTGTTCCTCGCGATGCCGACGAATGCTCCGCCTGTCCTGAGCAGGCCCTCGACGATCCAGTACGAGTCCCAGTAATACGGCTCCCTGAAGCGTCCCCCAGCGACGACGAACGTGCGGTTCACGGGGATGAAGCTGTTGGGGCACGACGAGCAGTTCTTGACGGCTGCGTCGCCTGCGTAGCGCCGTGTGAGGTCGGGCCAGATGTCAATGACTTGGGTGACGAATTGCTCGATGACGGTGTCGTTGATCTTGGAGAGAAAGGTTGGGTTGGTGGTGAGGTTGGCGCGGGGCACTTGGATGAGTTCGCCGCCGGCGTCGGCGAAGTAGCTTGCTAGGAAGGTCTGGAGGGAGGAGTCGTTGCGGAGGGGCTTGGGGAGGTTGGCGAATGCTGTTTGGATTTCGGAGAGGGGTCTCTTTGCGGGCCTTTGGGAGGCATGTTATGATGAGTTTTGACGATGTTTTTTTCTTTGTTTGGGGGGGAGGTGTGATGATGATGTGCAACTTACATGTCTACAAAGGTCTTGGAGTCGGAAAAGGGGTGGGCGAGCTCGATTTCGCGGAGGATGTCGCCGTGGCAGTAGATGGGCGAGTCGCAGGGTGCAATGACGGAGCCATTGATGTACAGAGCGTGAGCTACGTTGGAGTGTATTGTGAGGATGGCTGTCCCGAGGAGGGCTGCGAGGGAGAAGAGGGGAGGCATTGCGTGGGCCCTTTTGGCTGTCTTGTCGTGTCTGCAGAGAAAGTTAAAGGGGCAATTTCACAATGACGCAAAGGACGGGTGTTAGAAGAAGAGGGGACTGAGAAGGGGGGGGGGGGGGCCTTTATATATATATTGTGCGGTGTGGTGTTGGTTGGGTGAGGGAGGTATCGTGTAAGTGAAAAGTGAGAGAGAAAAGCCTGCTAATACAACATGGTGGAAAGGCTTGGAAGCGTCCGTTTAGACGATTTGAGTCTCGGCATCAGCATGGCCGAAGCCAAGTCCGGCGCGTCCACACCATCCCGTTGGACGTGGGTTTCTTGGCATTTGGGATGAAAAAGAAGAAAAAAAAAGGTTTGGCTGTTGGTTGCGGGGGAAGAAGGAAAGGGGATGGATGGCTCGGGAGAGGTGTGTGTGAGTGAGTGAGTGAGTGAGTGAGTGGCTTGCGGGGGGGGAAATGTCGTATGAGGCTTTGGCAGGATGGTGCGGGTTGGGAATATGGTGATGCTGATCTGTTGATGGGGGGTGAAGTATATTCAGATACAATGAATCTTTTGTCTAAATTATATATGATGGTCTTTTCCAATAATCTGGATTCATGTTGATATTGCAAGTTGTCGATTTCAAGCCATGACTTGTTGAGCATTTTGAGCACCAGCACATGAAGTTGACGACGAGACTACACTTGATCGGTGTACTTCGAGCCCTGTTTCTTCTCTTCTTCCCCCACAGCGCCTCTCCAACGGCATCTCCAAGACTTTGTTAGCGCTCCAGCTGGGTCCCGTCACCCCGCACAGCGCTAGCCTTGGTTTATTATGTCTTGTCTGACGAACTCCATCTTGCACGATTCAGTGATATCGTACACTCATGATGCTGCTTCAGTCACCCTGTATCAATCTCACGACATCAATCAAACCACATATATAATACAGACAAAACACTTGATTCCACCCGAGTTCTTCTTCAAGTCCCTCAGAAACAGTTCCATAGAACAAATAAAGAAAACACTCCACTAAAGAGTTCCCCTTGTCCTTGATCACCTCTCCCAAAAGCGTCCAGTCATGACGTCAAAAAAGTCATTCACCCCCCCAAGGACAAGCTTAACCGCTGACCTGGTGCTCGCACACCCTCGGTCTTTTGTTACCCGCTCCCGTGTTCTTGTCGCGACATCTGATTCGGTTCAGCAGAAAAGCCATCGTCAGCAACACGTCCCCAAACTTCCAGAAAAAAGGCTTTCTTCCCCCCAATTGTGGCTGACGGCATCGACGATCAGTGGCAAACCAGTGACATGCATTTTCTACATAGGTAGGTAGGACATACATACATACAGCAGGTAATAGCCCGAGGCTATATCGAGTTCGAGGCTGACGACCCATGTCAGACCAAAGCAAAACACCATCACACTCAAACTCACGATAAGTCCTCTTTGAGTCATCACAGTAGATTCTCACATAACAAGATCGTTTTCCATCACGGGATATCCAAAAAGCTCATCAAGCCGCCTCCAGCCTAGGCCAATACCTTCCTAAACACCCGCTCCAGCCGCTGCAGCACCTCGTCCCCCCTCTGCGCAACCTGGTAGTGCGTCACCAGCCGGCCTCCCCCGAGCGTCAGCCCTTGCTCCTTGCCCAGCTCGACGAAGCGCTCCAGGCTGCAGCCGGCGGCCTCAATGTCCACCCAGGCCATGTTGGTGTGCACCGGGTGCACCAGCTTCCCGCCCAGCCCCGTCCACAGCGCCTCCACGCGCTTGGCCATGTCGTGCGACTGCTTGAGCAGCCCGTCGCTGCCGTCCGGCGTCGTCCCAAACGTCTCGTCAACGGCGACCCGCGCCACGGCCGTGATGAAGCCCGGCTGCCTCATCCCGCCCCCGATCGACTTGCGCGTCCACCGCGCGTGATCCAGCGTCTTCTTGTCCCCGACAATGATGCTGCCCACGGGCGCGCCCAGCCCCTTGGAGAAGCACAGGCTGACCGTGTCAAAGAGCGCGCAGAACTCGTCGAGCGAGCCCGCGCCCGACACGACCGCCTCCCACAGGCGGGCGCCGTCGCAGTGCATCTTGATGCCGTGCCGGCGCGCAAAGGCCGAGATGCGGCGCACCTCGCTCAGGGGCATGACCATGCCGTTGAGCGTGTTCTCGAGGCTGATGACGCGCGTGGGGCAGGCGTGGACGTCGTTGCTGAGGACGGCGTTGGCCTCGACGTCCTCGAGGGTCAGGTGGATGCCGTTGTTGGGGACGACGGGCTTGACGGTTGCGCCGGTCAGGGAAGAGACTCTGCTTCAGCTGTTAGTACGTATCTAATGATACAGACGGGATATGAACGATGGAGGTATGGTAAGTGAGTAGAGAACAGGGGAGTACAGACCCTCCCGCTTCATAGACAATAATGTGCGAGCGATGGTCGGCCAGCACGCCGTGAGGGGGCTGGACCAGCAGGCTTCGCAGGGCCACCTGGTTGCCCATTGTGCCCGAGAGGACAAAGAGGCCGGCCTCCTTGCCGGCGAGCCCGGCGACGTGGGCCTCGAGGTCCTGAGTGGTGGCATCCTCGTTGAAGACGTCGTCTCGGAGAGAGCACCGCGAGATGGCGGCCAGCATGGACGGCGTCGGGACCGTCATGACGTCGCCTGGGAGGCAAGTTTGAAAAGGAAGAGTCAGCCATGCGTGATGATGCTTCTTTTCAATAATGTATAGGTAGGCATGTTAGAACAACGGTGGTTCCTCACTCCTCAAATCCAGCGACCCAGGGCCCTTGACGCCGACCCAGGCATTCGTCTGTGGGCTGCCCATGGCTGCTGCGGAAGAAGCGATGCCTCTCAGATGTCGTCCGGATGGCTGCTGCTGCACGTTTACGAGTGGTCTACTGAGCAGAGACCGTGAGCGTGAGGCCGAGGCGAGATGCAGAGAGGAGGAGGAGAGCGAGCCCCTCATTTGATATCTGGCTGGAGGGGGGATTATAGCAGTAATAAAGACGAGGTGCTGGCGACGGAAAGTAGGTAGATTGAGTGGTGGAGGTTCTGCAGAGGCTAAACCATCTGCCGCTCCGCTCCGGATCCGGGCCGGACTTTGATGGTTCGTGGGTAGGTAGCATCAGACTTGTCGATTGCGCCCTCTGAGAGAGTTGACGCCCTTTGTGGATGGAGCAATTGGGGGGTGAGATTGAGGGACCAATGCTTGGACATGAGTAGGCAATACTGGTAAGCGGTTACCTTACCTAGTTGGCTCGCATCTCTCAAGTACAGCAAACAGTACAATGAACCTCGGCTCCTTGGGGTACCTACATGTAGTGAGTGAGTGAGTGCTAGGTAGTGCATGTGGCCAAACAGCCCGCCATTCATCCACTGATGGGCCTCACAGCGACAATCACTTAGAGGTCCATGCCTTGGTCTTCATCTTCAAAATTCATACCTGAGCCAACACACTCTACCTATTAATAATTCTTCAACAATTTAAGGCCAATTCGCATCGTCTCACACACTCAACTCACACCCCTGCAGCCCCGCCAACAAAACATCTTCAGCGGCGTGTCGCACCGCAGCAGGGAGACTGAGCACAGCGTCTTGGCATCAACTGCCCCCTTTTACAAGCATCCGTACCAATCGTCCATATAAAAAGCCTCCCTCTCCCCGGTGCATCTTGACTCGTGAATCTCTTTGCTCTCCATCTGTCTGTCTCTCTCTCTCTCTCTCTCTCTCTCTCTCTCTCGCGCGCGCTCACCAATCCCATCATTTTCCTCATTGTTCACGGTACCTTATCTCTCTCCGTATATTCCCAGTCAACATGCGTCTCTCTCCCAGGCAATCAAATGCCTGCAAGATTCAGGCACACTGCTCAACAAGTCCGCAACGCCGTTACATATTACCGCGCGTGCAAATCATGCGCCAGAGCAGGCAAGATGTGCGCACCGCGAGAGCGTGATGTGCAGTGCCAACGAGTCAACACAAGAGGACCCTTGTTTTTCTTTTTTCTTTCCCGCCAGCCTCCGACAAGTAGCACCTCAGCTTTTTTGCTGATGAGCGTTGCATCGGGGCTGACTGGTCGACTTTAAGTGCTGTCATCATGGGCGCGTTCTTGTCCGGATTCGTCTCACCTAAAAAAACTCACCTCCAGCGCCTCTGTCTCTCTCTCTCTCTCTCTTCCACAGCCTCATCTCTCACACAACTCCCTCCGCCCAGGTGAAATGAGCAGCAGCACCAGCACCAGCAGCCGCCGCCCGCCCGCAAAATGACGTCCCGGGCCGCCTCTCTGCTCTTCGCCGCCGGGCTGCTCAGCCTGTCGCTGTGGCTGCTCGGCCAGCCGCTGCTCGTCGCCTCGCCCGACCGCGGCCGCATCTCCAACCTCGACCTGGTGCTGGGCGAGTCGCTGCCCGCGCACCTCAACCTGTCGTCGCGCTTCTACGCCTCGGACCAGGCGCGCGCCTTTTGCGCCGCCCACGGCTACCGCGTCTTCTCGCCGCTGGCCCGCTCCGGCGAGCGCAAGATCTACGACCTCTTCATGGTCAACACGGAGCTCGACTGGATGGAGATCCGCCTCGAGACGCTCTACGCCCACGTCGACTACTTTGTCATTGTCGAGTCGCCCAAGACGTTCCAGGGCTCCGACAAGCCGCTGACGGTCCGCGACAACTGGGCCCGCTTCGCCCGCTTCCACGACAAGATGGTCTACCACCAGCTCGTCTTCCCTGCGACCTTCAACCCCAAGCGGCCCTGGGACTACGAGGACCTGCAGCGCGACGCCATGTACGACCAGGTCTTCCCGCAGCTCGAGGGCCGCGCCGCCCCCGAGCACGGCGACGTCATCCTCGTCGCCGACGTCGACGAGATCCCGCGCCCCGAGACGCTCTTCCTGCTGCGCGCGTGCAGCTTCCCGCGCCGCCTGACGCTCGCCTCGCGCTTCTACTACTACTCGTTCCAGTTCCTGCACTCGGGCCCCGAGTGGCCGCACCCCCAGGCCACCACCTACCAGGGCTGGCGCACCGTCCGCCCGACCAACCTGCGCAACGGCGACGGCGGCATCCCCTTCCTGCGCGACCTCGACAAGGCCCGCCTGGGCAACGCCGCCTGGCACTGCAGCAGCTGCTTCGCCACCATGGAGCAGTTCCTCAACAAAATGGCCAGCTTCTCCCACGTCTGGATGAACCAGGACGAGTACCGCGACAGGGACAACATTGCCAAGGCCGTCCGCGAGGGCAAGGACGTCTGGGGGCGCGACATTGACACCTTTGAGCGCATCGAGCGCAACCAGGACATTCCGGCGGTGCTGAGGCGCGAGGGGGACAAGTACAGGTACCTGCTGGACAGGAGCGGCAAGTCTGCTGGCTTTACGGATTATCCTTGATTTGAAGCGTTTTTTTTTTTTTTTTTTCGTCCTTGACACCATGATGAATTATTCCCATAGCTGTATGCTTAATGTTGCATTTCTTTTGACATACCTTGTCAAGAAGTTGGGTATGATGTACATGATGTAGCTGGTTCATCGGATACTGGGCTATATACCACGCGTATTTACTACGACTACTAGATGTTCATATACCTGTCAAGATAGACAGACACATCCACATATTATATTAAACCAATATATTGTTTTCAATAAAGCACGTCATGCCACTGCTCGACTCCCCACCCTCGCAGCAACAAGACGCAAGAAAAGAAGACGAACCCTAAACCCCCTCCATCATGAAGTCCTCCCTCCATTACCATATTAACCAATTAACTGCCATGATCATATACATACCGTGTATAATAGAAGACCAGAGCAGCCAACGCCTCTAGAACAGACCCTGCAGAGAAGATGGCCCAGCACCAACCAGCAACGTCAATACTTGGGAATGACAGTGGCGGGCTGAGGAGGGCTGGTAACCTCTATACTGATCTGGCCAAAGGGGCCTAGGCCGCGCTGGTCTCTTCTTGTTCTTTTGCTGTTCCCTTTTTGTCTATGCTGTCTATTTCCTTGTGGAAGGCCATCTATCCTGTCTTTTCTTTCATCTCTTTTTTTTCTCTTTTTTTTTTTGTTCTTTCGATTTCGGTGTAAGGGGGAAACGGTGAAAGGTAAAACGTCATCGAGATCCAAACGAAATGCTATAAGCCAAGTCAGCCTGCGTCTAATGGAATTCTGTCAAGACAATCGGGTACATACCACCGTGAGCAACACAGCTCACTGTGAAAAACGCCAATTCTTTTCTTCTGAGAGGGTGTCTGGCTATTTTCCGTGTCAGTCGACCCATACATGCATTCCCTGCATCAACTCTTTGGAGTAAAGAAATGTACTCACGTTCACCACTCTCAATAACTTCTAACAAACGCCATCCCTCTCCTTTTTCCAGAAATGACAAGAAGACAAGACAAAACAGCAAACTTTTTTCCTAAAAACGCCTTTCCCTTACAAGCAAACAAACGAAAGAAAAACCAAAGACAAGACACTCTTGAGAATGAAGAGAAAAAAAAAAGAGAAGAGGAAGAACGAAAAACAGGGTCCAAGGCAAGATATAGCAGATCTATAGCTACCTTACCCTACCTTACCTACCCTGCTCAGCACGGGTGGGGGAGGGACCCCTAGATTGTTGACACCCAAAGTCCCAAGACCCTGAAGACAATTCGATCCCAATTTCCTTATCCCAATCTGTCGAAAAGGTCTCAATCTCCATGTGTCTTCGTTCTAGTGGTGCATGTCTTGGATCATGTTCCGGGCTAGATAAGATGTGTCGGCAGATGCACCTCTGGCGGCCCAACGGATGCTACTCTACTCTATTCTCCCTGCCCATATACATACCTGTAGGTATCTCGTAGTCCAAGCTCGTATGTAATAGCATCCAATCTGATGCACAACCCTCTCTCACACAGCGAGGCACTCTTATCAGAACCCCTCTCCTCCCATTCAATTCCTCCGTAACACACACCGAATTAATACTGACTGCCTTCATCCGATCCAATTCTTCACCATCCTCCTCACATTATTCACGCATCATCTCTCAACCTTCTCCTAAACCCAACGTCGTCATCCTCCTTCTCCTCCTCCCCTTCTACCCCTCTTCACACACTCCATATACAACCTCACATGCATCCTCCCCCCCTCCTCTGCCCTCCCACGAGCAAATCCCCTTCAACCACGCTCACGTACATACATATACATACATATAGTATTCGGAAACAGACCTACATATAACGCACCCTAAGGAGAGCTCATGCATCCACCCATTCACGCACACACGCATCACATACTACATACCACATACTTCACAGCCTCCTCCCACCTTTTCACCACACATAGCATACCTACCATACACACAGCCACCTATTCATACACACAATCAGCCTCACTTCTTAGCAAATCATCCCAGTCCTCCCCCCATGTACTTCAATCTCCCTTACATAACCCCCTCCTTCTTATCCGCCCAAACACCACCCGCCAAGTCATCGCAACTCCTCAAAACCGCATATATTACATGCAGAACAAGAAAAAACCTACTACTACTAGTATAACCTCATGCAGCACTCCTTCCTCTCTTTCGTCTCTGCCATTATCTCCTCATCGCAATTGCAAAATTTTCACTCTGCATTCATTGAGTTTTTCTCTCACTGTCTATTACAGTAATATGCACTCTTCTATTCGTGCTTGGTCTTTTTTATACGCCACTGCATGACATTAACATGGCATGATAACGGCATCGCATTCGCATTTACCATTCACCTACCTTGCATGCACATCTCCCCATCATACGAGAGCCTCACTCGCCCAAACCAGGCAATCATTACATACATCCAATTGATAAGACAGAAAAGAATTAAAGTTATGAGTGAAAAAAAAAAAAAAAAGCACGGGTCATATGAACAAGACGAATGCGATGCAGTAACAGCAAATCCATGCATCTCAGCCTCACGCACCTCAAACTCAACAAAAAATCAGCTGCAAGAGATGTTATCGCAAAACAACAAACAAACAAACAAAAATGACAGAAAACAGAAATTCCATAGATAAAATTTCTTCAGCCACTTATAAGAATTGGTTCGAAGCAATGCACAGTGACATAGCCAGCTTCCTTCTCGCTTTTGAAAACGTGAGTTGTTCGAATGACCCGCCCAGCGATTTTTTTAGCTGTGCAGCAATCCTAGGTAGGTAATGACATCATACCCTTTATGCTGAGCGGGAAGAGTACATACCTTAGTTGTATGGATCATTTCTGCAAGCGCGCAATCATCCTTCTTCCAACCTATGATCGCTGTGTAATAAAATGCTCTACCTCAATTTATTGCTTTGTAGAAAATTTGTAGGTCATCAGTACCTTGGTAGTAGCAGATGGTATTGTCGTCTAGGTACCTTATAGCATGGTCCTCTTCCAAAGGCCATACTGTACCTAGGTACCTAGTAGTTAGTAACCACTCCATCATCACCACCAAACCACCACACAAAGCCATCATCACCAAAAACCCTCATCAACCCTTCCTTCCCACCCCCCAAAAACGCTCACAAGGCCCTCACGATAATGATCCCCATACATACAATCTCCCCCAAGTAATAAAATCCCCCACGATTCTTTCCCCCCTCGCCCAAAAACACACTCAACCTCCACATGAGAAATCCCCCTTCCTTCACCATGCACATCCATCCATGTTACTAGTAGTAGTAGGTAACCCGTCTCCTCACAGAAAACACACCAAGAGAACCCACCCCTACCTGATGCGCTGGCAAACATCCCGTCCATCCCACCAACTAAACCGCAACAAGACAAAATAGAAACACAACAAACCAAAGAACCGAGCCCACCCTTTCCCCGGCCTCTGTCATTTTATTTTTTATTTTTTTTTTTTTTCCTTTTTTTTTATACCTCTTTTTGCTACTGTATCGCTGGATGTAACAACCTTAGTACTATCACTCTCGACAAAGCTGTTCCCGTCGTCGGCTACCGTCTCGACGGGTTACACTCACACAACAACTCACAGTCTCTCTCCTCTACTGGCACACACACACTCGCTCTCTCACACACACAGCCAGACACTACTAGGTACCTTGGGTACCATACACTCTCTCCCTCGTCCCTCGTCCTCGTAGCCACCGAATCTGCAGCAAAACCAAAAGCCCATCACATCATACCTAATACAGCCTCAAGCCCTCACATCCTGTGTTAATGTGAATGTAAATGCAAAACGCATGCAAATGCACATGCGCCATTAATAAACAAGAGAGATTACTGCTCTCTCTCTCTCTCTCTGTCTACAACTGCATCCCATCCAGCCTCGACAGAGCCGAGTCACAGCACCCAATCCAAATCACCAGGACAGGGAACGCGGCGCTTGTCAACCATGCACTGATGAGTTGGCCAACGCATCAAAGTGGTCCGTGTGTAGCCTCGAGATCCGTTTTCCCAGCCCAGCCCACTCACCTCTTGCACACACCAAACTGCCCTCTCCTTCTCACCCTCTGATCCTTTCCCCGTCTCTTCTCCCCTTTCCCCATCTTACGCTTCGTTTTCCCCCTCTTCTTTTATACTTCAACCGCTGCCTTCAAGCTCTTTTTTTTTTCTTCTTCTCGAGTTTTCCCTTCATCAACAGCCTCGTTCCTCCAGGCTGGCTGTCAAGTGGTGACTTGTATCATCCATCCCCCACACCCAACCTCGTCCGAGCCCCGCGCAAACCAGCCACTCACTGCCTGACCTTTCCTACCTTGGCTTCCAGGACCAAACAGCCGGGACTCTCCAAGGACCTCGTTCCCTTTCTCTTCTGCTCTACCCCAGGACTGTCGGTTTCCATCACTTCCGCGGCTTCTACATACCTACTGCAACTCACCTCTCGCTGACAGCTTCCCTGAGGAAACCCTCAGTTGTGCGTCAGTCGTCGACACATCACCGGTTCCATCCAGCAGGAGGCCGCTTTCCTTTTTTTTTTGCTCTCTTTCTTTCCTTTCGCTTTGTGTTGCACAATGCTATAAATCATCATTCATATCTCATCGCCAGGATCGCTTGCTATACAAAGGCGCCTTGGATCCATGGGGGAACTGTCGCGACTTGTCCAAACCAAAGGAAACAGGGAAAGGGGGTTAAATCGCACAAATGAGTGCGGGCGAGTGCCTGCCTTGTTCCGAGCCCTGTTCCGTTTTCTATCTCCCACGCTCGATGCCTCCGGATGCCGCCTTTACTTCCATCCAATGCCAGCAGCCAAGAGGAAAATATGCAAAAGGGCCTGCCCCGGTCGAGAGAGCCACCAAAAGAAGAAGGGGGGAAAAAAAAAGGAAAAACAAAGTTGTTGCCATGTCGCCATCATCTTTCATGAGAGTTCGTGAGAGAGGAAATTTATATACCGTCTGCCATCCGTCCGGACTGTCTTGCTTTCACGCCGCAGAAGTGAGGGGAGGTTGTGGTTCGCTCACAGGTGCCCGGTCCAGTCGATCTCCGGGCACCTCGAGGAGGGGGTCTGGGGCATTAGGACATTAGTGTTCGGCGTTCGTCTCCGGCTTGGTCTCGTCCCCAAGCATGGGTCCTGTGCTGCGACCAGACGGTCTCGCAGCTGTCCGAGGCGTCTGCTTGTTAGCCCTCGAGAGACCTCATCGGCCAGCCCACTTCACCAGGAACTGCACCACGGCATCGAGGTTCGTCTCTTGTTTAGCACTGATGCCGTAGCAGCACACCTCACGGTTCTGGATGCTTTTCAGGTCCAGCTCGTCAATCAGCTCGTCCACCGATAGCTTCTCGGGGAGGTCTGACTTGTTGCCCAGAACGAGCAGCGGGATCCCGGCTAGCGATGGGTGCGCCATGAGCGAGTGAAGCTCCTCCTTGGCCTGGGGGATGAGCTCTACATCCGCAATGTCTACGATGAAGACGATGGCGTTGACGCCGCGGCAATACCGCTCCCACATGGTGCGAAAACGCGGCTGCCCACCGATATCCCAACACTTGAGTGTAACATGTCCACGTTGCACACGCTTCATATTGAACCCGACCGTCGGAATCGAGCTACACAAGATGCAGTCAGTCACTAGGCCAGCCTCTTCGACAGATCATTGGGGCTCGCCATGGCTGCGGAAGCAACACGCAACACGCGACGACTGCTGGCGTCGCGGACCATTGGAGCAAGGGAAGATGGAAGAAGGGAATCGTGCTTACTCGAGAGTGAACTCCCCACCCTGGGGCATCATCCCGACGACTCAGTCAGCCTGGTACCGAAGAGCAAGGTGACAACGGAGGGGACCTACAGCCAATACTCGCAGCAAGGATGTCTTTCCAGCATTTTGTAGACCGACCATGGTCACTTCCATCTCCAGCGCCCTACGTCAACCGGTCAGAATCCAGAGACAAGCAAGCAGAGTTCAAGCGCAGAGCAGGCTTGGGTCCAAGAGACGACCGTCGTCTACACGCAGCACAGCCAGCGCTACACCACCATGCCCCCCCGTTTCTGATTTGAAAGGAGTGTAGGGCCACTCACCAGAACGTCCTCAGCAGCCAGTCGTACACCTTCCTGAATAGCCCAGCCATGTTGAAAATCGATATTGGGGGCGGCGGTCGATATTGGTACAAAAGAGGAAAGAAGAGGGGAGGAAGCGAGGGGCTGGGTATGCGGTATCAGCAAATGGCTTCGCGAGATTCGATTCGGCGGTACGACCGGCGGTCAGACGCTGTCGATGTCTCAGGAAGTCGCGCAAATAGCGACGTTCGTTAACGGGATGATGCGACTGGCACCGCCAAAGGAGTGTTGCTATGGGGGCTCGTGGGAAAAGCTATCGGCTTGACAACGGCGGCGCAAAGATCGTGCGGATGCGAAGCTTGAGGCCTGGCATGCGATAGGTCCGATGCGGCTGGACGGAGCAACAGCGATGATCAGCGCTCTATAGCTGTGAGAGCGAAAAGGTCAGTCCGATGCCGAAGCTTGCCAACTGCGCTTTGCGATGCGCAGGAGAGGGGGGAACTTCGGAAGAGAAGAAAAAAAATTGTCAGGGAAGAAAAAAAAAACAGAAAAGGAAAAGAGAAAGAGATGGGGCAAGATAGGGATGCGGAGAGAGCGAGACTGCTAGGTTGTTGCGCAACGGTTGGTTCAAGTGACATGAGGGCTTGAGGGAGACGCCTGGCGGCAGAGCAATAGGAACCCCACCTGGGTCAGGATGGATGGTGGACGAGACAGAGCGGGCTGACGGGCGTCGAAGCACGAGCTCCGGGGAAGCTGGAGCGGACTGGGAGAGGCTAACCTGGGTGCCGCGAACTCGTCTGGAATGCGAGGGAGCCCGTAGAAGATGGGCAGACGATGCGTAGTTGATGCGTAGCGATGCGTAGAGGCCGAGAGATGGAGCGGCAAATTTCCAAAGCGTCGAGCAGAGCGTAGAGCCTGGTGTAGGGATGGCGTATCGTAGCCGCAGCTAGTACCTGTTGACGTAGGTCCGAAGCTGGCAACCTAGCAGCATCGAGACGGCAAGCTGCTCTGCTCCGCTATCTGGACGGCTAGTGGACTGGGGGGGAACTTGCTCGCTGCAGCAGTAGGATGGCTCCAGGAGGGAGAAGGGGAAAAGGCGAGAACAAGAAAAAAGGAAGAAAAAAAAGCCACAGCCAACCAAAGTGCAGAATGGCGGTTGCTGTGCCTCTGTCGCAGTAGGTAAGGTAGCCCACCAGGACGCTGTACCGTGCGTGGGCAGCTTCGGGACGTCGTATGGAAGCGGGTATGCTGTGTTTGTCGAGTCACCAGACCTATGCTGCCAGTCGAGGTTAACCGCTGCCCTGTGCAGTCTCTGCCGTTTCATTCGTTTGCGAAGACTGGGCCGATCATGAGCCGGGGTTTGGCTCGTGAGGATGCATAAGGGCACCCCGTATCTTGTGCCAGGAGGGCAATTACCCACTGTCTCAGATGGAGTGCTGGTAGCACCTGGTAGCACTTACTCGGGTACCGTGCTGTAGCTCTGCTCACAGCGGTTTAGCAGCCAGCGGCGGCTAATGCGAGGCAGCCTGGTGATGGTATCCTGGAGATTGATCCTCGTCTCGTCGTGTGCTGGTGATGTTCAGGACTGACAGGCTGCAGGCGTGCTATGCCATTTCCAGCGCCTCTAGCGGTGGGATCCTGGAGCACAGCGCCTACAGTAGCAGGAGGTCTGGCAGCTGCGGTGCCTCTGTCCTGCAGTGTCTCTGCAGCCGGAGTCTTGTTCGGTGGTTTGATGCCGCGGGAGGCGAGGAGAGCAGGCGGGCGAGACGTATCCACGCGGTTGATGGACAGGGGACGATGAGGAGTGAAGACGAGGGTGAGGACGACGATGGGGGATGAGGGTGAGAATGGGGAAGAAGAGACGAGGATGCGAGTCGCGATGGCGGGGTTATAGAGAAGGGCCCGGCCTGCTGAGTACCTGCCGCTGCTAGCTCTGCCCGATAACGTTGATTAGGGGACTCGCTATTAAGCCCCCCCCCTTTGGCTAGCAAGCCCCCCCTAGGTGTGGCTTCTGTGGCTGGAAGTCCGATTACGGGGCCGCTATATAAAATTAGCTGTAACCTATGTAGTCTTTTTTTTTTATTAAAAATGAAAATAGAGATGCTGTATATATATATAAAGGAAATTGTAAATTAAAGCTTGTGATACTATAAAATTGGCTATTCCTTAGTGTTATAGGCGTCCTTAGCTAGGGCTAGAGCCTTATTTAATGTATTTTTAAAGTCTAGGTTAATTTTATTATTAACCCACTTGCCTAAAGCATTTATATTTAACTATTAGGACTCCTGCTTTTTAAATTAAAGCGGCTGGACTTCTTAAATAGGAAGCTGTAATATTATTCCTTATGTTTTCTTAGCTGTAGAGTTATCTTTAGGGTTGTAGTTATTAAGGCGTTAAATTATCTATTAGTATAACCTTTATATCTTAGTGCCTAGCTTATATATATTGCAGGTTGCTAAGAAGCCTATTCCTTAAGCAGTTATTAAAGTTATTATAGCCGGCGCTATTAATAGCAGCAGCTGCTGCTGCTAGTATTAATAATCTTCTCTGCCCTTATTATCCTTAATCTAAATAACTGTTTTAAAAAGACTTAGCTTTTATTTAGTTAACTAATCCTTTTTAAGATTAAGACTTCCTTTTAAATAACCTTTTCCCTTAATAATTAAGGGTTTAAATAGTATAGGAGAGGTTAGTTTATTACTGCTAGCTAGATAGGCTCTTTCCTAATACTAAAATTAGTTAACTTTATTAAGTTAAATTAGCTAATGGTTTATAAGCCTTCTAGCTATATTATAATAGTAAGGGAGGCTATAGATTGTCTTAAATATATAAGGTCTGTATAGATTAGCAAGGTCTTGTTTAATTAACCTTTTTATAGCCTGGTATTCTTATTATATAAGAAGTAAAGCCTTAAGATTAACTTATTTATATACAGTAAGATAGAGGAGTTAATAGAATAAATTTAGCATTTTATTTATTTTTATAGCCTAAAGATTCTAAATCTTTTATTATTAATTACACTAAAAGCCCTTAAGCTAGTGAAAAAGGGTTAAGAGGTTACTGCAGCTACTGCTAATATGTTTTTTTATTGCTAAGTGTAATAACTTTATAATTAATATTATTATATAGCTAAAATAATAGCTATAATTAACCTAGTAGTAGATAACCTTCTCTTTTTATAGCATAAGCTAGGTATTATATATATACTTAACAGCAGCTTTTAGGAAGATAAACTAGGGAGGCTAGGCTTACTTAAGGCAGGCATGCTCCTTAGTTAGGGCTTTAAATTAATTATTATATTTATCCTCTATAAGACTTATAATAAGGCTATTTTAAGCCTTTAAAAACGCTTAGAATTTAGCTGCTTATTTAATCCTCCTTATAGCTAGATTATATTAAGCTTTTAGGAAGTAGTATTTTATTTTTACTAGCATATTTATATTAATATGCTATTAGTAAAGTATATATATAGTAGTATTAGTAAAAGAATATACTTTTAAAGCCTTTATTAAGGCAAGGTCTTGGTTTATAATAATAACCTATAGTTTTAGAAGTCTAAGCTTTTGCAGAAAATTATAAAAAACACTAATAGCCTACTTATAATATAGTTATAACTTGCTTATTAAGAGGATAGTAGTAATATAAAAGGTCTTTTTTATTAATATAATGCTGTAGATATTAAAAAGTGGCATATTAAAGCAGTTAGTTTTATAAGTAAAGTTTATTAATAACACTAAGTAATATTACTAGAGGAAGTTAATTAAAGTCCTAGGATAAATAAAGAGGCCTATTAGATAATTCTCCTTATTATAATAGTGCTAGTAATAGTAATTTTAATTATTTATAAGCTTATTAAATAGCTACTGTATCTCTAAATGTTTATTAAGTTTAGTCTTATAATGCTTTTATAAGGCGTTATAAATATTATAAAGGGTTAACGCCTTAACATTAGCTTAGCCCTCACTCTATAGTATACTAAGCACTTAACTAGGTTTAATGCTAGTATTATATATAGCAAGAATGTTATTCTTTCTTTTTTAAATAGTATAACTTTAATACTAAGAGAAGGCTATTTAAGGGAGTAACTTATAATTATATTAGTTAGCGTTATTATTATTAGAATCTTATATCTGCTAAACCTTATTATACTGCTTAGTAATAGTAATTTTATAAGGGCATCTGGTTATTTAGGAGCTTATTGCCTAGCGGTAAGACTTAGTAAGATTGCTATTTAATTATAATTTAAACTTCCTTCCTTTACTGCAGTAAAGCTTAATAATAGTTAGCTTAGTCTTATAGATAATAAGGCTAAAGCTAATCTCCTTGCTAATAGCATTAATAGCAGCCCTTGCTATCTTAATATTGCTAAATTCCTGGTTTAAAAGAGACTTTATTATAATAGCTGCTTATATGTAAAGTCAGGTTGTAGATAGCTTTAAGTTGCGGCGGCGATAACGACGTGGCTGAATGACTGTTGCAGTGCTTATTAGTAAATAAAGAACTAGTGAAGATTGCATGTGCTAAAAAACGCTAGCAAAAGCCGGCATTGGACATCTCTATTAGTTAGTGCAATACCCAGCCACACGGGGGGGCTTGCTAGCTAAAGGGGGGGGGCTTGATAGCGAGTCCCTTGATTAGGTATGTAGGCAGCTGGAGCGGTTTTCTCCTCCTCCTCCGTCTCCTCTTCCTCCTCCTCCGCAGCCCCGCCACTGGACCTGGAGCTTCGGGTGCGGGCGATAATGCCATACTACATGGTATTGCGAAGCCTCTCTTGGAGACATCTATCCAGACCGCCATCAAATTCAACATGGCCCTGCACCTGGTGCGAGCATTGCCTCGTATCAACGTCCAATCCAGCAACATCCGATACAATCATTGGCACCGACTCGGCGCCTACAAGGCATAACCATAACACAGCACAGCGCCCCCGTCACACACGAACCTTGCCTGCCCTGCCCTCACGAGCCTGTGCACTGTCCACGAGGCCCTGCTAACCCACCCTCGCCTGTTGCTCTCGCCTGTTGGAATAATGGCTGCATCCTGATCTGGTCGATCAGAGCTGCGTTTTCGAGGAGACGGGAGGCGTCGCCAGTTCCAGTTCGTAAACCCTGCTCCAGCACCGAGGACATTCTTGATAGGTGCAGTCGTCGGATGCGAACCTCCAGGCAAAAGTCCCGACGGCATTGGATCCGAGAGACACCCCGGTCACTATGACTCTGCAGGTCCCTTCTCAATCAGTGTAGTTGTAACGAGGGCAAGCCAGAGTATGGCAGAGGGACCAGCTTTGACCATTCTCAAGATAGCTGACGGAAGAGCAATGCCTACAGTTGCCAGACTCCGCAAGATGGAAAGCATCGATTGCATGTGTAACATAGATTGCTAAGCTCAATGTACGAGACAAGATGCGGAAAGATTGCGACCAGGGGGGCCGCTTTTGAGGGGAAGTGAAGCAATATTACGTCGAGCACCGCGTTCATGACACCTTGATATCTGCTAAATAAAGTGCCAGGCACACCAACCAGCAATCATGGTCACCCGTCACATGCGGACTGCAAAAATTGACCGTTTTCGTTTTCGTCTAGCACAGGAACATTGACTCGGAAGGAGACAGAAAGGTAAGGTATTTGAACATTGCCAAACGAAACTCCCCAGAGGTCGGAAACAAAACAGTACACAGTACATACAGGGCATGAGTTTGGTCTAGGCACGCGGTTGAAGGCAACAAAGCCAGGCAGCCTTCAGCTTGGCATGCAAAGCCCTTACGTTATGCGGACCCAGCTTTGCATCGACATCATATGCTCACCTGCACTCCAGTGCTGCATGTTGCTGCGTGGATGACTAACGTTGCTTTTTCGTGTCTGCACTCGATATCGACTCTCATTGCATCCAATACGATGTCATCGGCAACCTCTTGCTATACGAGAGGCCCAAACATCGGCCAGATTTGGAGTCGAGCTTTTGCAATCTTCCGGCAAACTTCCAGGAGATCCTTTCAGACGTGGACTTGACCACAAGAAAGGTGAGATACGGAGCTGTAAAGATCATTCTGTTGTAACAGCATTGTCCAAGTCAGACTGTGGCTGTCTCTTTGGTATGGCTGTAACAACATCAGCTCTCAGTGCACATGCCAAAGGTCAGCCTTGCCAGCAACTATTCGCATCAAGCTTGATCTATATCAGTGCTGTGCATATGTCAAGTCATCGTCAACTCCAGGTTGCCCTTGACGGTGGATTTGACCCGCAGCGTTCTCGAGATGTTCTTTCAAGACCGCGTCAAGGAACAGGCATCATCTCTTCATTTCTTCAAGCTACATGGATATAGGCTCAGCTATTTCAGAGACTATTCTGTCATCACTGTATGATCATCCCCAATCCCTCGCCGTTCTCCCGACATTCTCGTCTTCTTCTGCCAACAACGCGTGAAGCCACAAACGGAAACCAGCCACAAACGCCACCCCGAAGCCATTCAGCCATCACCCCCGCCAAACGGGTTCTGGTGCTTATGTCACTGTCGATTAGTGCTATCGATAGCGCTATCTCATGTGACCCATTCTTATCATCAACTTTTTTTTTCTTCCGTCCGATTTCGAGCTATCTGCTGCGAACGAGTCTGCCGAACAGCCTCAAACCGCGACTCAGTTCGAGCAGGCGCTTCATGAATATCTACAGCATTCACATAAAGAAGCCGCCTGTCTCGATGTGTTGAGGCCCATTAATTTCATACTATCGTCTTTTAATATCAGTCTCCACCGTCAAGCGAAACCTGCGATCCGAGCTTGACGCTTCCTCTCGACATCATGGCGCCCTCAGCCACGAACACGGAGTGGGATCACCAATTCCACACTCTGCGTCGCCAGGACCTCTTTCGCAATCCTCCGAAGGATCACTCCGCCTATCCCGCTCTTCAGCTGGCAGTCAACCCTCACATCGAGTCCTTCAACGCCATCTTCCGCGGAGATGGAAAGCCCGGTCTTCTTGCACACGGCCTGGCGGACATTGGCACAAAAGTTTTCCTTGATGGCAACGACCGCGCTGCGCCGGAAAGCAGAAACAAGCTCTACATTCGGATCAAGGAGGTTACGCTGCAGAAGCCTCAGGTGCCGCCATCCAACAAGCTCGCCGTAAATCGAGATATCTACCCTGCCGAGTGCAGAGAGAGGCACGCCACATACAGGGGAAAGCTCTCCGCCACTTTCGAGTACAGCATCAATGGAGGCGATGCCATTGAATTTACTAGGGAGCTTGGCCAGGTCCCCATTATGATCAAGGTTTGACGCGCCTGCTTCCACTCGACGCTTCTTCGAGTAGCCCACGCTCACCAATCGCAAACAGTCAAATAGGTGCCACCTCGAGGGTAACTCGCCAGCTCTGCTGGTCTCGCGCAAAGAAGAGTCGGAGGAGCTTGGCGGATACTTCATCGTCAACGGAAACGAAAAGATTATCCGTTTGCTGCAGGTGAACAAGCGAAACTTCCCGATGGCTATCAACCGTCCGAGCTTCACGAACCGAGGTGCGGGATACACCACATACGGTATCATTCTCCGATCAGTGCGACCCGACGAGACGTCCCAGACAAACGTATTGCACTATTTGAAGGACGGAAACGTTACGTTCCGATTCTCTTGGCGCAAGAACGAGTACCTGATTCCCGTCATCATGATCCTAAAGGCTCTGGTGGAGACCAACGACCGAGAAATCTTCGAGGGCCTGATTGGACCCATGGGCTCCAAAGCCGCGTCAAATACTTTCCTCACAGACCGAGTGGAGCTCCTGTTGAGAACATACAAAGCCTACCGCCTCTACAGCAAGTCGGAAACCCGGGCTTACCTGGGTCAGAAATTCAGAGTGGTGTTGGGTGTTCCGGAAACCATGTCCGACTACGAGGTCGGAACCGAGTTCCTGCGGAGGATTGTCTGCGTGCACCTGGGCAACGTCAATGTCACAGAGAAGCAAGATCTCGACAAGTTCCACCTGGTTCTGTTCATGATCCGGAAGCTGTACGCCCTGGCCGCTGGCGAGTGCGCTGTTGATAACCCTGATGCGATCCAGAACCAGGAAATCCTCCTCGGCGGATTTCTCTACGCGCAGATTCTGAAGGAGAGGCTGGATGAGTTCCTTGGAACAAGCGTTCGCGCCGCTCTCCGGGACTATCTGCGAAGACACCCCGCGGTCAACTTCACGTCGGAAGAGTTTCGAAAGGAGTTTCCGGGTGGCATCTTTAGGAAATCCAATGAAAACATTGCCAACGGCCTCGAGTACTTCCTGTCCACCGGCAACCTGGTCAGTGCCTCCGGCCTTGATCTCCAGCAAACAGCAGGCTTCACTGTGGTGGCAGAGAAGCTCAACTTTTTGCGTTTCATCAGCCACTTCCGAATGGTTCACCGTGGTGCCTTCTTCGCCCAGCTCAAGACGACTGCCGTGCGTAAACTGCTTCCGGAGTCCTGGGGCTTCATGTGCCCTGTCCACACCCCCGATGGTTCGCCCTGTGGTCTGCTGAACCACTTTGCGCACAAGTGCAAGGTGATGACCGACTACGTTGACGTTTCCAGCATCCCTGCGCTGGTCGCCGAGCTAGGTGCTGTCGAGACGTCGTCCGCGTCTACCGATGAGAGCGTTGTCGTCATGCTGGATGGCAAGATCCTCGGATGGTGCACTCCGAAGGAGTCGCTTCGTATTGGAGATTGTTTGAGATACTGGAAGGTCGAGGGCTCGCACAACGTGCCCCTCGAGCTCGAGGTTGGATACGTGCCTCCATCACACGGCGGCTCATACCCAGGTCTCTACCTGACATCTACCCCGTCTCGAATGGTTCGGCCGGTCAAGTACCTGCCTCTGCAGAAGGAGGACTACGTTGGCCCTCACGAGCAGCCTTACATGTCGATCGCCGTCGTTCCGCAGGAGATTGAGTCTGGCGTGTCAACGCACGTCGAGTTTGACCCGACCAACATGCTCTCTATCTTGGCCAACATGACCCCATTCTCCGATTTCAACCAGTCCCCCCGAAACATGTACCAGTGTCAGATGGGTAAGCAAACCATGGGAACGCCCGGCACGGCCATTCGTCACCGAACAGACAACAAGTCGTACAGGATACAAACGGGCCAAACTCCCATTGTCCGCGCCCCTCTCCACAACACCTACGGCTTCGACAACTTCCCCAACGGCATGAACGCCGTCGTTGCCGTCATCTCATACACCGGTTACGACATGGACGATGCTATGATCATCAACAAGTCCGCTCACGAGAGAGGCTTTGGCCATGGTACGGTGTACAAGACGAAGAAGATTACGCTCAAGGACGATTCGAGGACCAGGGCTGCCAAGAGCGTCGTCAAGATGTTTGGCTTCGCCCCGCACAGCTTCGTCAGCGCGTCGCACCAGGCCATGCTTGACGACGATGGTCTGCCGCACGTCGGCCGGATGGTCCAGGAGGGCGATGTCCTGTGCGCGTATCACACCGTCACCCCCGATTACAATGGGAACCTGGTCAACCTGGACGGCATCACGCACTACGAGAAGTACAAAGATTCCGAGATTGGCTTCATCGAAGAGGTCCGACTGATTGGCGCCGAGTCTGGATCCGAGCCCCTGCAGACCATCTCCATCAAGATCCGCATACCTCGTTCTCCCGTCATCGGTGACAAGTTCTCGTCTCGACACGGACAGAAGGGTGTCTTGTCACAGAAGTGGCCGGCCGTGGACATGCCCTTCTCCGAGACGGGCATTCAGCCAGATGTCATCATCAACCCTCACGCTTTCCCGTCCCGAATGACAATTGGTATGTTCGTGGAGTCTCTGGCTGGAAAGGCGGGTGCTCTCCACGGACTGGCGCAGGATTCTACCCCCTTCAGGTTTGACGAGGAGAACACGGCGGCAGACTACTTTGGGCACCAGCTCATGAAGGCCGGATTCAACTACCACGGAAACGAGCCCATGTACTCTGGCATCACCGGAGAGGAACTCGGAGCCGACATCTACATTGGTGTTGTCTACTACCAGCGACTGCGTCACATGGTCAACGACAAGTACCAGGTGCGAACAACCGGTCCGGTGGTTCCCACGACAGGCCAGCCCATCAAGGGCAGAAAGCGCGGTGGTGGTATCCGTGTGGGTGAAATGGAGCGTGACGCCCTGTTGGCGCACGGCACAGCCTTCTTGCTGCAAGACAGACTGCTCAACTGCTCAGACTACACACGGTCATGGATCTGCCGTCGCTGCGGCTCGTTCTTGTCCGTGCAGCCCGTGGTATCCCAGTTTGCGCCGGGAAAGAAGAAGGCCCCCAGCATGGTTCGCTGCCGCAACTGTGCCGTCAAGCTCGACGACAGCGAGGGCATCGACCTGACGGAGATCCAGGGCGAGATTTGGGAAGACGGACAGGGCCACTGCTGGGTCGGTGGCGACGAGACGACGCAGGTTGTGGTTCCTGGTGCGCTCAAGTTCTTGGACGTGGAGCTGGCGGCCATGGGCGTCAAGCTGAAGTACAGGATTGACAAGTCGGACGAGCCTCGCAAGGGGCCGATGAAGCCGCTGAAGCAGATCACGGCTGCCGCTTAGTTGGCTTGCGGGTGGAGGAGGAAGCGATGATATTGGATGGGACTCAAAATGGGGTTGTATATAGATGAGGTTGTTGGCTGCAATGGGTGTTAACTGCATATCTGGGCAATTTTATCAAGAATTCACTGTGTAAAGAGCAAGTCACAACTGTCACGCCAACATCAGTGATGTCGTCTCCAATGATTTCAAGTGTCTCGTGGCCCAGTCTCGACTCGAGGCCGCCAGGGGCCTCCCCTCTCGTGTGACCACAAAAGTGCTCAGCCTCCATGCAGCTTCCCGTTCCCTTACGCGGAGACGGATGAAACGGCACCCTCTTCTTGAACCATTGCCCATCAGTTTCATCATTTCATGCAAGACAAAGTATTCGTGTAACTACACCATCATGAAGAAAAAGAAATTGAAACGATCCAGACGCCATTCCATCCATTCTTCTCACTGCTTCTTCCCCATAGCATCTAGCCACAACACCTGATCGTGACCACAGAACCCCCCCGAGCCCTGAACCCCTTTCCCCTTTGGGCCATGTGAGAAGCATAAGAAAAAGAAGAAGCTGGTGCTTTCCCGACTGTTCATCTGCTTTATGTGCCAAGACTGGGCCAAGCCGCTCGCCTGGTAAGAGAATCGCCCCGTGATCGGCCGATACTGAGCTGGACAAGGCGATATCACGGCAAGAGAGACTCGAGATTCGGAGGTTGAGGCAATTGATAGAGAGTGAGTCAAATCGCAGACCCACGTGGCTCAGGAGCTGATGCGCATAAAGGTGCTGGAAACCCGGAACTTTCTGGCCGAAACTGTGGTACCTCGTCATAGGTAGGCGAAGGTGGTGAGGCCTGCCTTCCTCATCTTGCCAGCTTCTGCCCAACATCTTTTTCTTCTCTCCTGATTCTCTCCTCTTCTCCTTTATTTATCTCCATTCCAGCCATTTCTGGTCTCTTCTCTTTCAGCAGGGACTGTTGCTGCACCTCTGTTGGGTTGTACGTCATCGACCCGATACTCTCTTTTGGGCCTTCTTCTTTCCTTCATCTTGGAGGCAATTCGCCCAACGCTGCTACATTGTCCGTTGCCAATCTTTTGACACGAGGCGCCAACAGTCATCGATACCGCCTTTCGCCCTCTCGCCATCAATCACGTCTCTCATTTTCTCGATCCACCATCCGATCAATTTGACCTACTGGCTTCAGCCCATCGAGACTTGCGCCGAGGTGCGCTGTACCCTGAGAACCGTCTATTAAAATCGAAGCTCCGGACGATAGCCCAGCGAAACAATGGGCTTCCTCGCTCGCCTCACTTGGGTCTTCCACTTGGTCCTTCTTTTGGTGGCCGCCCAGGACTATGACTTTGGCGTCGACGTCATCTCCATCACTCGTCGACGGGATACCGACGCACCCATCGTCGTCGGCCGCCTGCCATCGGCCTCCAACGGGAGCACACCCCTGAGACTCGAGATCCGCGACGTCAAGGCAGACAAATATCGGTGGGACCTGTACATTCTGGCGCTGAGTATGTTTCAGTCCGTCAATCAGGACGATCCCCTGTCGTATTACCAAGTTGCTGGTAAGTGAGATGTGTGAACACGACTCGGCTTTGGCCTCAGCAGTCTGATGAGCTTTGTGAGCCTAGGGATACACGGTGTGCCCTTTGTGACATGGAATGGGGTTGGACCAGCAGCGGGAGCGAGCCAGTCAGGTTACTGTCCGCATAGTTCAGTTCTGTTTCCAACGTGGCACCGCCCATATCTAGCCTTGTACGAGGTGAGTCGGTCTGGGTTCCAGACAGCCGGCGCCGGCAACGCCCGCACGCACGTTTTGTGGACAAGAAGATGACTTTGCTTTCCAGCAAGAGCTGCACAAGCTTGCCGGTGCCATTGCCGACATGTTCGCCAATGCCACTGAACGCTTCCTCTACAGGCAAGCTGCCTCGGATTTTCGTATACCGTACTGGGACTGGGCATCGCCCGCCCCTGAAGGCGAGAGCCATTTTCCCGACGTCTTTTGGAACTCGACCATGATCCAATACGGTCCCAATGGCGTCCAAGTTATTCGTAACCCGCTGTACTCTTACTCGTTCCATCCGCTTGATGGAGATGCGCTCATCTGGCCACCGGTACGTATAATGGAGGGCAACATACACACAATCGCCTGCTGACAGCTCATAGTTGCGAAGCTGGAACGAAACAAAACGAGCTCCAAATACAGAAATCAGTCAAGCCGAGCCACCTTCCATGAATGACCAAGTGAGCGCGGCCTTGCTGGCCAGATTGCCCGAGATACAGCAGCGATTGTACATACTCTTCTCTAGTTATCACGAGTTTGACTCGTTCAGCAACAAGAACTATGCCTTTTCGCAGAACCTCAGCCATCTGGACTCTATCGAGGCCGTTCACGACATTATCCACATATATGGCGGATCTAGGGGCCATATGACCTATGTTCCTCTGTCGTCCTTTGATCCGCTCTTCTTCCTTCACCACGCCATGACGGACAGGCTGATATCGATGTGGCAGCTTCTCAATCCCTCGGCATGGATGACTCCACAGATCTCAGGAGAGACGACATACACTGCGCTAAAGGGAACCATGCAAAACTCCAGCACTCCGCTTACGCCATTCATGTCCTCAGCAGACGGCACTTTCTGGGACTCTGACATGTCCAGGTCAACGGAAGTGTTTGGCTACGCATACGGAGACACCTCATATGTGCCTGGCGACTCTGAGAGCCCACGCAACAAGCTGATTCGCAAGATTAACAGATGGCTTGGCCTGAACAGCCCGGCCATGGTTCGAATCAAGAGCCAAGCACAGAACCGGCGACCCAGCGGCGTATGGAAGGGCAACACAGGCGTCAAAGGCGTCCAGCCCAGCCTCAAGATAGACATGAGCGATGTCGTGGACGACCATTATACGGAGTGGATTGCAAATGTACACGTCAACCACGGAGCTTTGGACGGATCATTCAGCATTTACTTCTTCGCCGGCAAGCCGCCAGCCGACGTCGGCACTTGGGCGTTTGCTCCAAATCTCATGGGATCGGTCGGCATCTTCACCATGAGCGGCATGGGTGGCCATCACTCCAAGATGTCGGGAAGCGTGCCGTTGACCATGGCTCTGATGAGGCTGGCTAGCCTAGGAGCTGTCCAAAGTGTCGAGCCAAACTCGGTGGTGGCGTTTCTGCAAAGCAGACTACACTTTCGCATCGCTAGCATTGATGACAAGGAAATTGACCCAAGTCTCGTTGCCGGGCTCTTCATCGGGATCAGCAGCACCAGGGTAAGGCTGCCCAAGAGTGAGCTTGAGTTTCCAGATTGGGGTCAGCCGATGCTGAGATTGGTGTTGTGGGAGTAGACGGGTCAGAATGGGAGCTGCGGTACGCGTGTTTGATGGTAATGTTGAGGGCATTTTGGGAGTTTTATCATGGCGTCGGCGATTTCTCTCGTGGATTCTACCACCGGTAATGTACGTAATGTCTTGCGAGTTTAGGCCTGAGTCTTCAGCTATTAAGAATATTTGATACCCTGTTTGAGCCTCATGCGTTGCAATTCAGGGCTTGACAGAGAAGTCCTCCCAAGGAGGCATGGCAGGGTAACATCCGGCTTACGGCCGGCACCCATTTGCCACGGCGTTGCATTGAGTCAGTCGGACTCGATCGCATCATGCTTGTGACGCCGGGCCTCAGAGAGTGTGCATTAGGTAGCACGGCACACGGTTCCCCGGCTCAATGGAAGTCGAGGGTGGCGAGGACGATCTCTTGGAATATGCGGGGTGCCGATCAGGAGGGACTCGAGGAGGAGGGTTGACTGTATGTAGGATTGCCAGAGCAGTGCCCTAACAAGGCCGTCTTGTGTTGCTTCTCCTTGTGTGCGTATATTTTTTTTTCTCGGTGGGAGGGGAAGATGGAAGGCTTGTGGTCTTGGACTGGAATGTGTTTGTTGGCTTCTGGTGCTCAGAGTTTGTTCATATTGCCTGAATTGGGGGATGGGAGTCAAGGTCGGATGAGTGAGTCAAGTTTAGGAGTGAATAGGGAGACACATGTGCAATACTACATACTACTACCTTACTAGCATGTGCGGGCAAGGACTTTGGGGGAACATGGGATGGAATGGATGAGTGGAATGCGGGTTGATGCGGGTGTGACGCAGCTGATATGCGGCAGTGTTTTGGAGTGATGGGCTTTCGGGGTTTGTGGACGTTTGAGGGGAGGATTAGGGGGGGGACTGGAATGGTTTAGAACGGTTGGATGGATGATATTAGGTTGTGTGGTGTGGAGGATTTGGGTGATGGCTGATCTTTGAACGATGCTGCTTCTGTCAAAAGATGGTTTCATGCAGTTCATGTTGCTATACATACAGTACATACAGACATGCCTAGGACTATTCACGTTACTCATACATGCTTAAGGTACTACTAGGTCATTGCTGTAACGTCTATGCAGGCTGCAGAAACACACAAGGCTAAAGGGGGACTTTTGCATCTCCTGTCTCATACCTGTCTTGACTTTGCCTCGCCACCTCACCTTCCGATGGATCGGCTGCTAGAACTACGCTCTTGTTGGCTTCTTCTCAGTTTTTTTACTTTCCATCTATCCTCTTGGGTTGCTTTGACATGTCTTCGTTTGCATCAACAATAGGTAGGTAGCTTCCCAGCTGTAAGTATGTATGTATGTAATAGTATGTAGGTTTGTACGCTTCGGCCCCGCACGGTTTTCGGGGTCTCGGACTGGAAGATGGTGCCAAGGGAGGCTGTTTCGTTTTAGTTCTTCGTTTATTATGATCTAGTGGCTTTTTCTTCTTAAATCATGTTTATGGGGGTCTCGGACATGTTTCTTGTTCAGTTGAGGCTGATGGAAGGGGTCCGCGGGTTCCTGATTAAACGAAGGTGAGGAAGGGGGGGGCGCTGCAAGACTAGTATTGTAAACGAGTGGATTCTGTAGGTAATATGGGAGCTGTTGTATGCGGCTGAACTTGGGCATGAACGAGAATTAAAGAAATCAAGGAGAGCAGTGGGTGAGCCGCGCGTAAAAGAAGAGTGCAGAAAGATGTTCCCACTAGGACTCGCTTGGTAGAGCATAATGCGATCCGTGATAGTAGTAGTAATAGAGAAGCGACTAGAAGTGCAAGCAAATGGAAAGGCGGCGATAGTCATGAGTACGATGCGATGATGCGGCTGATGGAAGCAGGATGCCTTCTGAGAAACACATACATGCGTTCACAAAGTAATACGGAATAAGAGCAGTGAGATATGTACATACACACATTGACACAAGGAACCATGCAAATGCGGACTGTCAGAAGGTCTCGCTATATTACACCGACAGTTGAGGGGGGAAAGACTGGAAGCGACGGCGGCATGGCTCATACATAGTGTGGAGAGGGAGAAAAGGGCCTTTTATCGGGGAGTTGGCGGGCTTGGTTCGTGAATGTAAGGGGAAGAAGAGACGCAGGATGAAAGACGATGGTCTGTTTACTACAGTCAACTTCACTCGTGGTGTATTGCAGCGCGAGGATCGATATATTGAGGTGGAAGACGTCAGAAGTCCAACAGCTTAGCTGGACATTAGCACTGCCGGGACATGAACAAGACAAGCATTCGTGGTGCAGTATTCTTTATTATTACAGACACCAAAAAGCCAGTGCTGCAACGATGATCGGGATCGACCAGGGTGGGTGACCAACAACAACGACAAACTCGCAGCGTAGCAATCACAACGGCAAGCAAAGTAGTAGTAGTCCGATCGGGGGGAACCAGCCTCTCGGGATCTGACAGGCGGCGGCGGGAAGAATCAAGATGGGAATCGGGGTGTTGGACGCAAGCAGAAGAAAAAGGAAAGAGGAGGGAAGAGAAGGGATGTCTTCTGTTGTTGGTCGATGGGGGGGGGGGGGCGTGAATCGGAGAGCTGCGGGAAGGTTTGTTGGTTGGTTGGGTCGTAGAGCAGAGTTGCAGCGAGCGATGCTGGGGAATCTGGGTGACTGGGGATGTTACCCAATAATAGGGGAGGGTGATGGACGTAGAACATGGCGCTGAAGTATTACATAGTAGTAGAGGGAGAGAGGCACTGCTTTTGCATCTTGTTCCCTTTCGTCTTTCGATGCTTGGATATCATATCTAAACATCATATCTAGTACTACCGAGGAAGTATCAGTGCGGCAAGACGGGAGACACCAAAGACCACGCTTCATGCACTCCGTATTTCGTACAGTCAACGAGCTCTGCGCAGCATGAGGGAGCATCTCTCCCTGCGTTACTTGGCGCATACAATAACACCCTGCCCGCCTAAATCTCGCCTCTCTTCCCTCTTCCCTCCCGTCGAGATACCGGCACTACTACTACCAAAAGCCAACCAACGACGAATAGCAGGGGTGTGTCTTCTCCCCCCTCGATCCCGTCGCGTGTCGGCGTACCATTTCAGCGGCGGTAAACTCTTGCGTCTGCGTCTGCGTGCCGTCTCTGCTTTCGCCCCCTAGCTTCTCTCTCTCTCTTTCCGCCCCCCTGGCCCTCTCACCCCTGATCCTTGCCAATGGCAAAATGCAATGCAACGGAACGGATGTCCTCTATTCTTGCTCAACCTTGTTCCCTGCTTCAACTCTCATGTAGCTACTAGTAGTTGGAAACAAGCATTTTTTCCGCGACTCTAGGGCTTTTATTCTTCATGTTTGTTCCCGGTGTTTTCTTCTTCTTTTGCAGCTTCTCAGCCGCGTAGGTTCACGTCATGAATTACTCTTACGAAATATAGTCTCTTTCTCCCTTGTGACTGTCTCTCACATCCCTTATACTGGCAATCCGCGGCAGGACCAACAGTCTCACCCTGCGAATAAGACAAAAAGACGACAAGACATGACAAGGCAGACACGCACAAATCATACGACAAATGGATACATTTGACACGGGAAAGAGAGACACGAGAGAGCCCAGATGCCGCGGGCTGTGGAAACTCATGTCATCAAGTAGTACTTGATAGAGGGCCGGAAGCGCCGCTGAATTGTTTGTGCCGAGGCTCCGTCCTGGCGTCGAATCGAAATCAAGTAGGCCGAAGAGCTACTTGTCGTGGGTTTTATTAGGTGCTGACGTTTGAGCGGAGATGAAACACGAACCGCATCTGATAAGCAGAGAATCTGAGAAGAAACGAATGCAACGTGAATTCGAAGGCGGGCTTGTATGTACCAGTACCAGTATCAGCAGACCAGCTCTACTGTTACTACTGCTAGTGAAGGGGAAGAAAGGAAATACTAATACTAGAAGGTATTTAGTAAAGTGGTAGTCTCTCCACTGTCATCGGAAATACGCAGCGCAAAAGGGATTAGATCGGAATCCTGCAGAGAAGCACTGCGGAACGAGGAGCTGAACGAAGCCAAACGGTAAGGAAATACAACGTCAGGGGGGGGTTGTCCAAACAAGCCAGAAAGGCGTCCGTCTTGATTACACATGTACGGAGTAATTCGAGGTGGACTCGATGGATCGAAGGGGAGTGAAGGTCCCAAGAACGATTGGGCAGCTCCGGGGGACAATTACTAGCTGGGTAAAGCACGATAAGCAAAGTGTGGAAAGTCCGTGGACTTTGTTGTGGGCTTCGTATCTCTGTTTGTTTCCCCCCAACTTGTGTGGTCTGTGCTGTGCTTCTTTTGTCCCTTTCAGCTGGTTCTTTTGTTTCTTTGTCTGGTGCTTGGTGATCCTGGAATGGGTGAAGCAAGGGTATATGTGATGATTTGACATCAGAAATTGCTGCCTTTTTGGAGTCTGCGCTGGGTTTGGATGCCAGTGACGCAAGAGACATGGATTGTCGTCCATGATGGAGATGTCATCTTGTATTTTCCTCTCCATCTTCCTCTTGCTGTTGATCCGACTGTCCGTTGATAGCGCTCACCGAAAGACCCTTTGTTCGCAACTCAACCCAGCAAGATCCACGGATCACGATGATCTTAATCGAGGCGAATTGTACACATTCCTACTTTTCATTAGTCCGTCCTAGTCTCTATTTGTTTGCATGTTTTCGTAGTGTCGCGAACGTGGTCATCTGCCCAGAGGGAGAGAAAGAAAAAAAAAAAAAAAAAGGAAAAAGAACCCCTGCAGCTGTGCTACTAGTGCTCCGGAGCAAGTTCCGTCCGCTGAGAATCCGCAGCAAAGGCCAGCCATTACTGTAAAAGTGTTCGGCCAAGCGAGGTTGACGGGCATGAACGCATCTCAACGGTCATTCATGGAGGATGTCTGATGGAGGTTTGATACGCATCGAGCTCTGATCGTGCTTGGGTCTTGACTCGAGTCAACGTTATGCTTTGATAAGCTTCCATCACGGCATGAGGCAGGCAGCAAGATTGTAAGACTCCATACAAGTACATGCAGTATCTGGATGTTACCTTGTCTCCCAGGTGTCCTTCAGCCCCGATGGACACCCTCTCAGCCAGCCGTATGTACTTGTACCCACGGCCGTCTCCCCCCCTGTCAAGCCCAGCAACCCAGCCATTATACTACTACTAGTATAGCACGATCACAACTGTGGCCCATTCGCTCGGTCTTCTTCTAGTGGTAATCTTAGTCCGGCCCAAAGCCCTGAACGCGGCTCTGGCTCCGTTATTAGCGGGTTCTGCTTCCCTTGATTCTCATGCTAGCCAAGAGAAGCCTTTCTCTTTTCCATGCCGTCTCTCCTCCTTGTCTTCCACCAAAAGGTCTTCCTGACGGTACTACATACTATGTATCTTGGCCGACGTTTCAACCATTCGTACTCGTACCTGTGGTACTGTACATACCTATCTATGTAGTATCTGGGACACACGGGTTCACGGACACCAACGTGGTTCCGAGGCTCCAGACCGACCTCTTCCGCCCAGGACGGCCGGGCACTACGACCAGCTGTTCGTGCTCCGGCACAGCCGTGGACGCATGAATCCCCACGTGTTGAACCTGTGAGTCGCAAGTCCACGCACTGATACCAATACGGCACCGCCGCGGGGGGAGGAGGCAGCGTCGCACTCCGTGATCGTGGCACGTTGAGAAAACGTGTGGCTACGGGACTGGGGACCTGCATACATAGTAGTAGTAGTACAGATGATGATTACTCCCGCATCAGAACGCGTCTCTCTGCATGAACAGGAGGCACAGAGCTGGACCAGGTCTTGTAAGGGTTGCTTGTACATAGCAATGCCCGTGTCGGCCTACTACATGTATGTACCAGCAGACACCCGGCCGTGCAACATCATCTGCAGGCAGCCAAAGACTCTCAGTAGTATCACCTCGCAACGACTCCCAGATGCGTTCCCCTCTCTCTCTCGCTCTCCTGCATGTGTTCCTCTTGGGCATCCATTGTCATTCTCCCGCCCACCATCCAGCAGGTAACCCCCTAGTGATACTACTCGGAATAGTAGGTCCAGGTACGAGTACAACTACTTTCAGCAGCTGGTTCCCTCGGATCCAGCGCCAAGTGCGCCCACAGGCCCAAGAACCCATGATCCCTGTCCTCTCTCGCTGGGGAGCTGGCAAACGTACCGGTAAGACTCCCTGGACCTTCGCTGCATGTGTCGAGGGTCACAGCTCTGCATCGTAAGGTATGTATTAGCTGTACTATACGTACTAATACAAGTACAACTACAACTACTACAGGACTGTAATCCCGGACCTTGACCAGGATCATGCAAAAGACAGGGATGCTCGGTCCCTTCGCTTTCTTGCACTCTCTTTGATTTTTTTTTCGGGTCAGTCACTTTTTTTCTTTTCTGTTCTTCTTTGCTTTTTTCCGTCTTTTGCCTCACTCATTCTCTTGCCCTCTGGCGCCTTTGTTCTTTGGTCCCTTGTTGGGCATTATATTACCCTGGTGACGATGGCATCCCAGCAAGCACATGCATGCGCATGTTACACGGCCTCGTAACAAACTATTGCTTGTGCATGTAGAACCAGAACCATGGACCGACCATGTTCGCCCCCATCCCAGCCGTGTAACTCGAGGCGTCGTGACTTGCGCGGGTCTCCATCTCGACAGCACGTCTGGGTCAATACGCTCATCTCCATGGAGATCCATTCTGATAACCATCCATACCCATACCTGATGCCATATCCATACGGACATCCACAACGAACTCAGACAAGCAGCCCGGACCTTGACCCGGACCCAGGCACTGCTTCATTAGCTGCTGGTACTACTAGTAGTAGTCTGTATCGCAATACCACCGCTGCTATGGCTTGTACCTGGATATCCTAATCCCTTCCTACAGTACTCCATCCATCCCTCCCTCCCTACCTCTCCCATCATACCTAGTAGTAATACACACGTCCGTCATGCCCATCCAGCCACCATCCATCCCGCTGCTCGATCGCCAAGCCAGCCTAAACCTTGTGCTGGGACGCTTCCCGTCCTCTCTCACTCTCGCCCAATCTCCCTCGCCCTCCCTCTTCTCTTTCCCCCCCACCCCCCGGTTCTCTGACACGCTTCCTTCTCGTCAGCCCCCCCTGGTCCGCTCCGTCACTCACTCACTCACTCACTCACTCACTGTTCATCTTTCTCTTCCGTCTTCCCTCTCCCTCTCCCTCTCTTCCGGGTCAAGCCTGGACAAAATCGGAAGAGGAAAAAAAGAAACCAGCTCCCACAAAATAAACGTGCGGAGAAACGTGCATTTGCATGTTTTGCCTGTGCACGTCTCTTCCCATGCAAGGCTCGCACGAAGCTTCGCCCACGCTTCTGCCCGCCAGGGGGGGTCGCACCACTTCCCGTCGGTACGAGGAGAACAAGAACAAGTCACTGCTCTGTAGTACTAGTTCTGGAACGATCCTGAGCCACACACGCGAACACATTATTACTACATGCTTCTTTCTCTCCTCATGTGCTCAACTTGAAGGGGGAGGAGAGGGGGTTTCCAAGCCCACCAAGGCCGTCGTCACTTTTCAGTTTCTTCTCTGTCTGTCTGTCTGTCTGTCTGTCTCTACTCTCTCCCTTTGGCGCGTTCATTCTTGTGTCTCTCTGCCCTTGTCTCCTTTCGGACCCGAGACCCTCCTCCTGCCCACACGCCGCGTGCCGGCTGGCGAGACTAAGACTTACACCAACGAAAGAGAAGAAGAAGCCCAGCGTCCGCCTTACTTGGCAATCTTCGGGGTGCTTGCTTGCTTGCGCCTAGCCGCATCGACTACTGCTTTTTTCAGCTCTTTCTGGGCCACTTCTCTTGTTTCATTTCCTGGTCATTTTCAACGCTCTCTTTTCTTTGTCTCTTTCTGAGCCCTGTCGGTTTAGACTTGTATTACCCGATTTCCTGAACCCACACTCGCCTACACCTTATTTCGACGCTCTCCTTCTCTTTCTCCTGCCTCCTCTTCTTCTTCCCTCTCTATGGTCTCTTTTCCTGTCTAATCATACATCGTTCCCAGCCAAGGCCACTGACGACATCACACCATATGCACAGCCGCTTATACGCACACATTCTCAGACCCCATCCCCCCTATCACACACACACACACGCTCTCCATACTTTGTACACGACACACACATATATAGGGAGCCCCCAGCAGCGCATACACATGAGCTCCGCACGTGCAACCGTTACCCGGACCCTCAGCCAGACGGACTACCGATCCAGCTGAAAAAAAAGGCAAGGTTGTCCATACTGCTCCATACCAGTTACATACATACCTACCCAAGCACTCGGACTATCAAGAAGCCCTATTGCCGCGCCGAGATCGAGGCCGGAGCGTCCACGCACGCCAAAAGGCTGCCTCCACTTGGCTCCCGAGGGTGGCCCTTTTGCATTACTAGCCTTTTCCTTTTCCCTTCCCTCTCTTTTCTCTCTTTTTCTCTCTCTCTCCTTTGCTTCGTTAGTCACTGGAGAACGAAGGGGAGGGGGGCGAAACAGAGCTGGAGGGCTAGTATATAGCGCGCCGGAGTTCCCCTGCAACTCCGTGGGCGGCTTGCGTGTGTTCTGAGTGTATGTGTGTGTGTGTGTGCGTGTGTGCGTGTCTCTCTGCTGTTGTGTGTGTCGTTGCCGTTTGAACGTCTTTGACGGCGGACATATCCCATCCCCTTGATCTTCTCCTCATCAGTCTCGGACACTACGCAGGTTCGCCTATGCAGTCCAAGAGGCAGACTCTCGGCCTTTTGTCTTCTTCTTCTCTCTCATCTCTATCGTCTCCTTCTATCTGCTGTATCCACTAAACTCAACTCGGGAACTTCGTCCTTCTCTAATCCTCCTCTTCGAATCATCCTCATCGACCTCTTCGTCATTCAATTTCCATTGTCTTTCCTTATTCTTCTCTACTCACAGCTGGCCACGGGCACCGTCTTCACGCCTGCAAGCCAGGCCCTCCTCCCTCTCACTTCATACACTCCCTCATCCCTGGACATAAAACGCTCTCATTTCCAACTCGAATTCCTCGAACCAACAGCTGCATCAAACCTCATCACAACCGCCACCATGTCTCACCCCGTCGGACCACAAACTCCGCCTCTGCGGCCCTTGGTCTTCAACAGTAGGCCGCAGCCTCCTCACCTCTGCGTCGTCGACACCTCCCTCAGCCCAGACGAGCTTCACCACGACGACCTCCACGACCAGCCGTGCTCGCCCCTGTCTCCCGTCTCGGCATCGCCCTGGGAGGATGCCTCGGCTGCGTCCACCACCGCCAGCATCCCGTCGACTCCGACGACGCAGGTCAGCGTCAACGAGCCGCTGCCTCTACCTCTACCGGCCTCTTCTTTTCCTCTGCTCTCCAAGGACATGTCCAGCAAGACCATGCCTCCGCTGCAGTCGTCACTCTTGACCTCACCACTCCCCTCCCCCATCCTCCTCTCCTCATCCGCCCTCCCCAAGCCTGAGCCCGAATCAGAAACACAAGCACAAACACAGACACAACCAGAAGCACAGACGGTCAAGATCCCCCCAGAGTCCATGGGCGGCCCCATCCGGCACATCCCCCCGAAATGGGCCCTCCGCGGCGACATCTACACCTTTTCCTTCTGGACGCCCGCCTCCGCCGCCAGGAACCTGCCGGAGCACGCCTACTCGCCGCTCGAGGGCAAGACGTCCTTTGCCGACGAGGCCTACAGCCGGCCCGTGGGCGGGCTGAGCATGATCCAGATCCTGAGCTACCGGGACTCGCCCGTCGGGCCGTACGACGAGATGCTGGTGGCGCCGGGCAGCTTCGACTGGGAGCGGACGGAGGAGGACGGGACCAAGACGAGGGGGAGCAACCCCAAGATTACGAGGATCTATGTTTCGACGCCGAATAGCTGCTTCAACGGGCGGACGAGTGAGTTGCCTTTATTTACCCCTGACGTTCTGTTGCGCACCCCTATTGTTGATCTTTTAATTTCATTCTTACTCTTGCAACACAACTAACAAACACATATAGACTGGAACACGCCCAAGCACCTCGCCAAATTCGTCTGGGACCACCACCCAGACGGCTCAACCACCATCCAGATCTTCCCCCACGACGCCCCCTCCCACGACGGCGACGAATCCCGCCCCTCATCCACCCCTTTCTTCACCACCACCTTCAAGCCCATGCCGCTCGCCCCGCGCTTCCCCTTTGCCACGAGCTGGGTCGACCACCTCGGCTTCAACACGACCCTCGTCATGCCCCCTTTGCCCCCGGGTAAGGGAACGTACGGCGAGCTGCCGAGCACCTCGCGCTGGATCAGCCTCGTGACGAAGCAGTTTTGCAAGAGGAGCACTATGGGATGGTACGATGTGCGGCAGCCGGATGACGGTAGCGGTGACGGGAGGGCGCTGTGCGGTGGGAATGAGAATTTCTTGCCGTGGTTGGGGAGGTGGCAGGTTGGGCTGAAGATGGAGGATGCGGATCTGACGTTTGAGATTCCGGATGAGACGTGGGAGACGGGGGATAAGTTGAGTGACGGGGATAATAAGGAAGGGATGGGTTCTGCTAAGACGACGACACCGACGACGACGATGACGACGACGACGACGATGAACAAGACGATGATGGAGACGACGACGACGACGCCGCCGTATGATGAGCCACAGGGGGAGGTTCTTGAGAAGCCGAGGAGTTGGGGCTCTGGGAATTTCCTATACGACTATTTCACGTAAAGAGACGTGTAAAAGAAGACCATGAGAAGAACGAGAAGGGAGGGCGTCGAACGGACCATACATTCAGCCATCCAGCACATCACGGAGAAGATCAACATCAACACCAACACAACCATCACAAGCCAACGCCGGAAAAAAAGGGGGGGAAAGGCCTCACACGCTCGAAACCTACCTACCTACCACACATCAACCATCCGTACAAACAAGGCTATATCGCAGAAAACACGAATCAAGGCTTCTCTCAACGTCACCGGGCATCGGACAAATCCTGGCAAGCTTCCTCTTCGAACTCGTCTCTCCTTTCCATCCCTCAAATACACTCTCCAAGCTCAGAGCAAAAACACTACAGCACGACCACTCTCTATCCCTCCAACAACAATCTCTCCCTCTTTTTTTTTCCCCTCTCATTTCTTATGTCTCCCACTCATCTACCTTCCTAATCACACTACTCCCACTTCATCTTCCAAACATCTTCCAACATAACATACATCCGGCAATACAATAAAAAGGGGGGGCGTTTCCATGTTCAACTCAATATATGCACTGGATGGCGGTGTCTAGTTTACACTCGTCAAAATCTTGCATCACTCCTCCTGCTTGTCTTCCTTTCTCCCTTTTTTGTTCGTCATCATCTTTGTATTCGACATTCATTTGTATTCGACAACTCGCATGCAAAGCATCAATCACTCTCTTTCATCATTTTCCTCAAATGTTATCTATCCAGCCACGAGTCGACCGAACCACCATTTCCTTAATTCCTTGCATATAGATAGAGCTCTCATCCTACAAAAGGCCTGCTGGGTACGCGTCATACACGGGCAAGATTGCAAAATCTGGAATATAATCAAGCATCAAAGTCTCAAGCTCCAATATTCAATGCCTCATATTGCACTCCAGACCCCATCGTTTCATCGGCCAAAATTTCATGTGTAATCATAGAGCATAATGTATCGTATTGTGCAGTCGTAAATCTATCTAGCATACCAAAACCCATCGCCGCAAGCATCTTCCTACAATAACCCCCCCCCCCCCCCCCCCCCCTTCATTCCATCGCAAACGCAAATCAATTAAAAGTAAAGCATTAGAAAGAAAAAACCAAAGGCCCAACAGAATCCGCCAGCGCCATTGCAATGAGTTCGCCATCCCATCAAAGCTGCCCTCCTCAAGCCGTAAAGAATCGCTGTCGTCCTCACCATGTCTGCCCGTGCAGTCTCCCCCCGGATCTAACCAAAAGTCGTCTTGCAAACACACTTCTTGTACACACACGGCTCCGACTCTTTCCCGTCTTCTTAGAGTTATCCTTTGCATCTGGCTGTACAGCTCAAGACGCTCAGCATGCCTCCCGCTGTTCCGAATTCGCTGGTATAATGACCCAAAATTCGCGCTGTAGATCAAAAGAGAAGAGTAACACAAAAGAACCAATACCATAATTCTGCTCTCAGGATCTCTCTTGTTGATGCCTGCCGTGTCACGTCCACCAGGGATCACAGGACCGGTCTTGCCGGCTGTGGCCGTATCGCCACAACCACTCCGTAGATACGCGCATCTCGTTATCGTAATTAGAAACATTTCGAGGAACCATCATGGCGCCGACGTCATGGATAGATGGTTTGCCCAGCCGCCGAGCCCATCCGAGCATGAGTCGCCATTGCGCGATGCTCCTACTGCGTCTGATTTGTGCTAGGACACCGCTGGTTTCCCAGTGGCTCCATTAGGTGCGCCGAAGTCGAGGAGCCACCACCTCTCGGGCGTAGAACTCGACCAGCATGGTAGCATATGCCTCCAGCTCTTCCACCGGAATGGCCAGTCGGAAGTCGTTGAGTATTAAGAACTGCAGTTCCAGGTGGTTCAACTCGGGCAGAGGAAGTCCACCAACCTTGTGGAAAGTCAGCACCATACATCCAGGCTTTTCTAGTTTATGTGCATAATCCTCTTCCTTACCTTTGCATATCGCGAATTGGTGTAAAAGACGTCGGAAAAGAACTTGCTCGCGCAAGTCACTCCAGCAATAATCAGCCGGTGAATATTGAAGCTATCAACCACAAAGTACGTGGCCGGCGTGGGCAGGCCAGCAGAGCGCTCGCCGACGTGCGCCGCGGCGTTTCTGCTCGCTTCACGCGCAAACTTGGTGGGCGGTTCCACCATGACCTCGTCTTCGCTGTCGTCATCGTCGGCCAGGTCCTCGTCGCTATCATTGGGACTCCTGGAGGAGTCGCCCATCGGCGTGTCGTGCGACGCGACCGAGGCTGAGCCTCGCGTGCGCGATGATCGCCGGCTGCGTTCTGTGCGGGATACCATGTCGTTGACTCTCTCCGTCATGCGATCAAAGTAGACTAGCAGACTCAAGAACACCTCGTACGTCGTTGGGCAGTACTTGTCGATGCGCGACAGGTAGCTCAGGATTGTTATGGCGGGGACGTTCTTTCCGTGAAACGCAAGCACCGAGTGGCTGAGCGGGCTCATCTGGGAGCTGCCGTGGGCGTCGGCCGACTGGTTGGCCTGCTGCTGGTGGGCCACATTGCGCTGCATGGCATCGTGTTGCAGGTCGTTTGTAGTCGTTATCTTCGTTAGCAGAGCGGCCACCATCTCGATGACGTCTGCAATGGGCATTGCGCTGATCTCGTACTTGGTCTGGTGCAGCGGCGGGTCGTGGAGGATGCCCGATCGGTCTGGGGCGCCCGCGAGGTCGGCCTCGGCGAGCTTCTCAATGTGTTGGAGATCCCGGACGTGGATGACGTTCTGCTCGGGCACGGGCGCGGCGTCGGCGACGGAGACCAGGTATGAGTCGGAGCCAGGGGCCGGGGCAAGCCGCAGGGGATAGTCGTCCGAGGTGGGCGAGGGCTGCTGCTGGCCCTGCGGCGCGGCTGGGTTCAGGGCCGGCGGCTGTTGCTGATGCAGGCTGGGGGCGGAGACGGCATCTCCCATCTGATGAGCCATGGACGCCCGATTCGCATCGTCGGCGGCAACAGGGCCGGGGGCAGCTGCTGGGGAAGAAGACGGCGGCGGCGAGGGGAAACGCGACGCTCCGCCAGAGGCAGCTGCGCGCGCCGCGGGCTGTGATGGTGGCGGTGGTGGTGGTGGTGCTGCTGCTGCTGCCGGCGGCGGCCTGGCCCTGCTGGAGGCGTCTGGAGCGGAGGCTGGAGTCTGAGTCTGAGACCGCGGCACGGAGCCAGACAACCGGGGCCGGCTGGATGAGCGGTAGGCGGCGGCCGAGTCGTGGGTCTGGCCGTTGTCTTGACGCTGCGGGATCGAGGCGGGCGAGGAGGTCGAGATCATGCTGTGGAAGCGCGAGAGGTCAGGAACAAAGTCGCCGATGACGGCTGCCATTGCGTCGTCTCGCGAGGCGAGAGGGGGGAAAGAGCGCGCGCGCGTTCGCAGTTGGACAAAGTCGACGACTCTTGACGGTCGAGGTTGAGGCTGAAGCTGGGGATGGCAGAAAAAGGTATGGATGGATTTGGAGGAGATGGGGGCGAAAATGCGGCAGCGACCGGCTCGGGTGGGAAAGACAGGCACAGAGGGGTGCGAGGTTGAAAAAGAGTAGAGGTTGGATCAAGAAGAAAGAAGCAGTTGGGCGGCCAACTAGAACGCAGAACAAGTCATTAGAAATTAAGAGCAGGTCGTGAGTGAAGGAAGGATTGCGAACAAGCAACAGACTGCGACAAGCGCAGTTGAGTTGGGGCTGAGGCGAGGAGAAAGAGGGGAGGACGAAGCGAGAGAGCGAGAGCGAGACAGGTGTGAGAGTGGAGGGATTGAGAGAAATGGAAGCGTCCCGCCTGGGGTCAGGTGGTGGTGAGGTTGAGGAGTTGAAGAGCCTGGAACCTGGCTGGAACCTCAATCCTCCACTGAGGCTTAGGGGAGCTGCACAGCACGCGAACCGCTGCTCCAGCGGCTGCTGCACCGGCGAGCTCAGCGAGGCAGCGCTGCAGCAGCGGGTGGGTTTAGGGGGCCGCAGTGGCATCGGCAGTGGGGATGCGCGCACCAGCCAGTGAGCGCCGTGGTTCGACCACATGCAAACCTGACTGGAACCGCCGACGACTCCCAGTTGCGCCCAGCAGGGCAGCGGAGGAGAACCAAGACGCGACAAAATCCCGGAGATGGCGGATGGGATGGAGGGCGGCCAATGGCACAGATGGCGCTTGTCATCCAGGGCCGGGGCGGGAACCTCGTGTTGTTGGGATCGTGTTCTGACCGGTTTCCCTTTGCCCATATGCTGCTTTGTGTCCTGTTCTCGAGAGAGAAACTCTTCTCTTTGCTTGGACATCAATGCCCTCAGCTCTCTCTCACTCTCACTCTCTCTCTTACACACACACTCTCTCTCTCTCTCTTGCATCATCAACGCTCATCAGTCCACTCAGACGATCCAACGACAGAACGGCAAACGGCAAACCGACATCGCTCTCCACCCGCCCGAGATCATGATCTGATGCCTCCCGGCCCAGCTGCTAACATGAATCGGACAACGAGCCGCAGCCACTCAGCCGGACACGCTCCATAAAACACCCCCCCATCGATGTGCTTCGCAAACCCTCAAAGGCGACCCCGAAAGGCACTCGACGGCCCTCGGTGGCGCTCTCGCCTATTGCAGCCGTGGCGCCGCCGCTCAGCGTCATGGGTGGCAAAGAGCATGCAACAAGGCTTCGTGGCACGCCAATGGCAGCAGCCAAACTGCTGTGGACGGGGCTTGTGCTAAGGCGGGGGATGGGCAGGCAGAAGGTATGCAGCTTGTGTGTACATGCAGGCATGGCCTTGTTGGTATTAATGAGAACGCGTGCGAGGAGGAGCAAAGTTGGAAGAAGCTCCGGGCATGTAAGTGCTCTGAGCTCCAAGACTCTCAAGAACCCTCTCCCATGCAACAGCATGTTGATCAAAGCGGGGCTGCAATGCAAGAGAGTGACAGGAGGGGGGGCAAAGCAGGGCATTGACAGTAAAAGAGTACCAAGAGGAGACGCAGGTAGATGCAAGGAAAGGGCTCCAAACTCACAAGTTCGATGTGGATGGGAGTTGATGACAAGCCCAGAGGCTCCGAGAGAGTATCTTGATATGAGATGATGTGAGCGAGCTTGTGTGCGTATAGCCCAGAGATACCGAAGCCCCGGGTATCGCTAGGAGGTAGGTATCGTGGATGTGAGATGCCGCACGTACTTGTACGAGGGGTTGTGGTTCAACAACAGCCGCCGTCAACTGAACGAGACAGGACCTGGAGTCGGGAGCCGGCGAGGGACAAGGATTGCAGCAAATCCAGCCACGGACAAGGCTCAATCTTGCTCGCGATCAAGATCGATCTCGCCTCAGGCCAGGGTCTCAGCTGTCTCGGCAAAGGCAGGCAAAAAAAAAAAGCACAGTTACGTACTTTGTTGTTAATCTCAGGCCAACCGGAGCTCCGTGCGAAAGCCAAGTTTCAAGCTTGTTTTCTTCCAAGCTGTGGTGTCGTATCAAATGTTTCGCCCAGCATATACCTCCTACCTAGGAAAATCAAGGGCCGCTAGGTTGTTCTCTGGTAAGCAACCTACGCTGAAGTGGCGTTGACAGAACGGGATTTGTGGCCTGTTCTCACCTTGGTTCGGATCTCGAGCCGCGGACAAGAGGGACCAAGAAAAGAGGGGGTGGAACAAGAGAGGGCTGTAAGAGGAGGATGTTGAGTGAGGAGGAAAGAGAAAGAAAAAAACAAAAAGATGCAACGGACAGGTACAGCAGCGCAAAGATGCCAACGACAATGGTCCAAGTATGTGCCCGTTGTAAAGGTAGGTAGGTAAAGTAGTAGGTATGGATATGCGTAAGTTGGTAATCGTATGCGCGTATGGGCGTGTATCTGCACAAGGAGTACGTGGGACAAAGAGGATTGGCGGTGGAGTTGTCGTTGCTCTGCTTGTCTATGGCTCCGTGCTTCCACAAGGCAGATGCGGTGATCCCGAGCAGCCGCACGCCTCCCGCCTTGTCCGTACAGCTGTTATTGATGGCGATGTGACGACGAGGGGAGCTCGGGCGTGTGAAGTCGGATAGCGAAGGAAACCCAAAGGCACGGAAGTCGGATGGGGGAAACTAGGTAGGTAATAGAAGAGGTGGTGTTGATGGGGCCACTCTCGGCCAGGGCTTGAGGAGAAACACACGGGAGCGGGAACATACGGGTGTGTGTCCACTTGCCACGGCAGAGCGACGAGTTTATTCAGTCGAGGCTCAGCTTACATCGAGATGGGCGTCTGTCAACTTGAGCGTGCGGTCTGTAATTCTACAGTACTACTACATACGAACCTAGGTAGATATTGGATGTATAATAGTAAGATGCCTCGTCCCTCGTCTCTCAAGCCACAAACCCTCCCTACAACTCAGGCCATCATCAGCACCAGCAGCAAAGCAGCAGAGATACCAGCAAAAACAGCGCCGTTCCTCTCCCCCCCGTTTGACTCGACGTGCTGGAAAACACCGCACAAGCCCTTTCAAGGCTCCAGCCCTTTTCTCATGCAGTGCTTCCCACATTACCTCTCTCTCTCTCTCTCTTCCTCAAACCCCTCGCACCTCATAGGCCAGCACCTACCAAGACCCTCTTTGTCGAATCGCTGCGCTCCCAGCCAAGACATGCCGCACGTGGGCTTCCATGGATGCCTTTTGAACGGGCCCCCCCTCGTCCAGGGTCCCTTTTCCTGCCGGGATCAGGGCTTCTATTCCTGTTTGGGGAACGAAGCCAAGTTCAGCCACAAGAAGCCTGGTTGCGCCACGGCCCAGGTATTAGCTAGAGTCTGCTACAGAGGCACGATAGAGTCTGGACATCACATCTGCTGCCATACCGTTGCACCAAGAGATTTCTGAGGCGTTCGTTCGTATCCCAATAGGCATCCCTACAGAGCTGAATCGAATTGAAATCATAGCCACCACAGTTACACAAGCCCCCCCCTTTCTTTTACATTGAACACTACAGAAACTGCCGTCTTTCCCCTGGTGGCCATGACGCCCATCGCATCACACCAGTAGAACACCCCCCCTCCACTCCTCAAGACATAATACGTCAATGTTGGATTTCCTTTATCAGAAGCACACACACACACAAGCCATGCCAAACCGTTTTCGCCGCTGACAAGGCATTGGAACTTGGAAGCTAACAACAACAACAACTTGGCTTTAAGCGTCACCGCAAATGCTTAAAATCTCGCTGATCTGCCCTCCATCTTCTCGGGCTTGAGTGTGGAGAAGCCGTGGGGAGCGCCGATCAGTGGGAGACGCTTTCGTAATTCATACATACAGATACAGGCTCGTACTGATCCAAAGATGCAAATCACCTCACGCAGCTCTTTCTCAGGGAGGAATTTTGTTATGTATTACTGTCCATATGTCAACCGTTGCACATCATCGAGATCTTGGAATATCAGGGATCCTCTGACGTACTGTACATGCGTCAACTTATCGAGATTGTACATGCGCTCATGAGCTGCATGAGGTGTGCAGTGTTTCCCTACCAGGCAAGGCTATGATTTTCATCCTTTACGACATACGGTCGAGCCCTGCCTCCCAAGGTAAAGGTAGCCTTGTTGCGTCATATCTCTAGAGCATCATCTACTGTACAGCTTCATGCAAACAACATCATAACGTCAATTGTCACGGAGCACCTCGTGTCTTTCCTCTGGGTCCTGACATTGCTCCAGAACTTTCCGGCCGCTTCCATCTGAGAGGTACCCTATAATCTTGACTTGACGAAATCAAACACCACGCGAGCCCACATGGACGTGGACCCTCGAGTAGCAATAAGTGAGTGTAGCTTGATTCAATTTCTTTGTCGTTCGCTACTTGAATGCAGTAAGCCCGTTCATGCCTCAAGGGCATGCTTTCGGCGATTCCAAGCACCATGGCCTGCGTTGTAGACTGGTTCGATATCTCCACCAAAGGTAGCGCACAGATAATGGTCTTTATTGTTCATTTCTATGTCAACCACATGCTGCCCATAATCCCGCTACGCTTTGCTTCCTTCATCCCCCTCTACTCATGTCGCACCTTGTAGTCTGTATCCGGTAGGTACAGGTGTCGGTCGGCTCCCTTCTTGGTCAACACCACCATGCGAATCACACCACCAGAGCTTCCATCCCACTTGATGGCTTCTCTTAGCGCACCCTTGACGAAAGCGACCGCCTCGTCCTCCTCCATGCCCTCCTTCCAGTTGGCGTCACAGTATCCGTAGATGTATGTCGAACCTGAGCCGCCGATTGCGTACGCCTGCTTGTGCAATGAACCTCCCAGAGGGATAGAATAGACCTGGCCACCAAACCGCTCGTCCCAACCCGCAATAATCAGACCAGCTCTGCCACAGCGTCAGTATATATATATATATATCGTGTTTGCATAGCTCCGCGGAGGGGGGGAAGCGGTGGGCATGTCACTGACGATAATTGGTCCTTGTTGGCGTAGCAAATCTCTTGGAAGATGGACGCCGCCGTCTGTGTCATCGGGGGCTTGCCGCTGTGCATGGCAAAGAGGCCCAGCTGGTACTGTACAATGTCGGCGACGGCTTGCGTGTCGGCGGCCGAGCCGGATCGGCAGCACCAGATGGTGTCGTGTACTCGGGTCAGCTTGTCTGTCACTCGGTTGGCGATGTAGGCGCCCGTCGTTGTTCTGGAATCGGCTCCTATAGATTCGTCAGCATGATTCTTCCACGAGCGCATCTCTGTTGGTGCCCTCGTACCCAGAATGACTCCATCCTTGAATGTCACAGCCATGCTATCAATGTCGTCAGATCAAACAGTCCGCTTCGGCGGGGTCAATGGAGCATACATGGAAGTGCCGAGGCTGAAACATCGGTCAGTTCAGTAAACACAATACAGACAGCGTCAGAAGCATCAACTCACTTGACCTCTCCCTTCTTCAATCGATCCATATCGACATGGATGCCATCTGGTTGTCCATCAAGTCAGCGAGGGGTCGTCGGCAGAGCGCCGGACTGGGGCTGCCACCGCACCTTCATTCAGCACGCCAGCACGCCCAAACTCCATGGTTGCAGATAGTATGAAGAGTAGAGTGACGGTGTTTCGGGGGTATTTGTCGGTCTCGAGGGAACAGGAAGTCGTGTGCTGGTAGATGGTTGTCGTTTGCTGCTTGTCTGGGAAGGCTGGAGCTTCAACCAGCACTACCGCCACATTGAAGCTCAGGCAGCTCTGGGAACGCGCAGCCGCGCCGATGCCCCACTCTGGAGGTGGGAGCGTGACTTGGCACGTGACATAGATTTGATGACATTCACATGCAAGAGCTGAAGATCGTGAAGATGTACGCGAGCTGAGCAAGTCAGAGATTCGCCTGTTATTGATTTATCGCTGGAGCTCTAAGACAACTGTTGTTCGCAGTCTCGCGACTTGATTTGTTCAGGATGGGAAGAGGGGGCAGCAAGGCTGCAGCTGTTGATGCATCAAGAAGTATCAGCATGAGCTTGAAAACCACTCATAAGTTGTCATTCAGAGTTGTATCACGGTTCGCTAAATGTACAAAGTAAGAAGCCAATCTCTAATAAGCACTGCGTCGATGCAGTTTCTATTCCTTCACCAATTCGCCATCAACCTTGGCCTCCTCCTTCCCGTCCTTCTTCTCGTCCCCGCAGCCGCAGTCGTAAAAGTCGCCAATGTTGTTGCAGTCAAATATGGGCTTCTTCAGCCTCTCGTTGACCTGGTTGTGCACAAAACACAGCCATCCGGCAGCCGCATTCCGGCTACTCGTCTGCGGCGGATATTTTGCCAGCAGGCCCCGGAAGTGCCTCGCGCAGTCGCCGCAGGGGTACAGCCGGCCGAAGAGGTAGATGAAGGTCTCGAGCGTCTTGCGCTCCTCGGGCGAGGGCTTCTCGGGGAAGCGGGCGACCATTGTGTGCATGAATTTCCATGTTGCGCGACCGAGCTCGGCTCTATGTAATTGCAGAAAAGCGTCAGAACTGGTATCCTTTGAAACACTGCCATGGTCGGTGGCTCATGGGAGCAGGTTCGGGTATGCGGGAAACGTACTTGAGAGTCGCATTCTCCAGCTTGGGTGCTATTGACTCTCCCTCCAGCAGGTTGGCCGGCATGCCGTCAAAATCCACCTTGAATTCCGACTTGGGCTCTGCCACTACGGCCTCGCGCGTTCGATCCGCATTGGAGCTGGACGAGCCCGAGAGGAGGTACGTGATGCTGAAGAAGAGCACGACGGCCAGCAGGACTGTCGCGGTGAGGTGCTGGCGGCGCGCCATCGTAGATTGTAGATTCGGCTTCCCTCAGTGAGCGTGATGAGGGTACAGAAAGGGTCACCGCGCCATGGCGATGGTTGGGATATTACTGAAGGGAGGGAGATGTTGCATGTCGTATGAGGGATCGCGCCACGGCGCCACAAGGGAGGCAGCTTGTGCCACGTTTTGGGGGTGGCGGGTGTTAGTGCGCTACGCATCATCAGATCAAATGGTGCCAACAGCTAAAGGGAGATGCTCCGAGATATTAGGACTAAGGCGACCTTTCCAACTGACTGATTTGCTGGGCCTTCTAAAGGCAACGTGATTCTGGATACGAAATACATATTCACCAGATGGTTATCATCGGGCCGTGACTGATTAGCTGACATTTCTGTCCAAGCCGTAAAGTCGTGGGCAGAATCTAACATCAAACCTCGAAGAGCTACCCTATAATAGAATCGCTAAGTGCGGAATTCTACTCTATGATGGCCGTCAATGAGTCCAATCTAGCGGTAAGTCATATTTGTAGCTGTTCTTCAGTCATATGTTTGACTCTCCTTACAAGAACCCGTCATATTCTCAGTGGATATACATTGATGAGGCTCTCGTGATTTACAGTTTGGTAACCGATCCTATTAGCTCACCGCAAAGATGTCATTCGAACCAGATACAGACATCTTAAAGTATCGTCACTCGTCTCAACACTGGCAGACAGGCTATAAGCATCATGCATATGACGATAGAAGGATATTGTACTGTCACTGGCTGCATGTATTCCGGCTCGGTCAGGCGGGGCGCACTTACACGTCCAATGGACGATATAGTGAGCATGGAAACTCAACGACATCTACCTTACGCTTGACCAACCTTGAGATAAGAAGCCTATATTGATCACGTCCTACCCGACCTTGAATTAGAAACTCTGCATTACTGCGCCTGTTGCCCCTACTCATATAACGTGGATGTCTTTCATAAGTCAACTCACCGATACTATGTACCTTAGACATCAAGGCGACTGGATATTCAACCCACCTGAAATAGCACAAGGATGACATGTAGTGATAGATGAAGAATGTAGACAACGGTCCAGCAAAGAATGATTGACACAGCCTCCTTCATGGCAAACACACATTCTGCTTCCGACATTCCATTTGGCCAGTCAGTCAGCCCCATCACAAACAGCATTGGACAGACAATATTGCAACCACAAATCGGCAGTTTGTAGCCAACCTCTGGTCAAGTCATGATGTCAACAGAGGACGTGCATCTATTTAACTTGAGAAAGGATGGAAGTATTGAGACATTGTCACTGGGAGCAGAGTTAGCTCTGTCCTTGTAAATCACCAGTATGGAATACTCGGCATTACCTTGCGGCCTCGCTGTGGGCTTGCTGTTGACAAACAAACAAACAAAGAATGATTATCCGTCCATGTGCTTATTTGAGTATTCTGGCAAACATCGGTCCAGCCGCTGAAGATGGTCTCCGAGAACAATGACACTATGCCCCGTTGCTTCTACGTCTTGCCAAGGCTTGGATATCAAGGCTACATGTAGGCGGCGGTGCACGGTTCGAGCTAGCCTCAGCTCTGTGTCTTCGGTAGCAGTTCGCTTAGACAGATGCCCCCTTTTGTCAAAATCCCACAAAGATATGAAGCTGGTCGTGTATTTTCAGGTACTTATGTAGAGGCGAAGGACAAGTCGTGCCAGTGCATGCTGAGCGTAGAATGCTCTGTTCTAGGACAATTGGCAGTGAGACGATATGTTGACCATGCAGCTCAAGATGGGAGCAGCCGCAACTCACGATGCCAAGCTGACAAGGCTGGGAGTATTAATTCATCGGCGCTTTCCATTTGACCTCTCAGCAACGCACGGTTGCAGCGTCGAGGTCAAGGCGCACGTAATGCAATGGATGACCCTCCCCTTCGAGAACAACGCTATGTATTACCTTACCTGAACTATTTGCGGCGAGAGGAGCGGTGGGATGGAGCAGGGACTCTTACAGAAGTATGGCATGCAGGCAAGGAGAGCGAGTTTGTGCTCGTATTATTTGGCACCAGGTCGATTACGGCAGACTAGAGTAGCATCGCATGCCTGGAGGGAAGGGGAGGAGAGGGTTAAAAAAAAAGGAGGCCGATCCATGTCTCGGTTTGAGGAGAGCATCGGCGTCGATGAAACAGGAAACGGGAAACATTGGGCACAGCCCACTTGCTGGACAGTCTGAGACTGCACATTCTTCATGGGAGACGACAAGCAAGAGAGAGAAAGATGATCAGAAAGGAACACAATACAGACATACTACACAGGGCTTGTTACAGAGTGAAGACGCATTCCAGCGCGGTGTATGTAAGTGCTGGGGATGCAAGTACTACAAAGGTACTGTACGGCGTGGGTGTGCTCGTACCGGTGAAATGAGCGTCTGCGGTGTTGACGGTGTGTGAGTGCCAATAGCGGCACCTTGGCAGCGCCCCGTAATCTCACGCCTTTGCTTGTACCAGGTATCTATCTACTGTACGGTACGAGCGATTAGGCATGTTGGAACTTGATACTCGTATGGGGAGTAAAGTACTAAAGGTATTATTAGAAGCTGTTCCCATTACGAACATCAGATGCCTTGGCATATTACGGGCGTTGCCTCTTCGGTGCGCAGCTGTTGAACCAGCGGCCAACCGAGGGCCACACGTGCGATTCGACGACAAGCCCAGTCATTTCATTTACGGAGGAGAATACCTACCTACCTACAGGATGGGGGGTGAATCGGAGCGGAAGCCATTGGCCGGTGGTTGCGTGCGAGAATGCTCCGTACCTGCAGCGATATATTGGCCCCTTCGGGTGCATATGATCATGTGCGTTTGCGTCCAGTCTGCGAGCTGGCATCTGAGCGTTTCGACGTTGCACATACGCGTACATCTTGCGTGATTGGGCGAGGATGGGCGATGGAAATTCGATAAGCCATGCAGGAGCACACTGTGCGCGCTTCCGAGCTCCAAGACGGCGTACAGGTACAGGTGCAGGTTGGAGTAGGTTTACATTGAAATGAGCTGAATTTGCGGTGCATGACGACTACTGGATTATTCGCTGGTCTGGAAGGTGCCGGATGATCTGATTCGCATAAAAGGACCGTCTTCCTAGCGGCTTCGCTTGTGCTGAAATTGAATTTCCGAGAGAGCCAGGAAATGATCTGCGGCTTCGGTAAGAGGTCGTGATGGAGTCGTACAGAGGACATTGATGGTGCGCTTGTTTAGGTATGCCTGGCGCTCTATTTGCTGTATCAGATACCCACAGCACCGACGATGAGTAAAAACACCGGTGAGATGCTGCAGGCACCGTGCAAAGAGACGAACTTGAATGTCTGGTAGTTAATGCTGAGCTTCTTTTGCCAGCAGAATTCGCAATCCCGCTGCATCTGAATCAGTGCGCACATTGTCCATGGCGCGCATCCAGCCTCGTCTGCCGATTAGCGCCAGGAACCAGTCGAGCCGTCGACGCCAAGCCCGGTGACAACGGGGAGCTTATAATCACGGCCTGCACAAAGGGTCGAAGCAGAAGCCATGGCTGATTCATTGCCCAGCGGCGAGCCTGAAGCAGCCAGCGGCGGCAGAGCGCGTAGGTATATACTTGCACTCGTTCTGCAGGTTACGGAGCATCTGAGGAGCAAAAAATGATGGACTAACTTGGTGATAATAGGTAGCCGAAAAAAGCAAGGAAATGGACGAGAAAACCGGGTTGCTGAAGAGTTTCTCGTCGGCCATCGGCTGGGGCCACGCAGCCTGTGTTAGGCATGTATCTCACCATACAAGCTGTCGTGTCGGGGTACTTCCGGCACACGTGCATAAAACCGCCCTCCCTGGTCAGCAATATTAAAGGCGCGACGCCAATCCGACCCCGAGACGAGCTAAGGCTGCTAGCGCCTTGTCGCCATTGGCTCAGGAACCCTTGGAAAGCCCTTCCGGTCGCCCAGGGGTTCGTGCGGGCGGCGCAGGTACCGCCCGGGTCACTCTTTGTCGCACATCAGCACGAGGGCACGAGAGCTGCCCACGCACTCAACGGAGCTGGGGTTCCCTGTCTGAAGACGAGGACGTGGGCAGGCGAGTACTGTTACGATTACAGACGCCAGAGGAGATGTGGAAGGAGAAGTAGGGGTTCTGATTTGTGGCCAACACTGGTAGGGCAGCTCCAGGAACGCAGCTTTCCATCGGCAGGCATGCGAGGGATTTTCGACAAACTTGCTGCGAGTTCTATGTATCAATATAAGTAGATCTCATGAACAGCAGTCAGGAAGCTTCTCCGTGTAAGTGATGACACGATATAACAACGTCGGGTCCCGTGCTGCTGTGTAGACTGCATTAGCTGAGATGTCGTGAGCTCCTACTGCTTACCTTGCCTTAGCTGCACCCATGATGGTGACATGCACATTATTGATTAATGTGTACTACAACGGCACCGGACCCGGTCTGCCATTGGGCACGAACGGAGCCATCATGCTCGAACGTGTACTCGTATTACATGTAGCGGTGGGAAAAGTAGAGTGAACGGCACCCACACTGCATTTGCCGTGTAAGCCTGAACCATCTCCGCTGAATCACAAACGATGGCGTCTGCTTGTGGCAGGCGAAGCTCCGTCGCACGGCATGCCCTCCGCCACCTTCGGCAATGAGCTCGACCAGCTTTTCTTTCACGGCAATCTGAGGAACGGGGGATTCGATCGGCGGGTGGGCAGAAACTGAAAGAAGAAGAGCACTGGAGAGGACCCAAGAATGAGAGACAAGACTGCCCTGTCCAGGCGAGAGAGCATATTGGTGGCAGGCAAAACTACCTTACGGCGGTACCTGGGAAGTACATCGGCCGGCCCTGACCCGTTGTCGCCGCCGCACCAGCATCTAAAAAAAATCACCCGTAGCGTGGGCCGGTGGGGCTGCAGCCAATGGGGCAGGATGGCGCTGGTTTACCCCTGGCCCGCCGCTGATGGCTCAGTACCTGTCGCGTGTTGAGAAGCAGCGCAGCAGATGGAGGCGCTCCGTAACGCCGGACAGGTACCGCGCTATTGGCGGGCTTCTGGCAGCCCACACGCGTGCGACCATGTGCTGGTACCAGGCCCGTTTTGGCGGGTGCAATTTCCAACCCGGACAGCACAGTGGCAGTGCTTTTACTTTTGCGGACGACGACGACAACGACGCATGAATCCAAGCGTTTTTTTTTCTTTCTTTGACATGACATCCCATGGGAAGCCGCTGTGGCTCTGCAGACAGGGAATGCCCCGGGAGCTGCTGGTACAGTACGTGGAGCTTGCTCAGGTACAGTAATACTTGTACATGAGGTGTACATACAAGTGCCTTCTGTTTGACTGCCTGTTGCCTCGTACCTGGGAAACAATCGCAACCTGCGGCTGCCGCTGACGGTACCTGAGGCGCCGCCGGGTCGCGCACGCTGGCGCCGTGTACTGCGGCCCCTGTTGACGCCGTACCGGGCCTGGCTTTGCGACGTTGGCTCGCATTCCAACGCCCAGCCATCGTGTGACATCGGGGGCCTGAACCAAGGCCCTTGACGCCTCCTTCTCGCGCGAGGTGACGAAGCGAGCAACACGGTGCAGCTCCAGGCCTAGCAAAGGCACGAAAAAGACGGAGCAAACGGACGGACAGGTCCTGCTGCTGTGCCTGGAGGCGGTACGAGTAATACTCGGAGGTACCTGTCGTGCTGCCGACACGCAGCGCCGCGCGCCAAGTACCTCGCCTGGGTCTTGAAACCCTGTGGAGAGCTGCCGCTGCTTGTTGTACAGTACTGTACCTGCGCATTCCCTGCCAACTCGCCCACTTCTGTGCTGCACTGCAGGCCCTTTGTTGCTCTGCGGGCAGTGGTATGTGCTCTCGTACAGGTACCAGCCAGCTCGCAGCAGCCCCGTACCTCGAGCGCTGCGTCTGCGCCGGCGACTACCTCTCTGGCCCGTGCTTGGCGGTATCGTGACGGTTGGGCCCTCTGCCAACGGGCGCTAGAAGCCTCCCGCCTGCACAAATCTCGCCCTCCTCCTCTTCTCCTCTTCCTCGTTTCCCTCCCCCCCCCTGCCAGAAAAGCCACACCCCCTGGGGGCCCTTGTCCTTGTCCTGTCCTTGTCCAGTCCAGGCTTGTCCTCTCCAGGCCTGGCCGCTGCTTGTGTCGCCCATCCACCCACTCGCCGTCTCTCGTTTCCCTCTGGGCCATCTTCACGGCCTGCGTCTTATTTTCCTCCCTCCTCCTCCCGCCCTTCCTATTCTTCTCTCCCCCCCCTCCTCATACCATCGCCATCCCGCTCCTTCGACAATCTTCTGCCAGGCGACCGTGGTTCCCCCTTCGGCTCTCGACCCAGCGCCGCCCGCGCGTCAACCGCCCTCTATCGAGACATTCGGGTTATCTGTTCTCTTTCATGACTGAATGACCCTGGGGCCTCGGGAGGTTCTCGCGATTCTACACCCTCGTTCGATTTGATCTTTGCGGAACCCTACAGACAACGCTCGCAACGCTCGCCGCCCCCCCGGTGACGGACGCCATATGACGATTTGATTGAACAATCACGACGCTCCTTTATTGTTTTTTGCTTCGTCGCACATACGCTCTGGCACCAAGACAAAATGTGAGTGGCTACGAGAAAGCGCTTGGCGGTTCGATGGACGTCTTCGTTGGGATGGCAGCAGTAAGAGCAAGAGATTAGACGGCATGGATGGAGATTTGGTTGCGCGCAATGGGTGTCATTCACCTGGCATTGTTATTTCCTCAAATAGTCCTGGTGGATTTGGGCAATGAGAGGCGACAAGGGCCTGTTGGATGACGCAGAACCGGTTCAAATGGAGACTGGGGGACAATGAGTGTAAACGGCCTTTTGAGAAGCTCTGCTAACCTCGCGATCCAGATCAAAGACACTCATTGACAATTTGTCAAGTACATTCGTTGAACTCTGTTTCTGACAGTGAGGGATTGCCCATTCGACAAGTTTCGAATCTCCTCGTAGACAGTCGCTGACCACAATGGCAGTATATTTGCAATCACAAACATAAAACCACCACACTCCTTCGCAAACGGGATCCTTAACATTCGCTACCAAAAAAACACCATGCAGTCCAAATCGCTCGCTTTGCTGGCCGCTCTGGCCGTGTCTACGGCCGCCTCCGGGGCTGAGCGGCCTCGGATCTACTACCCTCACAAGATCAAACGCGATCTATTTGGCTTGCTTTCCAACTCAACAATCAGCTCCACTTCCAGCAGCGTCACGACCGCTCCCGCGACCACGACCAGCAGCTCGACCACGTCTCCGTCTGGGCCGGATCTGGGCGCCATCATCTCCGACCTCCTCGGAGGGCACCCGTCCAGCACCTCGACCACTTCGACCGCTTCGACCGCTTCGACTACTTCGACTGCGACGACTGCGACGACCGCAACCAGCTCATCGTTGAGCAGCGCTTCCGAGTCCAGCAGCTCGAGTTCCGGCAGTGTGACGACCATTATCCGATCAAAGACCATCATCGTCACGCCTACACCCCAGGGTACTGGCAGCACTCCGGTTCCCTTCAAGCCTCAGAAGTCTAGCACCAGCAGCTCCCTGGATGAGACGACGCCTACCGGAACGCCTGCTGGCTCGTCTTCGCAACCCGCTGCCAGCTCTAGCTCGTCCCCTGCTGCCAGCAGCTCGTCTCCTGCCGGAACTCCTGCCCAGTCCACCTCAGCCCCTGCCGTAACCAGCTCTCCTGTTGCGTCCTCGACTGGCTCCTCTGGACTGGATCTCAGCCTGGGCATCAGCCTCCCCCTCGGCGGCAAGAGCTCTTCCACCACGTCTTCTGCGGCCAGCTCTGCTCAAACGGCCTCTTCTTCCCAGGCCAGCTCCAGCAAGGCTTCCGAGACTGGCATTGTGATTGATCCTACTGGCGTCCGTTTCCCCTCGACCACCGCTCCCGCGGCCCAGACTCAGTCCAGCAGCAGTGCCCCTGGTTCTTCCAGCAGCGCCATTCTCGATAGCAGCAGCGTTTTGGGCAACTCGACCGAGGCCGACGTCAGCTCCACGCCCTCTGCGCAAAAGACGTCCTCTGCAGGCGGTCTTCTGGACCCCATCTTGACCATGCTCAATCCTTCCAAGACCACGTCTCCCGCTGACTCAACGTCTGCTCCTGGAACCTCTGGCCTGCCGGTTCAGACGTCCCTCCCTGGCACTGGATCGTCGACTTCGGCTGCTGCCTCGCAGACGAGCTCTGCCGGCGGCCTTCTCCCCAGCTTGTCTCTGCCTCTAACCCTGCCGCCCATTCTTCCTACGGAGACTTCGTCGTCGGGTGCTCCCACCCAGACCCAGACCCAGACCCAGACCAGCTCTTCTGGTGGCCTTCTCCCCAGCTTGTCTCTGCCGCTGACCCTGCCGCCCGTGCTTCCCACGGGAACGACATCTGCCGCCACCTCGAGCCCTGCTACTTCGCAGGATGGATCCAACGCCACCTCGTCCGAGCCGCCTTCCACCACCCCTGGGCTTCCCATCTCCATTTCCCTGCCGCTGCCTCCCATCTCGACTTCTGACGGTTCGGTCGTGAACTCCACCTCTAGCGAGCCTCCTGTTACCGGCTCCGCTACCATCACCAGCGCTCCCACAGGCACTGCTACAGGTACTCCCACAGGCACGGTGACGGATGTTCCCGTTACCAACGGCACCAGCTCCGGTGAACCCACCGGCGTCATCACTTCGGCCTCTAGCTCTGCCGTCGAGACCGGTGCGGCGGGCAACTCAACCAGTGCTGTTGAGACGTCTGCCCCCGCGACCGGAACGTCTGCCGCGACCTCTGCCCCAGTCGCTACCAGCGAGCCGGTGGCGACTGGTTCTCCCTCGACCCTGGTGACCATTTCCAAGCCTTCCTCTCCGGTCGCCACTGTTCCCCCGGTCACTCAGACGTCGAGCGCGGAGCCCATCACGAGCATTCGGCCCACTGCCACGCTCACCAACACCGCGGACTGGCTGCCTACGACCATTGTCATTGAGCCTACCACGATGGCCTTCACCCCGGTGACGTCTTCCGCCAGTGTGTCCACCTCGACCGCCCTGCCGACCAACGTCCCCAAGATCATCTACCCGGATGACCCCAACACTCCCGCTGCGGAGGGCACTGTCCCGATCCAGATTGGATTCCTGTATCCTCTCAACTACATGTTCGTCGCTAGCAACACCGTTGCCGCCGCCCAGATCTTCAAGTACCTGCCTCAGGCCCTGGCCACCGCCGCCGGCATCGACGTGGAGAAGGTTCAGGTCGCCAAGCTTGTCCCCTACGACACCCGTGCCCAGTGGGGTTATGTCACCACTCTGGCCAAGATCAACTACCCCCAGAACCTGATTGACAAGCTCCAGCTGGACTTGTCGGTGGCCAACTCGCTCATCTACAACAACCCCGACCCCATTGTCCGCAACCTGACGTCGCTGATCAACCCCAAGATCAACATCTTTGGCCAGCTCACGGACGGCGGCTCGACCGACGGCGCCGACGGCTCCGGCAGCGGCAGCGGCGGTGCTCCTCCTTCCTCTGGCTCCGCCAACAACGATGCCTTTGGCACCAGCAGCACGGACAGCCAGAGCTCCAAGCAAAAGGCCACCACGGCCGGTATCGCGGTTGGTGCCGTCGGCCTGGGTGCTCTGTACGGCGGTGCCATGTTCATCATTGCTCGTCGCTACAAGCGCAAGAAGCAGGCCCACCGCCGCTCCAGCTCCATTGGCAGCAGCCAGCGTTCGTCCGACATGCAGTTTACCGGCAACGGAAGCCCTGCGCTCATGGGTGGTGCTCTGATGAGCCGCGACATGTCCAGCTATGGCGGAACGGGAATTCGCGACAGCCACAACAGCGGAACCAGCTCTGCCCGGACTGCCAACATCTCCCATCCCGTTGCGGCTGAGAACTCCCTCGGCTGGAACTGATGATGTACACGCTTTTCATATCGGCCATTTTCCCTTATTTCACACCTACTTTTATTTGTTCCTTTTACTTTTCCTTTTGGATATCCGCGCATCATATTTTCCTTATTTAAACTTCGATACCCTTGGGGGAGCTTTTGCTCGTGAGGATGTAGGATGATGTCTACGACCTTTTCTTGATGTCTTGGCCAAGCCGACTGGAGGGTTTCGACATGAGAGAACCAGAAACGAGAAAAGGCAACTCGCCCCCTCCAGTTCCGCTTGGGGGCCTCCTCCTCCTGGTAGTTGTCAGTCAAGCGCGCAACGGAGTTTGATCCGTGACTGCTGACCACTCCCCCCCCCAATTTACACTTACGCCGACCACCTGTCAAGTCGAGAAACGACATACACAAAAAGGGATGGCGCCAACCTTGTTGCTTTTTCCTTCTTCTGGCTCCATCCTGGTGATCTTGGCATTTGCTTTTAATATTCTTAGCCTTGTCTGGAGTTGGAATGAGATAGATGGTCTTGTGACGATGCCTTCAGGGCCAGCGTTGTGCAACAACCAGTTGGGGTGATATTATTCTACTTTTTTTTTATTTCCTTTGCTTGAGAAAACAAAACGGAAAGAGGAGGATAAGAGGGAGAAAAGAGGTGGATGGTGATGGAGTTGCTGTGGGGATGAAGGAGGAGGAGAGAAGTATGGGAGAGCTGGTGTTGGGGCAGGTTGAGATAGTGGTAAAAGAAGACAATGTTGACTGTATATGGACTCTACCTGTGGCTGTGAGTGAAGGTGAGAGAGAGGGTTATGTTTGATATATGACAATAAATTTGGTAATTCAATATGATGCCGGGTACTTTACATGGCCTTTATTTCTGCATGGCGATTTGTGCAGTGAAGAGGTTGAGGACTCGAGGGGCTGAGAGTGTGTTGTCGGATAGGTAGGTAGGCATGCATCTTGAAGATGAAGCAAGATCTTGCTTGAGCTATCATTAGGCCAAACTTTGGCAGTCGACTTTGACTTGTGGCTTGTCGCACAGCTCATGAACCATACCATACTTACCATTGAACCCACAGTCCGGTCGGACGGGCCGCTTTCTGATGCTTATTCCTCCGCCTCCGGTTCCGCTTCAACAGCCAAGCATGTTAAAACACATCGATCGATCATGGAGTGTTTGAAATCGAAGCAGGGGAGTTTGCCCGCTAGATGCTCTGCTTCTGATTCTGGAGGATTCCGTGGGAGTCTGTGTGTTTGTGCCGGACTTGATTCACGGGGTTTTATGTTGAAGTTTATCATACAATCCTTTTGTTGGAAATACATTTACTGGTGATGGCTTCGGTACGGAAGAGTACGGCGTGTGCGAATTGCCGGAGTCGACGAATCAAGGTACACTTTACCTCTCTCTCTCTCTCTCTTTTGCCTGTCTCTTTACCCTCCCCAATTTTTCTCATCTTTTGGTCGACTCATCTATTGATATCGTTTTCTCTGTAATGCTCGCTATTGTCTCTAAAGGGGGAGGGGATTTTCTGATGGTGTGAGGGCGTAGTGCAACGAATCCAAGCCGCGGTGTGCGCAATGCGCGCGAGCGGGCTTATTCTGCTGGGGATATCGAGGCCGGACGGAGATGCGGTTTGTGAATGCTACGGTGGCGGGAAGTATGAGGGGGGATTTGCCGTGGAGGCAAGCCGGGAATCTTGTGGACGATAATAAATATGTTGATGATGATGAGGAGGAGGAGGATGATGGTGATGATGTGGTCCGAGGGCTATCGTCTTTACACAAGACACGGTCTGCTATTGCAACGACAGGGCGTCCAAAGCAGACGAGGCTTGGACACGAATTGCCGCCGCTTCGCAAGCTCTGCCTCCCGGCTGAATCCGTCGCCCAGGTATTCTTCCTCCGGACGTATGCTTTCGCGGGCGCGGAGACGCTCTATGCAGTTCAAGCCCGAGCGAGCACCAACGACAACTCTTCCTCTTCCTTTCCTTCGCCTGCTGCTACTGCTGCTGCTGCTGCTGCTGGGGTCAAAATGCAGGGGGTCCTTGCCGTGGGCATGGCAGGGTTAGCGATTGCAGAGGGTGATGGAGACGTCATGGCGCTGGCGAGGAGGAGGTATGGGGGGACGCTGAGGCGGATCGGGGAGGTTATTGGGAAGCATGGGGATGGAGGTGGTAGGGGGGAGGAGACAGTTGCGGCGGTGGTGCTTATGGGCATGTTTGAGGTGAGTTCTTGCCTGGTCGTGAAGAGGGGTCTGAATATCAAGATGATGTGGATGAGGGGAGTTGAGGTGTGGTTTGCTGATGATGTTGGGTTCTAGATGATTGCTTGTCGAGATGCAGCTTCTCTTGAGGCGTGGATATGTCATGTCCAGGGCGCTGCGGCGTTGATCCGGCATTGGACGTCGGAGGATTGGGAGAGGAGCGTTAATGCGAGGGCGTTTCTTCACTTCTTTTACTTGCTGGTGATTGACCCTTGATGCCGTCGCTCATACCGGTGATGGAGAAGCTCAAGCTGATATTGTTTGGTAGGCTACGGGGTGTCTGATCAAGAAGATGCCCGTTCCGACTCACGTTCGGGACCTCGCTCGGTCTTGTCCTGCATTTGTGGCGGATGCGCATCTTTTGCCGGCGAGGAGACTGTTTGACATTCTCTGTCGGTTTGCAGAGTTGCACTCTTTTGGGGAGACGAGCCACGTCACGCTCTTGACCGAGAGAGTTTCTGCGGCTATCATGCTGGAGGAGGAGCTTTGTTCATGGGAGACACAACTACCCACCATGTGGAACTACAACCTTGTCCGAGACAATTCTGACCAAGGTGAGTCTGATCAGTATATGCGTCATAAGTATACATGTCCCTGGCAGGCATACGTCTGGACCCAACACCGCACGTGTCGAGTCCTCGTCCACACTGCGCTCCTTGGATATCTCGACGCCCTCGCCCTGCGCATGACAAACGCCCACCCTGCGCTCATAAAGGCATATATACTGCAGCAGGAGGCTTCGCGGGAGGTTCTGTGCACGACGATGCGCGACTTGCGGGCTGGCATGGCGTATATCCTTGGCTTGTACGATGAAGGCAAGGGGAATGCTTGCTTGTCGCCGGAGCAGTCGGGGGTGTTTGGGCTGTTGGGGGCGGTGCAGGCTTTGATGGGGGTAGGAGGGGTGGTGAGAGGCGAGGAGAAGGAGAAGGAGGAGGAGGAGTGGTTGTGTGGGATGTTGGGTGATATGGGGAGGAGGTGGGGGATTGGGTTGGCGACGGTGTTGGGGAGGAAGTGATGAGGTTGGGTTTTGGTGTCTTGATGGGTTCACTTTGATTGCTTTCATACGACAGGAATGGCTTCTTTTCATACAGATCTTGTTCTCTACAAGAACGAGGGTAATGTTTTATCCGGTCTATAATCAGAGAACGTCAGATGAAAAACTCCAGCGGAAAAGTTCCCTCGTCGTCTCCTAAATCAGCTCAACGGAACTCCCCCCCCCTTTTCACCACCGTCACCGTCCTCCCCATCCTGCGCAAAAGCAGACTTTCCATTCACGATATTCACAACGTCGCCATCCCGCACATAGACCTCCACCCAGCCGACCGTAACCTGCATCTTGCCCTCTGCAAACATGTACGCCTCGTCCGGCTGCATCTTGACGGGATACTCCGGGTCCGCGGTGGCCTTCCACAGATCCTCGACGCTGCACACCATGAACTCGATGTAGGCGTCAAAGGGGGCGACGACGGCGCCGACTGTTGAGGCGAGGGGGGCGGCGAGGTTGCGGGTTGAGGGGGGCGTGTGATACTGCGTTTTTTCCTCTCAGCTCTTTCTATCAGCCTTTTCTGTATGATATTGGATAAGGGTATGAGGATGGAAAGGCGGGTTTTGGGGGGGGGGGGGGGGGGGGGGGGGGGGGGTGGTATGTGATTTACCTGCGTGTAGCCGATGATGCCGTTGCGGGCGAGCCAGCCTGATGCGAGCGGTGCGTGATGCTCAGTCCAGTGTTTTTGGAATTGGGCGTCGGTGAGGAGGGGATTCTTGTGCTGCATGAGGGTGATGCGGAGAAGTCTTTGCTTGGTAGCCATTTTGATTCAGTGAGATATGTAGTAGTTTGTGCTTGTGTGAGCTGTTGAGATAGAGGGTTGATGTCTGATCTGGGCATGTTGGAGATGGCGTCGAGAGGACTTTATATACTCGAGATGATGAGAAATGGTTCTTGTGAGCAGAGGTGAGGAAATCTGTGATTCGGCATATCCTTTTATTTGATTGTATAAGACAGTTACTATTCGCAGTCCTATGAGACTCTACGCTATTCTGCGAGTTCATGGCCCGATTTTGACGACGTCTCCGGGTAGTACCTTATCGAGCAGTAGTGAGTGAGACATGGAGTAGGTAGTGGAATACAGGTACCTTACCCTGATAAAGCAGACCCGCGCTAAACTGCGAATTGGATTGCCGTTTTTGGAAAGTAGATGAGGTCCACTGAATTTTGGGGTCCGACGCTTGACTGTGCTTGCAAGGTTGACTCGAGGAGTTCTAAGCAAATTGTCATGCATGTACATATGATGATACTACAACATATAGTCTCAAGCAACTCTAGAAGAAGGCTACGTCATTTGTCCATCTGCAGAAACTGTAGAGTTATTATGCGAGATAGGATGCTAGATAGCGAAGCGGGCGTGCTAACAAAGCCGCTGCCTGTTCTCGACATTTATCAAGCAACTGAGAGAAAGGATGCAAAGCCCGTCACAGCCGACGATTTAAGATGAATGCTTGAAAGATGGTTACTGAATGACTAGTTCATTTCCTGCCCGGGTCTTGATTTGAAGGGGTGTTGCATGGAGAAGAGTCTCTCTTAAGAGGACGGATTAATAAGTACAGTTTCAGACCAGTGTTATATCTCTTGGCTGCTGTTTGTTCTCTGGTTCATCATTGGTGGCCCTGCTGTTACTGGTCTGCCCATTGTGATAGGCATGTGATGATCACAAGCAGCAACAGCCTTGTTAGTATCAACATACCATTAGTGCATATCATTGCATGCAGAGAGAGCTGTCGTGGTTGTTTACCAAGCGTATGTATACGCAGGCCGCATACATGGAGAATGTCACCTTGGAATGCTGATTGAGTCCCCAAGTTCAGCAACTAAGCATCTCAGAAGACTTTAGTCTGGCCACGATGAAAATCTGGCCATGTTCCTCAACCCAATGCTGTCACCATTTGTACATTTCGCTGCATCAGCATCGACCAAGCAAGGGCGCCAACGACTCGTTTAGCAAATAGTTGTGCTTCGTTCTCCGAGCCGACCATGAGCGCCGTCCGTCATGTTGCAAACAATTCCTTCTCCCCTGGCGGTCGATCGTTCCTTGAACCAGACGTCCGCTGGTGATAAGCCTTGCACAATGTTCTGGTTCGACGACGGCACCATGTCAAGTCAGTAAGTGTGCATCTTTGACGTGCCTGACGCTCTCTCAGGCGACATCCTGCGCCTCCGTTGCAAATCCCAAGCTCAGACATATTTCATGTTGGCAACTGTATCAAAATCATGGTGTACGCGAACGCTCCCATCATGCACTTTGTCAAACGGCCTGTCCCACCTCCGCTCCGGGCAACAGTCGAAGCTTGCATGCGTCCAAGGTCCCAACAAGGCCGACTTGCGCATCATGGTGGGGGGGCATCCAGACAAGATATGAGGGAGATCCATCAGGCTCTTCAAATAGGAGCAAGTCTCTCTGCCAAAAGAAACGGTCTGTGATCGCTCCTCGCATTCCCCCAGGACCAACAGTTGTGAGTTCATCTTGCGTAGCTCTGTTGCGTGGTCCTTTGTGTGGTCCTTTGCGTGATGGAGAGAGCCATACATGGCGGGGCCCTATTGATTTTCAGGGTCCATGTTCCGTGTTCCGCGCCAGCATCGGCGATCCCGGCTTCTCCGGTTTCTGGCCGGCCCATCTCAGATTTTCACCCCTATGCGGGACTCATCAGTGGCCAATGGCAAGACGAGAAAACTGGGCCGTTGAATAGGGCAGAACTACCACGATGGCATTCCGACGCCTGGGCGGCAGTCGGAGACGCGGCTCTCCACGTTTGACAGGCCGGGATCATGCATCGGCTTCACGGCTCATGCCTCTCGTTCCCAGCACAAACGCAGGTCCGGGCTGTCAAGGAGCAGCTAGTAACTCGGGCGGGCCAGAGCCTCGCATTGGGGCATCTCACTCGTCTTTATTCCATTGGCAGCTGTCACACAGCCGAGGTGCTGTACAGCACGTCAAACTGCGGATATAAAAAGTTTTTCACCAGAACAATGTGTTTTCCGATCCATGGTTGGGTGCCACCGAAATGGTGTCATCCAGACCATGCGTGGCGTTGCACGCTAAAGCGGGTTCCGTTGTCGCCCTGGTTTTCTCCGGACGGTGACAGGCTGGGCAACGCACGGGGCGGAATCTTCGAAACCCTTGTCTGAGTAATGCTGGATGAACAAGCACGTCTCCTGGGCTCTGCAAGATTCTGCAAGGGTCTAGCAGGCTCGTTTGGCGGCTTCTTGAAAAGTCAGCGCGCAGACCAAAGGCCAACGGCTGGACATTGGCATCTCGTAAATAAGGGCCCGGCCGGCATGCAGTGACCACCGTTTCCAGCAGCCGGGAGTCGCACTTTGTGAAACGTTTGCTGGCGTAGATCGGGTATTGCGAAATTTGAACCACGGTCCACCTCATCAAGTGCCAGTCACGCAATCGATCCTGAACCCTTAATCCAGCAGGTACTTGGATGTCTCCGGGTCCATACCCCACGACTCGTGGCATCATCGAGTAAGATATCTCGTGCTTGCTCCAGTCCAGTACAGCCTTCTAGCTTAGCCGCCGTTGGGAGCTGATACGAGCATCTGTGAGGACCCGGGCGGTGTAGTCTGTCCATCGGCTTGGCCCTGTGTCACCCGCGGCCAGCCACTGCAGATAAATACTCCTCCGAGGTCCCATCCACCTCCCCCTTCTCCCCTCTTTTCTCTCCCTTCCTCAAGAAAGCAGAATCCTTTCCCAAAAAGGCCAAATTCGTGAGCTCTCGAAGACAAATCGCTTCTCCGTAACCATCAAACCATATCAAGTCGTCATCATGGCCGCCTCAGTCGAGTTGGTGCAGCCCGTCGAGGTGCCCTCATTGCCAAAGGAGTCAACTCCAGTCATCGAGCTCAGCCCCGTGGACGAGAACAGATTCATCATTAAGTCGCCATACACAGACAGGGAGCATCTCCTCGATCTCGACACCCTTTCTCATGAAGGTGCCCTGCTGGCGAGGGCCCTGCAGCGCCTCAAGTCGATTCGCGAGGACTATGCGACTGCACCTTATGCCGAGTCTTTCAACTGGCCCGAAGTCCTCGAAGAAGTGAAGCGCCTGTCGCAAGAGTCCGGAAAGCCGTTCAAGGAGACCTCCTTCTACATTGTCGCATTCCGGTCGCAGATCAAGCCGAGCACCGATTACGCCCACCTTGGCGCGTTGGACAAGGCAGCCCATGCGGAAGCGGTTGCCAGCGGAGGCTTTCTGAAGTGAGTGACAAAAGATGCCTCCTTATTTCGTCGTGTTCCCGTGCTAACCATATGCAACAGATATTGGTTTGGTTCACCAGACCCTGAGCTCAGAAACTTGGCAACCTGCGTCTGGAGATCGCGAGAGGATGCATTGCTCGGGGGCAGGGGACCGGCACACCGCAAGGCAGTCGGCGCCACGCGGAACATGTATGCCTTTTGGAAGATTGACCAACACCGCCTCACCATTCGAGACAACGCGGATGAGTGGGTGCTCGAGGACTGGGAGTAAGACGGATCGACATGGTCACCGCTCCCGAGCAACTTTGCTTGGTTGGTCAGTCTGACCGCAGAGTGGAACATTGGGAATGGGAATGAAACTCGACACGAAAACAAGGGTTCAAAAGGAGTATTCTGGGATTTGATTTGGGCTTGAACAGCGTTCTGCGAAAGCGCGTATTTGTGTGTTTTCTTTCTGGGTTTTGGGCATAAGATATCATGAAGGACAAGCGAGCGTCATGGTTGGGATTTCGAAATAAAAAAGAACTGGAATATAGAGTAGAAATAGATTGAATGATACTTGCATGGTTCGCCAGCGAAAATGAAATGCAGCGACGAGTGGAAATTGACGGATGCTTGTACAACGAACGGCACGGCCAAGGCATCGAGACTCCTGGATGCCTGGCATGTCGGCTGGAGGGGCTGTTGTGAGAGATCTGTGCGTGAAAGTGAATGAGTCTGTATTCGTCTATGTAGGGCTATGTATAGAGGTGTCGCAAATGATCACTTCGAGAGCTGTTGATGCACGAGTGATTGAACGTTGTCAAGTTGCTGCTTCGAATGCTGATGGAGGTGAAATGCCTGCTGAATGAAGAAAGGTTGAGAAGGCTTCACGAAATGCGGTTGGCGGCTGCACTTTGGCCCCCCTTGACCCCCTCCCATTCTGCCGCCACTCACCGCCCCAAACCCACAACGCCCACAAATCTGGTACGCGAGACGAAAAGTTCGATATTCCACCACCAGAGCGAGCGCTTCTGAAGCTGCCATCAATCAGCGCAATCCGGCGTCAACCTCGGCTCGACTGTCGCCACTCCTCTTCCCTCGAACCCTCACGAACCGTCTTCAAATCCGACAAGATGAGCGAAGCTCCCAAGGATGCGCCTTTCCAGGCGGTGCAGATCGATGCTCTGGTGAGTGGGAGCTCGCAGTGCCCCACCTCGCGGTGATGATTGATGGTGAAGCTTCAGGACTTAACTGACACCTGGCAACAAACAGGTGATCCTCAAGATTGCCCGGCACTGCTCGTCGACCTTCCCGACCGTGGCCACCGGCTCTCTCGTGGGCATGGACCAGAACGGCACGCTGGAGATTACAAACACCTTTGCCTTCCCCACCATCGACACCTCCGCTGCCGACTCCCACCAGAACGATGCCTCCAACCTCGCCGCCGCCGCGCCCCGAGCCAAGTCCAACATTGCCTACCAGGCCGAGATGATCCGACACCTGAAGGAGGTCAACGTGGACGCCAACAACGTCGGCTGGTACACGAGCGCCACCATGGGCAACTTTGTCACCATGCCCTTTATCGAGAACCAGTTCTACTACCAGAAGGACAACGACAAGACTGTTGCCCTTGTCTACGACACCAGCCGCAGCTCGCAGGGAACCTTGGCCCTGAAGGCGTACCGCCTGACCAACCTCTTCATGAGCGTCTACAAGGAGGGAAAGTTCACAACTGAGAGGTGAGTGTCTTGCTTGATCTTGTCTTTGATGGGCAACTCGGGTTGTGGAGAGGACATGATGATACTGACATGGTGTCGAAATAGCCTGCAAAAGTCAAAGCTCTCGTTCCGAGACATCCTCCAGGAGTACCCTCTCGCCGTCCACAACTCACACCTCCTCACCTCCTTCCTTCACCAGCTGCCGTCGCCCCCGGCTGCCACCGAGCCCAAGGAGCCCACGTCGCTCAGCGACCTCAACAACGACCGCATCAAGGCGCCCCTATACCCTTCCATCGACAACCTGGACCTGTCGATCGACCCCTTCCTGGAGAAGACGTGCGACCTGCTGCTCGAGAGCATCGAGTCGCACTACGTGGACCTCAACAACTTCCAGTTCTACCAGCGCCAGCTGGCGCGTGAGCAGACCAAGATTACACAGTGGCAGGCCAAGCGAAAGGCCGAGAACGCTCAGCGCACCCTTGCCAAGCAGCCGCTGCTGCCCGAGGACGAGTGGCAGCGGCTGTTCAAGCTGCCCACGGAGCCCAGCCGGCTGGAGGGCATGCTCAACGCCAAGCAGGTCGAGCAGTACAGCAAGCAGGTGGACGGCTTCACGGCCAACATCAGCTCCAAGATGTTTGCCGTTCGGGAGAACCTGCTGCCCCAGTAAGCAAGCAGTCGGAGGGTGGCGGATGCTTGAGATGATGCAAAGGAAAGAAGAGAGAAAGAAAAAAAGAAAAAGCGCTCTCGTTCGGTCTTTGGTGGCGGGGTGAGGCAATTGGCGGCAGGGTGCATTGGCGGCGTTCCGGTTTGGGTGGAAATAATCAAGTACTTCTGGTCTAGATCTGCAGCGACAAGAGAGTCATAAGAAAGTGTTTGAAACGAAGGATTTCTACGCCCTAGACTTGTATTTTCACTGTTAGATACCACTATTATCTTCTTGTTGCTCTCTGTTGAACATTGTCTATGGTCTTGTGTATCTGTGCGTTGGGTTTCTTGTGTCTGCAATGCTGCTGGAACCCGTGCATGTCTTTCGTGTGTTTGTGTCCTGATGGAACCCCGACTGATTCTCTCTGCTGGACTGAATGATGATGACCAGTCAGTCTGACTTTGCATGGGTTCGGGGCATTTCCTCCAAGCCTGCTGCCGGGCCTGATTTGCTGATGCCTGCGGGGGGAGTCCTGAAGGGGAAAAGCACCGACGTCCATGGATGTCCGATGCAGAGCAAGCTGGTGAGCAGCCGGAGATACATAGTCGCCGTAAGACGGAATCTGGCGACTGCCTTTCTACTCCGTACCTGGTAGCCTTTGGATACTATTAGTCCGAAAGCTGTGCGTGTCAGGTTTGGTTTGGGGTGAGTGGCCAATGGATGGATCGGTCCCTCGGCGGGTGTGCTTGATGCGTCCGAATGCGCGTGTAACCGCCCAACATGAAGGTATTGTCTGCCTCATCCGTTGAGACGTCAACACCATACATTGTCTGTGATACAACGCATGTCAGTATCAGATGCGAATGGCCTCGCGTCAAACTCAATCTCAATGGTCAAAACTAGCATCTACACTGCCATTGAGATCCAAAGCGCCTCCCGTCTGCGCAACCGCCATCAAATCGCGGCCTCCCAAGTAATACCGCATTCACAGGATTTCCGATCCCCCCCCGCCTGATGTGAGACGTGTCGCTTCTTTGCATGTGCCTCAGCAGCACCACCACCACCACCAGCCGCTAATGCTCATAGTAGGTACTAGTAATCGGTGCCAATTGGGATCCCCAGGGATCCTCCTCCTCCTCCTCCTCCTCCCCAACAGACAGACCAAGCAAAGCAGCAAGAGTCCAGCCACGTCCCTCCACAGGCCATGCAAGTCCAGCCGCCCTCCTCATTTGCTCGCAGTCCGTCCGAGGCCAAGGTCGTGCCCCGCTTGGTGAGAAATTTTGCCCCTCTAGACACACCGCCCGCTTTTTGACGGATTTTGTCCCCCTCCTGCTGCTGAGCTGCCGACTTCTTTTTATCTGGCACAATCCCCGTCTGATTTTTCTTCCTCTTCCACCTCTTCTTTCTCCATCAATCTTCTCCCCTCCCACGCATCTTGTCCCTCTCCAGCCAGCCGCCGAGTCTCTTCTTTCTTCTCAGCCCTCAACTTTCACAATGTCTGCTCCCGCCCACAAGTTCAAGGTCGCCGACCTGTCCCTGGCAGCCTTTGGCCGCAGGGAGATTGAGCTCGCTGAGAACGAGATGCCCGGTCTGATGGCCATCCGCAAGAAGTACGCCGCCGACCAGCCCCTGGCCGGTGCCCGCATTGCTGGCTGCCTGCACATGACCATCCAGACCGCCGTCCTGATCGAGACTCTGGCCGCTCTGGGCGCCGAGCTCACCTGGACCAGCTGCAACATCTTCAGCACCCAGGACCACGCCGCCGCCGCCATTGCCGCCGCCGGCATCCCCGTCTTTGCCTGGAAGGGCGAGACCGAGGAGGAGTACAACTGGTGCCTCGAGCAGCAGCTGACCGCCTTCAAGGACGGCAAGAAGCTGAACCTGATCCTCGACGACGGCGGTGACCTGACTGCCCTGGTCCACAGCAAGTACCCCGAGCAGCTCAAGGACTGCTACGGTGTCTCTGAGGAGACCACCACCGGTGTCCACCACCTGTACCGAATGCTCAAGGAGGGCAAGCTGCTGGTCCCTGCCATCAACGTCAACGACTCCGTCACCAAGTCCAAGTTCGACAACCTGTACGGCTGCCGCGAGTCGCTGATTGACGGCATCAAGCGTGCCACCGATGTCATGATTGCCGGCAAGGTCGCCGTCGTTGCTGGATTCGGAGATGTCGGCAAGGGCTGCGCCATGGCCCTCCACGGCATGGGTGCCCGTGTCATCGTCACCGAGATTGACCCCATCAACGCCCTCCAGGCTGCCATGGCCGGCTACCAGGTCACCACCATGGAGAAGGCTGCTCCCATCGGCCAGATCTTTGTCACCACCACTGGCTGCCGTGACATTCTGACTGGTGTTCACTTCGAGGCCATGCCCAACGACGCCATCGTTTGCAGTGAGTTATGACCCTGACCCCCCTTTTTTCCTTCTCTCGACAATGCTAACAGGTTTCGAACAAAAGACATTGGCCACTTCGACATTGAGATCGACGTTGCCTGGCTCAAGGCCAACGCCAAGTCTGTCCAGAACATCAAGCCCCAGGTCGACCGATTCACCATGGCCAGCGGCCGTCACATCATCCTCCTGGCTGAGGGCCGTCTGGTCAACCTTGGCTGTGCTACTGGCCACTCTTCCTTCGTCATGTCCTGCTCCTTCTCCAACCAGGTCCTTGCCCAGATTGCTCTGTACAAGAACCAGGACAAGGCCTGGGCCGAGAAGTACGTCGAGTTCGGCAAGACTGGCAAGCTCGAGACTGGCGTCTACGTCCTGCCCAAGACTCTGGACGAGGAGGTCGCCAAGCTGCACCTGGCCCACTGCCAGGCTGAGCTGACCACCCTCACCAAGGTCCAGGCTGAGTACCTCGGCCTCGAGGTTGAGGGTCCCTTCAAGTCTGAGATGTAAGCATCGCTCTGTCCCCCCCAACGAATGTCTTCTAACACGTGCTAACAATTTTCGTGCAGCTACCGCTACTAAACATCTCTTATGTATCATACTCTCGGGATCCTTCAACTGGACTCCTTCGCGCAACGACATTTCTTCGGGATCCATGACCCGGTCATTGGGAAAACTTGTGATTTCAACAGCATCATGAACTGGCGGGGGGACAACATCTGGGCAGGGAAAAAAAATTCAAAAAGCCCATGGGTTTTCGGTTCGATTTTCGATTTTGCTTCTTTGGTTTTTTTCAAAGACTTTTTTTTTTCTGTTTGGGATTCTCGCAGGGCGGGGGCGGGGAAAAGAAAGGGCCTTTTCAACAAACACGGCGTCTGGTAAATCTATTTTGCTACATGATGATTCCCCCCATTGCGAGACAAGAAATCGCGGACATATAAAGAGAACATTGATGAACAGAAGCACATAGGAGAGGGGGGGGGGGGGGGGGGGAGTTCAGCTTGATGAGGCGAGATGAGGCGGATTTTGATGAGAAGCCCGTCAACCGCGGCTGAAGATAGAGAAAATGGAAGTCGAGGCATTTTTTTGCCTCTTTTGTCTGGGCAAATGATTTGATGACTGTGAAATTACTCTGAATGCCTTCTTTGCCTCGAGTATGAAGCAGCAGTTGTCTTGCTCAATAATAGTCACACGTCTGTAATATGTATTACCGCCAGTTTGGACTCTCTTAAGGTAACGACGTGACTAAGCATCATGCTTTGTTGGTACACTGTTGATGGGGTGTTGATATTCATGTTCTTGGAGTGTATATACTCGGGTAAATTAGATTTACTCTAGGGAAACTGTCATAACCAGAATAGCCGTATCGTATGGATCCATCTCTAGGAAATTTCTTTGGTATTCTTTCTTCAGCTCTATCGCATGCAATTTTTAGGACAACTCAAGGTAAGGTATATATATAACTTCACAGCTTCGCACTCAAACCCCCTCTATTTTCACCAAGTCACGCCTCCAAGGCCTTCTGCTCCGGCACAATGCTCTTGAGCTTTCCCTCCTTGACAGCGATGCGGACATTGTCAATGGTCCACTCCTCCATCTTCTGCTGCGTCTCCTGGGTCCAGGTGCCCATGTGGGGGACGAGGAGGACGCTCGGGTTGGCGAGCAGGCCCGGGTGGATCTCGGGCTCGTTTTCGTAGACGTCGAGGCCGACGGAGGAGACCTGGCCCGAGGCGAGGGCGTCGACGAGGGCGGCCTCGTCCATGACGGCGCCGCGGGCGGTGTTTACGATGACGATGCCGGGCTTCATGAGGGCGAATTGGGGGGCGGCGATGGAGTGGCGGGTGCTAGGCTGTGGATGGTTTGTTAGATCAAAAAAGAAAGTTGTATTATTATCACACATGTAGCCAGAAAACGTTTTTCCGAGGTCAAGAGTTGAGATGGGGGGAGGGGGGAAACGTACGTTGAGAGGCAGGTTCAAGCTCAGGACATCGCTCTCCCGGAGCAGCGTCTCGAAATCGACGTACTCGGCGCCCTCCTCGAGCTCGGGGCTCAGGCGGGAGCGGTTGTGGTAGCGGATCCTCATGCCAAAGGCGCGGGCCTTTGCGGCGACGTTGCGGCCGATGCCGCCCATGCCCAGGATGCCGAGGATCTTGCCCTCGGGGTCGTGGCCCAGGGCGGGCGGCGGGGAGCCGCGCCACTTGCCGGCGCGCAGGGCGTGGATGCCAATGGGCAGGTTGCGCAGGGCGCCGATGAGGAGCCAGATGGTCACGTCGGCGGTGGCGGCGTCGACGGCCGTGGGCGTGTTGGAGACGTGGACGTTGTGGGCTGTGCAGGCCTGGACGTCGATTTGGTCGTAGCCGGCGCCTGTTTATATACAAACACACACCAGATACCACCGAGTCAGTAAGTCATGTTCTTGGTGGTATGGAGGGAGAAGGAGGAGAGAAGGAGAGGGAAAAGGGGGGGGGGGGGGGGAGGGGGATGTTTATACCGTTGTGGCACATAAACTTGAGCGTCTTGGGCAGGGCGTCGAGCAGCTCGCTGTCAATCTTGCCGGTGATGGAGACGGAGTCAAAGGTGCGGTAGGCGACGCTGATGCCGTCGAGGGCGCCGGACTGGCACTCTGCGATGAAGTCTGCTCTGTTGGTGGACTTGGGCTTGATGACGTCGGCGATGTCGGCAATGGTTGACCAGGCGTCGTGGGCGCTTGGGGGAGGATTTTTCTGTTAGCTGTGTGTGTGTGTGATCGCACGGGTGTTTTTAGAGGGAGAAAAACGAGTGATGGAGATAGAGCTGCTTACTGGTCAATCTTGCCGAGGAGGAGGACCTTGGGGCGGCTCATTGTGATGTTGTGAGGTTGGTGATGGGAAGATGGATGGAGGATGATATTGGAGGGGATTGCTGCAATTGCACCGGCGGGAGAGGGTATATCTAGAGCAGACAACAACAGACTGCAGAGAAGGAGGAGATGTGTAAGAGAGAGAAATAGAAGAAAAAAATTGCAGAAGAAGAACAAGAGACGTCAAGGTAGTTCAGAAGAAGAAGACGGACACGAGCGGATTTAATATCGTCGCCAGCTTGATGGTGCCCATGGTTGCGCTTGGGAGCTCGCCCTCGCACGCAAACGCAACAGGCCCCGCGTTCGGCGGGGTAAAAGAAACACGGAGTGGAGGAAATGCTTTCAGGTCAGGTTCCTCACTGCTAGAAAATACAGTGGGAAGACGCGCCCCCAAGAAAGAGCCCCGTAGCGCGGGGGAACAAGGCCGTGGGGTTTGTTGGAGAACTTCGGGAGGTGCTCCGGTAGGTTCACTGGATTGTCTTTCGGACTGTTTCTCTTTACCATGCATTGCCTGCAGACTCATCTACAGAGTGTCTATATGCTGTGGTAAGGCAGTGATGGAGCATCGTTAGTTAAGAGTAAACTTGAATTGAATCAGATCATCCTGTGTCCAGGTTTACCCGAGTGCCGTTGTCATCTTGGCCATACCTATCCATATCCTTTGCCAAAACTCCAACCCGCGAGTTTTCACACCAAGCAACTTTCCAGTGGGGGGCAAAGCGGATACTCGTATGCCCGCCTCAATACTAGCTGACTCTTTGCAGCGGTGACGGAGAATTCGTTTCTACAGCCGACTATAGCCACACACTCATTTCGTACAGCTTCTCTTGGTCAATTTATTCTTCAGACTCAAGAGAAATTATCCCGGGGGTTGATTGAACCTGCTCATGTACTGCGCACAGAAAGACTTCCATCGGATGAATGGCCTGAGACGGCTATACTTGAGTGAGAGACGCACCTAAGCTTACCTACTACCTAACCTACCTTAGACGCCTAGCATACCTACCTTATTAAGGAGAGTAACAAGTACCCAAGGAAAAGGGTGTGGAAAGGGTCGGCTATAGCTTGAAGCGCTTACATGGAAGCTGAGTTTGCGCATCCGATGGTCTCTCCGCAGTGACCTTGTTACTGTTGGCGAGATCGGAGACTAGCAGTGCATTCAGCTTTGGTACCAAGGTGGAAACATGGCCTGGGGGGGTTCCCAGCTGTGCGATGGCTTCATGTCGAGTCAGTGGCAGCTCAACGTGACAACTATTGCCGTTGCGTAACAGAAGCAGCATCATCACTGTACCCCCAATTCGATTTGCAGAGCCGTCCGCTCTCAGTCTGCAATCCAATCAGTGAATAAAAAAAAAGGTTTCCTGAATTCCCCATTACGCATCCGTCGTCTATACACGCAGCTTCAAGCTGGTGAGCGTCAAAAATTTCCAAGCCGAGCATCCAGCTCAAGCGCTACGATTGCGCCTCTTATACAAGACCCAAGATATGTATCCCCCCAACAAATAAACAAAAAAAAAGGCAGCCCTGTCTCGCTTGCGTATATGCCATCTTGGCCTCTTTCCCAACAAGGCATTGAAAAACATCTTTGCTTTTCCAATATCCTTCCTTATACATGCCAAGAGAACATCAGACACATTGAACTCGCCCAAGACTACATAACTCATCGAGGTCCATGATAAGAGCTCAAAGCTCCCAGGGACCAAACACCTGCGTCATCCAGTTGATGTCCCCAAAGTCGGCCGACAGGTCCTGGTCCGGCATCATGGAATGGTCCACCAGCAACGGCGGCTGCGGCGCCGCGCCCGGGACCACCTGGCTGCTCGGCGTCGGCAGTCCTCCCATGGGCTGCTGCACAATGGCCGGCTCCCAGTTGGAGCGCACGTTGCGCAGCACCTTTGTGCACTTGCCAAAGATGGACACGTCCTCGGGCCCTCCCCGCAGCGGGTAAAACGCCTCGGCCTTGGTGAAGAGGTCAATCGTCCTGTCCAAGTGATTGCCCAAATCCGCCGTGCTCCGGACAATCTCCTTGTCCCAGGCGGGGTCGTCCAGGGTCGTCACCCGGTACAGCAACGCGTGGATCTGGGAAAGCTGCACGTAGAGCGAGAACGGCATGCCGATGAACTCGGCGAGCGGGATGGTAAACAGCACTTCGTACCAGGCCCGGGCGGCGACCAGAGCGGCGTACATGGCATCGATGCGCGGCGCGTCCGGGATCCTCGCTCCGCCAAAGAGGCCGACGGATTGGATCTGGGTTTCGGTGCTGAAGAGCTGCATTTGTATCACGGCTGGTCATCAAAATGTCAGACGTTATTTCTTCTTCTTCTTTTTAAGCTACTTTGAGCAGGCTCAGGTAGGTTGTCGACTCACCCTTGGATGCTGCAGCTGGCGGCAGTGTATCCCGAATCTTTTGCAGCTGAAGGAGCAGACTCTTCTTGTGGATGTACGTGGGCGCCTTGTTGGGATCCGGTCGGCCATAATCACGGCCTACAAAGTCGCATATCAACAGTTTTCGCGCTTCGTCTCCCACCAGCTGCGTCTTGACCATGGCCACCAACGTCTCGTCTGATGGACACTCCTTTTCGCTCTCCAGAACTTCCAGTGACTCTTGCATATGCTGTGTCCAAGACATTGACTCCATCTTGGCGAGGAACGCCGAACATCTGTCGCAGACGAGGTTAGAAGGAACACAAGCTTGGCGGATATAAGGCTTCACTTACAGGGATGTTATATACCAGAAACCAAGCACCAGCCGTCGCTCTTCCATCGTACGCTCTTTAGCCGGGGGAACGTTCCGACCTCCCCATGCCTTGAAACACACAGTCGCAAATTGCTCTTCGTTGGGGAACTTTGTGAGATTCAGCTCGTAGATGATGCAGCTGCACAGGTGCGTATACATTGTAAGAAAAGGCTTGCTGCCGGGGCCGGCACTCATTGTCGCCCTGGACAGACGAGGATTGTCAGTATGTACGCAATTATAAGAGACACAGACTTCAGTGGCACCAGATGCTTACCAAGCAGTCAGGACAATCAAGCCCTGGGCCACCTCCAAGGTTCGATCGTGGTTGACAATCATTCGCTGCGCAATGTCCTGCCGCAACCGGTCCCGCATGGCAGCCTGCTGTGGCATGGACATGCTCGTGACGCACATGATGCAGAGCCAGAGGAAGGGGTGCTCCCTGTGTAGGGCCTCGGCCGTGACGTCGGGAGCCAGGTACACGAAGGGAAAGAATTCGAGCCATTGGCGAAACTTGATGAGGTACACTTCGGCTTCGCTGGGAGTCGGCTCGGGGAGTCGATCGCTGTCGAGCGGACGGGGGGCTGTCTGGCCGAGGATGCTCGAGGCGCGCGGCTGCGACGTGGTTGCCGCGTCGGCGAGCGAGTCGAGTCGGCTGACGTATGGCTGGCAGCTGGACGATGCCGTCGACGCCGAGGACATGTCGCAGGCCGACACGCCATTCATCGAGGGCGGCGCGGACGGCGGCTGGTGCGGCTGCTGGAGATGGTTGACATGATGAGGGAGCGGAGGCTGGTGCGGCTGGTGCGGCAGCGGGTGTTGATGCTGGTGTTGGTGTTGGTGTTGGTGCTGGTGCTGGTGCTGCTGTTGGTGCTGCTGTTGATGCTGCTGTTGATGCTGCTGCTGCTGCTGTTGTTCTTGCGGGAGCTGCTGCTGATGTTGGTGATGCTGATGCTGGTGTTGATGTTGCTGCTGCTGCGTCGCCCTGAGAATCGACACCAGGTCGTCGAGCTTCTCCTCGAGCTGCGCCGTGCGGGACGCCGTGGTCCGCTTGGCCACGCGCTTGCGCGACGTCACCATCTGCTGGCAGTCCTTGCCCAGGCGGTGGCAGCGGTCGCATTTGCCGCCCTCTGGCCGGAGGATGCAGCGGCACTTTGCGCGCGAGCAGTTGGTGCACGAGCGGCCATATCCGGCCGGGATGCCGCCCACAGAGGCTGCGTCTGGCGGAGGCGGCGCCGGGGCCATTGTCTCACCGAAGCCGAAGACAGAGGAGAGGAGAGAGAGAGGAGAGGAGAGCAGAAGAGAGCGCCGGTTCTACGGCACACGCAAAACTGCTAGACGAGACGAAACCCGATCGACGCTCAACTGGCGGGTGGTGATGGGGAGCATCGACGGAGACGCGCAGCCGGGATTGGGCGACTCCTTATTCCGTAGAGGTTTGGGCGGTGCTGACAGTGCTCGAAAGGCGATGGAGGGCGCAGGCAATGGAAGGCAATTGAAAGGCGTCGGTCGACAAGTCCGGGACAAGCGCGCGCTGATTCAGCATTCCTGGGTCGAGCTGGCCGGGGTCGCGGCGATGCCCGACATTCCGAACTCCGAGAGGTGGTCGTCCAATGCCGACGCAGCCACGAAGACAGTCAACTTTGCTCGAGGACACGCTTGTTTGCTCTTTCAGCTATTCGCGGTTCAATTGATGAGGCATCATTGCGTGCAGACTGTGCTGCTGTCTGGAAGCGTGAGGCTGTGCTCCGTGGCACTCGTGAACCCTGGCTGGGGTTGCGGTTGGCGGGAGGCGGGTCGGGGCCAAGGTACATGTATGTATCCTGACGGCTGAATTGAGACAGGCATCAGCTATGGACAAATGGCCATTGACCTTCTGACGATGAACAGAGGAAAATGAACCAGAGAGCGGAACAATCGACGAATGCATCAGATCTACATAGGTATACTCAGCATCATGAAAGTCTTGCAATGCCCAGTGACTTGGTGATGGAAGCCGAGCAGGCCTCAAGTCCGGCAGCTACAGCTCGGCCAATCGTTTTCGCTGCCGATGGCCGGCACATGACGAGCATTTGGGGGGCAGCATCCGAAGCTAGCCATTGAGCCATTGAGTTCAAGACACTCCATACCTTATTACCTAGTATCCAACTCACCTCCTATCCTCAACACCACGGCCCCCCAATCGCAGCCTCATCTCCCTCAGCCTCGTCCACAACCACCATCACCATCAGCCTCACCATGGCCGTCACAGGCCTCGTCGCAGTCGAGACGCTGCCCAGATTTCTCCTCCCCCGGCTCAGCTGGACTGCGCCGCTCTCAGCATCTCGACCCGCCGCTGCCCGACCCTTTGCCGCCTATCCAGCACGGCCAAGCATCCGGAGCGCAATCCCCGCCTTCAACGCCGCCTTTGCAGACAGGAGACATGGCAATGGCCAGACGCCGGCCCTGAGGCGAGGCTTCCACGCAACCAGCCAGCGGCATCGCGAGCACCACTTTGACACGCTCAAGTTTGTCAAGCAGCTCGAGGGTGAGGGCTTTACCGAGGAGCAGTCTGTCGCCATGATGAAGGTCCTCAACGACGTCATCCAAGAGAGGTTTGTTCTCACACAAATTACACATGGTCTATCTATACAACTTTTTTTTTTTCCCCCAAAGCAGCGTGGCTAACGCCGGTACCTGCAGCATCCAGAACCTGACCCGAACCATGGTCCTCCGCGAAGACGCCGCCCGCACGACGTACACGCAAAAGGTCGACTTCGCCAAGCTGCGCTCCGAGCTGACGGCGGCCGACAGCACCGAGTCCAACACGACGCGCATCGCGCACGAGCGCCTGACCAACGACATTGCCAAGCTGAGCAGCCGGCTGCGCGACGAGATCGGCCGCACCCAGGCCAGCGTGCGGCTGGACCTCAACCTGGAAAAGGGCCGCATCCGCGAGGAGGCCGTCACCCAGGAGCTCAAGATCAAGGAGACGGAGACCAAGATTGAGCAGGAGGTGGCGGCGCTGCGGGAGAAGCTGGAGCAGGTCAAGTTCCAGACGCTGCAGTGGCTGATGGGCGTGTGCACTGGTTTCGCGGCGCTGCTGCTCGGTGCTTGGAGACTGCTCATGTGAGCGTTGTTCCACGGGGTCTGGCGAGGGCGTTTTGAGACATTTATTCCAGGTTGGAAGGCATGTCATTGTTTAGATGGCGAACCGTGTATATTGCACGTGCTGTGTAGAGATTTGTGCATTATTTCGATGAGACATGTCAGTCGGAGCTCTCATTACATATCTACAATTACATTCTTGGAGCTCAGCAGCACGTCTTTCGAGCTCCACGGCATTGATGACTCCCATAATTCGTCCAGGCTATACATATTATTATTATCGAGTCGGCTACACAACGTGTCAAGGGCATCGTTTACGAACCCGAGGCATCACTCAAAAAAAAAGTCAAAAGTCAGCAGAATGGCATCCAAACGTCCCCGGTCAACCCACATGGCTCTGCGTATCCCGCTTCCTGACGCCCTCCCCCATGCCGCCACCGAAGCCCGCCTGCTCCAAGTCGGCCGCCCTGGTGCCTCCGTATCCGTACGGCTGCTGCTGCTGCTGCGACGCGCTCTCCGAGACGTTGCGTGTGTTGTCGGTGACGTCCTGGGCCATGGGTTCGGGGTCGTCCTTGAGGATGGCGTGGCCGCCCTGCAGGAGGTGCTCGCCGCTGTGGAGGCCCGCGGACTTGGACGAGGCTGCTGCGGCTCTTTGCATGGTGGTCTGTGGGCGAGGCGAGTCAAAGCTGGGGTCGTTGATTTTGACTTGGTTGATGGAGGTCATGAAAGATGCGGGCGGGTTGGTCTGAAGAGGGTTGATGATATGGGGGTTGGGAGGAACGGGGGTAGGTTATCATATAGGGGGGAGGGGCGTTGTATTACCCCGACTTATATGAAGTTTGATGGCTTGTGATTAGGTTGGGGATGACAGCAGGGTGACGGAATCCCGCTTCTGGTGGCGGCGGCATGGAAAGGAGATTGATGGGCTGATTGGATAGATGCTGAGTTCAATATTGAATTGTAGGTTTGCTTTTACGTGCAGTGTATTTTGTTGCTGGATAATATGCCAGCGATTGGGAGCTTGCTTGTCCAGGGGAATTGGGTTTTTGATGACCTAGGCATTATACGACCTGACACCAAAGGTATTGATTGGTTTTTGTGATATGCTGGTAAATACGTTTGATCAACAACCTCATCGTTGTTCTGCTGGTTACATTTGATGGTATAAAGACCTGAAGAAAGGGGGTTACTGCCACTGCTCAGATCATGCCTCAGAGCTGAAGCACAAGGTGGCGCCAAGATGGCTTCGGATATCTCTACACATGCGGTGGAAAGAAAAAACGGGAATGATCTCGTTCAGCGCTAAGGTAGTTTTCTGTGCCTCAGTCTACCTGGTATGGATACATTAATTACCTTAGGATTCATTCAAGGTACTCCAGTAAGATAGAAATACATGGCGATAGTAGCAGAAACTAAAGACCTGTTTCTTTTATATATATTAGTAGTAATAGTAGGTAGGAGTAATAGGTTACATATTGACGTAGGCATACACTCAAGGTACGACAAACATGATGCTGGGGTTTTGGTTGTAAGGGACAGTCAGACCGGGAGGATGACGCGACAAAGGCCCCAGAAAAATAAATGAACAAATACAAAATTGTGAAAAGAAAGCATCACGTCCTACCCGAGCTTCAGTTCCTGCTTTTGCATGGCCTCAAGTCCTGAGGTCGTAGGTGTAGGGTATCATCGACCCAAGCCAAAAACCAGCACGACCAGAAAGAATCCCGTGCCAGAAATTCACAGTCACAAGATCTACCAACCACGCGGAACAACCCAAATCGACAGCCACCCTTCCTTTCCATATTAAATCTCCTATTTTCTTATGACCCTCCGAGAACAAAGCTCGTCAGATGACTCTCTCCGACAATGGCGATCCGCGCGATGTCACAGAACAAAAGCATTGGAACGAAAAGCAATGACGGAGATGAAGGAATTACATTGTGGACTTGACGGGAGCGTGATCGCCGTATGTATCGCCTGGTTTACGCTGAGTGCAAAGGATTTCTGGACAGCTGAGCTCTGTTTGTCATCGTTTAAGAGTGAGTTGATGATGCCTAGAATGGGCGCGTTGTCTTCATAGTCTGAACTGCAACCGGGAAGGTCCACGTACAACTCTCTCCCGCCTTATCGTTATATATATCTATATATCCTATACAATACGATGTCGTCCTTCTAAGCTCTGCGATTTCATCGTCACCCTTCCACAACAGCCATGTCCTTCAACGCCCCCTTTATTAAATCCTGGTCCTCCACCCCAATCCCCAACCTCTCCCTCTCCGCAGGCGGCCTCCTCGCCCTCGCCGACCTCAACACAATCGCCCAGCGCACCGCCATCGCCGGCGGCTCCTCCTGGCTCGACGCCTTCGTCCTCGCACCGGGCCTGCATTACCAGCAAGCCGCCGACCTCCTGACGCCCGAGGAATACAACAACGGCGGGGCCTCGTCGAAACTGGTCCTCTGCACGCTGGACGGCAAGAAGACGCGCCTCGTGGTCAGCAATGTCGGCATGGTAAAGTATCTGAGGAGGTTGTGGCAGGAGCGGGAGGGCAAGTATGGGGTTGTGACGCTGTATGTTGGCGAGGACGATGCCTTTGCGTTTGGGTCCTCGCTGTCGGTGCTCTTGGGGCATGAGAAAGCTGAGGGCGGCGGGGGGGATGATGGTGGCTCTGCCGATGAGGGAAGGAGGCGTAGGCAGAGGCGCTGGCTGAGGGCCTTGCGGAGGGTGAGAGAGGAGGAGAGGAGGAAGGGCGGGGGACGGGTGAGGGAGGTGCTGGAGATGGACTGGGTCAGCCACGTGCTGTATCTGCTGAGTCCGTTGCTCACCGTCGCGGCGATTGTCTTGATGGTGCTGTTGCAGGATTGGTGGGGGCTGGGCTTCCTCCTTGCGCTCATGCTGTCCCGGCTGGCCAACATCTGGGCCATCAAGGCGCGGTCGAAGCCGGGCGCTGTGCTGCCACCAAAGTTGCCTCCTCCTCCGGGGGATATCCCTGATGCGTCGCCGCCGCCATCTTCTTCCTCGTCATCAGGAGGAGGAGGAGGAGGAGGAGACGGAGACGGAGGAGGAGCGTCGGTGGACAAGCTTCCCATATCGTTCAAGAGGCAAGACTCGGAAATGACGGAATACACAATCGACTGGGGCGACAACCGGCGCGTCATCCTCAAGGGCCAGGACGCAGACCTCCGCGCCGTCACGACCGAGGCCTGGCTCCGCGCCAAGACGACGCTCGAGGGTTACCTCGAGGCCATGTCCAAGCTCATCGTCTACATGGTGGCTTCCCTCAGCGGGAACCTCTCCCAGGCGGGCGCCGTCGTGCTCATGGCGCTGCTGCTGATTAGCGCGGGCTTGCTGGGGCTGAGCAATGCGCATGCCACGAGCTTGCGGATGCATGGCCGGAGGGTCGGCAGGCTGAGGAGGGTCGAGGGGTGGAGGATCCGGCCGCTGGAGCCGGGGATGGCAGCGGTCGCGGGGGATGTTGGGGTTCCGGTGCAGGTTGTGCCGGTGGGAAACTGAGTTTTGTTGTTTTCTTGTTTGGCCTGCCTGTTGTTTCTTTGGAGTTGAGGAGGCGTACTGGCTTTGTTACCATAGATATACACGAGGGTGCTGTGAGTTCCTTCTTGGTCCAGGCGTACCTATGCTGGTCGTTCCTTGTCATGCAACTTCACATCAGGCCGGACGGACGTCTCATGAGCAATCCAAACAAGGGGATATAAACTTCAAGGGTGAGGGACGACACGGAAGAATGAAGCTGGCAGCCGAAGGCCACCATGTAGGTAGGTATTTCGTCGATAAACTACCTCGTATGTCAATACTCTAAACGAATACACAACCATGGAAACCCAAACTGAAAGAAACGCCGCTGTATACGAATACACTCCATGTGCACACAAAGCCGTCGAGTCCAATCCTGAGCCGCCAAGGCGACCTACGCGTCGGCAGACTGGTCCTCCTTATCCTTCTCCTCTTCCGCGGCAGCGGGCTTCGTTTTCACTGGAGGAGTTGCTTCCTTTGCGGCCTGCTCCTCTGGTGCCTGTACAGGTGCCGCAGATTCGGGCTCTGCTTCGGGCTCTGCTTCGGGCTCTGCTTCGGGTGCCGACTCCAGCCCCGATACTGGCTTTGTTTCTGATTTCAATTCGGGGTCTGTTTGAGGCTCCGGTTGAGGCTCCGGTTGAGGCTCCGGTTGAGGCTCCGGTTGAGGCTCCGGCTGAGGCTCTAGCTCCGGCTCCGAAACGGGCTCCGCAGCGGCTTCGACAACGGGCGGTGCGGCGTCAGCCTCCGGCTCAGGCGCCTCAGGCAGTGTCGCTTCAACAGAACTATCCTCGGCCTTGACCTCGCTGGCCGGCACGGCATCCCCTGTAATGACTTGCTCCAATAGCTGTGACGCAGCCGCCTGCCGATCCAGCTCTCCCATCAAGCCGCCCAACAGATCCGGCTCCTCTTCCTTGTTAGCGTCACTATCGCCAGAAATGTCAGGAGCTCCAGTTTCGGGTTCAGCAGCGGAATCTGCTACTGTGTCAGCTGGGGCAGCCTCCTCCTTTGCGCCATCTGCGGAGACGTTTCCAACCTCTGAAGGTGCCTCTGACTCTGGCAGAGGCGCCGTTACTGAGATGGAGTCTTCCGGCTTGATGGTGTCCTCGGTCATTGCAGACAGCTGATGTAGCAGGACCGGCTTTGCAATGACCTCTGGTTGGTTCGTTGCTTGATCCTTGGGTAATTCCTCAGAGACTCGAGAGTTTCCGTCCTCGGCCTTTGGGCTTGAGATGTTGCCCACTTGTTCGGGGGGAGGCAGCTCGACCTGAGGGAGATCGCGCTCAATGGCTGCCTGAGGGGCCTCTCCGACGATTGTGGAAGGCGGTTCGGCAACGACCGAGTCCGTGGTCTCCTCAGCCGGCATGTCTAACAAAGGCAGCGCGGTTTCTGCTGCGGACTCGGCGTGTACCGATGGCTCGGATGGCGAGGGCACAATGACGGGATTCCTGGGCGGGGTGTCTTCGTGCTTGAGCGGCAGAAGAGACGGGCTTTTTGACGGCACCTCTGGCACTTCGGGTGCGGAAAGGGTTGTCGGCTGGGGAGGCGACGGCTCCCTGGGCGCGGGCTGCTCGTCCTTCATTTCGACGTCGGGTTGATCGATAATGTGGGATGCGTCCGCCATTGTCTCGTCCTGGTCCTTTGTAGCGTCGAGCATGGACTCATCTGGCGCCTCGACATCCACAGTCTCATCGCCCTCATCACCCTCCTCGCCTTCGTCGCCATCGTCTCCTTCTTCCTCCTCCTCTTCGTCGTCGTCGCCGTCAACGTCGCCCATCTCGCTGTCCTGATTCTGAGGCTTGATCCCGTTGGGCACGGGCGTCTGTTCACACGGCAGTTAGCTTCCATGTCATTACGCAGCGAAATCATCAAGCTACTTACGACAACATCCTTGACCTCCGCCTTGACTGCAGCTGTGGCTCCAGTTTCTGCGGCGGGCGCTGCTCCGGCAACTGGCTTCTCTGCAGGCAATGGCTGCTTCATCTTCTTCTTGCCTCTTCCGGGCCCTGCCTTTGCTTTCCTCTTAGGCGGCGGCGGCCTCCTCCTCGCAGCAGATGGCGGCGCAGCTGCAAAGGCGTCTGGCTGAGCCGCGGTCACGGCCTCTACTCTGGTCGCAATGACCTCGCCGTCCACGCGCTGGCCCTCCGATAGGGTGACCTCTTCCGTGTAAGGATTGCCGGCAGCGTCCATCCGGCGGACGGTAGCCCTCGTCACCGTCGGGCCAGTTACCTTTTCCTCGACAGTCCGGCTGGCCACGGTGACGGTGTTCTTCCTGCGCTTAGCGAGGTGGGAGATGGCTGGAGCCTCGACATTTTTCGGAAGCTGCTTCCAGACCCTTATCTGGTACCCCTGCGAGCTGGTGTCGTCGTCCTTCTTCTCCGGCTTGTCAAGTATTGTCTCGCCATCGCCCTCGTCGTCCTCGACCGGATGCGGTCGTTTGTAGAGGCGGCCGGACCGCGCAGCGCGCAGCAGCTCCTGGGTGTGCGGCGGCAGCAGGGCCGCGTCCTTGGGCATGCCGTGGAGGAGCTCAATGGCCCAGATGTCGTTCTGCTGCTGCTGCTCCTGCTGGACCGGGGGCGCGACATTGACCCATTCGTGGCGCCATTGTCGGACGGGGAGGCCTGCGGGTGTTTGCGTCAATCAGCTGCTGTCGCGTGGTAAGTGGAAGCGCAAGGACGGCGAACCTTCAAAGTCGTCGTGCTCGACGTAGCCACTGCGGTTGGCGCGTCTTGTCTGCGGCAAATGGTCAGCAAATTGAAGATTGTCGCGATCCATCTAGACACGAGAAGAGGACATACGCCTGGAGCCATTGCGCCTGGGGCAACTGTTGCAGCCGCAGCCTGTGAGCGTTACGGTGAGGCGCGAGAATCGACACTGCGACGGATCCTCAACAGCGGCGACGCAGGGCAAGCGCGGCGATGCCCGGGATATCGATGCTGAACGGCCGGGAGTGACCGTGTTGGTGATGGAAAATCGAGGGATTGCGAACGAACATTGAACACGCTCCAGGCGATTCGTAGCGGCAAGCGATAGTGACTTGTGGCGGCTCGGCCAATTGGAGAGGCGGATGCGGCGATGACATAAGCGCCCATACCCATTATCTGCCTACCTAGGTACTGTACATGTGCAGGTGCATGCATGCATGCACTTGTTTGCAGAGAAATGCAGGCATAGCAGGATTGATATTACTACCTTAGATAGTAGGGCTTCGACTGCAGCTATTAATATATGAACCGTCTTCTAGCCTCCTGTATTAGAAACTCGTGGCATGTCATAAAAGCTACGGCTACTCCGTGTTCTGAAGCAATCGAGGTGCATCTATAACGCCGTGATGCCCTCAGTCGACGTCCCGCAGTGCTACTCGGTCCACCAACTAAGCATTTAGGACATTCACAGCCCCGTCCAGCGGCAATCCTCTTGGACCCTGGCAAGCTTTGTCGCAATCGGTGTTGAGATTTGTTGTAGTAGTCTAATAGTGTGCCAAAACGATGCCGCATTACTCCCAAGCCCGAGCCAAAAAGCAGTCAATCTCTCGATGCCCCTGTGGTATATGTATCATGTACAAGCGCCCCGTTGCCATCCTACTGTACAGCCATATTTCCATCCGTGTGTATGAATGTAGTTTCCGCTTGCATCCGTTCTCAACTCAGTCGTAACTGGATGACCATCGATTAGTGCTCGTCTCATCAAACGGCTGAGGAGATGTTGGTTGGTATGAACTCACCCCTGCTCCTTTTGCCGTACTATCTCGCCTGATTTACCCGTTTCCTTGCCCTACACCAAGGACATTAGTATCCAAAACACCTCAAATTCAAGGTGCTGTCAAACGTACCGACTGTCCTCCCTCCACCACTAACCGATCCATCTTGTAGAACTGTCCGATGACTGTTTGTCGCTGCCATGCGCCGTCAGCATCTTGTCCGCAGAGGAAGCAGAACGAGCCCGGCCCTCTCCCAGCATACCTTCATCATCTGAAGCTCCTTGAGCCCCTTCTGGATCAGCTCCTGGATCCTGCGGGGATCATCTACCGCAGCATTTTCTCGAAAGGCATCTCGGGTCCGTCGCTTCGCATATTCGCGGAAATTGTAGGAGCTAAACTCTTTGCTCTGGCGCAGAAGCTGTCGATACTAGAGAGATCCGCAGAGTTAGTCTCCCATCGATCAAGAGCCCTGGCGTGCCTGCTTTTCCACGACTGCAAAAAAAGGAAGCCCTGCTGCTCTTTTTCACGGCCTCCCCCACCACGGCAAATGCGCAGCTCTGACGAGGCACCTAGCTCGCTCCCTTTTGCGCAATGGAATAGATCAGACTCACCAGTGATCGCGTCTGCTGCGGTAAGTCGCCCCGTAATGTGCCAACCAAAGACATTGTATGCTGGTGCTCTGGCGAGGTTGTTGCCACTTGCTGAGGTCTGTCGAGTCTCAAATTCCCATCATTGATAATGACGGAGGCCGGGGATCCTATAGAATGCGGGTTCGGTGTTAGTCGGGCCGGAGAAATCCTGCTCCGAACAAGCTTTCCCCATCCGAGCTTTGCCCGGCAGCATCTCGTCCACTTTCTGGGAGCATTTTTTTTGCTGTAAGCCGAGTTTGACTCGAGGCTTGTCTCCGAGCTGCCGAAGGGGCGGATTTCGGTTTATTGGAGGCTGTGGACCGTCTTTGCTCAGGGACTTTGGGGTTGGACTTGTTCTACGTGAGAGCCTCACTACTGCCATCCGGCTAGTCCTGGCCCTGCATGCTTGTAGTAATGTAGTACATGTGCTTTTACGTCCGCTCGTGCGCATGTAATTATAGTGTGCAGATGAATTGGCGATACCGTCGACTTTGCCTCTAGAGGTAGACAGCTGACGATGGAAAACAAGGCCGGTTGGAATGAAAATACGTATGCAATTGTGTGCTACTACCTAGGTATGTATACCTACCTATCCCAAATTGCGCACATAGGTACCTTATCAGCGCCCTATATGCGGTACATACCGAAATATACTGTAAATACTGGACGTTATCAGGTCATTACCGGAATATCTCTATGACCGCCTTTGACTGCCAGATTCTCTGACCATCTCATGCTACAACCACCTTTTTGGTATCAAAAGTAACGATGCCAGCAAATGCAACCTTCGCCAAGGCCAAACTCCGGTGTCCACCCCGTCTCTGGCTGAAACGAGACAGGTCGCTCTTGAGCCGAGGAAAGGGGGACTCGGAGACATCAAACCTAGGTAGATGTCTTTCTGGCGTGACATCGGAAACGCCTCCGAAGTGACCCCTATGAGTCCCTCATTGTACCCTCCATCCACTCCTTTCTACATACCTGTCGGAGGTCATGAACTTGACGCAGCAAACGACGCCAGAGCTTGTGCAATGGTTTCATCAGAGAAGCCGTTGGTATTCAGCATCTGGCTAAATCTTGTGTCATGGTCCAAGTCACCCTGCAACTGGGTTGTCAGGGTGTACTGTCGCTGAGACTGATTTGGCTTCACCACCGTGCCCGCCTGGGTGTTCTTCTTTTCTGAGAAGAGAGGGGCAAAGACTAGGTTGGTGACGGACGCATTGAGGTTTGCCAGTTCTGTGGGATGGCTGTTGTCAACTAGATTCCATTTCAGAATCTTACCCTTGACGTGTCCAGTCACAACGGAAGTGCCGTCATGACTGACTGCCATGCAAGAGGCGGGTCCCGCGTCCTCATCTACCACTCCCAAGGGGGAGTTGATTTGCATGACAATGGATGCCAGCTCGGCACTACGGGACCCCAACAGCGGCTTGTCGCCAAAGAACTCGACGAGATAGAGACTTCTATCTTCGGAAGAGACAAAGAGGGCTCGGGCACAGGGATCCAACGAAATGCAGAGAGGGGCCGTAGGGAACAGCAATGTTCGCAGTACTTGACCCGTCTGGTAGTTCCACAGGATGCACGTCTTGTCTTTGCTTGCCGATACACACAGGCTTGTCTCGGGATTGGAGCCTGGGCCGAGAACAAGATCGGTAATGGCCCCGCGGTGATTTGAAAGTGTCCTATCTGGCTCATGCCCGATATCCTGCCCAGGCTCAAGGAGGCGAGGCAGGGACCAGACGTTGATGTTGGAGTCATCTGAGGCAGACAGCACATGGTGGGGAGACACGGCAAGGCAGCTTACAGCCTGCACATGGCAGGGAGGCGTTGTGATTTGCCGTCCCGTGCAGGTCTAGACATGTGCGGTCAGCATCCATGATATCCTTTCTATTATGAGTTCGAGCAGGGGGGATGGCCGAAGAAGCTAATGAACAAGGAATTAAGAAGCATACCTCCCAAAGAATGAGCCGGCCCTCAGCTGTTCCAAGGACGAGAACATCGCCAGCAAGGGCAATACATCGGATCCTCTCCTGAAAGGGCACAAGAGCCTCTTGATTTCCTCGAGCTCGAGAATAGACATGGACATGGGCCTTCTGATCCTGGGCAGCGAAGACGTGGCTGTCACTGACAGCCAAGCAATGGACCGGTGCTGAGCTCTTCTTGAAGGTTGACTTGACAGCCCACGTGGGCGTCAGAGTATGCGCGTAGATACCAACGTCCTTTGATATGGCCGTGTTGGCAGCTATCGGCGGGCCGCACACCGAAGAGAAGAGCTCCTCGGACAGCATGGCGGCTATGGCTTGGGCGTGGCTGGACTTGGAGCAGCGTTGTTTCAGCAGCAATGACCCCTCAGATGGGCCTCCGGGGTGTGAACGCCCTCGTCCCTAATATCAGATATCGCTAGGACCTGGTGAGATGGCGGTTCCTTGTTGAGATAGTCGAAGCAACGACCTGGGCTTCGCCAAGCGGATCAATGGGAGCTACTGCCAATGGTATCCTCGCTAGATTGACGCAGACGACTGTTACGCTAAAGTGACATGTGCTTCACAATTCTCTGCTTGGTGCTGTGGGCAGTCGTATGATTTCTGATATCGGAGTGTGATTTGAGGTTGAGAAACGAGCCGTTGCAAAGAGAGAGAAAAAAAAAAGAAAGAAATTTGACGTCCCGATGGAGTGCATGGCGACCCGCTCATGGGACTGCGGGATTGAGGCCCCGACCACTCACAGCGGCAGCTCCAGGCCCTTCCAGCGCCTCGCAGGGCCTGGACGAGCCACTCGGCCCCCTGAAGCCGCCCCCCCGCTAGCGCTCTTAGTGGGCTCCCAGCGCTGCTCCAGGGCAGACGGCGCCGGATCTAGCAGGCATGCAGGTGACGTATCTGATCGACCTTGGAACTATCGCCTGTTCTTGCCTTCTCCTGGCTCTCCCTGCTTCCAATGTCATGTTGCCTTTGTCAACTCGACCTCCATCCTGAGCCTCGTCCATTGCTCAGTCACTCGCTGCCGTGGCTGTCAAATTCGATGTCTCGCCGACCCGTCCCCAGGTGACGGCACAAGTCCGTCTAGCAGCTGCTCGACGCCACGCCCCTGCATAACGCTGCTCTTAAGCTGCTGCCAGCTCAGCACTCGCAGCCCTTGCATCGAGAAGCCTCGGTTCTGAGTGGACAACAGCCTCGCCCTTGAGCCATCCGCAATCCCTTCGTCTGCTGCGGCATCTCATCTTGCTGCAGCATGATCTGCGGGGTCTCGGACACGCGCAGCTTATTGACCAGAGCGACGCCGACGCCATGTGGTGGTGGATGCCTTGGACCGAATGAACCCCCGCGACGCCTGACGCTCTGGACCCAACGATGACTGACTGGCTGGCAGCATGTCCGACGGAAGGGTTTGCATATGCTTGGACGAGGATGGACGGAGGCAGCTGCAGGAGATGGAGAGGAAGGGCCAATCGCCATCCACCGCTTCAACGGCCGTCTATTGTCCTTTGGGGAGCACGGATTACAATATGGTCCCTGGCTTGTCCAAGTCTGGACTTGTGGCTTTCATTTCCAACTCGCGGCCAACAACATGCGCAAGATGCATTGGCCTTGCCTCTGGTCGCCAGACACATGGGTTTGAACCCTCGTTGCATTGGCCCGAAGTCACCAGCAGAGCCGCCTCTTCGCCCTGACTTCGGAGCGTTGCCACCATCACTATGGCTCCTCACTGCCATTTGCTGGCCGTGCACGAGGTAGCCGCAAAGACAAAGATGATGCGATCCAAATCAGTGCCATGTGGTGCCTCGAAAGCTCCGCAAGTCACGCCACTCTCTGGCCGTTCAAAGGAACTGAATGAGGAGCGGATGGACAGCCTCTCGCAAGGACCACTGCTCGTCGGACGACGTGCCCATTCTCTCGCCTTGTTCCTGGACGCACTCTTGCAGCCGCTGGGCTGCGGTAACACAAGACTGTCTTATCCTAGCTCTCCGAGGATAGTGGCGCTCTGGCTTCCGGGAAATGACTGTCGCGCTTTGAACGGATCCATGCCTGTGAGCCGAAATTTGGGATCAACATCTTGGTACGACATGGCTTGCATCATTCGCCCGCATCGAGAAGGGCCGGCATCTCTGCTCGCGGCACTGCTCTCGACCAAGAGTTCCCCCGCCATAGTCGAGAAGAATACTACTACTAGGTAGCTAGTATGCACTACTAGCTGCAGGCTCTCGTACAGAATCCCTTGCAGCGAGCTATGGAAGAGGGGGGCAAAGCCAGTACGGAAGAGTCGAGATGGGCCAGCAATTGTTGACCACGGCACACAATGCTTGCAAACGCCATACCCGGCCCTTTTCGCGGACAGACTGTCTCATGCCACTTCCATGGAAATTGATAGAGGTCTGAGGCCGACCACTTGCAAACAGATCAGTCCAAGTCCTGCTCTGTGCTTGTCACTGGGACGAAACCGTTTCGACCGTCGGAGGAATCATGGCCAAGTGGCGGCCTCAGCGCCCACCTTGAGAGCCCGGAGCTTGGAGACGCCATCCATCTTTGCTTTTTCTTGCCAACACGTCGGTCGTCCCTCCGCCCTCGCGCAGTTCAATAATTCACAAGGCTAGCATTGCCCTTGCACTAGACAAAAAGCTGCATCGTTCTTGTGGCCCGGGCCAACCCCCTGGACGTGGTCTTTGCTCGCTTTGGCTGTACCACTTGCAAGGATGCAACCACCCCTTCCCAAAAAGTCTCCATGGCTGTCCCCGTCCCGGCCTCTGTCCCTCCTCTCAATGGGACTCCTTGCAGCGGCCGCTGCTCCTGTACTTGAAACCGAGATGCCATCTCGGTCTCTCATGTATCATGCATGTGCTAGATCGGCTGCTCAACCGGCGCCAAGATTCAGCCGCTCAACCACATCGTCTTGTCGAAATCGTTGGACACAGAGCCATTTCAAGCTGTTACTGTTCTTCTCCTGAAAGCAATCACCAACCTGCTCTTCTGCACTTCTCCCCTCCTTCCATCTGCTTGAAACCCCACAGGCACCATCACAGATACATCACCAACGCGCCCTTGATCCCCCCTTGGGTTTGACTCTGTTGCTGTCTCGCCTTCCTCCACCAGCCGCTCGTATAACAGCAGCCCAGCCCTCTGTCGCCGGTGGCGCGAGGTTTCTGATAGAAATCCCTCCGACGGCCTTTTTCGTGTTGTCAATTCGATCTTCATCCAGGCAAAAATTGTGACAGAAGTGACCTAGATGTCGGCGGCTAGCTTACCACTCGCGTCCTCGCCAACTGGTCTTCTAGAAGGACCTGCCAACATACCCAAGAGCGCACCGACCAGCAGGTCCCCGGCCAAGGCCACACGAAGGTCGGTAACCAGTATGAAGGGCTTGCTGCCACTTACATTATCGCCGTCTCCCTCTTTGAGCCTCTCGAATCCGATGCCTGGGAAGGCTGTTGATCAACGAGTGGACGGCTATTTCGCCGAGCTACTGGCCCAGGATCTTGAGTTCTCCAAGATCATCTTCGAAGCACGAAGCATGACAGCCGGCTCACCTGTCACGTCCTCTTTCGCATCGCCGTTTGACGACTGTTTGGACAGACCGACGAGTACGATGAGTTCTCATCGAAGCTCATGTCTGTCGCCGTATCCGTCAGCATACGCGCGCATCCAAACCCTGGGAGCCATCCAAGAGCGAAGTTCAATGGTGTCATTCCTCGATCATCAGGAAGACGCAAAGTCTGGCCATGCAGCGTCTGATTCGTGCTCTGCAACCGACACCGATGCGTCGTCTGTCTATGACGCGGCGCCGCCCTCCTTCATGACACGACACCGCCCGTCCCTGGACTTGAAAGCACCTTCGCCGGACCCGGTGAAGAGAAGCCTTCTTCCTCTCTCAAAGCTTTCTCTCTTGTTGCCTTCAGAGAGCTCTCGAGGCGGGAGCAGCTGGATCGAAGCCGATTCAGAAGCTGAGGATGAGGATGCCAGCATATATGGCGCCGCGCTTCATCTCTCACCACGGCCGCCCACGCCGCCCGAGTTTGAGGTCGGCATCGACTCTCGGCCAGCCAACGGGAGCATGCATAAGCTACTGCATCGGAAATCATATTCGGCCACTGCGGCCGCCGCTCTCGCGTCACCGCCAGGGCAACACTTGAGCAACTCGACGATGCAAGAGCGGCGGCCAAGCTCGACGCAGTATGCCAGGCACTCCCACACCCAGATGCAGTATCCCGACAGCCCCGAGAGCATCGGCATGCCCATGTCTCAGTACAGTCCTCCTCTGCCGCACTCGCAGAGCCTGCACCATCTGCCCGAGAGTGTCCTCCCTCGGCGTGCAAGCAACAGGTCCAGCATGAGGACGGCCAGCAGCCATGAGGCTGTGCGGCTGATAGACGAAGATGCCCGAACGGAATACAACCAGTTCATGTCTTCAGTCGACTCCAAGTACGCACCGAGACTCGACAGTGTCTACATCCGCCCCTCACCCCCTCCGTCACCGCTCCCAAGCGTGCAAATGTGGCTCAACGGGAGCGCGCAGCTCTTCTCCCTGCCATTTCAGAGCGATGAGCTGGCTCGGGTCGTGCCTCTGCCGCCTGATGTGATGGAGACGCTGAGGGTCACCACGGCATGTTTCCCAGAGACCATGTTGCTCTCTTCCAGCCTGACTATTGAGACGATCCGAACATACTCGAGAAAGGCTAGAAATCCAGTGGTCGATCTTGCTCTTCTTCCTTCCGGGCCGCGAAGCCATGCCTCGATGTCGAAGCAGTCATTATGGAGAAGAGTGGTCAAGCGGGGACCACAACAATCGGCTCAGCGGACGCGTGATGTGCACACTCCCACTGCAAGCTTGCTGCAGTCACCCAGCGTGACGTCCCTGGAGTCGCTCAAGCCGTGGGCATCAGTCAAGAACGTATTCGGAAACTGCTCCGACTACATCTGTGACGCGCTCTATTCACACATTGTTGCGTACAACTACGTCTCCGCTCTTGTCGCGCGGTACCCGACCTCTGTCAGCAACGGGCGTTCAGACTCGCCCGCGGGATCACAGCATGAGGACATTCCGAAGAAGGCGGCCTCGCTTCTGGGCCTCAACGAAGGGTCCGCCATGACCTCGGCAGCATCGATTCGCTCTGCGAGGAGGTTCAGCTCTTCGCACTGGGGTAAGGAGGACGTCATGACCACGAGCACGGGCTCCACCTCCACCGGACAGGATATGGCACTTAGAAATATCCAGACGGAGCTCTTGCGGTGTATACGTCGTTTGATTGCAACTGCAAGGCTCATGGCAGAAACCAACACGACTGATGAGAAGGTGGTGGAGATGGAGATGGAGGACGGAGACGTGCTGTTTATGCGCAGCCTTTGCGAGATTGTGAGGGTAAATGAAGAGGCCGCAGCCTACCTTTGATTAGGGGTTAAAAAAAAAAAAAAACCTTCTGTGTGTTGCTTGAGACTGCCATATGCTCTCTCATCGAAGGTGTTCATTTGGATGTTGGCACTGCGTGCGTGTTGATGCTTCTTTTCGCTTTTGCTAGCCCGCCATGTTCGTCATGCTTCCTGGATCTGTTATGTTAAAGGGCTATATGAAGATCGGAGTTTATGAGCCTACTGGAGTGGTTGGCATGATGAATATACGATTATTGGCTGTTGGCCATGGCAACTAAAACTCGAATATTGACAAATATGAGTTGTATACATGAATGTCTCTCACGTGTTTCGACAATTTGTCACCTTTAGGCCAACAGCGATTGTACTTGAATTGTGCCCAATCAATATATAAGGGTATCATTTTAATCTCACTAGACTGCCAACATGGACGAGAGCCAGTTTGCCTCTTGTCTCCTACAAATCCGCAAACAGCCAACATCACACCTCCAACGGCCCCTTGCCATCCCCAAACAATGCTTCATACCAAGGCGTGCTTCCCTTTTGACAAACCCCATCCCAAGCTATCGGCACCAGCCTGGCCGGCCGTTCGCCTTGCGCCGGTTCAAAGACGGTTACCTGCTTCTTACTGCGCTGCGTCTGTGGCGGCCAATAGACCAGATCCTGCTCTCCGCCGTTCCCATGAGACGACATGTTCAAGAGCGGCTTCAGGTCTGCGACACTGCCATCTCCAGAAGGAGGCTGGAGCTGTGCGGCGACGAGATCCCGCAGGCGGGGATAGAACCACATGAGCTTCCACCAGTTGCTGAGACGCCATGGCTTGAGGCCGTCGATGTAGGCGTTGTGGTGGATGCCCACGGGGACGACGCCAAAGTAAAAGTCTGTGTAGAGCGGGACATTGCCCCATGAGGTCTGCGAAAGAGGACCTCCTCTGTCATCTTTGGCTTTCACGAGTTCCTTTGGAATGGTGTGTATGCGTGGACCGTCGGGGACGCCTGCTTTGAGGGACTCGGCGCGGACGGCGTTTGCGTCGTTGAGCTTGACAAAGTAGCCGTCTTCTTCGGCGGAGCAGGTTGCCGGGATGGTGGCGAAGCTGTAGTCCAGGCCGATGCCGAACTCGAATTGTTCCCCCAGCAGGGCCTTTGTCGCGATATCACGTACTTCCGGACTCAAGAGTGTCAAATCGTACCTTGAGGCGCTGCCGTTCCAGGAAGAGGAGAGTTGCTGCGTGACCCATTCGCGCCAAATCTCCTGATCGCCGAGGACTTCCCCAAGAAGAGCCTGGTCGCTCCATAGCTGTCTGCCGCTGAGGGCCACGGAGGCGATTTTTCGCTTGCACCGCCGGAGGACTTGTCGGAGGGAGGACATTGTTCCCATGATCATGCCGCTGTTGATGCATCTCGGGCGAATCTTTTTGTATTTCCGGGCCGGGTCGAAGAGTAAAGGGAGGATGGTGTCGGTTTCGGGGCCGTAGAGGTCGGGTGGCATGGGGGAGGAGGGCCAGTGCGTGTAGTGAGGGTTGGAGCCGGATTCGCTGTCTGGTTGGCAGTCTTTTGCGGTGGTGACGATGATGGATTGCTTGGGGGGCGGTATGGGGAAGTTGTTGGAGGAGGAAGAAGAAGAAGAAGATGATGATGATGATGTTGAGGCTTGGTGGGCTGAAGCTTGCCATTGCTTGCGGAGGCGTTGATTTGCTTCGTTGTTGAGCTGGTGATATCGCTGTATGAGCACCGACGGGGGAAGCTGGAACCAGATATCGTACGCGTCCACCAGGACAGCGAGGTCGTCGTCGTCCGCACCGCCGTCAACGTCGTCACGGCTAAGCATCTCTTCGATGACGGCGAGCAAGCTCTCGAGCTTTGCGATGTGGCTGCCTGCAAAGTGCCACTCTGGGCGGTTGAACTCGCCGGACCAGTTGAGCAGCGTGGGCAGCGGGTAGCCGAGGGCGACGGCGGACATGATGCTCTTGCAGAGGTTGAGGTGAGGCGAGTCGGCGGGCATGAAGATTCGGAGGCGACGGTTGCCGGTGGTGCTGGATTTTGGGGGGATGGGGGTGAGGGCTTCGAGGGCTTCGCGGGGGAGGATGTCGGAGGGGGGGATCTTTGAAGTTGAGGGGTGGCCGTGGCGGAGTTGGGTTGAGGCGGACTGTGAGAATTTGGTTCAGAATTGGTGAGTTGAGAGTTGTGGGAGGGAGGTGCTGGGTTACCATGGCTGAGAAGAAGAGGCTGGTGGTGATGATGGTCAGGAAGATGAGTTGCCATAGGGCGCCATGGGAGAGAAAGACGGAGCATCGTCGCCATGGGGAGCGTTTGGTGGGTGAGGACTGGTCATGTTGTTTGTGTCTCGGTAGATTGCGGTATTCATTGTCTGTTTCTCTGAACAGGTTGGCAAAGAGTCTCGGTGATGAGCGTCTCATTTTCATTATCCGATGTGAGTGAGAGTTCTTATAGAGCTTCTAGATCACGCCGCACGCCATGCATGTTTGAACCCATGATCCGTTTCACCACAACACGAGATACATGATGATGAGGAAATGAGGAAACAATGATGATGTTGGTGATGACGGGGATCAATGTTTCTTCGTCTTGTCTTATCACTTTTTAAGAGACACTCTGTATGCACATGATTAGGCCGATCGCCTTCAAGACCCTTTTCATGGGCGAAAACGTGGGTCGCTGAAGAAGCAGCCCCATGCCGGATCGAGCAGCGATAGTCATGACCCCATTCAGGGGAAGAACGCAATTGAAAGTGCGGATTGCAGAGGACACGCAATCTTTGTGCTTGGTTCCCCTCGGGTCGTCGCCTTTTTGATCGGCGTTTAACAGCTTTCTTGTCGGTCCAACTCTCCGGCGTTCGAGCCGTGGCTCTGTTCGATTTTGACGCTATTCGCACGTGGGCGAGGATCGGCTTCTAAGGGGTCCGGCTCCATCTCCAGCAAACGTCATCTGCGGTTGACCGTTCTTTTCTTTTCCCCTTCTAAATCGCGTGGGTGTCAGTGAGAATTATGCCTCATGCTGCTCATAGGCACATAGGAGAGGGGGATGTGTGTGTGTGCGTGTTTTAAGCAGCATGATCGCCTGGGTGATCTATTCCCCCCCGGCGGCTGTCTGGATCTAAAAAAGGAGCGCGGCTCACTCACCTTCTCCCCATGTTAGGAAGCGTCCGGTTTACGTAGCTGTTGGGTTGTGCTCGCGGTAATATAGCCTCTCAGAGCTTCTCACATCAAGAGAGATGAGCATGTCGTGACATCGAAGTCGCAGGTCAAACATACACAAACTCACTCCCGCCTCGCGCCTCCGTCATGGGGGCATTGAAGGCTTCCGCTCGCTCTCCAGGAGCTATGCCGACTGCCGGATGGGGAGTGCGGACTTTTACTGCTTTTGGCATTGTTGGTGAGTGTTTTTTATTATCATGCTGATGGCCTATCATATTGATTAAGCCATCACTTCATCAGCGACTGTATCTGAGTTAACATCAACCCTGTGTTATAGGCCTTGCGAATATTCTTCTTCCCTACCTCATCCTGTCCAGCCTCTATCTCATCGTTCCCTTTCCACAACCCGTCGTCCTGCTCATAGAGCTACTCCCTGCTCTCGCCGTCAAACTTATCCTTCCTCACATCTTGCATTACACGCCGCACTGGCTCTGGCTGCTTCTCCTCGCAAGCTGCTGGGTTCTGGCCACTATCGCTGCCAACGCCGCACCGCCAAACGTCATTGCCCCGATCCGTGTCTTGATCGCCGTACTTGCGTCGGCCACTGCTGCAGCCGGCGAGGTTTTCTTCCTGAGCCAACTCTCACGGTACGGCAAGGCGGCGCTGGCGGGATGGGGAACGGGGACAGCGGTGGGAGGTGCCCTGCGCGCTGTTCTGCCGGTGCTGGTGACGGTTCATATGGGCGTCATGTTGCGCAGTGTTACGGGCTATGCTTATTATCTAGTTGCGGCTTTGGTGGCTGCTGATTTCATGGTGTTGCCGTCTTCTCAGAGCCAGAAACGGAAGAGCTTGGCCATTGAAACCGGGTTTGCAGCTGAAGACGGGGCCGTCTCTGAGAAACTTGGGAGTCAAAAGTCTTCACTCCTCGCAACGGAGAGATGCTCGCCATTTAGCTTCTGGGAGCGTTTCCGACGTAATATGCTGCTTCTGAGCAACAAGCTTCTGAGGCTATACATTGACCCTCTGCTCCTGGTTACAGCAACGCAGGTCTTTGTACTCTCGGGAACACCTCGTGCCAGTATTGCACTGCCGGGCTTTTCAAGCTATTCAATGTTTCTCTCTGAGTACGGGCTCGCATTCCAGACTGGAAACGTTGTAGCTCGGTCAACTGCTCTTTTGTTCCGAGTCAGAAGACCAAGGCTTGTCTTTGCCATGTTGTTGGCCTGCTCTCTAGCCGCCATTCTCAACACCACACTCTTGTTGAGTGAGGACGCACATGTTGCTTTTAGCCTTGCCTGTGCCGTTGGATGGTGTAGCGGCTTCATGTATATGAACACATTTGGTGCTGCCATGGAATATCTGAGCAGGAATCCGGAGGAGGACGCGGAGTTTGCCTTGGGGAGCATTGGGATTGGGCAGAGTGTGGGACTGCTCATTGGAGGGCTTGCTGGGGTTTTGTTCGAGGCACAGCTTTGTGGGCTGGCGAGTCGGAATGGACGGTGGTGTTCTACTACCGTATAGACATCTCATACGAGTATTTTGCGTGGTCTACCCAGTTTTTGTATGATGAGCTGACTCGAGGCCAAGTATATACATACGATTATCAAGCCTCATCGGTTCTACCTCGATAGTCCAGGACATTTATGGATGCTAAAACCTTTTGTGTGAAGTTGGTAGGACATGGAAGATAGTGTTGGAGTAGACAGGCGTCGTTAAAGGCGTCATGAAACTATCACTACGTCTCAGGGACTACGAAACTTTCATGGTTCAAGCCAGATTGCCAAAAGTGATTCAGCCGCTTCTCGGTCTCTCAACTAACTATTTGTATAGACCGTTGAAACCATCTGGCGATCATTTACGCTTCAGGTGTCTGGGGAAAGGGACGTGGTGTTGCTCGCAACAGGCTAGGATGTACGAGTTGAAGTAGGTAATGGCAATATATCAGTCTAGGCTTCTACTTTCGTCAATGATCATTACTGGACCTGCCTGGCTTTCTACATAGGCTGATCTCCTGCGACATTTCAAACTTGAACGAAAATACTTCAACTAGTTCACCTAAGACTTGAGCTGAGACGGTCAACGTGGTAGCGTCATTGTCATGGTATAACGACCCAACCAATTTATATTGTACTTTATCATGAGATCTGAATGATACAATTAAATTTCTCTATATATCTATAGAAACTTCTCGTCATATTCACAGCGATCCATATGAAGTAGTTTTGTCCCTTGAACATCTGCAACGCGGGCAAAACTCAGCTTCTCGATGCTCTCACTTATACGATGTCTCATCAGTGTCCAGCAGATCAGCCCTCAAGCAAGAGTGACAACTTCTTCAAACCAGCTGAGCTAACTATCGGATTGAAAAGCACCAAGCATCTCTCCAACCCAAACAACTAATCCATCCGAAAGCGCAAACGCCGCATGGCCCAAGCCTGTCTCCAAGACAATCCTGATCAAACAGGCTCAGTCGATGATCCACGGAGACCGTTCACATTGCATCATCGCTACTTGATTTGCCAAACAACTTCGAGCTTCTCTCAAAACAACAAGTTGGGACTTGCACTACAGCCTCGTGCCAGGGGACATAAGAAAACAGGATCCTAGACTGCGACTGGCTCAGTTGATAGTAAATCTGACGAATGCCTGAGGTAAATGTTGGTGTGCTCGAGTCTATGGGAGCTGGGAGTATCGCTCACCTGGGAAGTTCAGCGCGAAGGCGAGCAGCGAAGCATATAGGGCGGCATGAGGCATCACATGGCTCTGAATGGCTTCCTGTACGGTCAGCTACGTGCAGCTGGATTTCCCCTCTTTCATTTGCTTCACTCATTCAGCAATTTCCCGTTCAAGCAAAATGGGTGTGAGAGATGCTGAGTATTTCAGCATGTTGGGGGTCGTTCAGGGTAGAGAGGGAACATGTTGCCAGATCGATCACATGCACTACGCATCAGTCCCTACCTCAACCTCTACAAAATCTTGATCTTATCAATCACTACTCATCATATTTAGTCATCTCTCGCGTGATACGTATCCAATTCCACCCTCTCGAGTGTCAGCCAAGTCTCAAAAGTCATTGTCTTTCTCCACCCTGCATTGTTCACCCTCCCTCACGATATAATAACCTGAGTCTCCTCTTATAAAACATTGAACAAGCGGTGAAGCTCTTCCAGTATCATGCATCTGGAATTGCCTTGCACCCTCTACAACAAGCCACAATAACTTGCGCAGTCAAATCATTTGCTGGAGTCTGACCTCCCTGCATGAGACCCTTCAGCCGCCTCGTCTAGTCTAAATGATGTGAACAGGATTTGCCCCTCACGAAGGGAAAGCAAGGGTCCTGTGGGATATGCAAGGGAGGCTCTTCTCTCAATGACGTATTAAACATGCATTAAAATATTGCAAGTATGCAAATAAGGGAGCAGTCAGGCTTCAAGGTGCACAGGCGCTACTTGCATATGTACTTCAATATTGTGAGGCCACGTCCGTTCTGCCTGGAGCACATCATATATGCATGGTAAATGAAGGCTTTCTCCAGGGTAAAGTAGGAGAGTGGGAAGGAATCCTGCAATGGCGAATGTTATCTAATTGTTCAGGGTCTTTGCGATGCCCCTCGTCGAGATGCATTCTGAACGTCCCGCTACTCTCCTCTTCCTACGCTCAATATCAGTGTGAGGGAATTTTGAGAGAGGGACAGGATGCCAGTACACAGTCAGTTTCTCTCCTTGCCAAATCTTCCAAAGTTGCTTCAGGAACATTTCGGTCACTGAAGAGCAAGTGATGCACCCATCTTGAAATCTGATGTGGTCTACCAATCTTGGGTATCAGCCATTTATTTCGTCTGCGAACCTATCCAAAGCTATCATATTGTCGTATCTGAAACCATATGCAAGGCGTTTCCAGGACATAAATATGTGTAGAGCAGAAAATGCAGAAACAAACCAAAGATGTAGCTCTCCCATAGGGAACAATCTTACTCGTGAGCCAATGCCAATAACACAAAACATGACACCAAGAAAAAACAACCAGGACACCTTTTTCACCCTCCATTTGCCTCTCCTTCATGGTGTGACCTCAAATTCGACATGGCCAAGCCGTGGGGGAAGAGAGGGTGTCGATATCATACGGCCACACACCATGGGGTCGACCAGTCACACCCAGAAGACCACTGACTCCCCCCTCCCCCTAAAGGAGAAAACAACCCGAGATCTAACCACCCCGGCCAGTTTTCATCTCATGGTGTGGCAAGAGAGAAATAAGTGCATATCCCCTTTAGTTGGCGCCAGGCAAGTAGAGAGGAATCTCCATGGGCAGCTCCTTGTGCGGGGTGAGCGAGTCAATCGAGCCCGAAACGTGAGACCGGTCAACAGGCTTGCGGGTGAAGAAGACCAGCATGTCACGATGAGCCTCCTTGGTCTTGTCGACGGGATACACAGCTGAGAGACTGTGCTTGCGCTCATGGTCGACAATCATGAGCGTGTCGAGGAACTTCTTGTGCTGGACGCGGGCGAGCAGGTGCTTGGGCTGGATCTCCTCCAGGGGGATGCCCGTCTTCTCGTCCATGCTGTGCATGAAGGTGGCGGCGCTGTTGTCCGACATGTTGTAGCTGCCGAGGAAGGTGGTCATGGTGTGGTCGACGCCGTCCGAGTGGACGCCCTCGAGGGCCGGCTCGCCCAGGATATGGGGCGTGGTGACGGTGCGCAGGTTGAAGAGGGTGCACACCCACTTGTTGAGGCCGTACTCGAGCTTGGGCCGGTGCGCAATCTCCATGCCGTGGATGATCATGGCCTTGAAGGCGAAGAGCGCCTGGAAGACGGAGTTGAGCTGCAGGTCGTTCTGCACCTCGTCGAAGCGGCGGATGGCGCCCGAGTCGTAGCGGTTGAAGTCCTCCTCGACCGTCAGCACAAACGGCTGGAACTCGAGGCGGCGGATCGAGTGCGTGTCAAAGTCGAGGCAGAAGCGGCTGTTGCGCGTCCTGCGGAAGGGCAGCGTCGGGTCGTGGTACAGCTTGTCCGAGACCGTCTTCATGCCGGGGATGTCGGACTCCTTGGCACCCAGGCCCAGCATGAGCTCGACCATCTCGTCCGACTCGACAAAGATGCAGCGGTCGCGCAGGTACTTCTCACGCAGCTTCATGATCTTGCCGACCGTCTCGTAGAACTTGGGGTTGTACGCCTGCTCCCTGACGTTGAGCTGGGTGAAACCCTCCACCTGGGGGTAGGGCTCCGTGGGGAGCTGCTGCTGCTGCTGGAACTGCTGGTGGCCAAGATAGGGGGGAGGGGGCGGGCCGCCGTTCCGAGGTGTCTGCGTGGCGAGGGCCTCGACGGCCTTGGCCTTGCTAGACTCGTGGAACAGACGCTGGCTGCCGCGGTTGGTGACGGCAGGCGACGAGCGGAGCAGAGGTGCAGAAGCACGAGCTGCGCGTTGAGCGGATCTGAACGAAGACATGGTGTTTGAAGCAGTAGCGTCAAACCCGATGAAGAAAGGACGGGATGTACAGTCCCTGTTTAGGAGGAGTTTCTTTGTTTGTTGGTTTGTTTTAGAAAGAAGAGCAGAAAGAACAAGTTTAGATCTTCAATTCTTTGAATTGTTCAGTATTTCTTTAATGATCAGGAGTCAGTTGAGGAGTGGCTCAGGATAGCCCCCTATCAGGAGATTGTAAGAGTAGCTCAGGATAGCTCTCTGTCAGGAGTTGAAGAGTGGCTCAGGATAGCCCTCTGTGACAAAGAAAAAATGAATCAGGAGTTGAGTATGTACGGCTCAGGATAGCCCTCAATTGGAAAGACGCTGCCTTGGCTGTCAATACTTTTACTTCCAACAGAAGACGAATTGAACGAACTCTGGGTGGTTCCCTGTTCAAGATGGTGAGATCAAGCAGGAGAGAGGCAAATGCGAACGGAAACGAAGAGGTAGAGGTGGACTGTCTGTACAACCGAGGACGAAGAGGTGAGTCAAACAACGTGGAAAGGGTGGGAAAAGGTGCCTTCTTATTCACAAGAGGGCATATCCTGGGATGATGGCCACTTGAGACACGCAACAGCCGTTGGTGGGGAGGACACGGAGGGAAGGGAGGGAAGTGGTCGCTCAGCCAAGGCAGCACAGCATCGTGATGCTCGGTGTGGCATCCTCGAGGCAGTCCTACCTCGTACAGAGGGCATGGCATCATAACTTCCCCGCGAACTACCACCTCATTGAGCAACGAGACAAACTGGCATCCCATCCCGTCCCTGCTTCTTTCAGCCAGCCTCGAGACACACTAGCGTTGGATTCTGATGTCAGCCAGCACAGGTATACATACGACCCAAAGGAGGTGATTGATGCCTATGCAAGCTCAGGGACCTCACTTAGTATGCCATAATGCAGCTTACTAGAAGCCTGAGCAGGGGTAGAGACTAGATGGGTGATATGTGGATGTGTCTCAACAGCCATCCGATGGTCCTCGGTACAACACTGAACATTCGTTGCGTCCAGTACTGCCCATCATTCTTACGCAGATGTCAAAAGGTAATAGTACTAGAAAGGCATGCCACATGTTACAACGACTGAAGCCGAGGAAAAGCAACAAGACACGTACTGATCCACGGACTGCGTAATGAGACATTGTTTTCACTCAATGTGCCAACAAACACCACCAAACCGGTTTCTCTCGTCATAGTTGAGGTATGCACCATAGAAGGTCAGCTCAGGACGGCACGGCACGAGACTCCCTTGCATATATCGACAACAAAACTAGACCGTCTTAAGCCCGTGCTGTATGAGAATACTAGTATGTGTTTCCCTACGCTCGAGTTGAAGGAGCCGCAACTGATACGTACATGTCGTAAGTGTGCCAACCCTCACATAATTACTACACCCTACCTACCCGGATACAGCGTTACTCAACGCGAGGGGTAGGTAGCATGTCTTAGTGATGCGTCGACGAACCGCAGCCAATGATGCTCCTCTTGGCATATGTCGAGGCGGGCGAGACGGGCAGCCGGTGAGTGTGACCTGCGGCTTGCGGCGCATCAGCCCTGCGCCGTGCCGTGCCAGAGGGAGACAAAAGTGCGTCTGGGGTCGGCGTCCAAGGCACTTACACGATGCAACCAGCGTTGTAGTACTTGGCGCGTCTAGTGAGACCCTGACTGTACTGTATGTATTACTGTCCTGGCTGAGTCGAGAGAGGAAAGCCACACACACGTACCTACGTATGTAGGAAGTGTCGTCCTGAACTGGGACGGGAACACGGGAACTAACTCGTATGGGCCGTCTTGCCCAAGCTTTACAGCTCCTCGTGTGCGTGGGGAACAATCTCGACATGTAGTCAGTCATTGAGGCTGCGCTTCTATGAGGCCACATGAGAATGCAAGGCTCCGAGCGGCTTCAACAGACGCAAGTCGGCGGTACTTGCCGCATTCCATTTAATCGGTGTACATGACATACGATGCTCAGCGTGAGTAATTGACACGTCAACATGCCGTTCTGGCTGCACGCATGTCGATGTGAGGAGGAGAGACGCAAGGCCGACGCAATATGACGAGAGCCGAAGCGAAGCCATTCGGCGGGAGGGTTGAGGAAGAGAAATCTCGGCGACATAGGCAAATGCAATGCGCTCATGCGAATGCAGTTTCAAGTAAAACGCGGGGTGGAATGACTCGAGGCTGAGGAAAATAGATGAAGTGGCTCGGTATTGGTGGCCCCTTGGTTGACCACGTAGGTAGTAGGTAGACACGAAGTCTGTCTGCCTTGGAATATGTATGTTGTCCCTGAAACGCTTGTGGCTTGCTTGGAGGATGTACAGCATTAGTCTATGCAAGAGATGTTGTTGATCAGCAGAGGGGAGGCCATCTGGGGAGAGAGGCTGGCTACACACAGATGGTGCCATATTTCTCTAAACGAATACCACCCCAAGGATCAGCGAACACCACCAGCAGGTTCTACCATCAACGAGGTCCAGTTCGCTGAATATCATCAATCATCATATGCTATGTGGTTATATAACCGGGTATATTCATCCAGTAGCGCACAAATAGAGGGAGCTACGTGCCCATATGCGCAGATATTACCTACATGAGCCCCCTATTCCATTATGCAACCCCCCCATCCGACCGACCCAATTCTGGGCATCACCCGACCCTCGCCTACATGTATGCCATTCACATTACTGCGATCTGCATGTATCTCTGCCATACCCTCACAAACGAGACCACTGCCATGAGAGCCCACGCCTCCCCCAGCTCACCGGTCGCTCCGCTATTGACGAACTTGAACTTGGCGGCCTTTTTGAGGCCCTTTGCATCTGCCCACACAGCCAGGACCTCATTGTCCTCATGCAGCGTCTCGTACTCGTATGCCGCTGCATCTCCGTCGTCCTTGTCCTCGTCCCAGCCTTTGTCTACATGTGCATCGGGATAGTAAGTGGTTGCGACGCGCCTCAGTTTCCATCCATGACCCCATTCATGCAAGTCCTTGACCTCTTTCCCCCGTGAGCTCACCCACTCAAACCTCTCAACGCGTGTTGTTGTTGTTGTCGTCGTCGTCTTCGGCGTCTCCCCCGCCCGGTCAGGCACAGGCACAGGCACAGGCACGGCAAACGACCAGGCGTCCATCCAGCCCTTTGTCCGGCGCGACATCTTCTCCTCGAACACGTCCTGGCCGGGCTCCAACGGCGGCAGCGTCACGAGGTTCCCCATGCCCGACTTGCCGGTGTTGCGGACCGCTGCGAGCGGCGGATGGTCCACGGTAGGGCCGCCATGCAAGATGAGGCTCCCCCACCAGCTTTCGGGTAGGTTTACGGTGTAGACGGGCTCGGAGGCGCTGTTGAGGAGGTGGAGCCTGAGTTTGCTCCATGAGGGGTCATAGCAGAGCTCCAGTGAGCTGGGGAGGGTGACGCTGCTGAGCGAGGCGCTGCGGAGTTGACGGTGGGCTTCTTTTGATTCGGCGCCGCCCATGGTGATGGTGAACAGGGGGGTCTTTGGTGATGATGAGAGAAGAAGTGGACTAAGTCAGAGGGGACTGTTGGGTTGGCGTGCGAGTTGTTTGTAGAATCTGAAGTAGGAGAAAGTTCTAATATGTCGAAGACGATGGTTTCTTTTCGTTCAGTTCCATCTCATAAACGCTGCTTTATATGGCTTTTGCTTTGAAGGTCCTGATCTCATCCTGGACCCGTCAGGCTTCCAAATGCGGTAATACGCAGCGCTGGCGAGGCGTTGAGCCAGAATCTGGCGATGCACCGCCACCTTGGAGAGCCAACGATAGTGACAGGCACAAGGCTGAATCTTCTGATGGATGATGGGGAATCGAGCGTTTTGCATTCTGTATGTAGCCACGGGTGCCTAGCTGAGTGGCAGAGGAGAGATGTGCTTGATAAAGGAACCTGATGGTCAACATGCGATCAATGTCTGACCATATGCTGGGCTATGCAGTGACGGCTCTATTGCTGAAATCACCATGTATTTACATATTGATATCAAGCGCAGAGACATCTAGATAGAGAGAAAGGAGACGAACGAACGCCTCTTCATACCCGCTATATCAAACATGGTATCACCCGCTCTTTGCAGCAGCATCAACCGCGTCGGCCATCTCCTTCATATTCTTAAACTTCCACGAATACGACACCTTGTCCGCATGCGCCTCCGGATCCCCGCCCATGACGCTCTCAACTTCCTCGCCGCGCTCGATCCACGCGCTGGCAAGCCCAATCTGCTTCGCCGGCACGTGGTCATGGTGCAAGCTCTGGGCCGTGTGCAAGATATCCTCCTTCTTCACGCCAAGGTCCTTGTCGCAGTGCTCAATGAGATACCTAAAGTTGTTCAGGTCGGGCTTGTACGAGCCAATCTCCTGCGCGGTGTAAACGGCATCAAAGGGGAAGCCCCGGAACTGCTTGTCGAGGGTGCGCTTGAACGAGTCGAGATCCACGTTGGACAGGATCACGAGCTTGAAGTGCTTGTGCAGCCGCTGCAGCGCATCCAGCGTGTCTGGGTAGATGGCCCAGTCGCCGACGCCGAGGCCGAATTTCTGCTTCGCGGCCTCGTCTGCCGAGACGCCCAGCTCGGCGGCCAGGTTGCCGTATGCGGCGGCCAGGACGTCCTTGTAGAGGAGCGTCGGGTTGGCGGCCTGGACGAGGCCCTCGTGCCGGACCAGAGCCCGGAGGAGGCCGAGGCGGTTGTCCTTGAGGGGATGCGACGCGGGCAGCTGCTCGTTCAGGGGCTGGAGGTTGTTGTACAGGCCGGATTCCCAGTCGACAAGGGTGCCGTAGCAGTCGAAGGTGAGGGCCTTGAAGGAGTTGATGGGTCGTTGGGTCGCCATCTTTTGCGTGGTTGTCGTCAGATGCTCTCTGGGTTCTGCAGGTTGAACAGATAACGTAGACTGATGGCGTTTGATCCTGTGTCTTTACTCTTTGAGATTGTCAAAGTAATACAACTCAGTCTCTAGGTATCTTGACTGCTTCTGCACGAGTTGAGTGAGTTGATGCCCCGCCAATTGATGCCTTACGACAACTTACATGAGCATCTTAGCCGTGGATAACGAGGACACGAGGGCGGGGTTGATGCATGCGGGGCAGTCAAGCAATCCCATAAGACCATTTCCTGCCCTTTTCCAGACTTATTCCATGATGGCTTCATCTCACGTAATTGCAATTCAGCTCATCGACAGCTTTCTCGCTTTGGGTGCTGTAAGAATTACTACTTTTGAGTGTGCTGGTATCTTCTTTGATCCTGGTAACGGCCAACATTGTACACGAGTGGTACTACGTAGGTACCTACCTGAGATGAGTGCAAAGACGCTCAAAGGTTGATTGGCAACCCTCACGGTGTTTACCTGATAATTGATATCAGGTCTGCTTCGCGATCCTCTTAGAGGAATCGTCTCAAGGCGAACAATTGCAAGAACGAGGCATTTGGGGCCCTCGCTATTTCGTACTGCTGCCTTGCATGCAATTCCAATCAACAACCAGGATGGCTATATTACGCCGAGAAAAGGGCGCCTTCCGTAGTGGCGGAGATGTTGAAACCGACCTCGATTCAGGGTAGGACATGCCGGTATCACATCACGAGACATCATACATGCAGATGCATCTACTCTATTCTGGCATGCAGTTGGCGAGAGCAACTCGCTTTTTGTCGGTGAAAGCAAGCTGGATGCTTCGTCCATCACCCTGGGGATGCATTGTATAGTACTAATTACGCCTTAGGAAAGACGTCGAACTGCATGTCTGGGTTGCAATGAACAAAGTCCGTGAGGAGACCTATTCCGCGCCTAGCCGACTCTTGAGGCCTTATCCCCGGAGATTGCTGTGCCATTTCATGGCTGCCTCATCTTCAGCCAGAAACAGATTGATGGATCAATACTGCATGTGAGTTCGTTAACCACAGAGCTGGGAGATTGGATGTTGAAGTCCGTTTCGTTGTTAGCCTTCTTGACACGAGGCATCGCTGGACAGAGGCAACTGGCATTAAGCTCGCATTTTCAGTCTACAAGTCTACAAAACATCTATCTTCCCATCATTTTTCTATTACCTAGGCCATCCCTACCATAACAATCTTGGAACCCTGCCGCCTTGTCATCATCAATTGCTCTATACAGAGCATGTCACCGTTTTCTTCATCCAGTATCCTACTTCTTGCAGCAGCTACCAGAGCTTCAAGGCCACAACTCAGAAATAATCCAGCTTCGGCTTCCCTCCAAAGGATGGCTTCACACCATTCCCAATGCTATCTAAGATCTCCAGTGCCACATTCAGTTGCGCAGTCATGTCTTTGATCTGCACATAGTGAGTCAGCCATCATCTCCAGTCTGCCGCAGCCACCACGAGCCACTGCTTACCTGGGCGGTATTCATCTTGTCAAACATCTCGTAATGGTTTGAATTCACATCAATCACCGCCTTGATAAACTCGGGAGCATTGGCCGACCAGCCGAGCGTCCGATCATGGCGATGCTTGTCTATGATGTACGGCTCCGTCCTGCCCTCCGGGAGGGGCATGGACTGGATGGCCCGTATCAGGACCGTAGGCGGCGGCGTGATTGATGCTCTTCCGGACTGTGACGCTTCCTCTGCCGGCTCGCTGTACCGTGACACTTCGACCGGTGACCAGACTCCTTCGAATGGCTTATACAAGACCTTTCCGGGCGGCACCGAATACCGTCTCCCGCCGACGCCGAAGAAGACAACCTTGCCGTCGCACGCAGGCCCATCCCACCTGGGCACCTCCCAGTGCTCAATCATCTCATCGCAGCGTTCGAAGCACTTCTGGATGGCCGGCGGGATGTTTTCGATGACGGGATCGTCGGTCGGTCCGTCGATCTGGCTCCAGGGGAGGTGATGCGGCGTGTCCATCATGACGATGCCCAGGACCTTGATCGTAGCCTCGGGGTCTTCGGCCAGGAAGCGCGCCACGGCCAGGGATAGGAAGCCGCCGAGGGACCAGCCTGCAAGATGCAAAGTGAAAGATGTCAGCTTTTGCGGGTAAATTCATAGTTACAGATTACAATAACCCTGATTGACCCTCATATCATCACTGCGATAGGAAAAAAGAACAAGCTCTCAGCCCTCACATACCGCCCAGCAAAATGTTGCCCTTGATGCCCGTGTCCTTCATGTACTGGATGTACAGGCGCGCCATCTCGTCTATGCCGCCCTCAAAGGCGCCTCCGTCGAAGAAGTGCGGGTTGTGAATCGCCCACACCTCGCGGTACAGATTACCCAGCATAAAGTACCCAAACGTCGTGCCGCCTCCATCATGGATCAGGACCAACGGAGGAGGCGGATTCGCCCGCTTGTAGGCGGGAGTGATCTGGACCTTGGTGGGATTTGGGCCGTCTTCGTACATTATGAGGGGATATCAAGTCTGACGAGGTGGCTGTTCAGAAGGTCTGCCTGAGAAATCGCTGTAATGGACAAGCAAGCAAACAGACAGACAGACAAAGCGCACGCTTGGGAGAACAGGAAACCATCAATCAATCTCTCCCTCGCCTTCACCGTTCCATCATTTCAGAGCTATCTACCTACCTCTCCCGCGTCTTACGTCGCACAAGCCTAGGCTCGAGTCCGGGCGAAAGCTATTCCACGCCGGCTGTAATCATCTCGACTAAGAGGCAGATGCTTGTGCTGATTATCTTAGTAGCAAGAGACGTTATGTAAGCTTGCTCCAAGGGGATGAAGGGTTCACGGTCGAGGCGATACAAGGGGGTTGCCGTAGCGGCTTCGCAGCGGACCCGCGATATTCACACGCCAGCCAGGGGGGAAAATGCGGTAGCTTTCTGTTGAGCCCGGCGATGCGGTTACAGTACGATGATCAGCTAGAGGGAGATCCGCCATCGCTGGGCTGGGAGGGCGACTGCCGAGATGCCCCATATCCGGCTTACACGAGTTGGAAGTTGATAGTAGTAGTATTGATCTAGTATTGCAGGAGGATGAAATCGTCTGGCCGAAAAGTTCAAGCGACATAGGCAGATGAAGAACAATTCAGAGGATAAGCGACGAAGTGCACACCGCTTCTGTGTGAAAAGCTGCAAGAATAGAAACGATGCAGCGTTTCCCCCTCCTTACGCTCCCTGCATACAGGCACACTCTCGCCATTCACTGCCAGTCTCGACGGAGACACAACAACCCGACAGTCAGCTTCATTGCTTTTCGCTGATCATGATCGGCATCTTTCATCACATACCAGGGCATGACCTGACAAGTAAGCACTTAGGCTTTGGGAACGACGCCTCAGCGCTTCTCATTGCGATCGAGTCGCCAGATGCGCATCACGGCTACACTGACTGTTTCTCCCTGCAGCTGCACTCGTCTCAGCGCGGCGTTAACCATCACCCGCAGTGCCTCGGAGCCGCTCGCTCTATGGCACAACCGACTTTGTCGCAGCTGAGTTGATGCGATTGCCCTCCCTACATGCAAGGCGCACCAGCGCCCTCTCCCCGCTGCACCACAGGCTATGTATCGCCGAGGTTCTGCGTGTGTTTGCTCCTTTGTCTTCAGTTCAAGAGACAAGACGAACTACAGTCGTAAATAGGCAACACCCTATACTATTGCCGCAGGTCTGGCATTGTGCATATACGAACCACGGACTTGCATGGCCCCCCAACTCTCAACTTAATCCCGTGCGCCGCGAGAACCGGTTGTCTTCTCGTAGCACCAACACTCTTGGAAGCAACTTGGAGCTGTCCCTGCTACTCTTCGTAGTAGGAGTAGTAGTAATACGTCCACTCCCTTTGCTTCAGTGATCGCCGCCTCAAGTCAGCACGAGAATGTCCAGGGGCAGGGAAGCGGGACAAGCAAGGGTCCATGGCGTGTCGTCTCTTTTACGGGCACTAAGCCTTGTTGCCTGGGCACTATTACTCAGATCGCACACCCCGTCTGAGTAATAAAAAGGAACCCCTGCTGCTCCCGCTGCAGCTGGGATATGAATGCTTACTGAAACAGGCAATCCTACATAAAGGTTCAGGATGAAGAAGTGAATGAGACTTGTGAAATCCTAACCTTGCGGGCTTATTGCCCAGCCTGACTGCAGCGGTTCATGTGTGCTCACGGTAGCATTCAAGAAAGCGGAGGAGAGAGGTGTCGTTTAGAACGATGGTAGCAGAGATGGAAAAGGAAGGCATTCATGTTTCCAAGTGCCCGGAGAACTGAGTTACAGCTCACATGCTTGTCAGCACAGCAGTGCATCGGGCATATAGGAGCCCTGTTAATCAAGTATCGCGACCTCCCGTCCGGAAGGGTTATTACAGCAGCCGTATTTCATATGAAATACGCTGCGGAATAACAATGTCAGGTACGTAACTTGCCACAGGTTGAATCGAGAAGGTCAGCTGAAGAGCGTACCCTTCGGGCCCATCTTCAAACTCAATATCGAACCTCGAGTTGCAAAGTATAGAGGGCATAGGTTAGTTGCTGAGCCGTTGTGTTGTCAACTTGTCCTCTTCGGTGTAGGGGCAGTCACCTTGCCTACTCTTGTCAGAGAATGATTGACGCACTGCATGAATTGTCTGATTTCAATGGAACTCTGGGTTGTTCTGTCCTTCGAGATCGGAAGTTGCATGGTCGATCGGTCTTTATATAGGCATATATATAGTAATAAACCGGTCGATATTATGGAAGTTTAGGCATACCATGTCACATAGAGTCGAGAAACGTGAAGCTAACATTTAATGTGAACGGTTATACTTTGATGGAAGGCACAGCCATAACAGGCCAGAAGATAGATAACCCTTTGATTACTTCTTTCGGTAGTCAGAGGTCAACGCCAACGCTAGGCTTCGGGTACCGTACACTGGGCTTCAATGAGCATCATCGCACAGTGACTACATTAGCAGATGGTCAAGTGATGACACTGGATAGATCGAGTCGTTCTTGAGATGGTTTTGATGGAATTTGATAGAAGGCCCCAGGATAACAGACGAGTAATATTGCATTTCCAGCCAAAGGCTTCCTTACATACTATCCTCCATCAACAGACATCGTTAGGACTTTCATCCATGCACTTCTCCCGAGAATCTGTGTCAAGTTTTGCTCAGCCCACTCATCTTAACGTATGTTGTCTCAGATAGAGGATAGAGGCTGAAGATAAGACGATGCTCAAGGCGGATGCCTTGCTACGTCCCATACTCTATCCCCTGTATCACAATGTTTCAGTATTGTAAGTTGAGTGCCCGTATGATACCGAAGAGGCTGAAGCAGATGACATATGAGGAGGTTGTACCAGCCATCCTCCTGGACTCCTCTAAGCCCATGGCCAGTATCTATTCCTCTTGACTGCCTGGTTGATTCGCTCAGTCTGACATCCCGTACGATATAGGATTCTTTGTGCTGTAGTCATGCACGGCATACGGAGGAAGAAAGACAGGTGACGTGGATCTCGATAAGGTGGCTCTTAGTCTTTATATCTGAGGCTGCCTTCCATGTTCTGTGTTTGAGTCTACTCTGCCCTCTATCTGGATAGCCTTTGTTCCCGGCGTGCTACGGTTCATAAGGAAACTCCTCAACGACCCCCCTCAGATATGGTCGACGAACATCAAAGGGATTTCACCTGGACGACTTCAAGCCCGAAACTATCTAGAGGGACTCAGTAAAAGGTTTTGCCTAGGATCATGGTATGTATGCTCTATCGTTACCTACTGCCCAAATGCCCCATATTCAAGGCATAGTTACTGATGCAAAATTGAAAAGCTGTGTATCAGCGGTAGGGAGGCTCTATAAACCGAGTACCAGCAAGAAGGCAGTTGTGTCACTTGTCGAGCAACGTCATCGCTTGAGGAGTGAGAATTGCCCGCATGTATTTGCTGGCGAGAGAGTCTCGGCATGGCTAGACCCCACGATATCGGAGCTGTCGATATTGTAGCTGTTTGCCAAACAATTCAGGCTCAGGTCAAGAACCGACGCCAGCTACATCTTTCAGCAACAGAGAAGAAGAGTAGAAGAGTTTGCTTAAGCCATCAAAGTCATCATGGATATCTTTAGGGTACGTCGATACATCATCTTGCTTGGCTGCGTGACTATGTTAAAACAGTTTGTTCTGACGAAGTACATTGGAGTGACCAACAGACAGGTCACCTGAACACTCGAAAGACCACATCGATACCGCACCCTGACTATCTTGAAGAGCACGGATTGAAGCTTAAGTGACCGTACTGATATATTCAGTATGGCACCACAACGCAGATGCACCCCTCGACAACATCAGCTCGGGTCCCATTGGCCTCGACAGCTCCGTCTGTCTCAGCACGAAAGTTGCCAAGCAACGTGTCCTCAGACATGACTTCAATGCTGAACAATGCACAACTTCGATCGCGAATGGCAAATCTACACCACACGACAAATGCCTCACTAGCAGGAAACATCGCCATTTCGCCCCCGAGACCTAGAGTGTTGGCATCAACGGACGGAGGGTGACCGAGGTGTACACAATGTTGACACCCACGAGAACCTGTCATGCCAAACAACGAACGGTCACACTAAAGAAGGGAATTGATATCACCAGTGAACACAATTGCCAATCGAGCCAAAAGACAAGTCTTTCCGTTTCTCCAGCTTGACTATTTTTCGGGAAACAGAACATCCTCTCGCGCTGGCACACACGACTTGGCCCCTATTACGGCGAGCTGTATCAACTGCGAAGCTATAGCATCGACTGCCAGTTCAGCCCTTCAGAACAAATACCTCTTTGCCTATTACGATGTCTATACTTTGCAATCTGTTATTTGCCAGAGCTACCGGCTTGCAAGGTACATGTACTTTCATCAACCTCCTGAGGTTACCCCTGCCCCCCCCATCGATACACTTTACGCATATCAAGACCCGAGTTTCGAGAATGGCCTAAGACACAAAGAAAGGCTAACATACTACGATTGACAAATCCTGATAAGCCAATCGCACATGGACTGCTTTGAACGTCCCAACAGCCAGCTTATCAAGTGGTCTTCCGGGAAGCCTGCTACGTGCGGCAACAAAACGAGGAGCCTCTAAACGAACAGACCATCTCCACGGAGCCAAGTGCAAGAATATGTCCTGGAAGCGAAGGGCACGTCAGAGTATTTTGAGCTCAGCTGATGAGCCGATGTGACATTCGAGCTGACCACATACAGATACGACGCACTTTGTTTGGTCGCTCACTGCCCCTAGCCGACATCAAGGAGGAAAAGATGTTCACTCGACCATACATTTGCATACATGCTGGCAGACAGCCTCGTCAAATTGCAGATCGCAACTCATCAAGGTAACACTACTTCTTTGAACACGAACAGGAGAGCACCAGACCGTCCATCGCAAACCACACGCCTTCAAACGCCCTGAGCCTCGCTCTCACCTCAAACACCAGCGCTCGGGCCTCAATACGCAACGTTGAGGCACATCCAAGCACATAGCAGCTTGCGTCTATTCCTTCGACGTCATCTTACCAACTCCATGCACTTCGCATCCACGCACATGCCAATAAGACGACAAGGACGCACACAGCTCGCAACGGCAAGGCAACTACTTCAACAAAGAACGCCGAACAAACGGAAAAAAAGGGATCAAACCGGGCAAAAACCACACGACAATAAGAACGAAGAGAGAACAAGAAGAAGACCAATCCACCGACACACACTGCCACCCCCGCCAGCATCGCTTGTCGAAACCTGCCTAAAGCCCCTCCCGCGTGCCAAGTTCAGCCCTTTCTCAGGATTGGACCCCGAAACCGTTACATCAGGACAGGCATCTCCTTCCTGCAGCTAAGCCGAGCACGCCACAAGGGTATCATGTCCCGCCACAACCCGCCTTTCAGCGGGAAATGATGACCATGGATGGACGGTGGTGGTGGTGGTGGTGGTCCTGGGAGGAAGAAAAAGAGGGGAGTGCAGGGTGAAGGAGAAAAGAAGACGACATCTCAAAGGAAAATAAGCTCAGATCCCTGAGGCTCCATTGCCTGTTTCTTGTCCTGGTCCTTGTCCCGCCCCTTGTCCGATGGGCATGTCCCATCACCGGGTTTGTCGCAATGCTTGCCCTTGTTTACGGCCGCTTGCGAACATCCATCATCCCAAGCTGAACCTATCAGGACAAAGATTCGGACCCTCTAGGCTGAGAGAAAGTTGCCTTGCAAACGGACGCATAACTTGCCGACCGATGATGGTAGGCGATGAAATCTTACAAAGATTTCGTCATCCGGGGTCCTGCATGAGCCTGGCACATTCCTATCCTGGAGAAGTCATCAAGGGTCTTCCGTTACAGAAGACGACGAAGAACCTCCCACTCATCCTCCGTATGTACCCCTCAGCCACGCTCGTGTCTTACACTTGGACCACGTCTATTGCCAGCAAGGCCTTGACTGACTGACAATTGTTGCCGCCAAGAACGCTGGAACCACACACTCTCCCCTCCCCCCCCTTCTCCCAGCAATGAAACCCTCCCGCCCGCTCGACGGCAGTGGGGTGACGTTCAGAAAGGAACGCACGTGGGGACGATGCTACCCAGATGATGGCAGCGATCCTTATTCTCAGCCTTCTCTAATAACCCGCAGCCTTTGGCACGGTACTTGTACTCCATGGGCGTATAGCAAAACGGGTTCATTGATGGGCAGAAAGTGCTTCATGACCTGCTTTTGCGCAACCGACGTGGGGGGTGGTTGTCTACACCATTCAAGGTTCCTTAACTTACCTTGCACATATTGGCCGGTTTTGTCAGTATTACTCTGTGCCAAGGACGTGGGGTTATTCTTACTTACAGATGCCTCGTCAGTTCCTTGCCGTCAACTGACGAACCCGGGCAGCGTTCGGAGGAACTCATCTCCCACCGGCAAGTTCAGAGGCTGAGCACTCAAGACTCTTACAAACAAACTGTCATACCTCTTACGGATGACAGCACCCACTCTCCCTCTTCCAGAAAAGCACGACGAATACGAACAAATGGAGGACCACACTCCTGATGATCGCCAATCTCTTTCCGAAACAAGATGACGCTAAAATCTCATGTTCGATTCCTATGAGACACGAAATGGCACATATCGACAAAAGAAAAAGAAATGCTGACACAGAGCATGTAAATCCCAAGCTTTTTTGGTTGCAACTGCTGGCTCGAATCCAGAAACTCCCACAACGCCGCAGGCATTTCGCTCCTTTCCTTGTGCCTGCTTCTCACCGTGATAATCCCGTGGCAAACCCAGCCTGTAAGTATTCCAACCAGGATCTGATCCTCGGCTTGCCGAATGGGGCAATTTGCATACCAAATCTTGGCCGACACCAGTACCCCTTGATGCTGTCAATGAGGTCCCCTCCCCAAGAATGGCATTTTCCAAGGCACCTTGTATCCCGTCCCGTGTATATGTGCGTCAGAACCCAGGGATTCCCTCCTCTGTCATGTGATAATAATGCGTGAGATGAGAAAAGACGATTTTTGAATGCCCAGCAAATCAAAGAGGAGAAAATAGACAAAGAAAACGGCTCTGCATTAAGAGAGCATGTAGGAGCGGCATCAGAACCGCCATTTACCTGCAGTCAGGATTGTAATGGTTTTGCCGCATCCCCAAAAGATATCCGCAAGGCTCTGGAAAGCCCGAAGCGATTGTCCTGAGCCTGATTGAAACAAGCAAAGGAGCTGCAACAGGCATGTTATTGCCATGGAGGCAACGTATACGCAGTAGCTTGGATATATCTGTCAGCCCTGAGTGCAAATGTATTGGAGGCTACTGCCTCATGCTGTTTTGCAGGTAACGTACCAATGCTGTGCACAGCCGAGCGGCAAAAGTGAAAGGAAATGCAGCTTGCGGGAGAGCAAAGACCGGGGCGTGTCTCTAGCCAGTAATGTTAAACGCGCGACTCCGTTAGAGACATGCGCCGAGTATCTGCAGCAGCTGATCGTTGGGTATCCGTCCTGAAAAGTTGACGAGGAGAGTCGTCGCCAGTGCTGTGTTCGAACGATCTCTCTGCCACGAGTTTCGAGAGTCAGCAGCAAGAGCCATTGTCAGAGCCCATGAGTTTGGTAGCTTTGTCAAAGTTAGCAGTTTGGTCGAATCTGGAAAAGTCATTTCATGACAGGTCTGCTCACCTCGTCTTGGATAGATCGCTTCAGGTTGACCAGTGCTTCTGCTGTGGCCGCCGGGTTGGATGTATCGTGCGACTCAAGCAGTGGAGTAATCTTGGACATCAAGGAAGATCGTGCGCCGGCGCCTTCTGATGTGAGCATGGATTCGGCGGTCTTGAGAATCTCCTCTTGAAAGCCACGGCGCTCCCATGAGCTCCATCCCTTGGTAGCTCGGAACACATCATCAATGACTTTGGGAAGTCGCCTGTTTCGACTCAAGCGCTGTTCATTGGCTAGGGGAGACGACTCAGCAAATGTATCGCAATAGTAGGCCGAGACAAGGGCATCAAAACTGTCAAAGCCAGCTGCCTGGACGTTTTCCATGATGCTTTCGATGCTCTCGCCTACGGAGGTATGCTGAGTGCTTTGTTGAGGTGCTGGCTGCAGGCTGTGGCTTGCGTCCGTAATGAGGGGGCTTCCTAGGACCGCGCTGGGGGTGGTAGCAGCGGTAAGAGGTGGAAAGGAAATGGAACTGGTAGCCGTATGCGTAGACCGAGATTTAGACATGCTGTCGCTCTTCCACGCATCCACGTTGGCGTCGAAGGAGAAGTCCATGGTCTCCGCGTGGTTGGGAGAGAAGGCGTCAATACACGACACTTGTTCAGCCTGGGTCACGCCGTCTAAACCTGAGCGGTCATTAGTCAATGCTGTAATTATGTGATGATGGTCTCAAATTGCAACTCACCTTGTGGCCCTGCACCATTACTGGGTGCGAAGGAAGGGTTGAAGCTGGCTTCTTGCTGCAAACTGTTGAGGCGGTTCAATAAGTGCGTCTGGAAGCGCAAGCAGTCGAGTACAAAGTCGTGGGGAACCTTGGAGCTCCGGTCACCAAGTGGATGATGGCCCGGGGGAGAGAGAAGCCCGTTGGCGTCGGGTGAGGGCTGTGTCTGTTGCGGGCTGCCGAGAGAGTTACGAGGCATCTGCGAGAACATGAGCTCGGTTGCATCGCTAGGCTGCTCAAACATGACCGGCTGTTGCATTGTGGGCATCTGGCTCATGGGAGCCTTGTCCTGGGAGGCGGGGGACGAAGGAGATTCGATGCCGGGCATCTGATTAATGGCTGTGAAGCCTCGAACAATTTCAGTGGTGGAAGAGGAGTCGCTGTTGTCTGGAGTTGTCTGCTGTGTCTGGCTCCGCTCGTGGCTATCTAGTCGGGCTTGAAGCTCGCCCAGGCGCGCCTTCATGCGGTGGCCTGTTTGGGATTCACTCGTCAGCAAAGGGGGGCTCCTTCAGATGTCGTCGGAAGGAAACAAGAGTGAAATATGCCCAAGAAGATACAGGAAGTCATACGGTATGTCCTTTGCGCAACCCGGTTCTGTATCCTCTTCTTCTCCTTGGGGTCCTTGACCTTTGTCCAGTCGTCTTCCTCCCGGAGTGGGCCGTGGTTCACTGGCACCAACGCCTTCTTCTTCTTCTTCTTGGAAGTCGGAGCAGGAGTTGTTGTGATGTCTGCCGGGTCAACGGTCCCTGGTGGAGTCGAGACCATTGGTGTTGATTCCGACGATAGGGGCTGTGACTGAACTTGGAACGATGTGTCTGGCGGGGAAGCTGAGGGCGATGCCACCGAGGCGGAGGAGGCACATGCTGAGGTGACCGGGGGCGTGGTCGAGGAGGGAGAGGGATAGTCCCAGATTGCTGTTGAAAAGGACATGCTGGGCAGGGAGGCCTCTGATGAGAGGGTGCCAGAGTAAATGTCGAATGCAGGGCAGGCTATCAGACGAGACGGCGAGCAGATATGAGAGGGGATTAGAGGAGATGAGACGGGATGACTCGATACTGATGAGGGCAAAGACGCAAGATGCGGCAGGACAATGGCGATGGCTGATAGAGGGGGGATAACACGTGTAATATGCGTGCCGCAGTCTAAGCAGGATATGCGAGCCGACGTCAATCGCGGCCCTTGGAGATGCGATGCCTCTTATATGATGTGCGTCCGGATACGTCGAGGTCAGGCATGCTTGTAGGGCATGGTCCCTCAGATATATCGGATCAACTAAGGCACGATGCAGAGGTGAGCGCAGGCGTGTCCTGGAGGCAAAGCTGGCAAGGCCGGGAGACAGACGAGGTTCCCGCAGCGTCTCCGCTAACCGTCTTAGGGGTTGCCTGGGGCTGGATGCAGGAAGTCGCGAGGCATGGCTGAGGGAGGTATCGGTACGACGAGGAGGGCTCTGCCGCTGCTTGGTGCCCAGTAACGGGTACGAATCACACGCATGAGGTACAATTACTTGCTGTTCTTTCTCGCAGGGTCCCAAGTACAGGAGGTAGGTACTTACCTACAGTACAGTACCTACTCGCACACAAAACCAAGCTGGCAGTCCAGGGGAACACAAGGGGGTGCGCATCTTGCACACACGCCTCCCTTCCGGCACCGACGAACACACGCCCTCGCCAGACCCCACACTTTCGCACCCGGGCGTGGCAGCAGGAAGCAGCAGGAAAGGATTTGCTGCAGCTAGCGATGCCGCTAGCCACTTAGCCGCAGTAGCGCGAGCGGTGATCCACACGTCCCTGCGGTCCTCCCCTGGCCTGGCTTGCCTGGCGCCTTCCCCGAGCACTGCTGGACAGCATCTGGCCAAACTGGCGCAAGCTGGAGGGCGATGCAGGCAGGAACGAGCAACTGGAGGGCAAGAATGACGCCGTCCAGGCAGACCAGTAGACGGGAAGGAAGCACCGCCTGCCTAGGTATCTTGGGTAGAGCAACGGCAAACAATAAGAAGTCGGTACAGGTAATGATACGAGACGCTGGATAGAGAGAAGACATGGACTGCAGACTGTACTGGATACTTACGTGTCCTCGATTTGGACAAACATCTTCACTATACCAGTGTCAATAACGACCCTGGTCTGGCGAAGCGTTATTGCCTCAGGTACTTGCTCAAGGGCGGTGGTAGGAAGTGGCGCCCAGTGAGTGAATGGACAGAGTCTGCGGCAGGTGCACACTTCAGGTCCCCAGGCTGTTCTCAGGCACAGACAGCCACTGGCAGCCACTGACTGTACCTCAGTCCAGGTACCTCTACCAACCATTGGGCATCTGAACCTCCATCATTCACAGCATCCCGGCCCTCAACAACCCCCGATTCCTCCTGTTGACGGCAGATCCGACCCGCGTCGACATGTACAGGTACAGCTTGTGCTGCATCTCCAAGGTATCCCCGCCAAGGTACCTTAAAGTAAGGTGCTAAGGCAAGGGCGAATCTCATGCAGCAAAGGTCAGGCAATCAGGGTCCTGCTCCAGTGCTCCAGTAATTGGACATGGATTGAAGCGACTCGCCTCGTTGTCCATTGAGCTTCTACCAGCACATCGAACAGCGCCTCGTCCAGCCATGGCGTTACCGCTCATTGCTTGCAGCTAACAGGGTCCATCATGTACCCGTATGGTGCCATCACGAGGCGTCAGGCGCCGGAGACTGCACGCGTTGCAGTCGAGCCACATCATGATGCCTTATGTCAGGGGAAACGAAATCGACGTCAAGCGCCTAGCTGGGCTGGAAGGCGTCTACAAGATCCGAGCAAAAGGAGCCCCCTATGGATCAAAGACTGGGGAGCGTCACTGATCAGACTTGCACAGACATCTCCCACTACCCGCGAGATCATCTTCTGGCCCGTGTTTGCCACTCGAACACGACTGGACGACTGGAGTACCTTGCTTTAGCTGCAACTCGTCGAGGCGATGACAGGCAATTCAGGGGATATTATCACAGCACAAAGCGAGACACGGCAGCATGGACTTGTCGACGGCTTTGGGATGGCTCGCCAGACAACTCATTCGATGAATGGACTGTCGTTATGCCTCACGGCTCTATCAGCGGCACTGCTGCCCATGGCAATTGCTCTCTTCGGCCGAAAAACACTCTCTATAAGCGACTATGAGGCGAACAGACCACCCTTTCTGTATTGTGTATTACCACAATCCGCTCAAGTGCCGTTCAAGTCCAGCTCCGTAGGCTTCAAGGCGCCGAGTTGCGCGCTTCATCTTGGAAGCATTGTGTACAACATACCATCTGCCGGGTCTCTGGATTTCGCCGTCACCGGAAAAGGCATGTTCTGGTCCAGCTAGCCACACGCACAGCTCAGTGTCCACTTTCATGCTGTCTTGTCTACTTTGTCTCTTGGTCAATCTCGCTTCTTGCTCTACCTACAGACACCGGACCTGTCTCCGATCTAACCGAATCACCCCATTCCGTCATAAACCCGGACCTCAATTTCCCTTGTTGTCTCGGACAATCAACGACGGCAGCTTTGTAGCAGCTCGCAGTCTTTCCTTCTACGTTCAAACACTGGCCCGGCGTTGTGGCGGCACGCAGGATGGGCACCAGCGAAAGAAATATTGTTCGTCGAACGGATTGACCTGCGCTAGGAGCTGCATGTGTGTGATGGAGAGGTACGTGCCCGACCCTATGGCAAAGACTCGTATGAGATCATGAAGAGACAAGATGGCGGTCATCATGTGTTAATTGACTCTGTATGCCGCAAATGGGGACTTGCATACGGATCAGGCACGAACTTCATCTGAGGTGGGCGCGCCCGCATCTCGCTGTGGCTGTACATGAGCAGGCAGAGAGAGTTGCAAAGCGGTTGCACAGGTAGTACTACTGCATCTGCCACTTCACCACCTCAAGTCTCGAGCTCATGATGCCTCTGTTGACTGGCGCTAGGTCGTGCAACAGGTGGCGAAAAGGAAGTGTCCGATGATGGTTGTCTTTTGCCCAGAATGTTGCGTCTCCGTGGCCTGAACGGGGAATGTAGGACATGGGCAGTGTGGGAACTTTTGTGCTACATGCCCCGGACACGGACCAGTCATGAGTTGCCGCTGGGCAATTTGTCGATTCTCACCACATCGAGTCTTTCGGTGTGGCCTCTGCAAGGGCGGCGGTCTTGGGAAGAGGTCAGCAAGACACCCGGGATAAAGGTCGCGTTCCGTGCCGCAGGCGCATAACGAAAAGACTGGCCAGAAGGGGAAGAAAAACAAACACAATTTCAGCCAAGTGGCTGTCTGTCACTCATCGATGCCCACCAGGCTTGCCTCGGCTCTCTCCCTCCCTACCGTCAACATCCTTGTCAGACTTTTGACGAGATGGCGTGGCGCATTGGACCTGTACCACTGTCACAACACAGCTGCCCATTCTCTGGCAGGCGTTTCCCGATTGATACCCATGACAGGGCTACCGCATACGAGTTCCGAGGCACACAGGCGTCTCCTCTCCCGTCCTACCGGTGTTATGGCAGACCTTGTTGCGTTTCCTAGCGGCATCGGTGAGGTATCATGAGCAGTGTCTGAGACACGACGCATCCAGAATGGGCTCAACTCTGCATCATCGTTTCACCGCCGCTCAACCACTGACTGCTTAAGCTCATCGCGATTTGCCCAACCACGGGCGGCTAACGACCCACTGCGCAGCCCGGTTGCTGAAGAGCTCAAAGAAGGCCACACTGGGGGAAGTAGCATGAGGAAAGGCATAGAAAGACAAGGGGAAGAGGTGACCAGGTTGAAGGACACGAAGAGAGGAAAAGCCGGGATGCTACCCACACGGCGCTGGGCCTGGCAGTTCTAGGCTCATTGTTCCGATGAACTCCCCGCGCTCCGTGAGCATCGGGTCCGCAGCGCGTCGCCTAATGATGGCCGATCTAGATACAGTACCACCTGGTCAAGGGATGGCCATGGGTGCGTTTGGCAGACGAGGCCCACAGAGCAGCCAGGACCGGCACCTGAAAGATCTCTCCGAGCTTAGGCCTGGCAATCGAGATCGCTTAGATGCGGCCAGCGCTTTTCGTCTCCCGGGGCTTCTTGTCTCTGGTGACAGACTCGACGGGCATCACCAAACTCCTTCAAATCGTGGCTAGCTGGCCTCGTTGAGCCACGATGCTTAGCAGGCTCTCTGGCTGGCATCTTCTCCCGTCTTCTCAGCAGGCCTAGTCATGTGGACGACGCTGGTCTCCCCTCTTGCTTTTCCTTGATGCATTGGGGGCCCAGAGATGCAATGCAACGAAAAGCAGAGAAAAGGGTTAGCGGTCGACAAGCTGGCCATTGATAGCCCAGAGATGCCCTTCGTGCTCTTTCGGCGCCCTTCAAGCCGTTGTTCGTGCTTTCTCCCCTCTTGAACTCATATACTTGACGAAAAGGCAGTGCCACTTCGCACAGCGGCGCTGGGACCACTTCCTCTTGATTGCTCGGGCTTTCCCATGCTCCCACAATTTGCGCTAGCCATCACCCATGCGCCAAGGTCAACGCCGTCTTGGTCCCTCCTCCTTGGAGAAAGGGGGGGAAATCCTGATCCACGCTACGGAGCCGCTACGGCACCATCCGCGTCTCTATCTTGCTGGGCTGGCTAAGCGTTACCTTGAATCCACAAGCAGGGTCCAGAGATTTGTACTTACAAAGCACTTGTACGAAGTGCACGGGGGCATTTCTTATAATGTTGCGGCCCTCGCTTCCGTGTCGCCGATCTATGCGGCTGTCGTCGTCGCTGTGGCATCGGGGCACTACCAGGTCGGGAATGCCTGAACCCTGGAAGAATAGCGTGGGTTTTGAATATCGGGTATTGCGAGAGCGGCTGCGGACTCGCGAGAGGCGAGCGAGTGACTGCAGCCACCAGTTGCCGGCGTCGCCCTGCTCTCGCTCGCCGATCCAGAGCGCTGCTTACTTACACCCCA